AAGCCGTTACCAGAGGAGTATCCTCTGTCAGTGGGAGGTGGTGTCGAGAAGAGGCGGTTAGGAGTGAAACGAGACGACCGGCGCACATCGCATCCGAGGGCAGAAGGGAGCAACATATTGGCGCAAATGTATAGATTAGATGCGCAAAGCGAGGTAGAGGCCGGTAAACGTGAATATGAGACCACTAAAGTGGTTGTGGTGGCCGGTTGGGTCGGGTTGGGTTGGGTGTGCGCGAAAGAATTTGTGCGCGTTGCGCGGGAAAATGCGCCGGAGGGGGTTGCGAAGCGCGACGATGGAGTTGGAAGGAAAAGAAAGAATGTATAAAACAGTCGTCGAAATGCGCTTCAAAATCCACTGAGACCGGAGTGGATAGAGAGGGTAAAAGAACCCAAGTGGTGGTTGTTGTTTATTGAGCGAGTGGTTGTTAGGGAAGAAGAGGGCGGCGGGGGCAGCCGAGCGATAAAAGAAAAATGGGCTTTGGCTCTTTGGACTCGAAACTGCCGCAACCGGTCAAGCGAGTATCCACTCTTGGTTGGTTCAAAGTATTTGGGGCTGCAATTGATGTCCGATACTTGTAAATGGAAAGAGCGTGTTGCTTAATATTGCAATCAATTCAAAGAATGTGTCAATTCAAAACGAATGAGGTCAGTGCCGGGAGTATGGCCTGAATCAGGTTCAACGAGTGACCGATGACGATTAGGAAGGATTAGAGGAGTTGAGGAGTTAAGGAATACGGCTGAGGAGCTGAGATTCTTCTTCTATTATACCTAGATATCTAGGGTGTCGGTTCCTGGTGTTCCTGGTACCTGAATCCGATCTCTCTCCCAGTGAAACATGGTACAAAGGAGAGCTTCAAAGGTCAAAGGATGAAGCAAGGGCGCATGGACCAGGACCAGGACCAGGACCATGGCCTTGACCTTGACCTTGACAGGGAGCACGAGGCACTTTCACCCCTGAAACGCTCTGCACGGGTCGATCCTTTTTCCAATTACACTTCCTATTTCGGTGCGCGACCCGCGACCCGCGATGACCCGCTCCACGCTGTCATGCAATAGCCCCTCTACGTATCGGTCCGTGAGGATCGTCGCTATCAATATCATCATGACTGCATTATCGCACGTTCCATCCGCAGGCTAAGCCGACTTATCCGCGATGCAATGGCCATGACGTACATCCTGCGCCTTACAACGAACCGTGAGTCTTCATGAGAGCATGAAAAGGCGCTAGTAGGGAACCTTGGTGCGTTGAAAATTCGGCTTTGCCACCCCGAGCGACCAGACGCGTTTTAATATTCCTAGCTCGCAGGGTTGGTCTTGCTGTCCTGCCTTCCCAAAGGTTCCCAGTCCCTTTTCACCAGCCCTGAGGGGTCGGGACCCTGCCATACCAGCCCTGAAGGAGAGGATGATACTACGTTGATTCCCAGCTATAACATATTTTCCGTTGTTCTGGCTCTAAAGAATATAGATTGTGCGATGTGGAAAAATGGGCAATTGAACGCCACATGCGCAAATTGAAATTTGTCAGGCGCGTCTACGCGTACTGGACGCGTGACGCGCCGACCAATCAGTGTTTGCTCTGGAGATCCACAATGAATAAATGCCTCAAAGAGTGGGCGAAAACTTCGAAATAACGGCCATACTTCCTAGACGGACCTAGATACTCCTGCACGAGGCCTGTGCCGGAAAAGGGTGTGGGAGGGGTCTGTGCTAGGAAGGTTCCGTTCGGAGAATACTCCCTCGAGGTTCTACCTTAACCCCTTCCTCGTTGCTGATATGTACGTCGGTTGCTACAATTCAGCTGGGGAAACCTGCTGGGCATGTAGTACCTTGAACAGACAAATCAAGAACAATGATTTGCCAATCGTATATTGTGAATATTCACTATTGTATTGGATCTCTTGCTGATGTTTGATAAAGATGAAACTCGTCTGTATACATACTCCTTGCTTCCTGCAGATCTGTTACTCGGGCAGATTTTGGGGGCCAAGATTAACCTCGCGGCTTGCATTATCTCGCAGCGCCTACTGCACTTTTATTCTCACTTACGGGGTGCAGAATGCAACCACTCGGCCCGTCTAGCATGGCTTGCAGTGCATTAACCCCAACATAGAAACATAGTATCTATACACTAAACTCATCTACAATACTCCCCCATTAAATCTAACGGTGAGCACCGTTCCAATGCGGAGCTATCTAGGGGTGATTCTCTCTCCTGTCTCCCTCAACAGGCCATCCTTTCTTACCCATTGTCTAAGCCCTAAAGGAGTCCAAAAGACACTCCTCTGTTCACAGAGGCTGGATGGGCAACTTCGACCCAGCTTTACCCCTCTCACAGCGACCCAGTCTTCCGGCCCTAGTCCTAAATCCCCTCCATGCAAGGGATACAAAAGGCAAATAGGACTATTCCCTACCAGGCTCGCTCATAGGCACATCCAAGATTAGCCTCAGAACTCTACAGCCACGGGGACGCACAACAGGAAGCTGCAGCCTACCTTAATCTTTGTTTACCAAAACAGTGAGGCTCGAAGACTTACCCCGAAACCTAAACCCATTCCTTCCAAACCAATGCAAGACATGCGCCCTGTCCACAGCGGGCGCTAGTCAATCAGAGCCGCGATCTGATACATGTCGTGCGTCAAAGTGGCAGGGTGCGTTGCCCCTCCAACAATGCCTCGCTAGGGCTATCGACTCCTTGGAAGAGTATATCCACAAGGTCTCACAGCCTCACCTCCTTTGCGACTCGATTTGCGTCTTGGCGTTGGTCTATCGTCGTCCATGTCTTATCTTGATGCCGAATATGGAGATCCTGCATTCCGATGGACGGTTGACAGGTGATCGGCGACCGATGCATAGCCCTGGATCTGGGTCCCTGTATTGGATTGATTGGCAGGACGAAGGACGCTGACGGGGTGGGTAAGGCCCATTATATTTGCATTTTTGTTTGTTTTGAATCTCGCTCTGAGACAGTGTTGCAGGAGGTTGAGCTGATGTGCGGATAGTTGCAGGTTACTCCATGGCAACGATGCATGTGTGCATGCTGAATGCATATTGAATAGACTTGCTTTACAACTTCCTTTAGAAATTCAACAGTAACATGGCCGGCATCGTTACATCGTCAGCTGTGCCGAGATCTACAGCTCGAAGGGCTACGGCCTTCCTCAAAACATCGAGTCATCGTGAGACACTTCAACCAATAACCTGCCAATTGATCCACCTATGAATCCCTCGCCCAGTCCCGACAGATCAAGATCATCGCCGTGTACCCGTCTATTCAGGAATATCCCTTTCTTTCCCTCCTCTAGCTCCAACCTGTGACGGATCACCCGTGACTGGAAGCATCACCGAGTCCACCGAGCGGGCCCTTGGTCACAAGGCCCTGTCCTTGTGTCTTCTAAGTGGCCACTATTTCCATTATAGACAACTAGGGATAGCGATAACTCTCAAGCACCAAACAGAGCTGTCCAGGTAAGACCCAGGCTACTATTCATAGCCAATAGGCTGTCCCTGGACCCCTCCAACTCCGTTGCAAACAAGGGCTTCACTTTCTTGAGCCCCTCTTATTGCCACTGTGGAAAGAAGGGAACAGACTATTGAATCCACTAGGTATCTCCTTTAACGTGTGGCGATGCTTTTGGGAAGGGTATCCGCTGATAAACACAGATTCTATCCTTGAGACTCAGGGCCCAATCCGCTACCACGATTGCGTGTCCTTCCATTCACTAGCCTCCGAGTACTTCAACTTGCGCGATTTATGCTACACTTTCCTTTCTTTGAGGGTTTTCAGATCTATTGACCCCCTTCACTCATTGGCAACCTCTCTTGGAAGAATTCAGTCTTTGACCCTGGCTGATGAGGGATTTTGTGTTGCTGTTTCTCCCTTTCTCGGAGTTTGGTAGAGTATACGAATAGCCGTTATCTCCTTTCATATCGGATACATAGGAGCGCTCTTTCAAGCTTCACAGGCTTTTCCATCTCCTTTAGATCATCAATGAAGAAGGAAACCTCGAAGCTGTTCCATCGATGAATGCCCAGCGCACACGAACGCTTGCGGCCAAAACAGGGTTTCTGACAGGACTGCGTGGCGACTGAAGATGAGCGAAGAATCTTCAATGATTTCAGGCAGTGGGACACCTTTAATAGAGGGCGCCCATTTGAGCAGTTTGGCGTATATTCAAGATTCTGGGTCCTGAGGCGGTGTCTGCAATCATACCATTTATCCTCGAAACAAGTCTTTCAGTATAGGGCTAACCATCCCATAATAGAAATTTTATCATGTGATTAGGTTTGAAATAGTATCTCATGTCGCAGCCGTTTGCTTATTGTGCAATTTGCAAACAGGAAGGCCAGCCTTTTTCAATACTTCTTTTTCCTTACTACAGATAGTCGAGTGTGAAGTTCTAAGAATATCGCGATACCAATCCGTATTTTCCGCGATTTTCGGTGACCTACAGTTAATTTTACAATTTTAAGTAATATTCTGATCATGTCCATCGCTACTACAAAAGCCCAGGTTTGGTGGAAAATGCATTCCTTGGTTTGATAGCTCCGCATACGTAAGTCTCGTGTATCTGACTACGTATGCTCTATTCATACACTCCTGATTCTGGCATTCATTATCGTCTCCATTGTTTCCATAATGGGTGCCGTGCCCATCATTTGCGTCGTTAAAGCTCACCGACAGGACAGCCTCACGAAGTCATCAGCCATCCAGACAAGAGAACAGGTATGGTCATGGACCGTTTGCAAACAAGACCAGAAGTGGTCATCTACAGAAATAGTTCTCTTGAACGGAGTAAAAATGACGCTTGCGCTTGCTGCATCCGTGAGAACCCCGGTTATCAGCGGCTCCATCTTCAGCAGCTCTGTTATCAACGTTTCTGTCCTCTGCAGCTCGCTGGCGAGTGTATGGTCTGTTGGGGCGCAGGTTACTGCAGGTGTTGGCGTTAGTGGGTGTAGGGCGGTATGCCAGTTTGACACCCCGGTGGAAAAGCGATGCATTGTTCATGGCACTGGTGACTGCGGGTGCAGAGTTGTGCGACTTGTCAGCCGCCATTCCAAAGAATGAGGTAACGCCGGATGGGTATCGAGGAATCTCGGTAATGCCGGGGGTGCGGGCGAGCTGGAGAAGTCAGCTCCCATTGTGAAGGAATAGTCATTGCCTTGAGGGAATCGTAGTTTTTCGGTGGGGGCAATACTTCCAGGGTAGCGCATCGACGTTGTACTTTCAGGGGGTGCAGAGCGGCGCACTGGTTCACCTTCCATTTCCATGTAGAACAGACTGTCATTCGAGGGGAATCGCGGCTTCTGAGTGAGACGCTCGGAAAGACCGAGGAGATCTTCATCTCGTCGGTGAGAATCAGGTGGGGGAGCAGGCTCGAAGGCTAACTGCACTGGTCCCATATGACCGATCTGGCTCACGAACTTTTCCTTGGTCACCTCTGCGATTCTGCGGGGGTGACTTACTGAGCGCTCCATTGGTTGGTTCTCGTCGACATTCAGGTATCCAGGAACTTTTTTAGTACGGTGAATCAGTTCTGCATGATCGTCTTCCTCATGGCGAGATGAGAACAGACTGCTCGAGGCACTCGGTGGTGACCAGACTCTAAGACAAGCATGATGTCCTCCTTGTACTGAAGGGACATCTTCCTGCTGACGAGAAGGGGGCGCACAATTCTCTGCGTTCGTTGGCATCGTTATTATGGCTTGAATTGGAGTTCTGGTGAAAGACAAGTCAGGGATATGAGTGTTGATCTCGAAAAGTCTGTAGTTCTGGAGTCTCTCTCCGGGCCTGGTGTAGAGAGTGTAAGCCTGACCAGCGGAATTCTGAAAAGCTTCAAGGTCGGCAAGCGTAACAATCGATGGATCAGAACGGGGTCGTGGAATCCATTGGTCAACAGCTACCTGATAACGACATTCCAGCTCATCTCTTTCGGGGAGGAATTCGAACCAATTGTGACGCAGAGCCTGCTTCACATTCAAGCGCAGTTTCTCGTCGAGGATGAGCAGTTCCTTAATGAATTGTTGGGGAAATCCAGTTATTCGATTCTGATTCAACTCCTTGGTTAGGCCTTTCTGCTCGTCTCCATTGCGGTCGAATCGTCTGTGCGGTTCCCGCGTAGGTAAGAATCCCATCAGCAAAGTCACGGTGACACAACCTAGCGAATACAGATCAATAGACTTGCTGTATCCTGCGTTGTTGGCCGAGTTCACCTCACTTATTATAAGAATTAGTATATTTTCAAATTTGAAGGCTCTTGAAGTTCTACTCACGGAGCGCAGTATTCGTACGTGCCAGTGACGGTTTGCATCCGCTCGACAGGCTGAGGTACCCTTCTGGCGCATCCGAAGTCTGTCAAGACAATCCGACCGCACTGTCCCAGTGAAGTAATCAGGATGTTGTCTGGCTTGATGTCTCTGTGTACGATATCTCTGTCGTGCAGGTATTCAATGGCGAGCAGAACTTGGCGAGTGATAAATGCGGCCTCGCGCTCCTTGAGGGTCCCTCCTCTGTACCGGAGGAAAGAAACCAGATCGCCCGCAGTCACAAGTTCACTGAAGATGTAACTAAAATTCAATTAAACTCTTGTTTTATTTCGCATGCTGTATCGTGTTGTATCACTCACATCGTATTGGGAGAGTGGATCGCTGTCTCGAAGCTGATGATGTTCGGCTGAAAAGATCATTGGCTTGGTCCATATTGAAAGCGACAAAATCTACTTACATGGGACAGGGTCTCAAGGAGCTGAGCCTCGCGATAATACCTCTCAAGCTTCTCGTCGATGCTTTTCAGTCTGTACAGAGCGGCTCGTTGTGCAGAAGGGCCAAGCTTTGTATGCTTAAGTTCCTGCTGCAGCTCTAGCTCACACTTGGCCTTAGAACTTTTGATGTCAACGATCTTGCAGGCAATCTGCTGTCCGGTAGCGATCTGGTAAGCCATTTGGACTCTTCCATATGCACCAGAGCCCAGCTCTCGTCGCGTGACGCAGTAGCTGCTCTTGAACACCTGGACGCATCTCTCGTCAGCCATAAATGAATACAGATTTAAAAAATCTGAAAGAACCGACCTTCATCTCTGCTTTTTGCCATTCAGAAAAGTTCTTCTGCGGGTTCGCGGCGGATTCAAACAGCAGCTGAAACTCAGGCACGATCGTTAGGATATCGCCATCGCTCAGGAGGAAACTCTTCCCTTGCATCGCGTAGCCATTCCAGCGAGTTCCATTAGTTGATATGTCTTGAGCATATACGAGCGGAGGTACGGTGTCAGATGAATATTCATCGTAAATGACCGTGTAGATCCGCACATGCTTGCTTGACACAAACATATGGTTGCTTGAGTACTGGCTAAGCAACAGCGATGCGACCTATGCATGAGTAAACAAATCAGGATGGGAACATGCAGAGACAGGCTTACCATGTTGATGTGTCTCGCCCGATAAAGACTTCGTCGCAGCTGTCAATGACCAGTGGCTCAATGCGTTCTTCCGTCTTGGGATTCCAGCGGAAGAGTTTACCCACAAACACATCATCAGTGCCAGTGTCAGGACCATTATGACACTCAGACATGATTGCGGGTAATATTTGATGAAAATTAACGTTTCACTGGTATGGGGAGGATTTGGGTGAAAAGAACCGCGGGGTTGGCGAAGGTAAGTTGTGGGCGAGTTCCATGGAAGCAAACGCGACTGAAACCGATCACACAGGCTACAGCAACAGATCTCACCTCCATCGTCACTAAGCGAGGCTGCTCGCCAACGATGGACGCATGTGCTCGTTGGTATTTGAATACAATAATGAGTCTTTATATTTGTTAATAGGCAGGCGAGATTCGGTATTTGATAATATCTCTAACGAACTCATCCACAGACGCAGTGTATACGCACTGTCTTGGAAGCTTGGAGAATGGACCAGTTTACAAGGGGATGAATTTTGCCATTCCCTTGCAAAACAAGGGGTCTTGACGAAAGAAACCCCCCTAGAGGTGCAGGCTTTCACTATATACCCGTATCTAGGTGGTCATCTGACTTGCAGAGAGACCTCGACAGATACCCTGAGCAACTCAGCTACCTTGCATTCGGCGGAAGCGTTCTTCGGCTGCGCGAGCACGTCGCTCCCTTTCCAGCCTCATTCTCATCTCCGGCGCCATGCCTCGCGTCTCTTCGTCACGCTTCTCTGCCGCTGTCTTCTCGACTGCACCAAGGGTACGACCAGGTTTGCTAGCAGCTATCTGGGCCTCTCGTTCGGCATCCTCCTTCTTCAGTCGCTCCAAATCGGCCCGACGACGGTTTTTTTCCTCTGTCTCTGCAGACTTCTGCTCTTGTTCATTTCGCTTATCCGCGTCGGCCTTAGACACAGCAGACGGGACCTTAGCTGTATTCCAATCCCATTTAGATTCACCCAGCTCATGGCGGGCAACTCGGAATGCATCGCGAGTGGGGCGGTCTCCTGTAAGCTCAAACGGTGCTCTTCCTTCATTGTTTGTGGCAGTAGGGTCTGCGTTGGCCCTGGTGAGCAGCGCCGAAACGACCGCGGGAGCATTCAGACTTGCTGCCAGATGAAGGGGAGTTGGACAACGGAAGTTTTGCTGTGAATCGGTAGGCTGGAAAGTAAATGAAGATGGTATGGAGTTGTTGGATAGATATGACATTAGGGCAGGGACCTTTGATCGACGAATCAGAGCCTGTATCTGGGTCGTGTGCAGCTGAGCAGCCTCTTCTTCCTTCGAAATCTTGGGCTTTTGCGGTTGGGGGCGTGGCGTGGATGGCTTAGACTCTTCCTTTTCTTTCTGCTTTGCCGCAGCTGCAGCTGCAGCTGCCGCCAGTGCGTCCTCGTCAACCTCACTGACCTTCACTCGAGTCAACTCTTTAAAGCACCTCATAAGCTCTCCTTGAGTAGCTCGACGAGTGTTAAAGGGGAAACCTCGCACTCTGGGGTCATTCTGTTTGAGAACCTGGCCCTCATATTTGTCGAAGAGAATCTTCCGGTTTGTCTTTCCAGTGGCGCGAATAAATAACAACTCAGACGTGTCAATCATCTGCTTCCAGTCCGCTAATAATTCCCGAATGTCTTTCTCGAGCGCAGCTTCGTTGTATCGACGTAGACTAGAACCAGCAGAGTGCGCAGCTCCTCGGGAAGCATCGCTGGCAGACTGGGAGCCACCCTGCTTTCGTCGGGTGGTGTATCGGTGGAACGTTTTGTGTGCGATGACACGCGCCTGTCTCTCCTCAACGCCTCCTTGCTTGCGGTGAATCTCTGGCGCTAGTGACACCAGCATTGCAGCAAAATGACCACCACCGATCATGCACATGAAGATATGGGGGCCTGCAGCCGTCGGATCTTGTTGAGCTTGTGCGTTCTTCGGGCGGGCCTTTACCGGAGCCAGTTGTTTCTTCTGTATTGTGTCCACCAAGTGGCCTGGCTCATCTTGCTCCGCGGGGGAGAAGATTGCTCTGTAAACACCAAGCGACTTATTTGAGGGTAAACTGGAGCTGGAAAGCCAGAATAGCGGGTTCTTTGGCGTACCCTTCACGATTGTATCCTCCTCTTCGCTCGCCCCGGACAGCTTGGCCTGTTTTTTCAGCAACGCCGTCAGTGTAGTGTCGGCACTACCATCGACATCTTCCTCCTCGGACTCTGACGATTCGGATCCAGATATAGACTCGTCGAGGTCTCCAACAGCTTTCGCAAACTGGACCTCGTCAAGTGGTGCGGTTCCACGTAGTTGAGATTTGAGGTTGTACCGGTGGTGATCAGACCGAACGTGACTGCGCTGCTCCTGAACGTTATGGTAGGATACCTTGCAGAGAGAGCATTGAGTCGATGTAGCGATCGCGGATTCTTGCGCGGCGACCTCAGGATCCTTGGGATCGTCCTCGGTGCTCGGTTCGGCGACGGATTGGTTGGCAGTCTTTGCGCTTAGTGTCGCAAGAAGCTCCTGTGGAAGATCATAGACTGCTCAAGTTAGTTGAAAGAACATCTGGAAAGTTAGATATTTACGCACCATATAGAGGTCTCTTCAAGAGCTCTTCAACGCGAACTGTATCGCCCATGATGGTTAAGTATAAAGAGTGTGGAATATGTGCCCCTCTGAATGACGATAAGGCTCTTACCGCCTTACGAGGCGGGCGACTGCTCAGCTTATATGCGGCTCTGTTTCGGGTTAAGTTTGAGTGACAAACTTTTGAGTCACACACACTACAGTACAGACTGGAACCAATGCTTCTTTTTGGCCTCTGTTTCTCACTGAGTACGTTTGTTCGTGCCTGTGGAGCAAATCTTGTGGCTGTACCTTAGCCACCAAACACACGCTATGACTAAATGACTGCCCGCTCTGACTCACAGGGGGCTAAGCATGATGCCGCTTCTTGCAGTTTCTTTAGTAATCTCTAAGCTTGATATGTCCAAAATTTTGGATGCAGGGTCTCATCCCATGTACCTGTAATGAAATGGCTTGTCCTAGACACGTGATCCTAAAGTGCGAGTCACCAAATTTGGAAATACGTCATAGCTTCGACGCGTTCACTGTTCCTGAACATTTGAATCTGGTGTATAATTCTTTCTGCATCAACTGCCCATCTGGGTTCTCATAATATACTTTAGATGGATATATGAAGGTTTTCGCCGACTAAAGATAACCTCGCTCTTTGTAATTAGATCGGAGATATATATTGGGTGCCTAGGTAGTGCGAAGGAGCTATCGAGGGACCCGATTGTGCTTTTCCAGGGTAATAGATAGATATCTAAATACCTAGACGGTGCCACAGATACTTGGAGAAGTGAACGGTTCACTCAGGTAACCAGAAGCGCTTGAGTGTTTCAATTGTACATATCAACAGGCAAGAGAAATGCACCCTCGACCTTATCACGGCGCGAGGATTGCCGGCTTTACCTTCTTAGTTAGATGCTTATCGCCGGTTGACCCGCATCACGTGATTCAAATTCGGAGTTTCTAAAATCGAGTGCCTCCAGGTCTTCTATTTCGATCGAGTGAATGCGAGTATTCGAGGCAAATCGCCACAAACAAGCTTTGTAAGGACATACGTTGCGCTGTGGAAAATAGAGGGATCCACCGTGCTGGGTCAGCGTCCGGACTTTGGAGATTTGCGCGCGAGACACGCTCGGCCTTTTAGTAAGCAGTCCGCAAGCTCCATTTCCGACACCGTCTTTCTCTTTTTCCTCTCCAGGTAAACCGGGGCGCATTGTTGCTTGTCACCAATATGTTGGATGGCAATACTCAGGTCGTACTCGGGGGCTCCGAGCCTGGAGAATCCCTGCAGTCGCCGCTCATATCGGCTTTCGCTCCCCGCAAGCAGTCCTTCTGCACCGATCCCGAAGGATGGGGCCCCCTCAGTCCGACGGATTTCCACCTAACTCCATGCTTCATCGATGTGATCATTGCTGTGGTCGCCGTATGGGGGATGTTTTCCGGAGCTGGCGCGCTCTATCTCTTGCTGAAGAAGCGTATTCCGCAGCCCGTCTCGAAGAATTGGCATTTCTATGCCAAGCTGGTATGCTACCCACGTCATTTGGCCCGTTGCAGATCAGATCGAATCGCTAACCCACTTTCTATTGAATAGGTTGTTCTCGCCTCTCTGATCCTAGTCACTGCCCTCCAAGCAGCTCTTCAAGCCGAGACCCAGCCGAAAACCTTCTGGGCCGACTTCCGGTTCTGGTCTTCGATCGCGACGCTCGGCTCTCTGGGTGTTATCTACGTGGTGCAGTACTATGAGCATTGGCGGAGCAGGCAGCCGAATGGTGTTGTCTTGTTCTACTGGCTCTTCTTCATCATCGCCTACGGCATCAAGTTGCATTCTCTTGTTTCGCGCAAGGACTACGTCCATCAACTCCCGTATTTCATCCTCATCAACATCAGCTTGGGATTGGCGCTGTTTGAGTTTGTGTTGGAATATCTCGTTCCCAAGAAGCAGAGCGCCTATGACGCTCTTGGTGACGAAGACGAATGCCCGTACAACTATGCGGATATCTTTTCAGTTCTTACCTTCAGCTGGATGACGCCGTTGATGAAATTCGGATACAAGAATTATCTGACCCAAGATGATTTGTGGAACCTGCGCCGTCGCGACACCACCCGTGCCACGCTCGATGATCTGAGCGAGGCTTGGGAGGAGCAGCTCCAGACTAAGAAGCCGTCTCTATGGATTGCTCTCTTTAAGGCGTTTGGTGGCCCATATCTTCGTGGAGCAATTATCAAGTCTGGGAGTGATGCGCTCGCTTTTGTCCAGCCGCAGCTGTTGCGCTACCTGATCGCTTTTATTGATTCGTACCGAGGCCCTGAACCTCAGCCAGTCATTCGAGGTGTGGCCATTGCTCTGGCAATGTTCATCGTCTCGGTTGTACAGACCAGCTGTCTCCACCAGTACTTCCAGCGAGCTTTCGACACTGGTATGCGGGTGAAATCGTCCTTGACGGCCCTTATTTATGCCAAAGCGTTGCGGCTGTCTAGTGAAGGTCGCGCGACCAAGACCACTGGTGACATTGTCAACCACATGGCTGTTGATCAACAACGCTTGTCAGATTTGACCCAGTTCGGTACCCAGCTTTTGTCTGCCCCATTCCAGATCGTTCTGTGCATGCTTTCACTCTACCAGCTAGTAGGACCCAGCATGTTCGCTGGTATCGGTGTTATGATCTTCATGATCCCGTTGAACGGTGTCATTGCGCGCATGATGAAGAAGCTGCAGATAATTCAGATGAAGAACAAGGACTCCAGAACACGTCTAATGACCGAGATTCTGAACAACATCAAGAGCATCAAGCTTTATGCATGGAACACAGCTTTCATGAACAAGCTTAGCCACATCCGAAACGATCTGGAGCTCAACACTCTCCGCAAGATTGGAGCCACTCAATCTGTTGCCAATTTTACCTGGCAATCGACTCCTTTCCTTGTGTCTTGCTCAACCTTTACGGTCTTTGTCTTGACCAGTGACAAGCCTCTGACTACTGAGATTGTCTTCCCTGCTCTGACTCTGTTCAACCTTCTTACGTTCCCTCTCTCCATCCTGCCCATGGTAATCACCTCGGTCATTGAGTCTACCGTGGCCGTGCAGCGATTGATGGACTACTTCACCGCCGAAGAGTTGCAGAGCGATGCGGTTATCTTCGAGGATCCCGTGGATCACGCCGGTGACGAGTCCGTTCGCCTTCGTGACGCTTCATTCACCTGGAACCGCCACACTGGCATTACTGTCCTGGAGAACATTGACCTGAGTGCTCGCAAGGGTGAACTCAGTTGTATCGTTGGTCGTGTCGGAAGCGGCAAGTCTTCCCTGCTGCAATCTATTTTGGGTGAACTCTATAAGAACGATGGTGAGGTTGTTGTCCGTGGCCGTGTCGCGTATGTTGCACAGTCGCCATGGGTCATGAACGCGAGCGTACGTGAGAACATTGTCTTTGGACACCGATGGGACCCCGATTTCTATGACCTTACTGTTGAGGCCTGCGCTCTGCTGGATGATTTCAAGAATCTGCCTGATGGTGACCAAACCGAAGTTGGTGAGCGTGGTATCTCCCTCTCTGGAGGACAGAAGGCCCGTTTGACTTTGGCACGTGCCGTGTACGCTCGCGCGGATATCTATCTGCTTGACGATGTTCTTTCGGCAGTCGATCAGCATGTTGGACGTCATATTATCAACAAGGTGCTCGGCCCCTCTGGTATTCTGAACAGCAAAACTAGGATTCTCGCTACCAATGCTATCACAGTCCTAAAGGAGGCTGATTTTATTGGCTTGATCCGTGACAAGACCATCATTGAGAAGGGTACCTATGAGCAGCTCATGGCAATGAAGGGTGAAATTTCCAACCTTGTCCGCACCAACCTTGCCGACTCGTCGGACGAGGGCGAGGTCAGTGGCTCCGAGGATGACCTTGCTAGCCACGAGGGCTCTGACGAGACGGCGGTTATCGCGAATGATGAGGACTCGGATAGTGAAGGTATGGAACAACCAGGCTCCCTTGTGCCTATCAAGAGTCACCGAAAGCCTGCCCAGAGGAAGGACAGTCATGCCACGCTTCGCCGCGCTAGTACCGCCAGCTGGCAGGGACCGAGACGCAAGCTCGGAGACGAGGAGAACATTCTCAAGTCCAAACAAACACAGGAGACCACCGAGCAAGGCAAGGTCAAATGGAGTGTCTACGGTGAATATGCCAAGGACAGCAACCTTGTGGCAGTCGGTTTCTATCTCTTTGCTCTTCTTGCAGGGCAGACCGCCCAAGTGCTTGCTAATTACTGGTTGAAGAATTGGACTGAGTACAACGAGGCACACGGCAGCAATGAGAACGTGGGCAAGTTTATTGGTGTCTATCTCGCATTTGGCTTGGGATCATCTCTTCTTGTTATCTTCCAGAACTTGATTCTTTGGATTTTCTGCTCGATCGAGGCCTCTCGAAAGATGCACGAGCGCATGGCCTTTGCAATCTTCCGCTCCCCTATGAACTTCTTTGAGACTACTCCTTCTGGTCGTATTCTCAACAGATTCTCTAGCGATATCTACCGCGTGGACGAAGTCCTTGCCCGCACATTTAACATGCTCTTCGCCAACTCTGCTCGCGCCTTGTTCACAATGGCTGTTATTGCCTCATCGACCCCAGCCTTTATATTCTTCATTCCCCTGCTGGCCTACATCTATATCAGCTACCAGAAGTACTACCTTCGCACATCTCGTGAACTCAAGCGTCTGGACAGTGTCACTCGTAGTCCCATCTACGCTCATTTCCAGGAGTCCCTTGGTGGCATCTGCACCATCCGCGCTTATCGCCAAGAGAACCGCTTTTCTCAGGAGAATGAGTGGCGCATGGATGCCAACTTGCGTGCTTATTTCCCGTCCATCAGCGCTAACCGCTGGCTTGCTGTTCGACTTGAGTTCATCGGTTCGATCATTATTCTGGCTTCCGCTGGCCTTGCCATCACTTCCGTTTCCATTGGCAGCGGTGTCTCTCCGGGTATAGTCGGTTTGGCCATGTCCTACGCCCTTCAGATTACCCAGTCTCTCAACTGGATTGTTCGCCAGACTGTCGAGGTTGAAACCAATATCGTGTCCGTTGAGCGTGTCCTTGAATATGCCAATCTTCCCAGCGAAGCACCCGATGTGATTTTCAAGCGTCGCCCGGCCATTGGCTGGCCTTCTCAAGGTGCTGTTACGTTCAAGAACTACAGCACTCGTTACCGTGAGGGTCTCGACTTGGTGCTGAAGGACATTGACCTTGACATCAAGCCTCACGAGAAAATTGGAGTTGTTGGCCGTACCGGCGCCGGAAAGAGTTCTCTTACACTCGCCCTCTTCCGAATCATCGAGCCTTCCAATGGTACCATTAGCATTGATGGCGTTGATGTCTCTTCCATTGGTCTATTTGATCTTCGTGGTCGCCTCGCGATCATTCCTCAGGACCCTGCCATGTTCGAAGGCACCCTGCGCGACAACCTCGATCCTCGCCATGTCCATGACGATACCGCTCTCTGGAGCGTTCTAGGTACGATGAAATTCGTTTGTACTATGTTGATATTTACTGACCAAACCAGACCATGCGAAACTGAAGGAACACGTCTCTTCGATGGAAGGTCAACTTGATGCGCCGATTCAAGAAGGAGGTAAGAGCTATTCGTATTCGCATCCCTGTGGTAATATCTAATTGAGGCATTTAGGATCCAACTTGAGTCAAGGACAGCGCCAGCTGGTCTCTCTCGCCCGGGCCTTGTTGACACCTAGTAACATCCTTGTTCTGGACGAGGCAACCGTAAGAAATATCTCTACCTCTCCGTTTGATGGCATCGGCTAATATCATCCTCCCAGGCCGCGGTTGACGTGGAGACAGACGCGCTGCTCCAGCGCACTCTGCGTAGCAGCATCTTCCAAGACCGCACGATCATCACCATCGCGCATCGCATCAACACGATCATCGATTCCGATCGAATCGTCGTTCTAGACAAGGGTCGAGTGGCGGAATTCGACACGCCAGCGAACCTGATTAAGCAAGGTGGCCGCTTCTACGAGCTGGCCAAGGAGGCAGGCTTGCTTGACAGCGACGGCCTCGCCACTTCACAAATCTAGAAGCCAATCGGTTGCAATGAGCCCCCGACGAGTTCCCGCATCATGTGTACTCAGCAGGCCTGCGAAGAGGCGCCCAGTCTCCGCCATTCTGAGTGGCTCGGGGGATCCGGATTCTAGCCCCAGAGCACCGGGCCGATCTGTGGTCGTTGTGGATCATGATTGTTCAATTTCCCGCGCATGGATCATGCTTCCCATCATGGCCTAACCGTTCGAATCCCCGGTGGCACCCCCTTGTGGCGCGGGTGTCTGTGCAAAGTGGCATCTCTTATGGGGAAAACCTTGTCAATGCGACGCCCCAGGGTTCCCCCTGACAAGAATCAAGAGGCAACATTGCGAGAGAACAAGATCGCAAATCTTCTCTTTACGCGAAGGAAACTCCGTTTTTGCCCCCGGCTCTCCAAGTCAATTATTGTACGCCCTCGATGCGCGATCGAGGCCAGCTGATTGGCGTGACCTTGGAAACTCGAAAAGTGCTTTATTTCTGTACGAACTAAATCTAAACCCTTTCCTTTCTACCCCTGTGATCAGACTGCGTGTACAGTGTCATCGTGCCTTAATTCCTGTTTTTGTTGATAGCATGTGGACAATACAACTCATTCGTACATATGACTAGCACAAGTCAACGTAAAAAAGTATTCCAAAAAAAAAAAAAATCTAAAAGTCCGCGCCCAGACCCAAGGTCGAACACTTATCTGCATGCACACAATGACATAAACCACTCCTCAGACCGGGATTATTTGCAGTAGCGCTGCGACCCAAACGTGGCGGTGACATCTCGCTATCCCAGTAGATTCGCATTCCATTGTAGCGGTGAACACCTTGTCCAGCGTGGCGCCCGCCGACACCCGAAGGGACTAATTAACCACGACGCCCAGAACATCCCATTGCACTTGCTAGTGTTCTCTCCGGAGTTGCGAGGCAAATGAATTCAAATGCAGAAATGCCCACTCCGCGTCAACTCATGTAGTCACGACTGGGTCTCGCACCACAACGTCCCACTGGCCGATTCTAGTTCGACGATCACATCGGGCTAAGAATAGATCGGGAAATATATTGCTATGCTTTAATAGTCGCCTTTCTCTGCCGGGATCTCCTTGCATTTGCGAGATTGCTTATGCTCGGCTGTGAGAACATTGTTCGTTGAAACGACACGGTGTGGCCGATGTCAGCGGGCGTGCCTCTTGATGTGCATCTAAGATTACATATGTACGAGTGCCGAGTGCTCGATGCAGAGGGGTTGGGAGAAACCTCTGGAATGACGGTTAGCTCTCTTGTTCCAAGTTTCACGGCTCGGCTTCTGCACTGCCTATGCATGTCTTTCTGCACAGTCATGTTGATTCTCCGGGGCTGGAGTAGTATTGCCACCTGCGTACATGTGTAGTGGATATATTGTCGCCTACGTCAACGCCTCGGTGCCACCGCGATCTCGAATCTTCAATATCAAAGTGGGTTCAATGCACGGTACCTGAGCCACTTCCCAGATCCGACTCCCAGGAACGAAAAGTCAACATATCAGATCTCGCGTGGCTCAGATATTGCATGTCATATTGATTCGCCTCCCCCTCTCGTCTCAGATTGGCGTTTCCCCGTCCGTGCTCGCACTAGGCTTCTCCTATTGGAAGAAACAAGTTCCTAACTCCCCCCGTCCGGTCGGCATTTGTTTCAGCCGTCAGGAAGACCAGGGAAAAGGTCAGTGCTTCGGGGAACCGCTGCTCCCGTTCCAGAAATCCTGTTCAATGGGTCTCCGACGGGCCAATCGTGGACTGCGGCGCCAAACCCCGGGTTGACATCATGAAGATCTTTAAACAATGACAGAAGCCTGCTCGGTCGATCTCGGTGTTTGGGGTCGGGGCGATGACTTCCAGCCCTTTCTTCTGGAAATGCTGGAGCGGAGAATGTTCGGCCCTGCGTTGCACTACTCGGACACCCTAGGGAGATAGAGAAGGTTTGCTAGCGATGGAGGTACGGTTCACTTTTGCTGCATTTGGATCTGCATCTGGGTCGGTGTTGGCACTCTCCACCCTGCACATTTGAGCGCCTATGGCGGGGTCGGAGGGGCGTTCCGATGATTGAAAATTCAGTTTTTGGTGGCCGGGTAATAATCCAGCCAGCCTCTGTCCACTTATCCCTCGGACCAGCCACTTTCATATCCGTTCAAGTACTTTGAAGAGTGTGGATGTTGTACAGGGCTGTAAGGGCTACGTAGTCATGATCCATGCGAGAGTCTTCAGGAAAAGGCTGATCGTGATCTGCATGTGCAGAGGACTCAGAGCCACAGTGGACTACGGTTCAGGAAGGCTGGAATCGGGACAAGGGATCATCTCAGCCCTGGAAGGACAAAGAGGGGTACGCAGATGGAAGTTTCATCCGTCCTGTACGCAAATCCTGGTCTCTGTGGATGTTGAGGTGCATATGATTCGCAGTGGTGACCAGGTCTGCGGATTCAGATCGAGCTGCATCCGGACGCTTGGGCCGGCTTGGGCTTGAGCGAAGAGTGGGATTAGGGTGTTAGATCTCCGGGGAATGGATCTATGCTTCCAGGCGAAGAGGTTGGTTGTTCTTGGCATTGCAATTTGCCAGAGATAAAGGCTTTGTATCTTTTGAAGATGATCGCGCGTCACTTTCCCGAGCCTAAGTAGGGTTGAGCCTTGTGGATGCGGTCTGATCTCACTTTTCAATGAGCTCCACGGTAGCGGTAGAAGAAGAATCATTTGGAATAAAACCGGCCCAATGGAGTTCCCCGGCCACGGATCGTCTCGCGTGGACCGGGCCTCCCGAGCTAGGTGGGACATTTCCGTGCAAATGGTCCCCTACCAAAATCACTGCGAGAAAGAGCTCTCCAAGTCTCACTTGAAGGTCGGATCCTGTCGTGGTTGAACTTATGCGACGGATCAGGTCCCCCCAGTAGCGAGCTCATTAGCGTCATCTCTATTTAGGGCCTATCCTGACAAGAAGATCAGGGAATGGCAATTATATTGTCCCCGATACCTCTCGATCGGGACCGGGCAGAGATCCGCCAGGGACGATCTGGACGTTTCGGGCAATTTCCCCGTTCATGCATCCCGCGAGGCTGGAGTACATTGCATAGGCCTCCGGGTGAACAAATCCGTACACTAGAACAACAGAGGTGGATCATCTTCGGAGACAGCATTCGGGACGTGGATCCCATTATAAACTGGACAAGCCCAAAAGAAGGGCCGCATGCATGCCATCGCGATAATCGAGTTCCGGCGTGGTGGGTTTTCCGGCTCTCAGGAAGCTTCGAGATGGAGGCTCGGGGAACTGATTAGTGTCTTTCCAGAGTTTGCGCCAAGTACCATTCGGGAATAAAGCTATGCATTGACCACACTAGCCATAAATGATTGGTTCTCGATGAAAGCCCATAAGAGGGCAGTCTGCAAGGACAGGTGGAGCTTGCAAATTGACCCCCGGAGAGTGGACGTCAAGCCACGACCCCCGATGAGGGTATCCAGGTAACTGGGTTCAGGATTTCCCACGATACGGATTCAGGGTGCAAGCGCGCGGGAATCTTGTTCCCGGGGATAGGGAACATAGGATGTGACGTTTGTGCGACCCTGTGTAGGGTGCGAACCAAGTCAACGTCCTACCTGACCATCTCTCCGTCAAGACTGCCCTATGAAACAAAATGGCTCGCGCGTGACGCGAAGGAAAACCACGTTGACAGCTTCAAATGAGCAGAGCGGATTCTGCGGGAAAGATCTCCGCACGACGCAAGGGCTCCCTGATTAGGGTTGGATGAAAAACGTACGAGGCCCAAGCGAGCTGAAGCTAGCCGATCACTGGAGTCGAAGGGTCCACATACGTAGTTCCACCCGGGCAGAGTGGATCGGGACGAATACAACAGAGAGGCAGTTCAGCAATTAAATCATGCGGATGGCACACAAGTACCATTGGAGGCATTCGCAGGGGCCAGGTGTCATATCCACGCGGTTGAGAGGATTGATCACTGTGGGTAATGGATTGGACAGCCTGCGTCAGAGCTAATCGCGCTCCAGCCCATATTGAAACAAATACTGTCGGCGATTTCGATCGTGAATGTCAGCTTGATTGGTTCATCGACATGCAGAGCGCTTAAAAGTTAGGGGACGCCCGCAGGACCGTATGACCCGGCGATGGCATGCAGAATCTTCCATGTTGCATCTGCTGCATCAAAAACCCAAGTCTCGAACAATGCCATTGAAATCAAATATAAGGTAATTTATCGACAATTATGAAGGAAGGTGGCGTGCGTAAGCGGACAATAATAGTGATGGCTGCAGCAGGGCTTCCGAGACAGCCTTTAAGAGGACACTCTGTGACCGCGGGCCATCGGGCCGGGCCACAACGCAGAAATTATCAGCAGTCTCACTTTTGTTTTTCTTGCCTCTTTGGTATTGGTTATGGGGTCCAATTCCAGAATTAGATGTAGACTATTCCTCAATATGTACGTTCTATCTCGTAACATGCTTAGGGGCTGATCTTGGCCCTCGAATTGGAGGGCTGGAAGAGGACAGTATTGGCTGCACCCTAAGATCTACAGAACCCACCGAGGCAACCAGAGGCCGTTTCGTTTAGGTTCGTTTAGCTCCGCGTAGTGGTCATAGTGCTGACTCGTGAATGGACACTGCAGGCATCGCTTTCTGAAACCCAAGGATCTTGAGAGATGGGATGAGGTCAGATCAGGACTCCATCACACGCAACAGGCCCATTCGAGAAGGATGGAACTTGTACCTGGGAGCACCAAAGCACCATGATTGCCAACTTTGACCCTATTGCTGGGTTGGAGTGGATCCTGCACTATACTCTTTGGGGGAGTTTGACAGCTTTAGCTCGTCCGGACCGGTGCCCCCCGACCCGCCGTGGCTTGGGCACGGGCTGATTGGCTTATTTGGTTCGGTTTGGGGGGAGTCGGGGAGTCTGGGCCCTCTGATGCCCTGGACCCGCATGGAACCAGGGGAAATAGCCCTGAAATGATGCTCCTCATAACAAAAGTACGTTCTCGTCCACTAAACCTGCCCAGGTGACCATGAACAACCCTGTCAACCTCCTGGCGAGGCAGACATGACGTAGGTCCAACAAAAGCCGGACCGATGGCTGTTCGATCCCGCCTTCTCATTGCATGATCGTCCTCGCGGCTCCCCGGCGCTGCACTCTCCGGTGCTTAAGCCGAGCGCCTCACTGACTTGCGTCCCGAGAAACCAAATAGAGTACGGCAACGATGATTTTGATATTCATCAGGGATACGCGAACGGCTTCCTATCTCCTACACTCGGCAATCACCTAGTTGCCTCGAGGTACCTTTGCTGCGGCCTCGGATCGTGGACGCGAACAGACTTCAATCCCTCTCGATCGACACGAGAAGCTGCCCGCTGACCTCTGTCCTCTATCCTCGACCCTCACAGAGAAAGTAAATCGAAGAAATCGCGATAGAGACCAAAAAAAACCGCGTAGGGCAACCACATCACCCTTTTCTAGAAGACGGGCACAGACGAAATGCCGATCAAAGAAAGGGCAAGTTCACACAGTCACAACCCCTCCATGATTTCCGCCTTCCCCACCCTCCATTTCGGGCAAACCGTGCACCCGCTGTCACATCCGGTTCCCGAGCCCAAGCCCAAGCTCAAGACCCAGGCCCCAAGCCCCCAGCGCCTCACCATTAAAGGATCTGGTTTCAGGGTGATTGCATCACGATCAACCGAACATCTCCGGAGTCTTCTAATCCCATCCTCGATCGGCACTAGCGGGCTACCTGGATGATATCAGACGCTTGCTATTTGCACCTGCCAATTTGCCTCTCCTTGTCTCAGTCAGACAAGACAAGCTAAGGCCTGTCAAATCTGCAATCTTGTCCGTGGCAGGATCGGGGGCGTCTACCAAGCAAGCTCCTTCCCTGCACCTTTAATATAGCCGGCTGTCAGATCCTGAGTGGGATGTGGCGGTGTGATCACAGCTGAAAATAGCTTTTGCCTATGCCTGTGCCACGCTGTGGCTGAGCCCTATCTGAGCGTTGTGCATGGGGGATGTCATGGGTTGGACGCCTTTCGGTTCTGTACCAATGGGATGCTGCCGATGAGGGATCATCAAATGGTGGTACTTTGACATCAAGCCTCGAAACATTTGAAAGGTTTGGGGGGTCTAGACCCCACGTAAAGCCTCGTATAGCTCCCATGACATGATCTACTGTCAATCAGAACCCCACGTATAGCATCATAAAGCTCCCAAGACATGATCTACAGTCAGTTGCAGTAATCCGTGATTTCAGAACTGACAGGGGATTAAAAGGGGGGATGCTAACGCGCAGGCCGATTTCGCCTTCAGATTGACAGTGGGGAAAATGAGAAAAAAGAAAAGAAAAAAAGCAAATCAACATGGGGAAAACGGAGCGAACGGTTGGGCAAACAAAGACTCCGAGGGACCCCCTTGCGGCTAAGGTGGATATGGCTTTGTTCGGCATCAGGCTGTTGGATTTTCGGGGTGGATTCTGACAGTCGTAATTCTATCTGATCAAAGCCCTCACCTGCAAATGACAAATAGTCTGATCCAAAACAAAAGGTTACAGGCACTGCGGTCACAGAAGTACCGGGCATGGTTTCGGTCTATTGGTCTTGGTCACTCTAGTCTCTATCTCCAACGATGATCGCACTTCTGTTACTCCGAATGACATGGCGACGGATATACTCGGTAGCTGATCGCAGTTGATCGATCAGAGAGGGGAACCCGAGGACAAAAAGACCGAACAAACATTTGGATACGGTGCAGGTACAGCTCTAGCATGAACAATCTGCAGCCCATATTCTTAGTTGATTTTGCCTCCTCGGGATATCTTAGACAACTGGACGTCTGGACCCGACAAATCCTATTGAATCCACCGGGGCGGGAGATGGACCGAGATGACAGTAGCTTGGGTAGATGTGCCCTTTCCCCTGGGTTGCCCAACGTCCGAGGCCAAGCTAAGAGCGTACTATTGGGATGCCTTCGCAAATGGGAAATGTGGTGGGGGCGGATCCTCGAATGCGACGGGGGCGCCCTCAAACACGAACAAAGGAACGCGTTAAAAGTACGGCGCTTAGCCCAGGAAGGCTGAATATGGCCGATTCCTATTTGCGCCGGGAGAGTCCCGGGGGATCGTACCGGAATTTGGTATCAGGTTGACCTAAACGAGAATGACAGAAGGAGGAGCCGCAAATATGTCTCGATTCGTGCTAGAACGGCCATGACTACTTATCCGCGGCTAGAGCAGCGGGCTCGACCTCGACCTCGCGAGTCAATTTGGTGCTTTTGTTGATTCGCTCTCATTTGGCGAGATTGGAAGGTCTAATCTCAGGGGTTCGCCTACGCCCGCTGAGAATCAGAGCCGGTCAAGCATGATCCCAGCGTTGAAGAGACTCCGCGAACGCCTGTCATGTCTGGTGAATCCTGAGCCATGGGAGATCGACATGGAGGGGAAGTCCATATGGGTAATGTGGGCAAAGCCCTATCGGCGAGTCATTCTTCGACATCCCAGGATCCAGGATGTTGGGCCACGCTCAAGCCTCAACCTTGATAGGTTCTTGGAACCACCGGGTCTAGGGCCACAGCCCAGTAGCTTCGCTTATTGGACTGGGAGGCCCCTGCAACTAGCGCCGGGGCACATCACACCCAGATCCGGCGCGATCGAGCACTTGTTTTCCCTGGTGACGAATCTGCCTTTCCCAAACCCACTCTGGACGTGGACCCGGGGCCCCCGAAGCTGAGCGCCTTTTAAGAATAGCACCCACATTGCGTGGGCGTGGGACCCGACGCAAGGGCCGCGGCGTTTCGAACACGAACGATGAATTAGAGAGGGTGCCTGGCTAAGGCTATGTCGATGGTGCGACAGGGTTTAAATGAGCTACCATGTTACGCTACCATTTACGTCAACAAAGAACGTCCCCCGGAGGTGGATCTTCGCGCTTCGTCCCGCCGGGAACCGTGGACAGGACTCTTTAGGAGTGTTTCCAGAGTTTAGCAATTAGCTAACCATAGATAAACAAGATGTTAAGCAGGCATTCAGGAACTTCCGATCGAAAGGATCCCGTACCCGATTACGGAGTCAAAGTAGCGAGTGACAGGCTGCCATCGCCGTGGGGGAGAGGGGCCAAAGTCGATCGATAATCGACAGCGCCACACTGGGTTGGGCTCTTCCCCGAGCGACGGACTCGACGCTAATGTGCTCGGGGCGGGACTGTCAGAAAAACAATTCTAAAATAAAATAAAATAAAATAAAATCAAGAAAATAATAAATGTCAATTAAATAAATCCTACCTAAAAAAAAGCCAAATGGATGGCGATCTACAAATACAAACAGGGATGACGGATCGGGACAGACAGCTGGGACGCCCGCCGGTGGTTGGTCTGGACTAATGCATGCCCTCAAGTTACTTGCTGCATAAGATCAGAAGCTACCGGGGATCCCCCGGCCTCAGTCAAGGATCATCCATGCTCATTGCTGTTTGATGCTTTTTTTGACAAAGTACCGCTTTACACTTTTAACCGCAAAGTCGAGAGAACTGAAATACTCTGCACCTCCACTCCGAGTTTTTCCCTTTTTGCATTAATTTAAACACCCTCCTCTTCCCACTTCCTCGACTGCTTCTTTCAACACGACCCACTCCATCTCTGGTTCCATTCTGTGGTTCACCCCTCCAAGCCCAACCTGAAGATATTTCATCCACAACCAGTCCAACCCCGTATCACCAACCCGGGATCATAGGGGTCATAGTGTGGATCTATATCTAACTTGTTCCTGCATTTGCATCGTTTCCGACCCGTCGGTTGCCAACACATCTGCGGTCTTCCTCGCCTAGCATTCTATTCTTTGTGCTCTCTTTGCCAGTGAGTATACTCCCGGAGCTAAGCTCGGTCTCGTTTGCAATGAGCTTGCTTCGAGCCGTCCTGGGTTGCCTCCCGCTTGTCACACCGGCTCGCACCCCCCGAACATGGCATCTGCCGTTGGGCATCCGCTGGTTGTGGACGACCGTGAAACGGCGTGATGCGGTGTGGATTGCAAAATTCGAGAGCAATGGCTAACAATCCGATAGGATCTCGACTAGTTTACTCTGAACCGCCAGCTTCATTTCTTTAAGAAGGACTCCAAGTCTCTGCTAGTTTCCCCGCTGAACTTTGGAGGCTGCTTCTATACTCTTTATTCTGAGTGAACGGTCTTACACATTGCGAATTTACCGGAGTATTTCCAATTCCAATACCGCGTTCCTCGCCTCGGCCTCGGCCCAGCGATTACTACTTTCAGCACAATGGTCTATACCAACCACAAAACTGCCACTGGGGCTATGAAGCGCTCTGCTTCTGCTCTGGAGGGCCCACCCGGCTGGGATGTGGCTCCTGTGAGTAAACTTGTCCACTGTACTTCGTTCACTCGCTTACAATAATTCAGCCTATGATGGCTCCCACTCGCTCGCAATTCCGCCTGCCTTATGCCCATTACGCTATGATCTATCTCGACAATGAAGGCAAGCTCAAGGTTGATGAGTCTGTTTCCATCCAGGAGCAGAGCTCAACCGTCTTCACTCCCGATGTTCGCCAGAATTTCCTCGAGATTCTCGGTGAGAGAATTGGCTATCACCAGCCTGTTGCTCGCCGTAAGTATTACCTGCTGCTATATGCCAAAATATTGTCTAATCGAATTTATACAGGCACTTTGGATGCCTCACCTCGCCGCGTTCGCCGCCGCAACGGCCCTGCTCCTTCTGTGGTTGATGATCAGGCTTCCGATAACGATGATTACCCCCAGAGTGCATCCAACGACATGGTCCCTCTCCGTGTGGGAGACACCCAAAAGGTTACCAGCTATTATGAGAGTGCTCTAAAGCACTTCCAGCAGCTGAATTGTCGCATGGTCGCCAAGGCCTTCATTAAGTTCATTGAGCCCCGCAAGCAGGTTCGACACCCATACAACGGAGGCAAGCCGGCGCCGGGTTCCCCCCCTGGTAGCACCGGCGACCCCGAAAAGACTAAGCCCGAGTGGTGGCCCCCGGGTGTCATGCACAAGGAGCCCGACCACCTGCGCAAAGAGTGTAAGTGCTTCATGTTGGTAAGAATAATTATAAGTCACTAATGTTTGCAAAGACCGTATTGAGCTTCTGCTCCACATTATCCGCAAGCTCGGAGGCCATGGCATTACCGCCGACAAACTCAAGGAGGTCGCTGGTGACACCAAGCGTAGCTTGAAGCACCCTTCTCACGTCGAGATCATCTTTGAGATCCTCCGGGTCCGCAAGATGGAAGAGCGTTTTGAGCGCGGTGAAGTTGGTATGTATTAACGTATTCGCTCAAACGATCTAAACTAATATTATAATAGATGCCAACATGGTTGTATATGTTCAGAACCGAGGACCCAGCCCCAAGGGTGAAGACGAAGAAGAGGACTCCAACGAAATTCCCATAATCAACATCCCCGAGCATGTCGAGGACGGTCTCTTGACTCCGACCTCAACTGTCGAGCAGATAACAGCTCCTCTCACAACACCAATCGACACAATGCCCATGCACCATGGCCGCTCTCAGCCAGGTAGTTTCTCAATGGGCGAACCCTTGAGCTTCGAACCCCCCGCCACGACCGCCCCTACTATGCAACCCCGCCGCAGTACTCAGACGCATACTCGCAGCCCATGCTCAGCACACCAGTGACTGCCGAGCTGATCAGCCCACATGAAGTCCTCGCTTTCGACTACTCAACGCAAAACGCGTTCCCAACCTCATCCCCGGACCAGCAGCGCACAGCAGGCCATTATGATGCCTGGGCACCCTCATTCCGCCAAAATATCTTCAGCCCAGTGGACTACAGCGCCCCGCCAACCAGCCACGGTCTTCCCCCGGCTTCAATGGCCTACCAAATGCCCATGGCCTCGCCGGCCCAGCTGCACGACATGTCGCACCACGCCCAGTCACCCCTCGACATGAGCCAACGGGCACTGCCCTTCCGCACTGGCTCCTTGGGACACCCACACGGCCTGCCTCTCTCGCACCCAGCCTAATTCAACGGGCTGGACCCAGTTGAACGGGCGATGCATTTAAATTCGAAAATCGAGGCAGGACATTTTAACGACTTATATGACTGATGGCTCTGAATACCATATGAAAGCACTCAACATGCAGGGGCTTGAGCAACGGAGTTTCTTTTGCTTTGTTGTTCTTTGTGAATAAAAAAAAGGACGGTGTCGTCAAGAGGAGCTGCGGAGTGGAGTGGACTGGATTTGATGTCTACTTTCTTTTTTTTTTCCTTTTTTTTCTCTTACTTTCTTCTTTGGTTCCTTTTTGAAAATACTTTTGATGGCTTGGTTTGGACTTTTGGATTCCGGTTTTTCTTGTGGACTTTGGATTCTTATAAATTTTGCCCTTTTCTCGACTCTCGTTAATACTCCTCTTCCACACTTTTCGTTTGATTTGTATATGATTTTCTTTCTTGTTTGCCCCTATGTCTATGTTGATCGGAGTTTTTGTTCATAAAAGATATCTGGTAGATAGTGGTTACAAAATCATTTCACATTTGAAAAAAAAAAAACAAAAGAATCTTGCCCTCTTTGTAGTGAAACCACCGATAGCTGCTTTTTCCGACCATTGTGAGATCATGGATTCTAACGTATTTTCTTTGTAGTAGAACTTTGAGGTCGGTATTACCCCTAAGATGAAACCCTGCTAGATGAACAGGGTGATGCACAAAACATACCCGGCAACTAAAACATTGGGCATCGAAGTGTCATCTAGTGCCCATGTGGAGTAGCTAAAGATTCTTGCATGGTCATCGTTTACCCCGCTTCTCATTTCAGATGGCATTTTGAGGCGTAACGCTACGGAATACTCGGCTAAAAAGCCCCAGGGCTACCCAAAAACTCCTCCGAGGCTGAAAGGATCCTTGCCACAAACCCCTATTGAATTGAGGGCATGCGAGAATTTATCAACAAACTGCGCTGGTAGAAAGTCGGAGTCAATTTGGGAATTTTGGAGACTCGGTTCAGATGTTATCTGCATAGCAATGCTTTGACTTGGCGATGACCTGGCGAAGATGATTTCTGCTGTCAAATTCACAAAGAACGTGCTCTCGTTACACTTTAGACGAATTGTATTCGTATGTATTGCTTGAGTTACGCCACGGATAAGTCAGTTCGTTCCATCTCGTCATTGTGTCTAGATGTAGTTTTGGAAGCTGGGCGTTTTCAAAACCAGGGTCTTGGCGATAACGATTATAAACGCCATTCTTCGGAGTTCTTCTGATTTTAAAAACCTCCAATGAGCTAATACAGTAATAATCAGCATTATAGCCCAACTGAGAAGATAAACTAAATAAGACTACCTACAAAATTGACTTTTCAGTTCTTTCTTGACGGTTTTCTGAGCATCTCTCCAAAGCTCTTTTTAACCCTCTTTCTATTCCTTTTCCAGAGCATCTGTTGAGATAACTTCAAAAAAATCTGAGCTATAAATTACGGCTGCCTATTTAGAACCTTGTGTAATACGTCCCTGGACCGGCTGTTTCTCGGCCAGCTGTAGCAAAGACATCTCATAGTCTGCAACAACCGCCCGCTTAATCGGGACAAGCGCGCGGCTAATAGTGGAACCGCGCCGGCCCTCTTCGAGCTCGCGTTGAAGCAACAGAGCATCATCCGCAATCTCTCCGCGACATCTTTGCAGCGCAACGCATATCCCTCTACGCGTTCTGGAGGTTTGTAGATATTGGGAACTTCCGGGGTCCTGTGCTAACTTTTGCCCAGGCTGCGTTCACGATCTCTTTTCCGTCACTTCGACTTCTCCCCCGAACCTGCCGCGTCTATTTCAACCACCTCTTTCATCGCATCCGCCTCAAACCAGCACGTTTTTGGCGAAATGCTCCTTGTTCGTTACGGTACGCAATAGACCCCGCGATCGTCCGAAAGGTACCGCCGTCTCTCCCTTCCCGCCGCTGCGACTTCGAGACATTGCAACGTTCGACCAATTGCGCAATCCTGCATTGCTCGGCCGCTGTGATCTGTTGGAGAAACAGGCGATACTCTTTAATTGCATCATGGACTGACTTCTGGTCCTCGCCTCGGCGAATCGACTCCTCAAACAGCATTCAACCCCTCTTCAATTCCGCTTATCACCACTGTCCACGACTCGCATACGTTGTCAAAGAACCTGCTCAACACATATTGAAGAAAAGGCCCATAGGGTGGAGCTTTGAAGTGGCTGGAGACGGCCCATCCGTTCCTTTCCGCTAGTTGCGGACAGGATGGCAACCCCGTTCAATCCTTTCGGTGCTCCTCGTGGAAATGCACAGGCGAGCGCCACGAGCACTCCGGGGCGTGGTCGTGGAGTATCAGCAGCACGTGGGACGACATATCAGCCTAGAGGTTCCGGGTCCAGAGCATCAAAATGGCGTGGCGCAGGACGGGGCCAATCTATGCCTCGTGGTCGAGGACGCGGCGCTAGCGTTGCGCACTCGGGTGTTTCGCACTCTGCAGCATTGACATCACAATTGCAAACCTCTGCCAACATTGATTCGCCATTCGCTCAGATCGACCAACAGAAAGTCACTGGGAATCCGTTCGGCAATCAGACAACACAGCAGTCACAATCGCCCTTTTCTGCCATCGCAAACGGCACGACCATTCGAAACGGTCAATTTGCTCCACGAGGCGGATTCAAAAAAGACCCCCAGCGTCAATCGCCAAGCAGCAGTATACACAGTGGATCAATGGCATCTGTACCCGTGGAGGATGCATCCTCTGTGGCCTCATACCATGAAAGATACGAGCAGGTCAGCATCAACACTCATTGTATCTCACAAAAAATTCGACGAAGACACTTTTGTCTGACTTTTGAAATAGCTTAAACTCGATCGAGCGAAACAGCGCCAGCAAGCAATTCGAGATGGGCAAATGGCCGATCCGAATCAGCCTACATCTCTGAATCACGCTATCACCCCGGTGGGCACGTGTACCAGCATGTGTCCTGAATTCGAACGCGTGGAGCGCATCGTCCAAAAGATGATCGACAAAAGCGAAAAAGTATCACTCGCGTCTTTTCTCATTCACTTGACCCCGCTAATCATCAACACTCAGTATCTACACCCATCGACCAATACTCTTCAAAACATGGAAATGAAGATGCTGAAGCGTTTCCGACGTTCAGCGGCTGGCTACGACGAACAACTGCCTTCTGATATTCGAACACCAAAGACGCTTCTTCAAGCTACGAACTACCTGGTTCGCCATGTTGTTGGAGGTAACGAGCCTTTGGGTATAATCCACAAGTTTGTTTGGGATCGGACACGATCTATCAGAAATGACTTTTCCGTCCAGCAGGTTACTCACGAGGAGGATGTCAAGATCGCAGTAACTTGTTTGGAGAGAATCGCGCGCTTCCACATCGTGTCGCTTCACCTTCTTTCCAGTCCAGCAAATGAGGAACCTTTTGACCGTCACCAAGAACGCGAGCAGTTGAATAACACGATGCTTTCGCTGATGTACTATTACGACGATAACCGTGGACGCATTCCTTTCCCAAATGAAGAGGAATTCCGCGCGTACTATATTCTTTTCTCCATTCACGATCAGCGCCCTGATCTCGAAGCTCGTGTCCAGAAGTGGCCCCTCTCGTTGCAGAATTCTCCTCGGGTCCAGGTCGCTTTGGAGCTGTACGCAGCTTCTTGCAACACATGGGACTACCAGGGCACACTGGATACGCGTCGACCTAATGCAATCGCCCAGGGATTCTACACTCGATTTTTCAACATCATCAATTCACGGAGTGTGTCCTACTTGATGGCATGTGTCGCCGAGATCTACTTCAACCACGTACGGCAAACGGCTATTCGCGCGATCTGGAAAGGCTACTGCCGTCAGCCAGTTTCCCAACAATCTAAGAACGATGAGTGGACTGTGGACGAGCTGACCCGAGCTCTACACTTTGATGACGATGAGCAGACGATCCAGTTCTGCAATGATCAGGATCTGACACTGGGTGAAAATGCTAGCGGCCAACTTTACCTTGACTGGGGCAGCCGTCCTGTTGACTCAATCGGTATGTTCCACTTTTTCTACCCCCAGGCGCTTGTTTGCTTTACATCGGCCAACTGGTGCTAATTCTTTCACCAGCATTCTCCCCATCATCAGAGCACTCCTTCTCTGAATCCTACGTCGAGTCAAAGCGGTCGGGAAGATCTTTGGTGGCTGTTATTCTGGGGATGAACATTCGAGAGGCTGCGAGAATGGGCATGGTTGACAAATCTTACTTAAATCAACGGGTAGACAAGTCGGCGGACATGCCTATTGATGATGACTCTCTTTTCGTCAGTGACGAGTTTAACCAGACACCTGCTCCGGTGGTGGAGATGAATTCTCCATCACTTGACGGTGAGGTGGAGTCCAACACTAGCAATGTCTTCCAGAACCCTGTGCCGTCGTCGTCTGTCAACCCATTTGCCAATGTTCATTCTCCTGCCCAGCAACCTTCAAATCCTCCCCAAACTTCTTCCCCCGCAAATCCCTTTGCTTCAATGTTTTCTGCTGCACCGGCGGCAAACAACCCTCCCGCATCCTCTACGCCCGTTCTCAATCCCTTCTCTTCGATGATTTCCAGTGGTGCTACTGTGAAACCCCCTTCTGCCCCGTCAGCCCCATCAGCCCCAAGCGCAAACCCTTTCACTTCCATGTTCTCTGGTGGCACGGCTGTCAGCAGTCCTTCTGTGCCGGCGGCCAGCAATGCATTTGCTGCGCCAGCACCTCAAGCACAGGTCTTCTCTGAGCCGTCTCTCTCCCCATTCTCTTTCTCTAACCCCCCCGAGACGAGTCAAAAAGAAGAGACGCCTGCGACTACTACTGCTCCCTCGCCATTCTCCTTGTTCAACCCATCCGAGACAGTTGAGAAACAAGATACACCCGCGCTTACTACCGTGCCTGTCGCACCCGCTCAGTCCACTTCGGTTTTCCTAGGTGGCAGTTTTCCAACCGCGACATCAGAGGCCTCGACTGCAAAGCTCAACCCTTTTGCAGACTCTCTATCCTCCTTTGCATCGCCGAAGCCTTCTGAACCAAGCCAAAACAGTGCCTTCCCGAATTCATCTTCACTCTTCCCTACCACGAAACCCCTCTTCCAACCTGCGGCCGCCAACGATATCTCCTCCGCGGCTACTCCCACCGCGGCTGCGGAGCCTGCCACGGAATCAAGCTCGCCATTCAGCTACGCAAGCCCGGCGCCACTTCCTTCATCTTCGTCCTCGTTCAAACCCCCTACTACGACAACCACAGCTTCGAAGGAAACCAACCCATTCTCGTTCGCCGCGCCAAATGCGTCTGCGCAAGAGTCGTCTAGCTTGTTCAGGCCTGTTCAACCGACAGCAACTGCACAAGGTCACTCGCAGTCTCTGTTTATGCCTTCGAAGCCTGACTCTGGCACTTCCTCGCAAAGCCCGAGTTCGATGTTTGGTCAGAGCACATTCGCACCCAGAAACTCCACTCCTACGTTTGGCGACAATCAGACTCCGGAACCTTTGTTCCCCAGCGCTGCGACAGCACCTTCTGTAGAACAAAGGGGGCATGAATCACAGCCCGAGGAAACGGGAACTGCCACAACACCTCCCGGGTCGCCCAAGATCGCCCCAGCCAAGACCAATCTCTTTAACCTTGACCATGGATCAGAGGCTCCAGCCAAAATTCGACCAGAGTCAATGGAGCCCAAAAACCACGTTCTGGAGGACAACGTGGTTGCCACTACACAGCGGCCTACTCAACCTACCAGCAGCTTAGAAACAGACGAATGGCAACCACCTGGTAAGCTTATTCAACTTCTATTTACTTCCCACAGAGGATTCCTACTAACCCGAATTCTTGCTAGTCTACGCAACGGTTGAAGAGCAGACGGCTGCCTGGGAGAAGTTCCTTTATCGGGACTTCCCTGGAGGTGTGCGCCCGGAGCCCGAACAAGGAAGGAAACGGGCATTCGAAGCGCCAGTGTCTACTGAATCGACTACGGATGAACCTGGATCAAAATCTGTCAAGATATCGGAGACGACGAGAATATCTCCTCCTGCCAAGAGATATTCCCTCATCGAGCAATACAGCAGGGCAGTCCCATCTCTGCCTTGTCTGGAACGCGCCAAAGAACTTTGCAAGCCGAAGTCCCCGACAAAGGAAGAACTGCAAGCGGCAAAGCCAAACAAGCGTCAAATTGATGAAGACGAGCTGCTCCTGAATGACGCTCGGATCGCAGCTGAGCAGTTGCGGAACGGAAGCATCTTCGATGGCATTTCTCCATACAGTGAGCTGTTCCGCTCCTCCTACAGTCCCCGTAGCAGCTTTGGATTCCCCCGGCCTTTTACTCAAAGTCTATCGCCTCCGGCGCGGCCGACACACAATCACGAGGTCGCATACGCCCCTGAGACTACAGACGGCTTTGGCAGGACCATGTCTCGTACAGAGCAACGAATCCGAATGACCGGCGCGCATGGTTTGGCCTACAAGCCTTTAGACTTTTCACGAAAGGAGAGAGACGAGTTCGCGCGGAAGGAGAAGGAGAGGGAAGAGAGAGAGGAACTTGCGCGGAAGAACAGGAACAAGTTCCGTCAAAGCAGGTAGCATTGTTTTTCTTCATACATGGTATGAAAAGCAGGAAGTCGATTTTTGCATTTCATGAGGGCGTTATGGGGTAGTCCCGACTCCTCACTTCGAGATTTGTATCGCTGCACATTACACGGTGTTAGGGGTGGCTTCAGTTTTACATACCCAATATCTTTTTAACGCAATGCATGACCACACTTTGTGCATATTTGACATTCATGGATAATTTCAGCACTGTAGACGAGACCTGTCACGGATCATGGAATTGGCCTTGTAATATTCGGACCTGTGAATTGACAATTACACAAAATAAATTTTAGTGAAGAGGCTTTCTCCCATAGACGGCGACTCTGCTGGTAGTTAGTACAAGTACTCAGGCCATAAAGGGGGCTGGTTTGGACTGTACGTTTGAACATAGGCATGCAATTTCTTGTCCCGCAGCTCCCGCTTGACCATCGCATTATGAATCTTGGCCACATCCGGGTTCCAGCCCAGCACCTGCGTGTACAAGCGCAGCGAATACGAATCGATGGCTTGCTGTAATTGCACTGCCTGGTACTTCCCCAAGGCCTTCAGGTGGGGAGCGCGCGGCCATGGCGAGAAGGGCAACGCGTAGACCGACAAGCTGACATCCTCAAAGCCGGCTTCAATCATCCAGTTCTTCAGCTTATGATAGATGTTCAGCTCTCGGCCGCTCTTCTCGCCGGCGAAATTGACGGCCTGCTGCCATTCCATGAGCGCAGAATCTTCCTTGAGGGAGCCATCGTCGCTACGGGCCCACACAGCACTCTCGTGCGATTCAAAGTAGCCGCCGGGTTTGACGTGATAGTAGATCCGGCGGAGAAACCCAGGCCAGTCGGTTACGCATCTGCTCGGTGTGTTAGAGTGTCACTCTCGTTGAGATAGGGAACCGGTGGTCGGCATATACCCAGCTAGGCATCGTGCATGGATAAAGTCAAAGTGGTTTAGTTTATACTGCCAATCGCTTTCGAAGTCCTCCACGATGAACTCGATATTTGGGGCCACCCAAGTGGGCTGGATAGGGCTGATATCATTCCCAATGACGTGGGCACCAGGGAATTTCCTATCATCTCGGGTCAGTCTTGCTGGTAGGCAAAGATGGAGGATGGAGCATAGAGGATTTGACGTACTCGGCAATATCCAAAGCCCAAATACCTGTTCCGGTTCCTAGGTCAAGAATGTTCTGTGGTGATGATGTAATAGGCGCATTGTAGAGCTCCCCTCCCAGTAGCATCAGCCATCTGCACCGCTCTGGTTAGCCACACTATTTGATACCGGGAGTATGTTACTTCACGGACATATGGTGTGTCTGAAGAAAGAGTCACTGTAGGAACATAGAAAGTCAATCGAGACAGTGCCTTACTATATCCATTCGATCCTGCTCCTCCTCATCATTTGGCATCCTAACTTGGTCAGTCTTCCCCGCCCGGGGCCTCTAGAGGAAAGTGTGAATGTACATGTAACTTCCCTAGTCAGAGGTCAGTTGAGTGTTGTAGCTTAGGACCAAGGGCATGGGTTGGGCAAGACGACTTACTGAACGGGTACTGCAATACCGCCGACCATTTTCATACTCAAACTCGAGCACGCTCGACGACAGGGAGGTGAGATCGGACAGCTCTTCGTCGAATTCACTGTTGGTGTCCTACAAGATGGCGAAAATTAATTCCCGGGTCACAATAAGCCAGACCCTCGAGTCTACATACGTCGCCAAAAGTATCGATCGCGATTGGACCGGGCGCGTCGACAGGGGTCTCAGCGCTGGCTGGGGATACAGATGGGGCTGGTTCGGATGGCGAGGGTGATTCGTGGGGAGTGAATGGCATTGTGATGGAAGGGACAAACCGACGAGAAGTTTTCTGGAGGCAAACGCGGATTAAGTAAATCGATTCTCGTAAAACCGGCTCGCTATTCAACTCGACACGGGTGGAGGGAGGAATTTGGGTTTGTATCCAGACTGTCGGGTTCGCAGGAGACGGGAATTTTGGATCTATCGTGCATCCCCCGCGCTTCTGGATTCCGGGATTGTTAATGAAAAGCACCGGAACAGGCCGGAAATTCAACTCCACTTCACATGCTCTCCAGAGTCTTCCCTGGGATTGAAGAATTACTCACAGTCGTCCCTGTCGCGTACCCACCCCGCTCCGGGTGTCGGTCCGCCCATACCCAACGTAGCTTTGGAAGCTCACCTTCCACGATGGAACCTTCGTGTTCAGCTATTGAACAGCGTATCCAGGCCGCCTGCGAGACCGCCAAAGCCCGAAAAAAACGCCAAAATCGCACCACTAGCGCGCGCATTCGACGTTCCTGTGTCCCGCCTACCGGCGCGTCTCCACAGTCGGCAAGCTCGTACGTAGCGTCCTGCCACCACCAAGCACCTATAGAAATCGTAGGAAGAAGCATTGATTCGCTGGGTCGATACCCTTGATGCTCTTCACGTTCCACCTACCGTGTATATAGTGGAAGCGAGTGCAAATGCGATGATTCAGAGGGATATTGAAGCGACTGGACATCAAGTACCGGTGTCAGTCGGCAAGATGTGGGTATATAACTTTGTTAAACGCCTACCAGATGGCCTTTACTGGGTAAAGCAAAAGCCAGCGGAGAGGGAGAGAATCGAAGATGAGGGTGATAGTATCCTACACACCTGGTACGATCGTTTTGAGCCCTTTGTGAAGCGTATCTCGCTCTCGAATATATACAATTTTGATAAGACTAGCTTCCAGCTTGGCCAAGGAAAGACTCAAAAGGTTATCAGTCGTAACCGGTACCGCACAAGGCTATTATCAGGGGAACGAGGTGATCTTGGACCAGAATTAAGTGTGTGGTAGCTAAGAGATAGCTTATGGAGCTATATTTTATTATCCTAGGCTCGGTGTATCTTGAATGATAGTATAAAGGTAGCACACTCTCGGAGGAATCACGAATTACCGTATTATTATCTAGATATTTCGAACAATACCCTCGCTCTCGATTGGCTTTATTTCCTCTAAGAATGTATATATAACCGCGCTTCTAGTAGCCTACGGCTATTACTATTTAATAGCTATAGTTCGCATCTTACCTAGGAAGTTCTATATCTTTGCGAGTAGTGGAATATTATCGCTTTCATATTTCCTCCGTATATGATATATACCATTCGGCCCCTCGATAGTAACCTATTTTGCGCCTTAAAGGAGAGATTTCGGGCGAAAAATACTCCAATCGCCTAATGGGGTGGAGATATAACGGATATTAGGTTCTTCTTTCGCGAAATTGTCGGATAATGTCGCGATCACTTGAGCTGTAAGCAATACTAGACGCGGACTGTGCATTGAGACTATACTAGTGGAATCGCAATTGTTATTATCGAACTACCAGATGATTTAAGGTAGCGCTACCGCCGCTTTGTCTGGTCTTTGAACATTTCCGATTTGTACCTAAGCAAGCAGTGATAAGTAGCTGCTTAGTCCTCTTTCAGTTCGTATCAATTGCTCAACTATATGTAGGCCTGGGGTGTGAGCTGAGAATCACTGAAGTTGTAGCTGGATGTTGGAAACCCTGAATTAACCGATGGAAATCGATTTTGCCTGTACATATAGAATGGTCGGTATATAGATAGCCCACACATACTGAGCACGATATGCAAAGACTTGGGGCAGGCGTCTACCCCTGTCACTGGCCAATGAAGCCTCTCCACGCCTCTCCATACACAACCTTGGAACAAACCGGAGAGGGTCGGAGAGGATGCAAATCATTTCAGCTTCACTTTTCAGCCCTATCTAAATGATATTTCAGCCCAACGATCGGCTGAATCTGGAGAATTTCAATTTTCGGTCATTACCCACCCAGATTTCTTAGACATGACCAAACAAGTCCCAAGGTATCAGAAAGGTGCACACTCCTTCTGGTATGGACATTATGGTAATACTATTACATGTCCTGGCTGCCAAGTCACCCGACGAAGGCGTGAAAAGACCCTCGAGCAGCGGGGCGCGAACCTATCTACAGATGATTCTCAGGAATCAAGCGAAAACATACAGCCAAATTTAACTACTCCTAATCCCGAGGGAGAGAGTTCCCCTGGGGATCCCCCGCAGATATTTACGAACGAGTCAACTGAGACTCAAGAGAATGAGACGACGGGAGGAGGCCTCAGGCCATTGCATTCTCCAAGATTCTTCGCTGTTGGTTCACGAGGCATCAAACTCTATCCAAGTTCAAGGCCACTTCCTCCAGGCGAAAAGCCGATGCACCCTCGCGGTCCTGGCTTTATTCTAACAATGGGGTAAGTTCCATCGGATGAATCCTTCTCAAGTACTCTTCTGAGTGATCTACGGCGCTGACGTGGCTCAGATTGTGTCCAAAGTGACTGAATCCTTATATTTTGGTGCTTATTTTTGGATTTATTCAAGTCCCGTCGATTAATTCTTAATGTTAAATGGATTCAGGTTCTATGCTCTTGATACGAATGCTTCGCGAGATACTAGCCTGGTTATTAGAGATGTTACACACGAGCGCATCTTGACATCAATGAAAGGCCGAAAACGGCATTATGATGATGGGAGAACAAAATATACTTAATGCCTCCTGAAGTATGCAGCCCCGGTTACGCGATTTCGACCCAGTCGTACTGAATGGTCACCATCGCTTGGAAGATGCTCAATGAAACACCGGCAGTGATTCGAGGAGTTTCATGGACGTACACTTTTGATAATTGGTAGGTACGTGGAATGCATAGTAAGACAAATAAATTGATCTTTATGGTGGACAAATTGCTAAGTGTTTGGGTGCTAGGCTTGGGACTTCTACGAAAGGGAATTCCTTGTCTAATCTTCATGATACCGAGTTTCAGAGTTAGCGAGGTCGAGCTCACCCCGCCGATATAATAACCCTTCTTGGCCCCCACTTGAGGAACGGGAAACTACTCCCAAGGGAGGAAAGGAGAGATATGCTTTGTTACATCTATTATACCTAATACTGCAAAAATAGTCTGGCAACCGTAGCTACGTTCAAGAGCTAGCGAACGACGAATGAATACACAAGTATCTGTAAAGATACACTAAGGTATAGATTTCTCTACAGAGCCCTTGTTGTTGGAGGCATTCTGTTTCTAGGTATTAGGCAAGGAAGACAGAGCCTATTGAGAGACCTCATTGTGCTTAAATCATCCAAGTATTTAGACATATAGATCAACAAGGAATGAAAATAAGGTATTATATCACCTAGGCACCTATGAGAAGATCTGCAGTGTTTTCAGGCACCAAGGCATCAATTCTCATCTCTCCGCCCGAGTCCATCAAACTACCCGAATCTCTCTCTACGTGTTTTCAGCAGAATCGTGATTGCCACGAGTCTGTCGAGTGCATTCATCTCTACTCAAGGTCTCGCTCAGACCAGTTTGCCATCTTCAAAGCTGCCGACACCATCGTGGCAGTCGCCTCACTTGGTGCCCGCCGCCTTGGACACAGGTCACGGCAGGCGCTTCATATTGGCGCAGCACTTCAGATCTCGCTTCTTCGTCACATAAGTCATCCCAAGGTGCTTACTGAGAGCCAGTGTTCTCAAAATCGATCCTCATTATCGACCTCGTCGCGCCAGGAAATGAGGATTGCAACCCTTCAATTCGCCCCGAAGCTGGGTGATGTTCAGGGTAACATCAATAGAGCAAATGACTTATTAAAGAATGGCAAACCGATCTCTTTGGGAGACCAGACGCCTTCCATTGGGATTGGTCTGGACTTGTTGAGACCTGATGTCCTGGTGTTACCGGAACTAGCGTTGACTGGTATGTATTGCGCACAGCATGTGTTAAAAATCCCTTTCAATGTTGAGACATGTACACGCATTGGGTCCATTTAACTAATTTTGTCTAGGTTACAACTTCTCATCATTGGAGGCAATTAAGCCACACCTCGAGCCTGCCGGGTCAGGACCGAGTGCTGCGTGGGCACGAGAAACTGCCAAGCGCCTTCAATGCAAGGTCTGCGTGGGCTATCCTGAAATAGAAACTAGTTCTACCGAAACAGAACCGGACCAAGCCAAGTACTACAACTCTTTGCTTGTGGTCGATGAGGGTGGGGAAGTGATCCACAACTATCGCAAGAGCTTCCTGTACTTTACCGATGAGACATGGGCCGCTGAAGGCAACGTGGAGCGGGGGTTCCACGAGCTCACCTTCCAGACGCAAGATTCCACACCTGCGCAGGGCTTTACAGACGATATTCACCGGGCATCCACAAGACGGGTGGCAACCTCGTTCGGCATCTGCATGGACATCAACCCTTACAAATTCGAAGCTCCTTACACAGCGTGGGAATTCGCCAACCGCGTGCTAGACTCGCAGTCACAGCTCGTCATTGTTTCTATGGCCTGGCTGACGCTACTTACTAAGGAGGAGCTCGCCGCACTAGAGGGCCAGCCCGAGATGGACACGTTCAACTACTGGCTGAACCGGTTTTATCCGCTGATCGACAAGCAAATGCAGCACACGCGTGATCTGGATGGAGAAGAGGGCCCAAAAAAGGTGGTGATTGTCTTTGCGAATCGTGCCGGGGAGGAGCCGGCGGCAGATGATACCAAGCCACCGGCGCGGTATGCGGGGACCAGCGCCGTCATTGCTGTGACGCAGCGGCCGCATCCCGAAACCAAGGGGTCACGGGTTGGGAGCCAAGAGGATGTGATCGGCAATAAGCCGACTTTGGATGTGAAGATCCTCTGCTGGGATCTGCTTGGCGCGGCGGAAGAGGGTATTTGTTTCGCGGATACCACGGGAGACCCGAAAATGGTGTTTGGGCTAAGGTCTAGATCGGGACCAGGGTCAGGGTCAGAATCAGGGTCATAGTTAGGGTCAGAATGAGACTGTCTCTCGGATATACTTCCGCTGCGTCATTTCTAGGAAATGGGAGGGGAAGGCGGTGCTGCGTGGATCTTTAATCGCCCAGATGTATGAGTGCCGCCTTTCGAGGTGGGCCTCAGGCGGCTATACCTATCTCTATATCTGTAGATCCACTGTTGATAGCTGCATACCTTGGAATAGCGGAACCAGTGGATTGCATATCATAGTCTATGTCGTCTACAATACAAAACTATGATTGCAACGTTGGATCTCCGCAGCTGCAAGTGATGATCGCATGGAAGATCGTCGGGGTCTGCAGAAATCTCGCCCACCTTAAATCTATCAGTGTCTCATGACCCCGCAGGCAAAAAAGGCAGAAGAGGGGGGCGCACTAAGTGCAACCCAAAGGAAGTCCATGTGATAAATCACTATCTTGATACAAGGGGAAGCAAAAAAGATTAGAAGTGGGCCTAAACAGGCGGTTATGACCTATTCGGGAGTATTGGAAGACGAGCTGTAAGTTCAATATCGTGAGAAAAGACTAGAGAAATGTCAAGGAAGGAATCAAGACAGAGAAATGAGATATTGAGACACTACGTCTCCATGGTCTGTAGATATGACGGACTTATCTCGTCCCAAAGGGCGGAGAGTGGCCCGTGCTGCATGATCACACGTGATTGTGAGGCGACCGGCCAATCAGAGTGCAATATCGCGGGGTGTGCGAAAGGAGGGGCACGGGATTCCAGCACATGACTCAGAAGGGGAATCATGTATTTCGATTTTCACGGATAGAAAGAATAAGTAAACCGGTCTCCGGGTCTGTTCAGCGTTATCGGTAGAGTATCCGGAACACAAGCTAGGTAAAGATACGATGCACAACCCAAACGGGAAGATCCGCGATGACCTAATGAAGTCAGGTGATGTAAGTGCATCAGTGGTCTTTACCGCCGGCCCAACACCACCACCCTCCTCTTCCACGTGAGCAGTCCCTCTCGACTCGGACGCTCGACTTCCCTAAAAAAGCATCCCTTTTTCATGTAAAATCCTCATTATCAGTTTCATTACTGCGCCAAACGCTTCTCCGGCTATCCCTTCCTGCCAACTTGCTCCCCCGTCCATTTGGGGTTGATTTCGAAGTTCGCTCGCGAACAACGTGACTTCGCTCTTGTTATTGTCCGTGGCAGGTGACTTGCTGTCAGGTGATAAAGATTGGATCATCCAAGGTAACGACTCTCCCATGTTGCTCTTCTGCCTTTGCACCAATTTCCATTCGCGTTGTCTGGTGTGGTCGTCGCTGTGCCTGTCCTCGATGCTGCTCGTTTCCCCTCATTGCCCCCTGTGTCGTCGGTCGCCTGCAGCCCATGACGCGCCTCTGATGCCTCCGCGGGGCCGTGAATGCGCCTCGAGCTGCCTAGTCCTGAGTCATGGTGCGATAGACCAACTTCGCGTCGAGAGTGAATGGCGCGAGGCCCCAGAACCCGATGACCGTGCCTGATCCCGCCCGGCCGGAGGGGGAAGCCTTCACCGGGCGCGTCGCCTTCACGCGTTTGTCTGTTTACCCTGAGGGAGACAGGCAATCTACCCAAGGACGGGTTCGGCATTTTATTATTGGACTAACACCCATTTCGCTGACCACTCCCTCTCACAAAATTGCTTTCAATCATCGCTACGCTCATGATCGCTTACCACCTTCGATGACTAACCTTGAATTCTAGGATTTGATGTCAGATCCCATCATGAACAGCCCCGACGGAAACGCACACAAGCGCAAGCGCGAGGGTTCCGATGATTTAGGCCACGACCCTCAGCGTATGAACCGCTCTTCTCACGGCAGCAACGGCAGCATGCCCGGCGACAGCCACTCCAACTTTGGTCATTCGCTCAACTACGAGCACGGCATCCCCAATGCGGGGTCCGAGTTGAACATTGATCAACAAATTCTCCAACACGTCGGTCCTCAGAATGGCATGTCCGATGACAACGCCCTCACTGCCAACGCGAAGGCTGCGCTGGCCGCTCACACCCCTCAACACAAGTACCCGCCGCCCCCGGACTCCGCGTTCGATGCCAGCAACCTAACGCAGGGTTTGAATTTCGGTGATGACATGGGCCAGGGGCCCATGCCCGGCGCTCACAACCACAATTCCACGGCTGCCGCTGTGTATGCTGCCCGTGAGGCTCAGAGCATGAACCAAAAGCCCACTGTCGGCTCGCCCGAGTGGCACCAGATCCGCAAGAACAACCACAAGGAAGGTTTGTTATATTTCACACTCTTATCCCTCGGTGGCGGGATGCTAATGTTTCTTCAGTGGAACGTCGACGTCGTGAGGCCATAAATGAAGGCATCAACCAGATCGCCCGCCTCGTGCCAAACTGCGACAAGAACAAGGGCGCCATACTCCAGCGGGCGATTGAGTATATCTGCCAGCTCCAAGAAGAGAAGAAGCACATCGACGAGCGATTCGAGCAGCACAGCCTGACGACCAACCACGCCATCGGCGAAATCAGCACATCAAACCAGAAGTTGAAGTCCGAAGTCAGCCGACGCAACCACATCGCCTTGAAGTGGCTTCAGCGCTGTCGCGATGCTGGTCTCGAGTTCGATGACTACGAGGAGGCAAAAGAACTGGAGACCTTCGACTTGGAGTAATTTCGTTCCTGTTCTGCAGTTTTGCACGTGCTACGATCGTCTCACCTGCCTCGTTTTCAGTGGTTAGGAATTTTGAACATACCCTCATTCTTCGTTCTTCTATCTGGTCGTTTCTTGCCGGATTTCTTGTTCTTCGTTTTCTCCCCTCTCTCTTGATCTTCCTTTCCATCAACTTGGTTCATTTTTACGCCAATGCTCCCTGTCCGCTTATCAGTGGATGTGTTTTCGCTTGGTGAGGCGTATTTTTTTTTCTTGCCTTTTGTTACTGAACGCCCATTTCTTTGGATTGTATGCTATTCGATGCTTTTCTTTTTACGCTTTCATTGTTAATGGATGGATCGGCGAATCTATGGATGGGATGGGCTTGGTGCAGTCGATATAATGCAAGTCGTGATTCTTACTTCCTCGTGTATATGGCTATAGAGTACTTTGTTTAATTTTCGTAGTCTCTGTCGTATTGCCAGCCAGATCTAAGATATTTCAAGACCCACAAAGTAAAATAACCTCCAAAAAGAACAAATTGTTGTCGTGCATGGTTGAATCAATTTTTACGCCTTTTTTTACATTTGCGGCGATGTACTCCACACGCATATAGACTGAACCGTTGAGAATGGCAGATCAAGTCCTGATTCCATAAACAAATCGTCACATAAGAATATACATGTGAGAAGATAGCCATACCCCAGGAAATCCACCTTTCTAAAACTAAAGAATCCAGCCTGGAATCTCCATGGTGTATTATAATCACAGGTTAGATGAAGCGGTATACTCCGACTCGGAGGAGCACCCAACATCCTCAACAGTAACAGTTTTTCCAGATTTGCCAGTAACACGGACAGTAACAGTGTCTGTGCCGAAGCCAGAAGACTGCTCGAAGTAGTTGTAGTAGGTACGGGAGGTGCTCTGCCAGGTGCTACCGCCGTCGGCGCTAACCTCCATCTTGGTGATGGGCTCGTTGGCATTGACGACCTGCATCGAAAACCAGTATTCGGAGGTGCCAGACTTGTTCTTCAACTTCAGGGGGCCGTCAAGCTCACAAGAGGTGAAGGACCAGTCGATGTCGATAATACCGGTAGAGATGTCAGCGAGCTCGCCGAAGGCATCTTGGAAGAGGTCGAAGTGATTGGTATCACAGGAGGGGCACTGGTCGACGATCTGTTCTTGTGTAAGTACTTTCTTCTATGATTCAATTGGGAAGACCGGGATACTGACCATTGCCTTGATGCTGTTACCGCTGGGCCCGGTGACGGAAACACAGGCACCGCAGTTGGCGGCATCGCTCCATTGATCCACAGAGAGAGCAGTGCCGAATAGCCCGCTAGGCAGAGTGTAGCCTGAGAAAGAGCAGGTTCCACCGGCGACGTTGCCGCCGTAGAAGGTGGCTTCACCAGAAGTTCCAGCAGAAGAGGAAGAGCTAGCGGAAGAGTTGCTAGTAGCCTCAGCAGATGAGGTAGTAGAAGTCGAAGTCGACGAAGTGGTTGAAGAGGTAGTCTCCTGAACGGCAGCAACCTTAGTGGGAGCAACAGTCTCAGCAGTAGAACTCTCGGTCGAGGTCGTAGGGACAGCCACCTGGGTCGTCTCGGGACCAACAATCACAGAAGTGGTAGCTGGGGCCTCGGAAATAGAGGAAGAAGTAGAAGTGGTAGTGGGCACAAGAACGGGAGTCGAAGAAGTCGAAATAGCCGCAACAACAGCAACATCACCAGCTGGAGTGGAGGACTCAACCGCTGCAGGAGTCTGCGACTGCAAAACGGTGACAGCCTCGGAAGTCGATGTCAGAGTAGCCGAAAGAGTACTGCTGATCTCCACAGTCGAAGTAGCCTCGGGGGTAGACCAAATGGTCTCATACCAGACGACCATCTTGTAGCCCTTAGGACAGAAATTCTCTTCCTCGCGCGGTGCAAGCGGAATAGCAGAGACGGAGGCGGCCATGCCAAAGATGGCGGCGCCAATGGAGGCCATTTGCTGGTACTTCATTTTGAACGATTTGAATGAAGGAATCGAAGTATGAGACTGAAAAGTGACAGAAGGCGGGCGTCGAGCTTGAACGGAAAAAAGTGATTTAGGAAGGATAGGACGTGCGAATGCACAGGAAGGAATGGACGTCTGAAGATCGAATCCCAGACTAGAAAGAACTGTCCCAGACAGGTGAGAAATGAATGTGTGAGAGAAAGAACGTGGAAACAGATGGCCCGGTTATAAGAACTCGACTATGGAGGCAGGGACCACCAGCCCACCTCAGCACTAGGGGCCCTGGTTCTAGGCTTCATAATTAGCGCCCAGAACAAGTAGAGAAATGAGATCGAGATAGTTGAAACACGCGTGGACCGAGGGGTCCACTGGCGATGCTCGGGTGAAGCCGAAAACGGTGCGATCCGGGCCTGGTTGGGTTTAGCGGGTGCTGCTTAATTAAAGGAAATGAAACTAAAAGTTCGAGGCGATCCTTTCATACTTGACGACTCAGGGTTGACCCACTCGACAGGAAATGAAGTTGGTAAAGTACTTCGTGCATTGACTAGATCTATCGCGCATCCCACATAACCTCGTTCAAATGCAGCAGTGCATCGGCGCTGGCCTTCTTAGCTGCCATAAAGTCTTCACGACTCTCTGCACCGCGAGGTCCCCGTAGCATCTCTGAGAAACACAGATCCACAAGTACACGGAGCTCGTCGTAAGTAAATGGCTCTCCGTTGCCAGCTGCTAGTGCCTTATCACCCTGCGCCGCGAACGCCTCTTTCTCCTCCTTAGCGTACTCCAGGGACTTTTCGGCTCCTTCCAGGAACCAATCTAGGAACTTGGCACTGCGAGGCAAAGCCACAATCTCCTGAGTTGCAGGGTCTACCGGGCTAGTCACAGAGTCCGTGGTGGTGTCGATGATGATGTTCTTGAGGTTCTGTTGCAAAACCAACACATCCAGCTGCAGCCGCAGAGCACCATTCTCATTCATAGCACCAATGTATCGCGTGCAGGCCACGAACACACGGTCAATGAAACGAGCCAGACCCGAAGCGATGAACCAATGTTCCGCTGGGCCGAGATAGGTGGAGATATTAGTGTCGAATGCGATCAGGTCACCATTCAACTGGAGAATTGACGGAGAGGCTGCCGTCGGCTGGTTCAGAATAATATGCCACCAGCTCTCATTTGTACTTGGAGATGGGGTTGTAGGCTCGGAATTCCGGACGCTCGGGGGGTTCGGTCCCGACATGGTCTTGGTCAGCATGTGGATGATGCCGCAGCGAATATCAACATGCAATGTCAGGAGTGCCTTGGTTCCGAGTCCGTGCAATGAATGAAGTATTTGGTCAAAGATCTCAGCCGTTTCGTGGTTCAGTGGCAGATAGACTGGGCTGTTGATGCTATCGCGTTTAGGCTTCATGGCACCAAACAAAGTCCATCTTCGTGATGGCCGACCATTTGACGTCAAGACCGTCGACTCTGGTTGCGATGTATTATCAAGCACATGTCTGATCTTTGCGAGGTGGCTTCCAAGCCATTGCTATCGAAGACTATCAGACCCAATATACCACAGTTTGAGACCCAATAATTGTACTTACCATGCTATTATACAGAAGCGAAAGGGCAACAACGGTCTTCGGATCAGAAATGATATCATAGGGCTCCAAGGGTGTCTGGTCTGTGCGCTTGAGGAGAAGATCGATTTCCTAGGGCAATCAGCATCTATCACCTAGATGGAGTAGTGAAATAGAGCTTACAGTATCGATAAGCGCCTGCTTCTTCGAGCCAGCTCCTTTCCACAACTCATCAATGATGTCGTGGATGTCGCCAGACTCGGCGAATGAAGCAGCGGCTTTCAGTCGTACTTCACCCCCATGGTTCCGAGCAGAAACCTTCGTGACCATTGCTACACACAGACGTTAGCATAAGTATCAAATAAGTGAGGGTTGCCTTTACACATACCTTTGTACCACCCGCAACACTTGTCGTAATAGGTAACAATCTGATCAATTAGAAGCTGCGTAAATGCCTGATCATGAGGAATACTTGACAGCATTTTGCTAAATTCCCGCACGATCGACATGAATTTGACCGTTCCTCGGAAAATTGGGCGGGGTGAAACCTTGTTCCACTGGGGATCCTCTGTGAATGCATCGGCGGCAATAAAGCAGAGCGTGCACAGATCGGTGACAGTCTCGTCCAACTGTGGAAGGAAGACGTTGACCATGAAGTCATCCAGGAAAGAAGTCAACGTGCTCATAGAAATGTCCGAATCAACAGGGACGATATCCTTGAGACGCTGAATGAAGGAGAGCGACGGTGGCAGAAGCAGACGCATATTGAAAACACTCGGCTCAAGAAGAATCTTATGACCAGTACCTGAATTTCCCTTCTGCGCCTGCGCGGCATCGGTTGCGGAAGCCTTTTGCCTTGTCTTGGAAACTAATCCGGGTACTGATGATTTCAGGATTTCATCCAGTTCATCTTGCTCGGCTTTCATTTCCGAATTCTGGTCAATGTCGGAGAGTTTGAACATCTTCTTGTTCTTATCTCGATTACCTTGGTAGTTGTTCCGTCTGGCCTCTGCCTCCTCGCCTCTGGATCTGAAGGAGACATCTCCGTCAGTCGCAAGGTAGTCGTGTAGCAGAGATCGGATCTCGCTCTGGAGAAGCTTCCACAGTTCCTTGAATCCACCACCAAGAGTCTCGCCCTTGGTAAGACCTTCTCGGGATACAATTCCCGCAACGACATCGTGGACGACCCGGTGGCCCTCTGCAATCGATTCAAACTTGGCATAGAGAGCCCAGAGGAATTCAGTCAGCACATGGCCTCGCTCTTCAATGTTCCGCGTGGGAAGATTGGACTTGAGTTGGTTGTCGTGTGATGAGTAGGTACGATTCGGAGTAGGATAGCGAGCATCGACTTCGGCATTCGTCTTGTCGACCACAGCAAACAATTCCACGGGAAGGCGTTGCTCAATCCGATCAACTGCGGTGTCAAGATGGCCCATCTTGTTAAGAGACTCAATCAGAAGTTGAATGTATGAGAAAGTATCCGCTTCTGGGTTGCGCGAGGCATCCTCGACCATTGGTGAAGATGCATTAAACTTGGTTAGAAAGCTGTAAATAGGACGCTCCCAAGAACGGTTGCCGGTCCAACTGGTTTGAGTGATTTCACCTTCTCCATTTGATGCTTTCCATCTGTCTGAGCAATAAGGAGATTTGAGGTATAGATGATCGTGCAGTTCCTCAATCAAGATGTCGGTGATTGAAGTTTCTTGGTTGTTGAAGTAGGCGCGAACATCGGCCAAGGCACCAATATCCTCAAGCTCAGAGCGCCTGAGTAGTCGGAGAGCCGTGTGAAGGATATCTACTGCCGCGAGGAAGCGCTTATCGGAAAGTGTCGACTCTAGCTTTTCAGGGAGAGACTGTATCTCTTCAATCTGAGCAAAAAGTTGGAGAATGTCGTCGTAGTTTTGCGAGGAGGTCGCCAATCCCTTCAGCTCTGGTTTAGTTGACAACAGCCCAGATTTTGATTCCTCCAGGGAGGTTCGCAGGTTGCGCACTCGGCTTTGAGAGCTTGAAATGTTGGTCTGGATCTTATGGTATGTACCGATGGAGCTGTTGAATCCTTGATGGTGTTCTATGCCGACCAGGTCAGTACATACAAGTAAGGACATTCAAGGGGAAACCAACCGTTGACAATTGCTTTGAGCGTCTTCTGAATGTCGTTGTACATATGCAAAAAGTCCGGCTCTCGGTCCGCCTTGCCCAATGTGCTCGTATCCATCAAACTCAGGGCGACATGCACGGGGATACATTCAGAGTCCGTCATAAAGTCCCAATCGCGCTGTATAGACTGTAGCACCGCTATAAAGCTGTCAGTCCACGGAATTGCATGGTTACCCCGAAGGTAATGACGAACCTTCAACAGACTGCATTTCACGCGTGCTAGCCTCGGGCACGCCTGCATCCGGTTGATTCATATCTCGACCACGGCTATCTGGAGGCCGCAGACCGTCTCTGGACCGATCCTCTCTCTGGCCTTGGTGTCTCCTATCAGCGATTTCGTTCCGTGATCGCGATCGTGAGGACGATGGCTGCTGACGTTCGCGCTCTGAGCGGTCGCGCCGACGTTCTGGGGAGGGGGCTGGTGAGAGTGACGGTTGCTGTGACTGTTCTGGGTAAAACCCGCCGTAGCCGCCAGGGCGAAGGGCTCCTCCTGTATTCCCAGCACTTCGGCCGCTGTATCCGTTCGGTCCGAGGTTGTTGCTGCCCCCGTAAGGGCCATCTCCTTGGTCATTTCGGCCGGCGTCGGAATATCCGTTACCGTAACCGTAGCCTGGTCTACCACTCATCCCCGCTGGATCTGGTCGTTATGGCCAGGTGGTGAAGCCGGGAACGTGGGCTGCGACAAGGGGCGCGGGGCGCAATTGGTGAGGGGTTCTGTTCAGATGTGTCTTGCGCGCAACGAGGAAGGAAGGGTAGCGACCATTCTTGGCCGCACGAGTCGTACAGAGTTGTGTTTGTGGGGTGAACAATGTCAGAGCAGTTGGCGCGGGTTGGGGGAGGGACTGGAGGAGTGTCGGGCTCCACATGAGCTTCCCGCATTCCAAGACTTCAACTACAATCTACACTGACTTCTTAATTTTGAATATTCTTCACTATGCTGTATATTTCTCTGACTGACTATCGGCATAGAAAATGTCACTTATTTCGAAATGGGCTGGGTCTCGCGCTCAAGCCACTTCTGGGTCAACTCGTCATTGTTGAAGAAGTGGTGTGTCTTATCCCAAATCTCGGCATGGTAGTCGTTCACCCACTTGATCTCGGCGTCGCTAAGCAGAGATGGCTCGATCAGGTTACGGCCAATGGGTGTCATTGTAACGTGCTCAAAGCCGAGCCACTGCTTGTCACCGAACTTATTGGGAGTATTGACTTCGCGACACATAACGATGTCTATGGGAATGGATCAGTACTTGTTGAGCAACTTGGACTCGGAGACTTACTCTCAATGCGAATGCCAAACTTGCCATCCTCGTAGTAGCCGGGCTCTGGAAAGGAGTGTCAATTGTTATACGAGTTGATGCGGATCAGGATCACTAACCGTCAGAGATCACGTTTCCGGCAGCAATAGGAACCTCGGTGTACTGCACGCGTGTTCCGATACCCATGGGGCCCTCGTGCACATTCTGATAACACTTAGCTGCGTTCACGACTACCACTGGAGACATAGAGAACTTACCAGATAGGAGCCAACGCCGTGGCCGGTTCCGTGGAGGAAATCAAGGCCTTCCTTCCAAAGGTGCTGGCGAGCCAGAACATCAATTGCAAAGCCGCTGGTTCCCTTGGGGAAGACCGCCGTATCGATTCCGATCATACCCTTGAGAACCAAAGTGAACGCCCGCTTCTCGAATGCAGTGGGCGTGCCAAAGTGGAAGGTACGAGTGGTATCAGTTGTTCCATCAAAATACTGGCAACCAGAGTCACAAAGGTAGATGGCCGAGGGGTCGATGATCGAGCAGCTACCCTTCTCCGGCTTGTAGTGAATAACGGCACCGTTGGGACCGGTGGAGGAAATGGTGTCGAAAGACAGACCGGCAAAGAGATCGTGCTTCGAGCGAATCTGCTCAAGCTTGTCGGCTCCATCGACTTCATCCATGACGGTCTTCTTGTTGACGAGCTCATTCTCAAGCCAGGCAAAGTACTCAGTTAGGGCAGCGCCATCGCGAATGTGACAGGCGCGCATGCCCTCCAACTCGGTCTCGTTCTTGACGGCCTTGGCATCAGCGATGGAGCTACGAATCTCTTCAACGTGATCCTCGCCGCCCAGGTTGAGGCTTAGAGCCCAGGAGGTCTTGTTTGACAACAGGAACTTGGCAGGAGCCTCGCCGGATTGGCTTCTCGCATCACTCAGAGCCTTAACATCAGTAAAGATAGAGTCGTACGGCTTGATTATCACATCCTGGCCGAGATGAGCCGTGACCTCGGGTGTAAGCTTCGAGCTATCGACGTAAAGCTCTGCGGTAGTGGGGGTGATGATAGCATAAGAAAAGAAGACGGGGTTGTAGGGGATACTATATCAGGTCAGCAAATTGATTATCTCGGATTAACATTAAGGGCGTCCTTACTCGCTGCCTCGCAAGTTAAACAGCCAGGCAATCTCATCAAGCATGGCTATCAAGAGCTGTTAGTCCAAGGGCGACTCAAGTATCATAAAGGGTCACCTTACAGACGATGAAACCAGCCTTCTTCTTTGTTTCCAGCTCCTTGCGAATATCGGCAATCTTATCCTGGAAAGGCTTGCCCGCATACTTCACCGGGTGCGCACGCACTTTCTCGACAGGCCGGGCCGGGCGATCCTTGCCCCAAACTAAATCGACCAAGTTCTGTTGAATTCCTACCAAAGACGATCCGTGCTTCTCGAGGGTCTCCGCAAGCTTTCGCGCGCCAGCTATATGGTGACTCTGACTTAGCCTTGGGGTCACGAAAAAATAGTTCCAGGAGTTAAAGCACCTACCGGCAGTGATCAAGGAGGGGTCAACTCCAACAGCTTTTCCGCTCTGGGCTTGCTCAGTTGTCCTAAATGCACACTCAGTCTCTGATCTCTCAATCTCCAATCAATGTATATATACCATTCCTGCCAGCTGGGGACGCCCTCAATGCCGCGCTTGAGGAGCTCCCAGTTGCTGTCCAGCTGCTTCGCGGCTTGGTTAAAATAACGGCCATCGGTAGACAAAGCAGCCTTGCTCAGGGAGATAATCGCAGTACCCGCAGAGCCAGAGAAACCTGAAATGAATTCTGAAATTGGATATATGTGAGCCATGCGAAGAGGAAGGGTCGGTGGGAAATGGCGGCTAACCTCGGCGGCCGTCGCAAGGCGCAATGTATTCGGACTGGTGGCTATCTTCTGAGGGCACAACTTTAGGGAAATTATTAGCAAGACAGGCACATGCATAGAAAGCGAATTTGGGACGAAGGGCGGCATACTGTATACGTCCACCTTGTGCTCCTGCATTAGCTGTCGCAGCTGCGCCAGACGCTGGGTGGTCTCCACGGTCCCCATTTCGATGTTATACCGCGAACGGGATAAGGAAAAGAAACGGGAGGGTTGGAGCGGCCTCAGCGATCGCAGTGAAGTCCAGGAAAGGCTAATGGGAGAGAAGAGCATGGACGAAGGGCCACGGGAATGGTGGCGGGGCTTAGGGTTTCGCACCAAAGCTCAAAGGCCGACGTGGGGAGCTCAGAGGGGGAGGAATCCGCTCCGATATGATAACGAGCCGTCAAATGGTGGCAAGTGCCGGTCGTGTGAGTGGCTTCCCGGTTGCAGACGGCGAAATTGTCCACTGGGGGAGCAATCCACTGGCCCACTGTTGACATGTTTGCACTGTTTCCATATCCATTATCGATAACGATACGATTCCAAACATAGCGTTAACGTTAACTAAAGGGGTAGGAGGGTTGATTATTAGATTTGTTTATTGCATAATACATGCATCCATGTCACGCCACTTTAAGGGTCTAGGTGACTGACGTACCATCAGGTCCACAGGCAATACTTCCCCCGGTGTCCTAGATCAAGCATGAAAGCTACCTAGGTAGACGTCTGGAAGACATTCACACTTTATTTTGCTCACTTGGAAGACAACGTCTTCAAGCATTTTATAAGTATTATGCTACGTACCTAGTCCGCGTTCCTGTTTTGAAGTTATCTCCGGGTTTTAATGTACGAAGTTTAGCTTACCGAAGCAGCTATTGGAACATATATCTCGAGATGGAGAACAATCTTTCCTAGATACTTATATATGTGAGGGTGAAGAATGGCCAAAATGAGTCCTGCACAGAAATCGCATGGACACTCACACCACTCACGTGTGCAATCTCATCTCTGGTTTTGACAAGGCTAATGCATAAGCACGGTGTACTGGAAGATCAGTCACTGTTTTCCCTCTCGACCCCACAGTTGACCGCCTCGATACACCGCCCTCAATAGTCGCACCTAATTGGATGCTAATTTACCAAGCAAGATTCTACCGGCACATGGGCGGCTATCGCCACGTGACCTGTTCTATACTGTCCCTTTTTCCACCTTCGCACTTCCATCCCACCCAGGCGTCCTACGTCTTGCATCTACCATGGCCACGCCCTTTCAAAACATAGGCCATGGCTCTGGAGAGCTAATTTCCGAGGCGCACTTGGTATGTTTTACCCCTTACTATGGAATTGGAGCCTCTAACAATTTCGCAGTTGGTGACCCAACTTTACGATCCCGCTAACCAGCGGAACCCGGCCAAAATCGATGAGGTACAGTCGCGGCTGCAGCACCTCCAAAAGAGCGAATATGCATGGGAAATTGCAGATTCGCTCCTCCGAGAACGCTCCGCCCATCACCGTTTCATGGGTGCTCTCACTTTTACAGTGAAGATCAATGTATCCAGGTGAGTGTCAACAGACGCGATATAACTGTTATTCTTCCTGATAAGATACATTTCACTCATCCAATTTTAGCGGCGAGGTCAAAGAAACCATGGCGGTCCAAATTCTGGAACGCCTCATCAATCACTTCATCGGTATTGTGAATGAGGGTGAGCAGGCTTTTGTGATCCGAAAGCTTGCGTCCAGCCTTATTGCGATCTTCCGGCATCCGACTACCTCGTGGAAGCGGGCGCTCTGGCAGCTGGCTGCCAGTCTTGCGCATGGGAGCTTTGTTCAGGAAGAGCAGTCCCAGACCGTGGATTTCCTAAGTGGTGTACTGCCAGCTTTGAGTACCCCGCAGGCCACAGCTCTGTTATTCTTCTCGGTTTCGCTGGCTGAAGAAACCTTGAGGTTAGACACCGAGCCTCAGAATCTGGTAGCACCGGTGATTCAGCGGGCTGTGTCAAACATCAAGGATGGCTTCTTGCTAGTGCAATACATCATGCGGCAGATCGCTCAACATCCTTCCATTTCGCAGAGTGAATCTCCTGAGATAACACTCGGAGTTGAAGCTATGATCGCCTGGAAGGTAAGTTTATTAGCGCAAGGACTAAATGTAGTGCCGATGATAAGGTTGCTAACTTTTCTCAAAAATAGGCTTGGCTTGGAGTCTATGGCAGTCGCCTGCACTCTGGACATGGTGAAGAGCGACGGGCCTTGGCAGTTTCTTGCGGACAAGACATTATGGAAATCCTGAGAATCCCTAGTCTGAGCGAGAACGCAGCATCCATATTGACTCAAGCGTTTGAAACCCGCAGTTGGGCCTTTGACAACAACTCCATTTTGATTATTTCACAAATTCTCTCAGACTCCATCGTGACCTTCCATATCTCAGAAATTACGAAGGGGAATGAAGGCACCGAGAGCATGACATTTGTCGACCTTTTGGTCGCGTATGTTTCGCATCTTCAAATGAACCTATTCAGTGACCCGATGAAGCCCCAAAATGCTCAAATCTTGAGCATCGTGCACAGCATCTTCAAGACGCCAGGATACGCTGTCATTGATGACCCGGCAACACCTCGAGTCTTGGAGTACTGGAATGAAATTGCAGAAACTCTTCCCGATGAGCTGCAACAAAATGACCCAAGGTATCAAGCAGTGAAAAGTCACTTGGCGCAGGTTGTTCTCGGCTTATTTGACAAGCTTCTATATCCCACTCCAAGCGACCTTTCAGACTGGAGCGATGATGAAAGAAGTGAGTTTAACGGTTTCCGTTACGAAGCTTGTGATTATCTATTGTCGGTTTATCCAATCCTCGGCGTTGAGTTGGTAAGTGTTTTCCAGGAGAGCGCAACCACCCACCTTGGCAACAATGACTGGCGTGGATTTGAAGCTGCCATGTTCTGCATTGCTCAGCTATCAGAGGCCGTTGATGAGAACGGCCATGCAGACCAATGTCTTGATGCCATTTTCGGCAGCGGTGCCTTTTCCCGCCTCTGCGCCGGTGGTGAAACCGGCATTCCACTCAAGGCGCGTCAGACGCTTGTTGATGCGTTTGGGAAATACGAGTCTTACTTTGAACGACACAATTCGTTGCTTCCGGGTGTTCTGAACATTCTCTTTGAGTCACTCAACTTCGAGACATGTGCCCAGGCGGCTTCGCGGTCTATCTTGACGCTTTCCAAGTCATGCGGCCGTGTGTTGACCACAGAACTCCCGGTTTTCCTCGATCAGCTTGACCAATTCCGTACAAAGCCGACCGCTACGGTATCAACCATGCCCAAGGTGCTTGAAGGCATTGCAACCATCATACAAAGACTACCCACCGATGATGAGAAAGTGCAAACCCTTGAGAGGATCCTGCGCTTCTTCGTCCAGGAGGCTAAACAGGCACGAGATGAGGCTGCCAACTCTGCTTATGAAATTGCTCGTGCCCATGGACATCTGGTGCTTGGCTGCATCGCCAGCATTGGAAGGGGCCTACGTGCTGATACAGACGAGGTTATCAACATTGACGCAGCGGAAGAGCAGGACCCCTACCCTCCATCCTTTTGGAATGCTGGACCAGGCTCTGGTGCCCAGCAACTTATCATGGAAGCAATGAGGCTTTTAATTTTGGATTTCCCTGTGGACAGTGGGATTATTGATTCCGCGTGCGACATCCTCAAGGCCGGGTATACCGAGTCTTCGGGGCTTTTCGTTCTCCCCCCGTCCTTGACCGTTGACTTCATTAAGAGTTTCCCACTCGGTATCTCCGGCACAGATGTCATCATGGCTACCGCCTCCTCGTTCCTTGCCTCGCACGCTTCACACTCGATGCAGATCAGGGACCAAGCCGTGGCATTGATCGTACACGTCTCCCAGCTATTCTCTTCCATGCTGGAGAATCCCGACATCTACGATCCAGAGACAGCGAATGCAGGAATTGATTTCCTCGCGCGTCTCCTTCCGAAATACTACCCCATCCTGTTCTCCTTGACTGAGCCACTCCCTTCCGCTTCGGGCTCCGTTTCCCAAGGCCTGCCGATTTTCGTTGTCCTATTGAACTTTACGCTCCACTCTCTGACGCGCCCCGAGCCTCTGACTCTTCGTTCTGGGTCCGCATTCTGGGTTGCCATGTTAGATCTTCGCGGTGGTTCACCCGAGGAGACAGCTGCTCTCGACCAAGTCCTCGAGCAATTCATCCCAACGCTATGTGAGACTTTGATCCGCCAGATCGCAGGCCACTGTGCACGATCGGATCTGCTTTCGCTCAACGATGTTCTGCGTCGCACAATCTTCAAGAAGATGGGACTGGCACGCCCCAGTCTCACTGCCGCTCTAAATGCCTTGAATGCACAGGTCACAGACGCTGATGGTCACCAGGCTCCAGTTCTTTCGCCGCAGGAGAAGTCTCGGTTTTTGGAATCCCTAATTGTCGCCAGAGGACAGCGACAACCGTCGCTGGAGCTGATTCGGTCATTTTGGCTGAAGTGCCGAGGAATGGCATTTGACTATGCCGGATAGACATAGGGCTTGCATATCTAAGACGACATGATGATGGCCAACGGAGTTTTAAGGGTATCTCAAAGAATTGAGGATTTTCGTTGCATTTTGTTAGATATCCATTTTTGCAGGCAGTTCATAGCCTTGGAATCAGAGAGCATTCATTCCCCTCCGATAGATGTAAAGCGGACAGCGCTAGAACACCATGCATGAGTCATGGAGCGTGTAGGGCTTGAAGAACTAAGATTATATCATATTTCCTATTTAGGCATAGCTCAGGCATCGACGTGCTTAGGGGACGCAAAGAATCAACTTGTCCCGTTACGCCCAGCTATCATCGCTTTACGATAGCCAAGAAAAAGACTCAATCACCGAATAAGCTATCGCAACATCGGAATGACATCGGCGTCCTGCCCAAGCCGATGGCTGTCACGCGGGCAAAACATAGCCGCATCGCCACTGCGGCGGTGCAGTTCTCAAACAAGGGCAAAAATAACATCCCTTGACGGCGCTCCACGATGTGGCCCAAGTGCAAGTGGAGTGCCTCGAGGGCTGCATTGCTGCTCACCGCACTGTGTCAGGCCCGTGTTCTAATTTATTCGTAGCCTAAAATCGTCGATTTCTTTTTGTGTTTCTTTTTCTTTTTCCAAGATCTCCACTTGCCCGCCAAACATCACGATTGGTTTTTACTTTTGCTTCACTTCGACTTGCGTATGCCTCAAATCTCAAATACACCGGAATCTTTGCTTCCCCGCTCAGATTCTAGAAATCCGGCAACCACATGTAGAGGCATCACGACACAGGGCCGACCATGTCGTCGGGCTCTAGCACCATCTCAAACGCCTGCGCCTATGTCAAAGCCTCGAAAGGGCGTAAGCCATGTACCAGATCCTGAATCCCTGTACTGCTGGCAGCACAAGGACCAAGCCGGGTCAGCCAAGCCCTGGGATAAACCGATTACTCCGGCAAAGCCACGAACCAGCATCGAGACCTTAATGGATCGACTCGGTGTTCTCGAGATCAATGATCAGCCGAGGCCTCCAGAAATGCACCAAAGGCGGACAAACCAGAGTCTCGGTGAGAAACGCAAGCCTCGTCCAAGGCGCACCTTTTGCTGTTTTACGACTGTGGATGATTTTAGCGAAGACCACACGCCGTCCAGACCTGTTCAACGGCCTCAAAGTCGCCCATCTCAAGGAGCGACACCCTCTCCTCAAAATCTGCAAAGGCCTCGACCCTCTGCCGGGAAAGTGCACAATGTTGCTCCTCAATTGTCGCGACCATCTGTCCCAAATAGCAGGCAAACTTCGACCTCATCCTGGATCCCTACTACACTGTTGCCGGAAACAACATCTCTCCTCCTAACAGAGCTCTCCAAGCCAATCTCATCAGCCGATGAAGATGGTTATATCTATATGTTCTGGGTAACACCCCAAACAGCCACAGCAAGCAAGAGTGGAGATTCACCTCTACCTAGAGACATCGCATCATCTCTACTACCATCCGCACCACCAAACGACCATCTCCGCCCACCAACGCAACCTCGCAGCGTAAGCGACGCCATTCGCGCCGCGCGAGATTTGAACGCTCTAACGTCCAATCCAACACCAACCGCACCAGGCACGATCCGACTCAAAATCGGCCGTACAAATAACGTCCACCGTCGAATGAACGAATGGACCAATCAATGCAATTACGATCTGACTTTGATTCGCTATTACCCGTATACGTCATCTTCATCTGCATCATCGTCCCCAGCGAGGACACCTGCCGCGAGGAAGCGAGGAAATAGTCACGCGGCTGTTGATACATTGGTTCCGGGTCGCAAAGTTCCCCATGTTCACCGTGTGGAACGACTTATTCATCTCGAGTTAGGAGAGTTACGTCTTAGGGATCTTGGCAAATGTGGTGTTTGTGGGAAGGAGCATCGAGAGTGGTTTGAGGTTGAGGCTGCGAAGGAGGCTTTGAGGAAGGTGGACGAATGTGTGCGGAGGTGGATTTCATGGGGAGAGTCTATGCCTTGAGGAAACATGTAAAGGGCTGTAGATATATGGTGGACGCTCCAATGCATTATAGATGGTCTAGAACTTTGGGGCTCTTGCGGCCTCACATAACATAGCACGGCGTTTTCTTGCAAAGAATAGGAAGGTTCTTGACATCATTAGAGTTTTGTCGATCGGGGTGTGATGTGAATATATGATGAACTGTGATATGCAGGCAATAGATGATCTACGCCCGAGGTGTTGAGATAAGTTGGTCCAGCGTCTCGCATCAAGTCCGTCATACCAACAAGTTGCATGGCTGTCTCAATCTCCTCTTTGAGCACTAGTCCAATATTAGCGGATTACATTCTATCGGTAATTTTTACAGAAAACTTACAGTTGACAGCATGCTCCACGCCTTCTTGCCCATAGTTCAGAGCATAACCAAAAGACCTACCCAGACCCACAGCCGAGGCACCCAAGCAAATGGCTTTGACAACATCCGAACCACGACGAAAGCCACCGTCGACAAGAACCTTCAGCTTGCCAAGCACTTGTGGGCAATGCCGATGGATTTCCAACAAGATGAGTATTGCAGGCGGAGCAGTATCAGCAGCTCGACCACCATGGTTGCTCACAACAATACCATCGAATCCGACTTTCATTGCAATGACAGCATCCTCCGCCCGTTGAACACCCTTCAGCAAGATAGGAAGCTTCGTAATACTTCTCAACCAAGCCATATCATTCCAGTTTAGAGAAGAATCGATGAATGAGCTATTGCTCTTTGCTATTCCAGCACTTTTCTTGCCATGGGTAGCTTTCATCACGGAATATCCTTCAGGCTTGATACGCTCATCATCCTCCCGCTTCGACATAACGGGTAGATCAGCCGTGATAAAAAGAGCTCTTATCTTGGCTGAAGCCTCGGCTTGTTTCACCAGTGCTTCAGTCTTAGAGCGGTCCTTATTGACATAGACTTGATAGAAAGCCTGCATTGGAGTCTCATCCATGATTTCTGAAAAAGAATAAGAAGCCACTGTGGATACGCACTGGATGACCCCTGAAGAAGCAGCACCTCGAGCGAGTGGTAGCTCTCCTTCCTCGCAAATCGTCTTACCGGCGCCCAGTGGAGAAATGTAGACTGGGATATCAAGATCGCAACCAAAGAGACTAGATCGAGTGGTTACGCGAGACACATCACGCATGATCGCGGGACGAAACCAGATACGCTGTAGGAAAGTGCGGTTCGCATCGCGGGAGATGTTGTCGTTTGCAGCGCCGCTGTTGTAGGCCCATGACTTTGGGCTGAGGGTGTTCATTGCGACTTGTTCGAAGTCGTCCAAGCTGATGATATCTTCCAAGGGCGGTTTCTGATCTCCTTTCGTTGTATCAGGGGCTCTGGGCGTTTCATCGCCTTTGCTCCATTCGGTGGATACGGTTGCCGTGTCCAAGTCACCGATCAGATGTTCTTCGATGTCTTTGATGAGACATGGTGAATGGGTGCTGTTGTACTTCGTTGAAGCATCACCGCCTGCGTATTGATAGATGACTATTATACTCAGCTTAATTTGAATGAACAGATTTCAATTTCTCATCATACCCTCTGGACCACCAGGATGCCCTGGGGCAAATTGGGTCACGTCGTATACCATCCCATTGACCACAATCCATATGTCATCAACTTGAGCATGCTTGGAGATTTCGTCTGTTGATACACTTCTCCTCATGGCAGTGGCTAGTCAGGAAATGATAATCGACGTAGGATAAGATTTCATTATCCACTCTGCGGACTCTAGATAGAAAATAAAGGACGTTGACATTCCTGGGGTTGCTCTGGGGTCTGTCCCAGATGGTCAAAGCGCGGAATGGCACCCTTGAAGCGGAATCTTCAGGACTTACACTGCGGGGAAGTCGCGGAACCGATGCCGACAAATACACGGTTAGCTCATAGATCAATCGGATGACGGTAGTACGGAGCAGATGACGCCGCCATATACGCGCTGCGCTCGAACGTCCAGTTACTCTAGTGAATCGAGATCGATAAAGTGGGTATCGTTCAGTGGCATAAGCTATGGAAAGGATGCTATGGACAGGAAGAGTATTTGAGATAAGGGAAAGAGCCTTGACAGATCAGAAACACAAATGTCGTGGTCACCAGTAGCAATCATAATATTTCTTTTTTTTTTCTTCTTAATAGTCACGGAAGACAGCAACCATATCATCCAAGCGAGCAATGGCCGCAAGGAACAGGGCCTCTTTATTTCTCCAGCGTTGCAGACGCTCCAACTCACCCTCGGTGAGATACTCCTCTTCGTGGCCCTTGACATCGCTGCGCTCCGTTTTCTCAAGGAAATCCTTTTCAAGCGTTCGCTCGTGCTTGATACGCTGCAGGGTTCGCGACATGGCCTTGTAAGTGTCCTCCAAGATACTGCTGCAGACTCGGTCCGCATCATAGTACCAGAGGAAGATGGTCTTTGAAGGTTGGCGCTGGGCGTCCTTGGGCACTTCTTGCAAGTCCACAAATCCACCCCTCTGCATGCTAGCCAGGGTCTGCCGCAGGTCCTTGAACGGCAACAGACTGATCTCCTGCAGTCGCTTCTCGTCCAATTTACCCTTGGCCTGCAGTACACGTACCACTCGGAGTGCGACATCGCCGAACCGAGACTCGATCATTCGTTCTAATTCCAGGTGTCGCAATTTCCGAGCAAGACCGCGGAAGCCGACACGCCATTTTGAGGGTCCCACTGATAGGGTGACAGAAGATGCTAGGTCGAATGGGGGCTGTGAAAGGAGACCAAGGTGCTGGTTGACTAGGTAGGCACGCATGGCTCCTGATGACGCTTCATCGGCATCGTCGGCGTCATCGTAGTCGCCGTTGACGCCGTTTTCCAGAGGCCGCTTTCCTCGTCGATTCATCGCCTGCGAGGGATCCGCCGGTCCCAAGGCGCCGGTTAGATCCATGCTGGGATCAATATCTTCAAGTAACGTCTGGACGCTAATTGGGGTAGAGAATTGTTCTCCTTCTTCCTTCTCACGAGGGATTTCTTCTGCATCTCGGCAGCGGGGTGTGACGTATTCTACGCGACGAAGAAGGCAAGCATACAGCTCCGCAGTCACAGCAGGTGCATCTTGCTGGGCAAGGTCGACAAAACGAGCATTCCGTAAAGCCACGTCAAGCTTTTCATAATTGACCCGAACGGCCATTCCAGACTTTGTTTGAAGTCAGCTTCTGATCTGCAGAGTTGAAACGGCAGAAAGCCATATACTCACCTCCATTGGAATATTGTCGAAACCATCCTCATCCTCGGACCATTCGTTTTCTTCTTCCTCCTTCTGCTGCTCTTCGTCTTCTGCGTGGTCGCCATTGACGCCATTATGGTGGTTCTGCGGTTGCCTATCCACAGAACCATTGCCAAACTTCCTTTTAATACCACGGGGCAGACCGTTGTACATGAGTCCTTGAGTGAGGTCACCGCTCGTCCGTTCTTGGACCAACTCTTGGGCCCTCTCTTTGATCGCCTCTTCTTGCTTCTTTCCCTTGAGGGCCTTGATATCGGACCGAGCAGCAACCGCTCGCTGCGCTTCAAGCAAATTGTCCGAAGGACTCTGGAAGTGAGCATCTCTCACACGCAAGATGTATCCGTGGGATGCAAGAGCCTTAAGAGTGGCATGGAATGGTGCTGGCTTATCGTCAACAGCGTGATCTCCATTCGTGGTAGCTGGTTCCTCCTCCACGTCCAATCCATTGGCTTGAGGATCTTCTTCCTCATGTTTGATCCTATTCGCAGCCACCGGGTTTCTTGATCGAAGCTCGGGACGGACTTCGAGTTCCGAGACTGAGGCATGCCCGAGATACAAAATTGCCTCCATCAAACGAGAAGCATACTCTCCAAGTCGTGATTCTACCAGCTGGAGAATCTTGCCCGATCGCACGAGGTAATAAGCAGCTTGTGGGTTCGCTTCGTAGTAGGTGTTTCCGTCTTCGAGAGAGGTGAAGTGATAGATGAGATGATGTTGAATCATGGCAGCCAGCGCATGGCGTAACTGTCTGTCATTGAGACGGGAGTGGAACTTGAGCCGAGGGAGTGTCAAGCGCTCATAGCGTTGTAGAATTGAAAAGATGCGCTGTGAAGGTTGAATTCGTTAGGTCCGAAGGAAATTTGCCGCCATCACGCGCAAATTCGTGCAGCATGGGGCTGTAGCAATTTTGAAAGATACTCACAGCAAAGAGTTCACCGAAGTGATCCTCAACCAGGAGCATACATAGCTCCGCCGCGTACTGTGCAGAGATGCGTCAGTGCCGATCCGAGACCGGTTAAAGAAGTCCTGGCGAACCTGGGATATCATGTTGGCGGTAATGGAGTGATGACCAGCCTCCAGTCCGCACGAGGAGCAATTAAGGTCACCGCGACAGATTCATTTGAAAGTAGAGCGCGGCGCAAGTGGAGGAGGAGCAGCCCTCACTTTTTTGCTTATCAGTCACGTGATATCAGGTCAGGTGATCCCGACTGGAATGGTCAAATCTGGGATTCGGCGTCCGACAAAATTGTGACGAGAATAAGTTCCTAGTGAAGAGCCCTCAATTAGCTAGTTTCCAGCTACTCTATGTTAAAATATCTATGCTATCCCTCAATTTATAGAAACAAACGATAATAGAGAATAAAAGATATTCCGGTTCCGTCCGACTCGTCACGGCAGCCAATCAGCGGCCACATAGTCAGCCAGCGACCCGGCATCTTGAAGCTTTTCGTAACCCGTCTGCTTCCCTCCTCCCTCCGCATCCCCCTCCAACTCAATTGCCTCCCACCTTCAAGCCCTTTTGGGTTCTCGCTTCTTTCTTCCTTTCCTCTTCCGTCCTCGGCGCACAATGCTGTCGCGGTCTTCCGTCCGAAACGCGCCGCGTGCGCTCGCCGCCGGCCGTCGGGCCATGGCCTCTGCTGCCAACCCGACTTTCCAGTACGATGTCTCTGAGGCCTCCGGCGTGAAGGTCGCCAACCGTGAGGTCGCTGGTCCTACTAGCACCCTGGCCCTCGTGGCCAAGGCTGGTTCCCGCTACCAGCCGTTCCCCGGTTTCTCCGATGCCCTCGAGAAGTTTGCTTTCAAGGTTGGTCCCAACTGCCATCCATTGGACATCATCCGCCACCTCTTCGTGCTAACTCGACCTTCTCCAGTCCACACTCAAGCGCTCTGCTCTGCGCATCACCCGTGAGGTCGAGCTGCTGGGCGGTGAGATCTCCGCCACTCACTCGCGCGAAAACCTCATCCTCCGCACCAAGTTCCTCGCCAATGACCTCCCCTACTTCACAGAGCTGTTGGCTGAGGTTGCTAGCAAGACCAAGTACACTGGTGAGTCACTTTCTCCATTGGGCGAATGGCCCGAAGAGAAAGAGAGCCAAAAATGTTAGGTCGGTTTTGCTGATGCGGATCTTTTGATTTTAGACCACGAGTTGAAGGAGGTTGTCGTCGATCTCCTCAAGTACCAGCAGCTGGCCCTCTCCTCCAGCCCCGAGAACGTCGCCATTGATGCCGCTCACGGCATGGCCTTCCACCGCGGCCTGGGTGCCCCCATCACCCCCTCCGAGTCCTCCCCTTACGAGAAGTACCTGACTGGTGACGCCCTCGCTCAGTTCGCCCAGGATGCCTACTCCAAGTCCAACGTCGGCATCGTCGCCACCGGCCCCAACTCCGGTGAGGTTACCAAGTGGGTCGGCCAGTTCTTCAAGGATCTCCCCGCTGGCGCCTCCTCCAGCCAGTACAAGGTCCAGCCTTCCCAGGCCTCCAAGTACTTCGGTGGTGAGCAGCGTATCGCCTCCAAGAAGGGCAGCGCTGTCGTGATTGCCTTCCCCGGCTCTAGCGCCTTCGGCACTGCTGGCTTCAAGGCCGAGGCCTCCGTTCTCGCTGCTCTCCTTGGCGGCGAGTCCACCATCAAGTGGACCCCCGGATTCTCCCTCCTCTCCCAGGCCACCAAGGGCTTCTCTCAGCTCAACGTCTCGACCAAGAACACCGCCTACTCCGATGCCGGTCTCTTCACCGTTACTCTTACCGGCCAGGCCGATCAGATCGCCGCCGCCAGCAAGAATGTTGTCGACGCCCTCAAGAAGGCCGCCGCCGGCGAGGTTGCTAGCGAGGACATTAAGAAGGCCGTTGCTCTGGCCAAGTTCCGTGCTCTCGAGTCCGTTCAGACCCTCGAGACTGGTCTCGAGGCCACCGGCTCCGGCCTGGTCCACGGCAGCAAGCCTTACCAGATCGGCGAGATCGTCCAGGCTGTTGAGAAGGTCTCCGAGGAGCAGGTTAAGGAGGTTTGTTTTGGATTCCCATCCGAACTTTTTGTTTCATGTACTAACGATTCACAACAGACTGCCAAGTCTTTCCTCTCTGGCAAGGCTACCCTCGTCAGCGTTGGTGACCTCCACCAGCTCCCGTACGCTGAGGACCTCGGCCTGACGGTTTAAACCCCTTGTATACCATACAGCCGCTAGATCGAGGAAAAAGCGTGTTTCCTCGTTTTGGATTTGATGTGACCACTTGTGCCTAGATTCCTTGCCGATATCTCTTTTGTCTTCAGGGTGTAGTTGACTGTAATACAATTGTACCTTATTTGATGCAGTCTTTGCGATACTTTACCTTCTTTCTGCGTAAGTTGGTCGAAGTTGAACTCCGTTCAGAAGAGCCTTCTTATCTCCATACCAAGGTCACTAGGTGTTTTTGGCCAATGGTATACCCCAAGCGCTCTCCTTCTGGAGCAGGACATATATTCAAATTTAACCTCAGGTGCCATTAGTTAAAATCCAGTCACGAGACTAGCCAAATCATTCAAAAACTCAGCGCGTCACAAAACGGATTCGCCGCATCATCAGCATCCCCATCCTATCATAACAATCTCATCAACTGCAAGACCGTGAGAATAGTGTTTCACCACTGTATGCGCGGAACTCTAAGAGGTCAAAATTGTCTGCATTAGCACCACCTAGAATCAAGAAACTGGCTAGCTTGACGGCTTGATTACCCCAGTCCCAATCGGCGTCGTTCAGGATGTTATTAATGTAATACTCTAGGCCGTCAAAGCTTGGATCATTGGTATCCACGTCTCCCAAGGAACTGACCATTTAGTTCTCGGATTTAAGGCCGAAGCTAGAATAGGTCAAGGTGTTGTTGACGTCAACTAGTGATATTTATAGGGCCTCTACTAGAGTGAGGATCTGGAGGGAAGTGAGACAGACAGCATGGATGCTGCTAGATATGCAGAGCATGGCGTCGGGGCTTATTGAAGTGTATATCATCAGACTGGTGGCCCGACGACAAGACCGTCAAATTCATCAAAGGCTATTTGTCCTTCTTTTATTCCCTGAATGCTTGCTTGTCTGTCGGGGGGCAGGCGGCGTATGTGATTTTGGCAGCTTCTTGGCCAAAGATACTACCAGCTGAGACTCCAGCAGCCTCGATGTGTGATCAGCGAGAGGATAATTGAATAAATTAGCTGTCGATGCATTGTTTACGAAGGGCTGTGGCAGCGCTGAGGGACAAGCAAATAAGGAACGCCGCAGCGTCCGTATAAGAAGGCATTAAATTGATGATACTGATGAATATATATGAGAAAGGGGTTGGTAGCATGTGCTCTGCTTAGCAGCATACGACCATCACAGGTGCAGAAGTTGGAAAAAGGACATAGGTCTGGGGAGAACGCAGAGCTGTCTAAACTTTCTTTGTTGAGTCGATATAGAAGTTGCGCTTTATTCATCTGGTAGACAATGATAAGTGAGCCGAGTCCACAGAGAGTGCTGGAACAAGAATCGAGCAATAGCAGCCACGTCAATATTACTCTTCTCCTGATCTCAAAACACAGAAAGAAAGTGAATTTATCTATTCTTTGATCAAGTACAAGGGTGTACAAGATATGGGCCATGAAAGATCGGCAGGGCTGTGTACGGCCCAGGGTCCACTCAGCCCTAAAGTATAGTGCTTCGGGTTTTCCGAGTGTAGATAGAAGCAGACAAATTTAAACTGACAACCAGGGGAAAATATTGATTAGATCAGACAGCTGACGCATCATTGATTTTATTCTTCGATATGCGAAATGCCTCATTGGGTCGTTCAACGGCTGATGGATGGACGTTGGAAGTTGGAATCCAGGAACACCCCAATTTCTCTGACTTTGAGAGTTGACTATTGGATTGAGTGCGAAGCTGCCATCGCATCGTCATACTCAAAATTCGATGCTATTCATAAACGATGATTCCTGTAGCATGTCCCCTACCCGGACGCAAACCCCCGTACAGCGTATCACAATCATCAAGCAAAAGAAACTAATAGACATTTGCTGCCAAGCGTTCAACTTCAATATTCAAATAACAATTAACTTTAGCCAGCTGCTCCAGACTGAGTATAAAAGAAAATGTCAGCTAGGAATCCAGCGAACAACTACTACACTAAACACACCAAACCAAACACCTCATCAGCGATCAGCTATGTATACCAGCAAATAATAACCCCTGGAGAACAATCGGCCTTCTCTCGGCCAAGGCAGCCGTGGCCCATCTCATGCGTAGACATAGCCGAGGTCAAAGACGGGCTGCGGGTAGCGCGCGCCGCCCATCCGCGAAGAAGATCTCAATTACGATACGAAACGAGCGAACGGGTAAAAGGAAATGAAACATGCGTAAGCACGATTTACTCCGGTCTGCATGGAGAGTACGGAGTAAAGTGACGACAGTCGGGGGTATTGAAGGGCCGATTTACGCCACCGAGATCGGATGATTCCTGGGGCCTTTGACACGGAGGAGCGGGACTGGGGGGGGGGGGCTCCACGGTTGAAGGCCGGGGTAAGCGATACGGAAATCTGTTCTCGGGGTCGGAATTATGACGCAGTGTTGGATTTGGAAAATACTATTGGAAGACGTTGGATAATTGCAACCAGTTGTTTCTCTAGGTCTATTATGTTGACATTAAGGGGTAAAAGCAGTCACAGAACAAGAAGCTACAGGGTTTGAGACACGAGACGAGTGTTGAGAAGAACAATTGCGAGTGTATTCACTTGGGTATCGGGTAGACGAAATTATGAGTGTATGAACGAGGACAACCCTTTTCCTCCTTGACCGCTGCATAGCAGAAGGGTATCTCAAACCTTCTAGTGCTTAGCGGTGACGGCCTCGCCAGTCAGTTTTTCGACTGCTTCTTTGGCCCTGCAGAGAAATAAGTTAGTCCTCGGTATCACATGAAAGGGGATATGGATAAAAAACGTACATGTCACCAAGAGCGACCATGCAGACGGTCTGCCAAATACCGAGACCGATACGGGGAGCAACACCCCGGTACAGACCCTTCAGTCCGTTGTTCTGGTAGATGTAGTTGAAGGCCTTGCCGACAGTCAAGTTCTTCGGGCGGTTGGGGTCCACTGTCTTGCTCTGCATCTCGACACGAATGACCTCAATGGGCTGATTCCAGGCGGAAAGACCACCACCAAGACTGGACGCGAGAACCTTCTCCCAGGCAGCCAGCTTCTGACCGTCCTCCTTGCCGGAGACGTTGCGAATAGCGGACTCGGCCAGACGCGAAAGACCGAAGCGGGAACCCCAGTTGGTGGTCTGGCGAATAGCAACGGCGTTGACACCGCGGTTGATACCGCGGATACCCTCCTTACGGTAGATATCCATGAAGGTCGCGAAGGTACCGGGGGCTTGACACCGGCGGCGGCCATCTTGTGCTTGGTGATCTCGACGGTCTTCATGCAGGTGCAGAAGCCCATAGTGGCATAAGCCTGGGCAATACCACCGACCATACCACCACTGATGCCACCGACGAAGTCATTGGCACCGAAGCTCTTAGCGTAGTATTCGGCCTCGGAGGCGACGAAGAGGAGGACCGCGCCCTTGGTGGAGGCCTCAATCCAGGCCCACGGAATGAGTCCCTGATAGTCTAAAGCGGAGCGATGTTAGTCTGATTTATTTCGATAGCCGATGATTGGGTTTCCTGTCCCCACACTAGTTGCGAGCATCGGAGGAAACTGGGGGAAGGTATCACGTACAACCGAGGATGCCACCACGGCCCCAAATCCGACTCATAGCACTGGCGAAGCTGTCGCCCCGGTTGGCAGCCATGGTCGTCTTGACCACTTCCAGCGGCTGGAGAAGAAGGGGTAGTCAGCTTCAAGTTCGGGCCAAAGGTAGCTGAGGGTAGAAGGGAGAAACGTACCTGTCCCAATGAGGTGACCTCGAACAGGTTCAAGCCAGCACCAAGCAGCAGGTTGCTGAACTTGACGGGCTTCTTCTCGAGCTTAGGCGCCGCGGCCATCTCAGTAGCGGTAGACATCGTAATTATAGGGATGCGCTGAAAGGGGCCCTGACCAAGGGAGAATGGGGCTTCGTCGCCTTTTAAGGGATCGAGGAAAGAAAGGTGGAGGAGAAGGAGGAAAGATTTCCCGAGAGAGCAAAAAGAGGTTGATAAATGAAAGAAGGGGAAGGGCAGTCACGAATTGTCTTATAGGAGAGTCGAAAGTCAGCTGTGTTTGGTGTTCCACTCATGCTATTGGGTACAGGGTACCTCCCATACCACCTTAATCGGGTGGTTCCGTACGTACCTAGACTTCGTCGGCTATTGAATCTCCATTGCCTACCAGCATTGTTTGCTCTCTACATAGCTTCAATCCTCCGTGGCATTATGTCTCTACTCTATTGTATTCTATACTTCGGACATGATATCGACAATATTGATTTCACCCGCGTGAGAATGTCAATAAGGAACCGATCGGGTGGGTCGGTGAGGGCGGTCGGTTGAGAATCAACCGCCCAACAATTCACGTGTGCCAGATTCCACTCAGTAGCCGTGAGACCTACCGTTGCTACGCAGTACATCTCCGAATGATCGTCCCGACCTGCAGCTCTACAGATAAGATCCATGCTACAAGTCAGTGTATCATTACATGGCAATATTGCAAGTACTGGAAATACTGGAAATACAGAACAATCGTCCGCTTTTCGGTTTTAAGGTGACCAATTATCATGTTTGGGGGATGGAAACGCTGTTACAAGGCCCGCTCGAACCGGTCAAGTCCTATCATACAACATGACAAAATCACAGAAAAAATAATACAAGTCTTTAACTTAGAACCCCGGAACTCAATGAATCATCTCTCCTTTAGAGCTTGCAGCCAACAAGCTTGGCGTAGGCCTCAGTGCTGAAGGACTTGGGGCGCTCGATGGGCATGCCGAGAGCACGGTCGATGATCAGCTGGGGCAGGACACCAAGGGCGCGGGAAACACCGAACAGGACGGTGTAGTAGTTGGCCTCGGTAAGTCCGTAGTACTGGAGGAGGACACCAGAGTGGGCATCAACGTTGGGGTAGGGGTTCTTGGTCTTGCCGTGCTCGGTGAGGACACCGGGGGCGATCTTGTAGACCTGGCTGACCAGCTGGAACATGGGGTCGTCGGGCAGCATGCGGAGAGCGAACTCACGCTGGGAGACGTAGCGGGGGTCGGTCTTGCGGAGAACGGCGTGGCCGTAACCGGGGACGACACGGCCGGCGTTCAGGGTGGACCAGAGGTAGTCCTTGATGGACTGATCGCTGAGGTCGTTGCCAATGGACTTCTTCATCTCAGTGAGCCAGTTGAGGACCTCCTGGTTAGCCAGACCGTGAAGGGGACCGGCCAGACCCTGGAGACCGGCGGAGAGGGAGAGCATGGGGGAGGACAGAGCGGAGCCGACCAGGTGGGTAGTGTGGGCGGAGACGTTGCCACCCTCGTGGTCAGTGTGGATGGTCAGGTACAGACGCATCAGCTCAACAAAGTCCTTGTTGCCGGCGAAACCGAGCTGGTTGGCCAAGTTGTAGGAGTAATCCTGGTCCTTCTGGATGGCAGCAACCTTGCCGTCTTTGTAGACGTTGCGGTAGATCTTAGCGGCGATGGTGGGCAGCTTGGCGATCAGGTCCATGGAGTCCTCGAAAGTGTAGTTCCAGTACTCCTTCTTGTTGATACCCTTGGCGTAGGCCTTGGAGAAGGCAGACTCATGCTCGAGAGCAGTCACGGCCAGAGAGAACTGAGCCATGGGGTGGAGGGTGCTGGGGCAGCGGTCGATGAGCTCCTCAACGAACTTGGGGACGTCGGAACGAGCAGCCCACTCAGCAGACAGATCGCGGACCTGCTGCTCGGAGGGAACCTCGCCGGTCAGGAGCAGCCAGAAGAGACCTTCGGGGAGGGGCTCCTGGCCACCGGGGGCCTTGGGGAGAAGCTCCTGGACCTCGGGGATCTAGGGATGACGAACGTTAGCCTGCGAGTTCTCCAGCGCACAGAATCAGCAGTGATCACTTACGGTCTTGCCGCGGAAGCGGATACCCTCCTCAGAGTCGAGGACGGAGCCCTACACAAACCGAAAGTTAGTCTCCAAAAAAAAAAAAAAAAAAAAGTTTCGCAGCGATAGCTCAGAATGCGACTAACCTCCCAGACGAGGGACTTGATGCCACGGGCACCACCGTAGACCTGGTCAAGAGTGACCTCACCGACAACAGTGTTACCGTGCTCCCTGCGATTATTGTGAGCTATGATGAACTTGGGACCGGAAGGAGGCGCAAACGACATACTTGCGGAGCTTCTTGACCTGCTCGATCTTGGCGGGGAGGCCGTCGGCGAAGGTCTCCTTGAGGGACTGTTCCAGTGAGTTAGCATATCAATTGAGCTTCTCGAAGCTTTGACAAGCCACGTACCTTGGCCTTCGCGGAGTAGCAGCGCGCGCCGTTCAGGGTAGCAGACTGAACGGGCTTAGCGACAGAGGCCCGCAGAGCGGAGGCACCAATGCGAAGGGAAGCCATATCGATTCTTAAAAAAAAGAAGGGGTATATGGATGGGGAAGAAGATGGAGCAGGATAAGGGGAGAAGAGAAGGAGAAAAGGGAAGCGGAGGAGAGCTATGGATTTTCTCGGATTTTTCCAACTCCCCCGTATTACAGCCGGTACGGTCACGGTTCGGGAGGCCGTTCACAGCCAGGTCACCTGGTAATTTTCCCCCCAACGGTAACACCGAGTACTGTCGGGCTGCCGGCAGATCTTCTGGTAGTCCGACCAATTCCGTTAGCATTGTCGTCTTCCGGGTCGCCTGATTACTGTGATGTCATGTGTGTCTACTTTTCAGTCACTTCCAAAGTCTACAAGTGCTTAATTCTCAGACCTAGGCATAGCACCCTCCCGTCCAAGTACGGTCTGCTGATACGGGACTGTTGATAGTATGTTACCAGCTATCCCTGGCAGTGACGTCGGCAAGTCGCCATCCTGCCGTGCCGTCATCCGGAGCCCCGAGATGGCTAGCATTGGCCTCGGCATGGTGCACCGGAGCCACGGCCGCTCTGGCCCAGGTGCATCTCTATCTACATTCTAGCTTTTGTGACGCTACCCCCAGCTCGTGTTCCTATATACCCTCCCGTTTATAACCGATACTCTTCTAAAATAGTTCACCGAAATCGGGAACTCCACGGCACGAAGGGGCAGAACGGGGAGGGCTCAAAAATAAAGGAAAAAAAGGGAAGCGCCAATGATCGGAATAATATCCGGCTCCATAGTATCCACACCTCCCGTAGCGCGAAGAAGAGGAAACGTGTGAGAACTAAGGTCCAACTTTCTTGTAGCCGGGGGAACCGTGCTGGGGTACGGGGCACGGGGTAGACCAAGCGCGCAGAGACTGTGCCGGAGCACGGGACAGCTCAAGTGTGCAGAAAGTACGGTGTGTCGTACCAACCAGCTGCGCAGTCATGACTAATATGAGCTGTTCACGTGATAGCTGTCCAATTTGGACTAGCGCCCAACCCCCCTGCAAAACTTCTTCTCCTGTCCCTCCTTTCCACTTCTTCTCATCAACTATCCGCCACCTTCCTTCCATCACTTTTTCATCGCGCATCTCATCATTTCATCGCGCTCATCCTCGACCACACTTGCACGGATTACCTGTACTCTGTAAATCCGTCCTGGTTTTTATTTTCCACCTTGGATCTCACGGCAGTACGCCCTAGGTTGTACCTCGTACTCGTACTCCGGGCAAGGTGCCCTTCCCTGGACAGATTCGCTAGGCTGTATTCCAGCTGTAGGCGCCAGTTCCCTGGTTTCCGAATCCGCTCGTGCTGTAGTGAAGAGGTCACATAAGATATCAGGCTTGACACTTAATCTCCATAGGAGCTTCTGCACAGTACACTGCTCTCGAAGTAACGCTGCTTTTTCGAGTCCCTGGGTCCGTACAAAGACCATTAGAGCCAGAGACGCCTTAAAGGACACTTTTCCTCGAGTTTTCACAATCTTGCGTGGAACACCACCCGCACTTTTCAACTATGTCTTCCGCCGTAGCGGAGTTGGAGAACTTTCTCCAGTCCATGCTGGCCTTGAAGCCACCTGGAGTATCTGGATCCAAGATTCAGGGTATCACCACCCTCTGCACAGCCAACGTTCAGGTATGCTTCACTTCCCGGTTCAACTCAAAGATCCAAGACCTCAAGACTAATGAACCCGACAGAATGAATCTGTTCTCATCCAAAAGATTTTCACTCATTTCAAGAAGGCCCCGGGCACCCACAAGTTGGGAGTACTCTACGTCGTAGACTCTGTAACCCGACAGTGGGTAGAAGCTGCTCGCAAGGCTGGACAGCCTCCTGGCACTGCCGCACCTGATGGCACCTTCGCCGCGGGAGTTAATCGAGTGACTGAACTCTTGCCTGTGCTGATGACCGACATCATAAACAATGCGCCCTACGATCAAAAGGTACGCACTAGACATCCGGGGTTTGCCTACAATACGCCATTGGACGCGGCCTCGGCTACTTGATTTTTGCTTTGCGCTTTGCGCCTTCTTCTTTCTCTATTGAATCGTATTACTCACGTATAAATTCTATCTAATAGGAGAAGATCAAGAAACTTATTGACATTTGGGAACGTGGCCAAACATTCCCCGCGCCGATGCTCTCTTCTTTCCGAGAGAAGTTGATCGCGCCCCCGCCAGGTAAGCTCACCTTGTCAACTCTGCATCGTCATTTACGAATCTAACAAACCTTGACACAGTTGAATCCACTACTCCAGAAGGATCGCCTGCTCCAGGCTTTAATCCTCTGGGTGGACAAGCCGTTCCAGCAAATGGTTCAGCCGCTGCCCCAGACACCTCAAGCATCTTGAAGGCGCTGGCGGACATGGCCAAAGCTAACACTGGGGCCCCCACCCTTCCCCAGGCCTCGGCTCCTGTCCCTGCTGCTGGTTTGAACCATCAAGCCCCCCAAGCCCAAGGCGCTGCCTTCAATCTTACTCCCGACCCATCCATGGCCAACCCCTATGGCGCACCTGGCGCCATGGCCGCCAACCCGTTTGCTGCTATGGGTGCCCTCAGCCAGAACCCGATGGGTCAACCTCAAAGCCAGAGCAACACCCCTAATCCGTTGACGTCCGCACAGAACCCGTTGGCCGCAATGATGCCCCAGGCTGGTACACCCGGTATGCCCGATGGCAATGCCTTGGGTCAGCAACTCCAGCTCCTGCAGTTACTTGCTTCGCAGGGTATTCCCCAAGACCAATGGGGTGCGGCGATACAGATCTACAACATGACCAACCAGATGGGCTCTGCCAATCCTGGCCAGATGCCCACCATCCCCGGCATGCCCGGTATGTCTGGTATGCCTGGCATGCCCGTTCCCGGTGCTCCCGCCTGGGGTGCACAGGGCCGTGACAACCGGGACAACGCCGAGCGTGAGCGCGACTACAATCATTCTCCTGCCGGATATCGCCGCCGTTCTCGTTCTCCTGGCTGGGACCGCGGACGCCGTACTGCCTCCCCGCCGCGCCGTCGTGACAGCCCTGTCTATGGAGACTATGGTGATTCACCCGGACGTCGGGGCGATGCCCGCGGCCGCCGTGGAAACGAGCCATATCGTCAACGCAGTCCTCCTGGCCGCAGACGCCGCTCCCCTACTCCTCCCCAAAAGGATCCCAATCTGCCACCCCCCGGTCCCAAGCTCATTGAGTGGGACTACTCGATTGGTCAGGGCAACATGAAGGTACTCAGCCGAACTCTCTTCGTCGGTGGAGTCACTTCCACCGAATCTCAGCTCCGGGATCTGTTCGGCAAATTTGGCATCGTCCAGACTTGCATTGTCAACATTGACAAGCGCCATGCTTTCATCAAAATGATCAGTCGCCAGGACGCCGTTAGCGCCCGCGACGGAATGGAGTCATTCCGTACCGGTGAAATGCAGCTCCGCACCCGCTGGGGTGTTGGCTTCGGTCCTCGCGACTGCAGCGACTATCAAACCGGTGTTAGTATCATTCCAATCGAGCGACTCACCGAGGCCGATCGTAAGTGGATGCTTACCGCGGAGTACGGTGGTACTAGTGGACGTGCTATTGAGTCAGGAATGGTCGTCGAAGAGCCCGATATCGAAATCGGCGCCGGTGTCTCCTCTAAAGCCATCAGTCGGCGTATTGCCACCGACACGGGTGGTAAGCGTGGTCCTCAATCGTCCCGTGGTGGCCAACCCACCACCGAGCGCTTCGGCGGCGGTGGTGGCGGTGGTGCTGGTGGTGGTCGCCGCCAGGAACGCGACGGCTTTGGTGGTGCCAACAGCGCTCCTTTGAATGAGCGCGAATATTCGAACCAGGCGAACAATCCCTCCGTCCCTCCTCCAGTCCCGGCATACGGCTTCAACTTTGCAAGCATGCCCATGCTCCCGCCCGGCTTCATGATGGGCGGCCAAGCCGGCCAAATGCCTGGTCAGCAGCCTCCGCCCCCAGGCCAAGGGAACTAATTCTCCAAAAGCACTGCTCTTTCAGCCCTGGCTCCCCAAAGTCACTTCTACTCTGGCCCCTCGGAATCTATCTTCCCTGGCTCCTCTAAATTACCTACGGCCATTTCTATTCTATCCTGGCTTTAGACTCGACTCTACGGGTCCATGTCTATTCATCATAAGTCGTCGCATCTGGGATCTCGGACTCGTTCACATAGGGACATCGGCGTTATATGGTCATTCTATCGAAAATCGGGGTGGCTCTTTGTTTTTCTCTTCGCTGCTTTGTGTCCATGGGCTTTTGGGTATCATTTTCGTATCTCGTGTAAACCACACTTGAGGCACTTGACTGCATATTCCGATCGCCGCGACATGGTTCCATAATTTACCGTCGCCTTTTGGCTGAAATCAACACTGTATTATCAATTAATTTATTCGTATCGTCACTCCTTCGTTGCGCCATCGTTACTTTTCCCTCAATTCATTGTTGTCATACGTTCCATTTGGATGCGATTGAGACTGTAAACAGCGGACTTGTAAATTGCCTGCCCCGGCTAGTTTTGCCTTGCATCTGGCTGACGGGAGCATAAGAGCAACGTTCCGAATTGGGATGATAAAGCAGGGACGCGCTTATCAGACGGGGTTTCCAAGAGTCTAGATAGTTTTCTCTTTCCTCCCTCCAAATTCGTGGCATCGGTGAATGCACAAGTTTTCCTCAATTGCTTTATGGCTTGTTAAATTAGATATCGCAAGTAGGTTTGATGTGGGTAGTCCCTGGTATGAATAAACAGGATATTCTTCGGAGCATCTCTAGAGTAGAGCCTGAATCCCTCCGTGCGGCGATCGACATCTTTGGAATGAACTTATGAAATGTAAGCGCATTTCCGTCTAAGACACCCGGAGCTGCATCATAAGAGAGTGTGACTGTGACAGGGTCACGTAGTCTACCTGCTGATGTACGATCTTTCATCGATAGTGTAGCGGGTCCAGCGATAGTGTAGCGGGCCCAGCGATGCTGAGGCTGAAGATCGGAGCGCCACCCATCCTGGCGAGTGCCAAAATGGGTCCGGGCGAAGGCGGAAATGGTCCCAAATCATCTATGTCGCTCTCATCATCGATAACGTCCAATGCCTGTCGTGGCCCGCCGGAGATTACGACCGCAGGGGACTTGGGGCCGAGACTGCGGTTGCTGTACTCCGCTAATGTGCCCCAGTCCCACAAAGGAATTTGACCGCCTACCCAGAATATTTCTTAAAAGTGTCCTGCTTGAAAGGAATCTAAGTAGACAGGTGGCAAGACCGCCTCCCAGGGAAAACTGGTGCCTGGTTCCAGTTGTCTGAAATAAGGGTCTGATATTGATACTTTTCGTGGGTGGAGGGATCTCGCACGCAGCTGCTCAGGGTCGACTTGAACGAATTGTAGGTCGTTCGTGACATTATAATTGTAACGAAAGAACATCATACCCGGCTGGCCAAATTAATCCTCAATTAGGGTCCCAGTGGATGATGCATGGTTGTCTTTGAGAATCTGCATCCCGCGTGATTGTGATAGTGATAGGGTACCACGCTTGAACGTTGAGATCAAGATCCTGTTTTGCTTCAAAAGAAAGAGTGAGGCGGGGAGATCCGGGACTTTTTGGCTTAGTTTTCTGTTGGATGGCTTGTCAGGGAGCATCTTACGGCCTATCTGCGGCAGAGTATTTTTCGGAGAATGAGAGCTTATTCATTTGTGCCTGTCATATAAAGTTGTGGACATAGTAAATCAGATATTTTTGGATGATTCCGAAAAGAAGTGCTCCCAGTCCTCTAAAATTTTCCAATTTAGGGATTTTTGATTCTATGAGAGATGATTGCAATAGGATAATCTGTTATATCCGACTGCTGTATTCGTTCCGACAGATACACTACGTGCGTCCGCCCTACTGATTACTGTACTACTTTAGCGCTAATTAGTCTAGTGTAGAAGTAGCCTCCGTACTCTACGCGTAATAAGTGTCGGCCGGGAAGGGAGGCGATACACAATAGCTTTGTGGCGCTGAGTAGGCCTTTGCTTGCTTCTCTCGATAGGCCGTGTATTGTCCGACTAAGAGACTAGATGAATGCTTGCTTCGCATCCGTGCTTGTCTCTGAGGTCGGGCGTAATAAGAATAAATGAGATAGGTGACTATTTTAGGGTGAACCTCTGTGTGGTTTTTCCATAGCCTGGAGCTTTGTAGTGCTAGTTTTACATCCTCATTGCATGATCCAGCCCATTTTCAACAGAATGTCCTTAGCTTCAAAATTCCAACCGCTTCTTCATCAATCTGATGATCCAGTTCCTTCCCCCTGCCTGATCTTCAAATTGCGCCAACAACATGCTTACTTTCTCTTGTAAATCAATTATGACGTTTTTGGTATACTCTAGTCCACCAGCGGCTACAATATCGTCCAATGCCAGCTTCCGTAGCTCAGGAGATAGGCAGTTACCAGCCTTTCGTTGCTGCAGGATATTGAGTAATCGGAGGCGCTGGGGTGTTTTCGCTTTCAGGGCGTAGAGGAGTGGGAGAGAGATCTTGCCTTCGCTAAGGTCATCTGCGAAACCCTTCTTCTCCATATACTGCCACATAGTCTGTTCAGCGATGTTGACCCCAGAAAGATCTGTGGAATGATACGGGATGGAAAGAGAAAAAAGACGGAACAGAAGGGTATCAGCTTACATCTGCATCTTGGAGATTTTTGTAGTCGTCACGCGCCTGGAAGAAGCGGCCAACGGCCTTCATAAGTAGCTTCACGTCGAGAGTTTTATTCACGGTTGCCTCAGAGCGCATCAGCTCGGCTATTAGAACAAACAAGCCACCTGTTTCTGGAATGCGATTTTGATGAGCATTGAAATGGTTAGTGAGGTAGGGTAATGGATTAAACATACTACCGTCAACCATAGTGAAATACTCCTCCCTGGTTGGAATTTTCGTCTGGTTTGTCCAATATAGATCCATTCCCTGGCCGATATGGCCTTCTATGAGACTTTCTGTGAAAATGGAAACAGCAGTTGCAGACAACGCTGTCGCAGCCTTTAAGGCCTTCATCAGTAGAAGGTTGGCAGAGTTGATTGTCTGGCTTATCCCAAAGACAGTATGTGTAGCAGGAGAACCGCGTCTCAAGGCTGAGTTGTCCTGTATATCATCGACCCTAGATAGTAACAGGTTAGTATGTCAACATGTCAACAGATTGAGAAAAGTAGAGCAAGTCACACATCAGTGAGGAACTATGAAGCAGATCCGTTATTTCTTGGATTTTCTTGAGTGATATCTCCGGAACTTGATACCAGACATCAAGACCGTCAATTGCTGCACTCCTAACTCCCTTTGATGGCAGCGATTTGATGTAGACATAAGGCTCCAAAGCAATCTAGTTTTTGATAAGTATATTTTCAGGATCAGAACTTTTTGTGCTTACCCCTTCATATGCCGATAGAGTGGAAAGAATATCATTTCCTTCCTCATTCCACTTGGATGAATCGCAACTTGTTGGTGGACTGCTAGCATCATCACTCTTGCTGGATTCTGAATTATCCGGAAATTCTCGCGCATTCGAGTTCAGAGATTTTTCTCCATTGACCGCTATCGTACGGGGTGTGATTGGTGCGCTAAAGCTGTCAAAAGAGGGAAGAGAATGCTTGTTCTGATTTGCAGCCCGCAGACCGGGATAGGCATCTTCAGCTTCAGCGTGGTAGCGCGCTGTGGTCATACTCCAAGCAAAGTTTCCAGCTGTCACAAGAACCAACAATTCGATCCACTTAAGGATCCTGTCCGTCATGTTTCCACGAGCCAGGTATTCAGACTTAAGCTTGCTAAGCTTTTCCTCGCGAGCTATAATCTCACTCCGGAGCATCTTCTTTGCTGTGACTGGATCGATGTTGTGCCACTTCATAAAGAGGTAGACGGCACTGGCAATTTGGCCGATGCTTCCGTTGGCCTCGTAGTTTTGATATTCTTTTTCCCAAGAAAAATAGTCATTGACCAGAACCCAAGCATCGTATGCAGCCCTTGTGAGAGCTGCAGTATATTGGATCTCTTCTTTTGTGAGATAAAAGTCCATAGAAAAGCACAACAGGCTCATGGTCCATCTGTATGAACAGTTAACTGAGAATTATTTTCGCAATGTTTCATCAATCATGGTATCTTACGGGCATCCTGCATCAATGGCGCGCGATGGGAGATAATCGTCCAATCTTTTGAACTCAAGATCTCTGATTCCCACAAAGACACTTGACATCTCCTTCCAGAGACGCAGGATCTCTTTCCCTTGTTCTTTATCGATCTCCAATAGCTCTGTGGCCATTTTGGCCTGTAGCTGCCTTCTCACATTATTTCTCGTAGATAGTCGTGTATCTCCATTGTCGTTCAAACCTTCCATTAATTGATTATTCGCTTCCCAAAGCTGCAAAGCGTAGACAATTAGAATATACAACGAGGATCCTCGATACATGAACAGTCAATGCTAACCTGCGACTCGGTTTTCTTTTCGGCGTATTCAATGACTGCCATATTCATTTAGTCCACGTCGGCGCTTTGGGTGTGTCCAATCTTACCATCGTCATGCACGTAAGCATACTCAACGATATACGAAATTAGAGCCAGACGGTCAGGGATCGCTTCACTTGCGCACAAGGCTGTAAAATTGCCAACGGTGGGGTTTATGCAGCCAACAGCATAGCTCTTATTGCTCCCGCTCCGGACCGCTTTTGCATGAACATCTCCTTGTGAGCCCAAGAGATCTAGCTGGCACTGCCAACATCCTGAATCTGCAAGGTGAGCATCGCGGTGGATGCGGGGGGTGAATTTGCAGAAGTACTCCTCTCCTTCATACTTCTCCGGTGGTACAGGAATGGAACCTGGTACAAAATGCTTTTGAGACACTTGATTGCCGTGTGACATCATGTATGAGAGTCGATGAGATATGGTAGTAGAGAAAGAGTTGTGATGATTGGAAGCTACGGGAAATATCATTTCTTAAGTGTACAGTGGAGGAAAACACTTCCCCGCCTCACTCCTCTCAGATCCACATCCTCAAACTTGATTCATGGCTCCTGTAGCGGTGTGCCTTGGAGGATCATAGAGCATGAACTAATGAATACTTGCGTCATGAAAATGACTCCAATACAGCGACCTGCGCGAGAATTGTGATATCTATTCCCGGATCGACATCCTCAAGCCTAGATTAACGGATACTGCAGCGGTGTGGTGTTAGTTCAAGAAGCATGAACTGATAGCAACTTGCGTCATTAAGTAGACCCCACTACAGGGGTGTCAGACGCGCACGGGCTGTGATACCTAATCTTGGATCCACATTGTCAAACCAGGATTTGCGAGAACTGCAGCGGAGTGGCGTAGTTCTGAAGCGGAGCGGCGTAGTGGATCATAAAGCATTGCTATGATTCTGTTGATGTTTCCTAGAGATGTGAAGGATGGAAATTCAATATGGGCCTATATTAGATCTCGTATAAGACCAACTCCTCGAGGGACATGTTTTCGGTTTTGATGTTATGTCGTCGCGACACATATGCTAACACCTTTTTCCACTGTTTCACGTTTTTAAGAGTGACATTGTGATATTTTGCATCATTTTTTTCTGCATGTCGGCTCATTTATTCCGTGAATTACGCCGACCTCAACATGAATCTATCTATCAGTGATGATGTTGTAATCGAAAACTACCCCCGTTATAACGTCGATTATCTCTCGCATGAATGGAAACTGGAAGAAATATGGGCTACAAGGCGATACATCTCCAGCAAAAGAAGGAACTGGAAGTATTTTTACCGACTTGAGAATGCTCTTTGGAGATCATGGGCCAAACAGACGCAACATTTACAAACTTTGCCATCACAATCAATTCAATGGTATATTGACTCGAAGGCTCAGAGCCTTATTGCGAACTCGAAAGATCATGCCGCTAACACGTACCAGGGATAAGGATAGTGATACTACCTGGCTTTTTGGGCCTTGGATGTCACCAATGGAAGTAGCGATCGCGAAATCCTGTGATGCTTGTTATGCACAGTCACAGAAAATGCCGAAGTCATCACTCAAAACGGAAGCAAACATATGGGAGGAATATGCTAATTGGTCTGCCCGCCGACGTCCTTTTATGTTCAAAGATTTGTGCCATGTACACGCATTGTCCCGTACCAAAGTAAGTAAATATCTCGTGTCTCTCTTAAACTATAAACTGATGCTCAACATAGGCGAGTACTTCTCCACTTTCGCCACCTTCAAAATACCGACGTTCTGTTCACTTTTATGAGGAAGTCCAGCAGAGTGAATCTTTTTCTCAGGGGATCTGGTCGACGAGCATCAGCTACATCACTTTCAAGAATCTAAACAGTGCACATGAGTACGTGAATTTATTGGTGTCAGACCATGCCCAGCATCCTATCCAGCTACTTAGAGTACTCCTTGCCATACCATTGCGTTTCTACCACCAACTGATCTTAATTATAAGAGACCTATCCATTGCATTCTTACGAAATGTTGGAGGACTTTCTTGAATTCTTGAATAAATCAAGAGTTCGCCCCTTTTGTTAGCACAGCTGCGTTTGAAATTGCTTTCCAACAATAAGAAATGAGCATACACAGAGAATTGAAGTAACCGGTGATCGAGTTGCGGAAGGCACGTATATTTACTGCCCCTGATGTCGAATATCCACGATACCCGAGATCGCATTTGCCAGTCTAAGCTGCCAGTGTTTTTCCGGCTCCGAATTATGGGGATAGAGAGAAAGATTTGACTTCGATGTAAATGTCCAAGACCACTTGTTCTTTTGTCATTTAGAGACCAGAAACTGCATGGGCCCTCACTGCTCCACCTTCTATATCCAGCTCGAGCAGGGCCATTTCCTACACCGATGTTTGAGCTTGACACATGTCCCTCAAATACTGGCCAGCTGTCCCACTCCGGCGAAAATTGAAGGGCCAATAATTTAATGTGCCTGGGCAGCTGAAAACTCCCATTATGACATCATGGTCTGGTGTCTATTGATACTTTTAATGCAGGCTTACGCACCCAGGTAGGATCTAACCCATGTTCTAAGGCCCAAAGCATCCGTTTTGGGTTGAAGAGACACCGTTCCATTGGTTAATCACACGCAAATTGGGTATAACCCTGCCAAAAGACCCATGGGGAGGATATGCGACTGCTCCTGTCCAGTTTCGGAAATCCTGATTGCGAAGGTTAAGATAACACAAGGATGACCAAGATTTCGTACGCCAAGGCTTCGGCGATACCCACTCCCATCCTGGTTCCACCCTTCTCAGGGCCAGATTGTGCTGGACTGGGCGTATTGAGCGTACTTTCGACCTTCTTTATTCTTCGGGGGACTCTAATGATAAGTGTTGTTGACTAGGGCAAAGATTGGCTTGGAGGATATTCATGGTGTGTATGAAAATAATTATCCTGCTGTTGTATGTCAGATCTGAGAGCGAAATGGACTACTCCTTGTCAAGTTGTTAGCAGTAGATCTAAAAAAATTGAGACACAGGTACTGTGTAGGGAAAGAGCCAATGGCCCGTTCCGAGCGCCGGGTGTGCCACGGTTCGGCTCGTGACCCAAAGTCTAATTTAAATGTGGCTAGAGCCGATGTAACCAACCACCTCTTACAGCACGTGCAAGGTAGATATTATTGAGGAGCTATGTGGGTCCAGAGACGGGAATCTAGCTGTAGGTCTAATTCCAATGCATGAACACTGCGTACTAGGATGACAGGACAATACCATCAAAATTGGTGCTCCAACCACCGGGCTAAGTATACGCCAACCTAATCTAGTAACCCGGCATCTTATTCGGAGTGCGCGCACGCACTCATATCTGTGCAATGTTCTAGATTATAGCTGAGAACCTCCTACAAACAGGACCGTCCAACGCTATCATCGGAGGTATAACTCGTCTGTTTCCTCTAAAATCTTGAGGCGGTTGCCTATTAGAAAGTTCTGTTCTACTACGGTAAAGAACACTACCTGAGTGCAGTGACAGATTTATGTGTCATGATATTAAGCTATGTGAGAGATATAAATATAGACTATGAAAGACACTTCTGAATAATTTGAGAGAAGACGTGAACGCCGAGGCCTAATTAGTGCTTAAGGCAACCATGCAGTAGTTTCGCCCGCCTGCAGATGCGATAATTCGTGTGGCAGAACCGACCATCAGACCCACAAGGCTTACAAGGCTTCCACCAGTGAAATTTTACGTGAAAATTCCAGGCAACAGGTAAAAATTGGATAGGGACAAAACTTTTGATAATCAGCATTAAGGTATAAAGTAAAAGAGGTGGTTCGGGTAAAGAAGTTGGTCAAAACTCAAACAAGTGGGTGCAATTCAACAGAAAGTGGCCCACACACTAGATGCACAAGAGCAAAGGAAGCGAGGAAAAATTGTCACTGATTATGAGCGGGAGATCAGCATTGCGGCGGCTAAGTGAAACACAATACCTATGTATTGGAAGATTGACGGTGGCGACTGCGAGTAACAAGGACCGAGACGGTGAAGGTGCTGAAGCAAGTTAACATCATGAAGGCGCATATCCATGTGGGTTCCAAGATTGTTGGAATTTCCATAGGCCCATGTCCGTCCTAGAATAGAGGAAATAGTTTGTCTTGACGCTCGTACCCCACATGTTTGGCCAAACAGGCTTCACTCATGTTGCTGCATTTAAAATACCTCACATGTACAGGGGAAATTGTCCTTGCTTTCCGGCATACTTACACGGCTGCCCACGCGATACATCCAACAAGCCTACTGATCATCGTGCTACTAGGCCTTGGCCATTTCCCGATATGTGAAGGGTTGGTATAGCGCTTCTAATGCGGAACAAGGTGTCTCCCAATTTTGCAGCTTGAGTATGCCAGGGAGTCCTTATTGAATTCGATTTGCCTTGAGTTTTATGAAGCTTAGAATGCATTACCTGTTTCGGAACATTGACGCGCGGAGTTAGACCCAACGGCATGCGTCAGCTTGCATAAGTGAATGTCATATTGCATTTTATAATCGTGCGGAAGCTCCCTCTCCAGGTATCTTATCTCCTGAGCCCTCTCTTAACTGTGGGATTGTCTCAAACATTTTGTAAATCCAAATTACAAAGATAAATTTGCCATATAATGGCCTTGAACAATTCATCGAATGTCCTCGCTCTACTTACTCCTGAAAATAAGGCCTCCTTCGCATCCTTTGCCCAATTATGTGCGGAGAGCGATAATTTGGTCCGGCTAGAGGGCCTTGAAAATCAAGACCTACGCGATGGATTATCGGATCCGCCAACTCTCTTGTATGTGACTCGTTATGCTGCTTCTACGTCGAATTCTTCTTGAATTTGATATCAACAGACGATTTCTTACTGCCCGTCAATTCGATCCGGCTGCGGCGCTCAAGCAATTCCAGGAAGCATGTCAGTTCCGCTACGACAAGCACATCCTTAGACTCTATGATTTAGTCGAGATTGCGGATTATGAGCAATCGCGACAATTTGTGAGTAGCCGCTTGTTTCCTTGGTGGCAGCTAGGCCACTGACATGACACCATAGTACCCCCATTGGACAGGTCGTAGAGACAAGGAAGGGCTACCTATCTGCATGTTTGATATTGCTCATTTTGACAAAGAAAACTTGGCATGCTGGGACAAGACACGCAAAACCGCCAGCTGGGCCTATTCACAATCTGGAAAAGCTCAAGCCCCAAAGGCCGACATGTGGCAACTGGCATCTGTGTTACAGGACACTTTGATCCGTTTCATTTTCCCCCTTTGCTCGGTGATGCAGGATAGGCCGAGGCCATTGGTCCCCATTACGAGCTGCATAGGTATTGTGGATGGATCTAGCCTTGGGTTAAAGCTGGGTTGGAGTTTAAGATTTTTTGCTCAAGAAATCAGTTGGCTTTTATCAACATGCTACCCAGAGACTATTACACGTATCTTTGTAAGTGACTAGGGGTCACTTTCTGGTTATCTTACACAGACTTACATTTGAGGGGATAGGTATGCAATGCGCCTCCTTATTTCTCCACAATCTGGAAATACTTGAAACCATGGGTCGACCCTCGCACGGCAGAAAAGGTGGTAATTCTTATGAGCGCGGACGTTTTGCCTACCCTCAGAGAGTATATTGATGATGTTAACATCCCAACTGCTTTTGGCGGTAGCCTCCTTTTCAAGCACGGAATGCGTCCACTTCTGGACGAGCATGTTTGCGACCATTTCAACTGGGACCTGCCGGAACGATCTCTGCCTCCTGGTCCTATCAAATGGATTAAAGATGCTGATGGTAACATGGCAGCATTGGCCGTTGGCGGCGAGAAAGGGTTTCAAAGGAGCGAATTGATTGCGACACGGAGTCGCGTTGACAATTAGCTTCCATGGATTGTCATCTATAAACGAATGCCGCCGAAGATCACAACAGAGCTAGGGTTGAAGGAAACGGGCAATGAAAAATATCATGAAATCAATGCCTAGAATTACCAGATCACCACAATTATGTCTGGAAGGGAAAAGCCATTTGCACCAGGTTTTAGCATAGTGATGATAATCCCGTCGGAACGTCAGACCCAATTGAGGGACCAAAGGTCGGCAGAGAATACTTTTGAAAGGATAGAGACAAGGTTTAGGGTAATCCATCTCATCACTATGGGAAAGCAGCAACTGGAAAATTTCAGATTTTCGTCAGAGCTGGTGATGTCATCAATTGGACTAGAAGTATGGCTAAATTTACTCACTTCAATATCCAGATCACAGGATCACAGGCCCGCGCATGGATGGCTCACACTGTCCAGAGTAGTCGAGTTGAAGGCGCAAGGGATTCTCTATTAAATCTAGTGGACGCCCGAATACTGCACCACCTCGTAAACAAAACCGACCGATTGGTCGAGGAAGCAGTGGGCCCAGGCAGGACACATCGGATCCACCTCGGTCTCGTTCCGGCTCGCGTCCTTGGTCCCCGTATCACTGACCAGGAACTTATCTATGACCCACAACGGTTTCTGCATGCATAATGCGTCGAAATGAATAGTAACTTTTGAATCGAAAATGCTACAGTAGTTTTGAAAATCATTTATACTTCTACCTTGTTTTTTTCTTAGCTTCCAAACAAACATGGGAAACGCGCTAGTTCTAATAACATGGAAAGATGGCGAGTACGCCGCCTTTCAGACCTCTCTCTTGAAGGGCTTTTTGATTTAAACACGAGTCTGAATCGTTAGATATAATTCAAACGAATCTGAGATGCAAATGGTACCTCATGCTCCTTCCCCCATCTCTCGCTTCTCAATTAATCTTGTACCGTCGTCGGAAATACTGCAAGCTCAATGCAAACGACATGACTCGAAGGCCTCCTCTTTCAAATTCCTAGCAGGACAATATTTCCTCCTCCTCCTCCTCCTCCTCCTCCTCCTCCAAATGTGATGGCGGGCATCTACATCGCCGGGGATGGAGGATCTTTGCAGAATTTCAATGGTTGGACTTGGAGCAAGTGGTGGTTTAGCTCTTTTACAATAACGTAGTTGATCTCCGCAGCCAACAACCTCCAGTTGTCGTTTAAGGTGATTGTTGCCAGTATATGAGCGGGTCGTCTGTTTTCATAGTAATTTCTTTTCCTACCCGAGGGCAATACGTCTGCGTCTCCCAGGTCCACCCAGCTGTAACATTTTGTTCCTTTTTGAGTAGTCCAGCGACAGAAGTTCACAGCCAATATACATTGCATCTCCTGAAAGGCGGTTTGTCTCAGGGGAGGGAGGGTCGAGTATTGGCTTCTGGTGGATGAGGTAATGGCGAGTTCATAGTGGTATTCACCCAGGAAAGAGAAAATATAATGGAACGGTGAAGACCCTCAACGGGGTAGCTAGTCAGGGTAGCTAGTTATATCTAGTTCGTCAAAAAGGCGCAGCTCTTCAACAGGATTCTAGACCTGCTCTCTAGGCTATGTATCCAAACCCCTAAAATTGCCGTCGAAGGGCCTCTAGGAACGAACGTTTTGCTTATAGGAGCAGACTTTCTCTCCTAGGCATGTATTATGCCGTTCCCTGGAGCGACTCTAAGCGCTACTGGGACCGCAATCGCTTAAGTTGATGAAAGGTCTTAGCTGATTGGAATCCAACTTGATTCTTTGAATAAATACCGCGGGAATATTTTTCGATATTGCGGCTTTGGTAGTAGTAGTAGCAGTAGTAGAATGCTGATAAAGCTCGCTTGAAGTATTTACTACTATTTTGAGTGCTCTGAAATAAGCCTAAAGCCGAAAAAATGACTTTACCTATTTCCCCTGGGCTAAAAAGCCCTATTCTAATTAAAGTTTCACAGCACTTGGCCCGGCTGGGAATGCTGTTTGACGCTACACAGGCGTATTCCCATATAGCTTTACAATGCTTTGAAACTTTTTATTGGTATCGCTTAGAGCTCCGCTGAACGTGATTTTGCAGGAATTAGTTAGCTGCTATGGAAAGGCTCCAAGGTTTCTAAGCCGCGCCACAGGGAAAGCAATTTCATCCGTAGTCTCGAAGTCCTTGCTTTAGACAACCCTATACCTATGTATGGTTTCATCACGAAAAACAATACAAGTTTGTTTTGAGCGATCTGTCTTCTTAGGTTGCATTGATTTTTTTCCCATCGTGCTGCTCAATCTTCAATGTGCTGACATCGACATTCTTCAGGGTTCGTCCCTGCGCTCCTATAAGCCAACCAAACACAAGCAATAGGATAACGAAGACTTACATTGACGGCCACAATACCGTCATATTCTCCTCCTTCGGCTCGAGCATAAACACTAGTCCCACAGTTGGGACAAAAGCCGTGGGGATATTTCATAGTTCCGAAACGGTACTCCTAACCCTAGTTGTCAGTTGCGAGAAGAATCGAACGATAGGACTAGATGGCCGGGAGGACATGGTTCAAACCTTAACAGCATGATTGCTATTATGGAAAATAATATTTTCTTTTTGAGTGTAAACCAGGATATAGCCATTGATGCTACAGATTGAGCCTGCAGGGGAAAGAATTTTAGCACTCAGTGGCCTCCTATTTTGTTTCGTACATCTGCCCATCTTTCAGATAGTGGATCTGTACAGTTGCATGTCTTGAGAGTCTGCTCTTCTATAGGCGAAGAGAGTTGCGCCGTGTAGGTGACTTGTCCGCAATGGCAGCTACCATCATATGAATTCAAGTTGGCTAGAGTCTCCGCCATTACCTGTGTAATGTGATCTACTCCGAAGTACCTGGAGAGTAGGTAGATGTATAAAGATGATAAAACCAAGAAAGTTGGGTCACGGCTTATTTATATGTAGCGCCGTGTCCTTGGTACCTCCCGCGGTCTGTGCTAATGCCCAGGTGACTCGTAGAATACACGAACCTACCATATACCCGGAGCAGTCCCATTGGTAGAGGCACCGTGATTGACTTAGCCGCTCACCGCGTTGCTCATTCATTGCTTGGATTGACTCGCCGATCAGGAAGCGGCAAGGGTAAGCACTAACACAAAACGGATTGCCAAGAACTGACAAGGGAAATCGGCTATGTAGGTAGCATCTTTTCTAGGTAGCTTTGGTTGCCTATAGTCAAAGCATATTTGAAGACAAAGAATCTTGCAATACGCTCTACCATCCTGCCTGTGCATAGAAAGTGAAGCATGTGAGGAATTCCACTTTTACAATATTACGGTTACAGAGTGTTATATGATGAAGGCTATGCACGGCTTACCATTCCCTTCTAATTTGCTTTCAATGGCTCCCTATTCTCTAGTTACAGCAGAATTCGAAAATAGTTCACCTTTCCCCGGGACACTCAATTTTCTTTCTCGACCCGTATCCGAAACCACGCTAATCCGCTTAAGAAACGACGTAAGTTCGTTCCTAAAAATAGAAACTTTTCATGCACCTTGTGTCCAGGTTGGGAAGGCGCTCTAGGATGGCTTGTAGGTCTGATTTCATCCGAAGCGTGATCACCATCGCAATATACGAGTAATCAAAGCTCCTCCTTATCAACTTCGCCAACTTCAAAACCGCCAGGTTGCGCGCAGCCCATTCATAACTGCAACGTGTCAGACACGCTACCGATAAGGCACGCTATCTAAATGGCGGAACCTGTTGAGAGTTTCAAATAGACACGGTAGCTTAGACCATGTAAGCTGCATGTAACTCACCACGAGAAAGATTTGGTTCTCTCGAGGATCCCTACAAGCAGGGTATTCCACTGGGAGCACGTTGAACCAAGGTCGACCGCAGACTTGTCGATCTGAAGGCATTAGAGGCAGGAAACGAGCGTTGTGAGAAGCTGGGCGATACTTCCACAAGATTTGGTTGGGCTAATGAGAAGAAACATGAGGCACACTGTTTAAGAAAGCCTCGGCCATGTCTTCTTCCGTTTTCATGCCATCTGCCCTCACTTCGCGACCGAGTACGAGAGATAGGCCTCCACCAGAATAGGATCGATACACAGCATCCAAATTACTTATGACATTATGTTACGTTAGTTATGGTTTTACTTGAGAATATTGCCATATAACTTGGTTGTTTCATATGGGATAGATCTGAAATAATTCGAGCACGAATATCTAAGGCGAGATTTCACCGTAAAGCCGGAGATCTCTGGAACTGGAACCGACGTGAACCCCAATTGTGGTGCCGAGCTTGGTGACCTCTTTCCATTCCTGCGAAAGAACATCCCAGATCGAGATATCCCGGCGGCGCAGCTCGAATGTGACATGTTTCGTTTGCCCAGGTTGCACCATATTCTTGCTGAATCCACGTAGCTGACGTGTAGGCTCTTCATTTCCAAGATCCAAGTAAAGCTGTGCAACCTCTTGACCAGCAACGTGTCCGGTATTCTTGATGGATACCATGACACGATAAAGAACGTCCCATAATCTCGGATCACCTCCTTGCGGGCTCGGTGAGACAGGACGGATCGCATTCGTAGGAGTAGCAAGGCTGGTAGTCACTGTCATGTCAGGTGCTAAGTAAGGGTAGATGTAATGCGTCAAGGAGCTCATTGTGGCAGGGAAGGTATAGTCTGATGGGTTGAGACTTGTACTGCGACACATTGGCGGAGGACTCGTTTGGGATCCCGCAGACACCGTCGAACTTGGCTTTGGTGATAGAGTCTCCATGCGTAGATTGCTGTACTTAAAAGTGGTGTAGCTCAATCCAAACCCAAACTCAAAGCGTGGCTGGATATTTTCTTTGTCGAAGTGTCGGTAGTCGATGTACAACCCTTCCGTGAAGTTGATTTGAGGCACTGGTCCATTGGGCTCGTACAACACATCTGTTCCATAGTCGCAGCGATTCTTGGCCACAGTCCACGGGAGCTTTCCAGAGGGGTTCACACTGCCATATAGAACGTCCACCAGGGAGTTCCCGCTCTCTTGTCCTGGAAGCCCGGCGAATAGGACGGCAGTCACATTGGGGTTTTCGATCCACTCCTCCATCAGTATCGCCCCCGTCGAATGAATGACTACAATTGTCTCACTGCAATTCGCAGTCACTTGGCGCACTAGAGCATCGCCATCAAGCCACGCGGTCATGTTGTTGCGATCTCCATAGTTGTTGTCAACTTCGATATAGCCTTCCCCACTGTCTGAGTTGATGAAAACCAGAGAGACGTCGGCCTGGTAAGCGACCTCCCCAATCTGCTCTTTTGCCCAGTTATTAAGCACATACTGGACAACAGTGCCATCTTGAAGGGCTCGGGACTGGATAGCCGATAAGGGGTCGACAAGATATGGAAAGTTGGTGCTTCCGCTTCCCCACAGCATCGCCAGTGTTCCGTTATTGCATCCACGATCCGGGCACCCGTTGGGACCATACACTGACGGCCCTGCATCCTCGCCAATGACGGCGATCTGTCTTGGTCTCTTCAGGGGTAGGATGCCACTGTTCTTGAGCATTACGATAGAGTTGGCGCCAATGTCGCGGATGAGATGAGCATGGTTCTGCCGAACGTCCAGGTGCTGGTTGACTTGTTGATAGTCTAGTTTGGCACCGGGATACTCATAGTTGTAGGTCGCAAAATTTCCCGATGCGAAGTTGAGTTCGGGATAGTCTTCGTCTTGACCAAGATAGTAGTACGCCGCCATAATTCTTGTCGCCATGTCATTCAATCGCCATTCCGGTACGCTACCGTTGAGTACAGCTAGTGTCAGGTTCGGGCCCCAGAAGGACTCTCCGAAGCCAGCCACACCATTCGGTGAGGTCTCCCCGGGACCTGTCATGTCCATACCGCCGAGGGCTGAGTCCACACCAGAGTGCTGGGATCCGTCATCACTCGTCACATAGCCTTGGAAGCCTAATTCACCCTTCAAGATATCGTTCAAGAGGTGATTGTTCTGGCAAACCTGGGTATTGTTGACTTGATTGTAAGAGCACATAACTGCTGCCAGTCCGCGCTTGACTGCATCATACCAGGGGAAGAGGTAGAGCTCGTGGAATGTGCGGTCGTCACAATTGGAAGAGTAAGGTTCCGAGATATTAGGACCGGCATTCCATTCATTCCACTCGATGACCTCCCGAAAGTGCTCTTGCTCGTATAGAATAAAATGCTTGGCCACAGCGATGGCGCCGGATGCTTGCATTCCAGCGACAGCCTCTCCAAAGGCGATTCCAGAGAGATAAGGATCTGGAGAGAAAGCCTCGGCGTTGCGTCCGCCAGTCGGAGTGCGACCAAGGGGGCCACACACAGGGGCATCAATGGAGTTGATGCCTTTTGCTTTATGTTCAGCGCCGTTGGCATAGTTCATTGCGTAGATGAGCGTCTTATCCCAGGACATAGCAAGATTCATCCCAGCCGGAAACGCAGAGGAATAATCAGCTCCTCGAACACCGGTAGGAGAATCATCGCTGGCGAGACCTCGGAACCCTACTCTGGGTATGATGCCCACAGAATACCCCAGCGTTTGGCCGGTGCCAACACCAGTCGTGAGATTGACCTTTTCTGTAAGGGTCAAACTGCAAACAAAGCTATGCGCCTTGTCGTAAGCCAAGGACCAATTTCCATAACCGGGGCTGATCGGGGGGCTATATAGCTGTCCCTGTTTTGCGCTGACTGCAACGGCTGCAAATAGCATAAAGAAACACTTCCATAACATGATGATGTTGGAGACCTGTTTATGATATTCAAGTATGATATGGGGGGATATTCAGTCCCTATAAATGGTCGAGGATTAGCCCAGAATGACAGAGGGGAAGTAATACGTACCTATACTCATCAACTGTGACCGTGCACATATGAGCCACGAATTGGCTTAATCCTAGTCAATGTATCATCATGCACTTACCAACACCAATTTGTTCTCTCTGTTGCGGAGTACTGCTAAATCTGTTTTTGGAAAGAACTTTATCGGACAGGGCCGACTTGGACCGGGGTAAGAAGACGGAACACAGTCAATGCGCGTAATTTGCGGGGATTATGCTCTGTCTCAATGGCCCTTCATGAGGTCAAAGCTAACTGGCAAAGGCGCAGTGAAAAGCCCAGAACCGCAAGATCTGCACCGCAGAAGCCTGGCCATAGCCCCCGCCCCCCGCAATCTAGATGGAGGCGTCGATGCTTATACGAAACAAGATATTCCATGTAGATGGTATACCAGATTGGAGGCGGATCTGGGCCCGTGTTATTTACGGATAAATGTAACACGGTTCAATCTCTCTGTTGACGTCAAAATGCGGCTCGGCGTTTACCTTAGGAAAAGTCCGAATTTGTCTTGCCATGGTCTGCCAGCGGGAATAGGCTAAATACTGTCAGAACCGGTTTCCAGAATGGGAGAAAGTCATAGTGATCAAGAGGAGGCTATTTTTGATTAGGATATGATTTTGAGATCCATAGTCTTACATGAGAACCGAGTCTAAGTGCAAGTTAATGGTATCTCTGCTCTTTCACCTAGCAGAATTTTAAGAAAAGAGGAACATTGTTGGGCTTGAATTTATAATTACTATTATCTGAGATATTCGAAGATGATTTGAAATACAAGGATGTCTTACTGAGTGCTAAATATTTGCCAAACAGGTATTCTAATTCTCCCACTATCTGAGCACTTTCTTATTGATCTAGATACTGATACTTCAATGCAGGACTGGTTCCTGACAAGCCAATAACCTTCAAAACCTGTTCGTCGCCAGGAATTAGGTCAATAGCATTGTCACTAATGGTGACTCCATCTCGCTCTTCAAACATAAGTCCTTTTACCGGCCGCTTGGCACTCACTTGGATCACACCTACCTCTCCATGGCAGGGCTGACGCACTTCCACCTCACGTCCTGTGAATGATAGATATTTGTAGGGTTGTGGCCAATCTACATCGCGGCAGATAATGTCCCCGTCGACTGAGAGATTTGCAGCTAACACATGAGGCTCTTCAGCCATGTTGTCAATCACTCCATCTAGGACATCGGTTGTTCCGTTGGGAACTAGCGAGACCTCCTTCGTGATAGCAGGCTTGATATCGCTTCCCGTCTCAATTGAGACGAAGCGGAGACATACGGTAGCATTTTTAGGCTCCATTTTGCTATTAACAGCCCACAAATGAAAATGGCTAGCCTTCGCTGGTCGGGCATGGGCCACACTCCAATCGTGATGTTCTCGCTGCACTCCGATTGCTATCGGCGCTAGAACGCGGGCCAGAGCGTAGTACGCCGCTTTTTTTCGAAGAAAATAGTCGACAACGGCCCACGATGTTCCAGGCCAGCAGTCATTTATCTGCCAAACCAGGGCACCACCACATTGCCTTTTCTGGCCCCACTGGCGACGCCATCCACGATAGGCATACATCAGGGCGTCTGCCTGCACGAGTTGAGTCAGGTGGATGTATTTCTATATTAATTAGCACAATCCGTTAGAAGAAGAGGGCCATCATACCTCCAGTTCAGTCGCGACGCGGAAGTTCTCCACCATGTACGTTGCAATACGTCGCTCATGACCATCCGCTTTGTTGTGGAAATCTAGTGTATGAGACTGTGGGTACATATGAGATTTCTTGGTGACAAACGCCTCGATGGTTTGAATATTCGGAAAAGCCTCCATTCCGAATTCACTGTTGAAACGACCACCGAGTGTTTCAAAGATCTGGTGTTTCTCCTGCGTACCATGCCAGACTAGTTTGCCGACCATTAGCTTCAATGTAGAACCTTTTGACGGGGGTTTACCGACCATTCCACTGATGCATATCTCCAACTGTTGGGTCAGATGTCAACTTGCCATCACCCCAAGGGCTTCCAGGGTGATACGGAACGTCTGGGCATTCTTGGCTCATTACATCGGGGAGAAGCTTCTCGTAAATGTAACGGGCGGGGAAGTTGGTTTGAAGCCAGCACTCAGGAAGTTTTTCATCGAAATTGTATTCAAGGCCTTCTTGTTCCTGAACCTGATAATCCTCGTTGTTGCCGGCCCAAATGGCCATGCAAGGGTGGTGCCTAAGACGACGCACGTTCTGTACTGCTTCCTTCTGAACAGAATCCAGGAAAGACGGGAAAGTAGGATAGTTGCCACATCCGAACATGAAATCTTGCCAAACAAGAAGGCCGAGTTCATCACATGCATTGTAAAAAGTATCATCTTCGTAGATTCCTCCTCCCCACACTCTACATGCTGTCAGCAACGTGCCAAGAGCACCAAGTCACTATCCGAACGATACTAACCTAACCATAACTTGGTTTCCATCAACCATAAGTTTCAGCCAGCGGCGGTAGCGCTCCTCAGAAATCGCGGGGAGAAAGCTGTCAGCAGGGATCCAGTCGGACCCTCCACAGAAGACATCTGCACCATTGATGCGAAAGTAGAAAGAACGGCCGATATCATCCTTTTCTTGGACCAGTTCAACTCGTCTAAAGCCGATCGACTGGGTGTGATGATCGAGCTCATGGCCCGCGGCCTTGACTGTCGTATTGATCGTGTAGATAGTTTGCGCCCCATAGCCAGATGGATACCAAAGGGACACGTCAGGGATAGTAAAGCTAGCCACTGCTTTCCCATCAGTGATTGTGAGAGTTTCTTCGAAGACAGACTGCCCAGCCAGCTTCAAGTTAACCGTGACATTGTCACCGGCAGAACCTTCAGTATCCACGGAGATGGTTCCTTGAGCAGACTTGAAGCCATCAGCCACATGGTAGTCCACACGAACCTCCTTTACGCGCGCAGTGTACATCTCCAAGTGAACGGGTCTCCAAGGACCTGCAGTCATGAGAACTGGGCCCCAGTCCCAGCCCCAGTGATACTGGGCTTTGCGAACCGCCAATCGAGAGAGATCAGCATTGAACCCAACCCATTTATGCTCTGGGTGCTGGGCTCTGATCTCACGAGCCTTGAGAAGTGCTGGCTCGAAGGCAATTTCAAGCTGGTTGTTGTCGCTGACCAGGTCCGTGATATCGACCCGATGAGAGATGAACATGTTATCCGTAAGTAGTATCGTCTTTCCATTGAGGCGCACATGAGCAAATGTATCGAGACCCTCAAACACCAGGACGACCTTGGATCCCTTCTCTTTCGCCGAGACTGGTATCTCGGGGAGATCAACACGGTAGTGCCAGGTCTTCTCCCCTACCCATTCGACATCGAGCTCGTTCATGTCAATGTAAGGGTCGGGAATACTGATTAAATAGAATACTATTAGATTTTTGGGGAATTGAACATAAAAAGGTCAACAACTCACACATTGTGCTTTATCAAGTCCAAATGAGCGACGGTCGGGACTGAATCCACCGACAGCCAGTTGGCCGGGCCATCAGCCTGGCGAAAAGACCAGCCCTGTTTGAGCACTTTGGAGCTTCGGAGACTCGACATCGTTTTAGATGAAAACAAAAAAACTGAATTGAACAGAGTGATGAAAGAACGTTAAAGTAAGTTAGATCTTCATTGAGATTTCAATCATCGATGTGTCTCTAACATTGAGAAATTACCATTTTTGGCTCGGACTACATCCGTGTCCCAATGAGGAAAAGGAAGATCAAAGCAAATTCACGCAAGCTTGGGATACGGCCGGTGGGTCTTGATGGAACTAGCTCACGGCTGTCGGCAATTTCGGCGGCTGTTAGATCTGGCCCTCAAAGCTTGTGCTATCAATGCACGGACTCTAGCTCTTGTTCGCGTGTACTTGCCGATTTTGAGCTGTGACGGGCATCGCAGGACGCAACATTACACTCCAGATTTTCAAGGTTGAGAATACTGTCATCACCACAATTTAGCCGGCAAATTCGGCCTTCCAACATGGCAGGCGGAAAAAGGTGGCTATAAGTATTGGTAATTATTAACGCTAGATTTGATGGAAAGGGATTCATTCAAGCTTCCGAGATACCTTCCTTGAGTCCTGCTAGCTGTTTGACCAATTTCAATCAAGCTTATTACACTTACCTTTGGGTGATATTCTTATGGGATGGATTATGGTTGCATTTCTATAATTGTTTTCCTATTTATCTACTAGACATTCTATGTACAACATCCCTTGCGCTCATAGATCACTGGCGGAATACCTCAACGGAGCCTCCTCCAGAGCAGATACTTTCAACGACAGCGATGTCGGCCATCGCTTCGCGCGCCCCGGCCTTTTCATCATGCGTACCCCCAGCGCAAGATCCCAGGAAGGCCTTGACCTCCTCATAAATACCTTCACCTACAATCTCCTCATCAACTGTGACCTTGCCCTCTAGACTTTCAAGGACAATTCTCTGTGTATCATCTTTACCATCCACACCACTGATCGTAAGAGCGCCTTGTTCACCAACGAAGATGAACTCAAATTTGCCCTTCGCAGAAGCAAAACAGAAACTCAGCGAACCAGAAGCGCCGTCATCAAATTGAATCGCCGCGTTCACAGTATCAACCGGAGGCAGATGAGGATAAGTCTGGCGACAGAGGCTGACAGTCTTCGTGATTTCACGCCCGGAGACGTATCGGATCAGTGCGACAAAGTGGACACCACCGTCCAGGATAAATCCTCCCTGGTACTCAGGTGTCTTGCGCCACTCGGTCTCGTACCATTTGTTGTCACCAGGCTGGATGTTGCCCCAGACACGAGCGTGAACGTGGTTAAGCTTGCCGATACGTCCGTCGGTTACAAGTCCACGAGCACGAGTAAAGGCGCGATCGTAGCGAAATTGCTCGGCAACCGAGAGCACAAGCCCTTGAGGGAGATAGTCACGCTCATAGTCTTTGACCAGCTCTAGTGCCGCGTTTGTATCTTTGGCAACGGGCTTCTCACACAACACATGCTTGCCGGCAGCGAGACACTTTCGAACCACATCCGGTTGAACAAGGATTGGGAGTGCAACAATCACAGCCCCAATCTCTGAACGCTGTAGCAGTGCTGCAAGTCCATTCCCCTCAGATTCCAGTTCATCGGCATAAACACCGATGTTCGAAGTCGCGGCGCCCAGTTCATCAGCCACTGCGAGCACGGACTGTGCCGATCGAGCGGAGCGTGAATACACTGCCAGCAAATTTGCTTGCAATTTCATCAACGCCGGTAGGTGAGCTTGATATAAACATTAGTAAAGGGCAAAATGGCAATGGGAAACAATCGAGTCCCGTCAGAGCTACTTACCCTCTTTGGCAAACAAACCGGCTCCGAGTAAAGCGATTCCAGTCATGGTTTCTTGAATAAGATCAGAAGAGATGGAGTTTACTTCTCACGTTGGACTCGGTGGTCTCTTAAAGCACACCCCGGTCAGAGCGGTTATCGGCTACCGGAGCAATTTAGGCAGAACGCTAAATTTGCGGATCTCGACGTATAGATACAGCAAGAACGGCGGCATCTGGCGCCAAAGTGGGGCCACCCCGCATTCCTAATCAGGCACGGGGGCTTTCCCGCGCCGAAAAGGGACCCGAGAAGCCCTGAGCTAATCCCCATTTATCCAGTTTGCCTTTTCTAACTTTCATCAGATGATGCCGGGGCCATGGATGGCGCCTGGCGGCATTTTTTTGACTCGGGATATCATTGGGGTATATGTCGCGGAATTGAGCGGGCACATACTATTTTAATACAGATAGTGCCGCTTTCTTTTACCCGAAGGAAACAGATTTCAACTTCGAAGTGAGTCGAAGAAGAAATATGGGTGCCCAAATGGCTCACTTAAAAGCTACAGTCAGTCACCATGAAGGACTGCAAAAAGATGTCGAGGCTGTCGTGGAGTCTGCTACCCATGGTCAGCGTATGCAGGAAGCCTTGAAGCAGGATCAAGCAAAACCTTTTCAGAAGAGTCTTCTGCGATTGTATCTATGCATCTTTGTGGGATATCTTTGCTCGGCTACCAATGGCTTTGATTCCAACACGTTTGGTGAGTATGTGCCCTGATGGAAGCGATTGTTAACTGACGTGCAATATAGGGGGCCTGTCAGCCATGACCTCTTTTACTGGTTATTTTGGCATCAACTCAAATAATCAGGGTCTTGTCGCGGCGCTGTATGTGATTGGAAATATCGTTGGCTCGCTGGGCGCAGGTCCTTGTGCAGATACATGGGGTCGCAAAATTGGAATGGCTCTAGGATCTGCCATCTGTGTTTTCGGTGCCATCATTCAAGCTGCCGGGCAGAATTTGGGCATGCTGATGGGTGGCCGTTTCATTTTGGGCGTGGGGGCTGCCATTGTTCAAAGTGCCGGTCCGGCGTACGTTGTCGAGATGTCGTACCCTAAATATCGAGGACAGTTGACCGGTGGCTTTCAAGCTTGCTTCTTCCTCGGGACTATTGTGTCAACGTTCCTGGAGTATGGACTCAGCTATCACGAAGCCCTCGGTTCAACCGTATGGCGGTTGCCCCTGGCTATTCAGGGGTTACCGTCCGTTCTGGTGCTTATTTTCGTTTGGTTTATCCCCGAAAGTCCTCGTTGGTTTGTAGCCCCCCAAGTGTGCCAAGTGATGGGTTGATATTTATACTCACTTCGCGCAGGTACGTTGCCCGTGATCGCATTGAAGATGCGCGTCGAGTCCTGGTCAAGTATCATGGAGACGGTAATCCGATGTCGAAAGTTGCAGCGCTGGAACTGGAGGAGATGCAAGCAGTAATTAGCGACGAGGGTGGAGACAAGAGGTTCTGGGACATTCGAGGTCTTTTCAATTCTCGGGCAGCGCGTCATCGAACGTTCTTGGTTGCCTGTATTGCTTGGTTTGCTCAATTGGATTTGCCGCCAACTAGCTATTATTTTCCTTTAATGGGTAAATTGCTCACCTTGTGGATCCTGGTTGTGGTCGGCTGCTGATGGTATTAGTCAAAACTGCCGGCATTGACAGCACTCAAACTCAGCTCCTGCTCAATGCTGTACAAACACCGATTATGATGATATCCGCTCTATGTGGATTACGCTTTGTCCATCTCTTTGGTCGACGAAAGATGCTAATGTTCTCAAGTATGGGAATGACAGTATGCCTCAGTATTATGACCGCCTGCACAGCTCACCAGAAGGGCAATCCAGTCGTGGGCGATCTGGGAATCGCCTTCCTCTACGTCTTTCTCGTCGTCTTTGCTTTCTCCTGGGTAAGTCGAAGCCGATGCAATTTTTCATGCTTGTCTTTCTTCCTCTTCAAAATTTCACTTTACTAATTATTGGTGCTTCCGGCAGACGCCTATGCAATCGTTGTACCCCAGTGAAGTTCTTGCATACAACGACCGAGCCAAAGGCCTGGCATTCATGAACTTGATGGTGAATATGGCCAACGTTCTGAACACCTATGTACCACCTATTGGAATAGGAAATAGTGGCTGGCGCTTCTACATTATGTACATCTGCTGGGATGCTTTCGGAATCCTAGTCATCTATCTCACATTTGTTGAGACTAGTGGTTGGAACTTGGAGGAAATCGACCAACTGTTTCATTCGGAGAATCCGGTCAAGAGAAGTCTACAGAAACAAGAGTGAAAGTTGGGACAGGAGGCCTACTTTTTGAGCTAAGGGATGCTTGGTATGGAATATGTACTTTGCTTGTATCAAATAGGTTCCATATTAATCCAAAAGTGCGCAATCAAAAGTCAGACAATGTCCCGGCGCCAATAAAACTTTGTACTGAGCGCCCCATGGTCCTTGTTCCCGGGCCTTTATCCCCTCAGGAGCGCCACCGGTGGGTAGGTAGATGAAACAAACATCGGCAAAGCCCCGCATCCCACGGCGCTCAGATCCCCACCACCCGCCGCTTAAACGGCTTGAATTGTTTATTTGGGAAAAGACGCTATGGGTAGGTCTATGCATGGCGTTGGTCATCATGTCGGAACATGCCGCCCACGGGTAATTTAAGTTTGCAACTGGGGGTATAGATGCGGTCAGTGACCTAGTAAATTTCCATAAATCCGTCGGAAAGAATCGATTCCGCGTCTTCCACTCATGAAATTGGTTTCCTATCGTCATTCGGAATCATGTTTCACTCTTTCCAAGCGCTCAACCAAGGCCGGGTGACCAACTCCATCTCAAATCGTCAAGCAAATGAGAAAAATCAACGGAAGTCATTGATTGCTTGCACTTCTTGTCAAAGGCGTAAAATAAAATGCGATGGGAAAACGCCCTGCAATTCTTGCCGGTGGTATAAAAAAGCGGATCGGTGTGAATATGGGGATCGCACACCGTCATGGGGGTAAGAGGATACCGCCCCAGTCTTTGTAGATAGACACTGACAATTATAGACAAGTCGAGAGGCTCTCTGCGGAAATAGAGAATCATCGCAAGATACTCAAAATGATACTGCCCGATGTCGACACAGATTCTCTGGTCGGCCTTTCCCGAGAAAAATTACTCGAGTTAACAGCAAAAGAGGGATCCCAGTCGCATGGGGAAGCCTCGCATTTGGTTTCTCCTGCAACATCACCATCCCGACAACCCAACCCGCATTTTACGGCCACTGAAGACCCCAGTCTGGAGTCCCTGCAGAGCATCCCTGAAGACCAGCCGTCAGATTCACCTGAAATGAACGAAGATGTCTCTGACGATGTCAATGCTTTACGCCTCTCGACAAATCCAACATCTTCATACCTGGGCATATCTTCAATCCAGGCTGCACTGAAAGTCATCGTCTGGCTAGACCCCACTCATACCACTTTTTTACCAAGCTCATCTTCTGTATGGAACGGCACATCGGATGCCCAACTACAGTACCAGCAAGCGGATCCGTCACATTACCATCCTCCATTCTCGGAGACTCATATGGTGAACGCCTATTTTGTCTACATCCATCCATTCACGCCGTTAATCGACAAAGAGGCTTTCTGGAAATCCTACCTGGCTGGTGATCGGACAGATGATCGCTGGCTTGCACTACTGAATATTGTGCTTGCACTCGGCTGCATTGCAGAAGAAACACCTTCAAACGTAACGCACCGGTCATACTTCAATGCATGCAAGAAAAACCTCGATCTAAGTGCACTGGGAAAACCCCATCTGGAGACCATTCAGACACTAGGTCTGCTGGGTGGTTGGTACTCTCATTACATCAGCCAGCCGAATCTGGCATGGTCATTGCTTGGTGCTGCTCTGCGGATGGCGGCCGCGATGGGGATTGATAGAGAAACGAAAGAAATTCCTCATTTCCCACCAGTTGGTCTCAGATGCCGTGTGTGGTGGTCGTTAGTCTGCATGGATACCTGGGCATCCATGACGCTAGGTCGGCCTAGTATGGGCCGGTTTTCTGTGAATAGCGTCATTCGGCCGCTGGATAATGAAGTCAAGGTATGTTTCTTATTATGACTTTGGGATGAAAAATGGCCCACAAAACTGACAAAACATAGATTCACTCACTGGAGACATTTCTTTTAATCGAGAACGTCCGATTTGCCAAAATCGCAACCGATATCCAAGAGCTTCTCGCGTTGTCGCCATTGATACCGCACCCAGAGTTAGCTGAGCTGGATAGAAGGCTCCTGCAGTGGTGGGAGAGCCACACACAATTGCTCAAGTACTACGAGTCACATTCAGAATCAGTTACCACGGTGCTGGCCGTGGTACGGTGGCGCTTTTATAACCAAAGAATGCTGCTATATCGACCCATTTTACTGAGCTACGCAATGCGGCGCATATCATATTCCGCCCTTCGACCAGAAGAGCGTCTGGAAATTGCAAAGTGTCGCGAAATGGCCGATCTCCATATAAAAGATATCGCAGCCACCGTCCGTCCCAATCAGTTAAGCGGCTGGAATGCGGTGTGGTGGACATTCCAGCTAGCCTTGATCCCTTTGATAAGTCTCTTTCTCAATGACTCAACAGCCAGGGCGGAAGATTCACGTGCTAGCTTCGAGTCTTGTCAGGCGCAGGTGCAGCTAGCCATGACGACTCTTGAGCGGATCCAGTCCTATGGACATAAGGCTGAACGGTCTTTGAATGTGATCAGTCACCTTTTCGAAGCAAGCAAACGTGCTCTAGAAATGGGTGACGGGGATTCTGGTGCTAGTGATATGAGTGGGAAGTTGGGAGATGAGGGTGATTGGATTTTCCCATCCCTTGATACGACGGATGACCAGTATTTGCTGTGGGAGTATCTCAGCTGGAGTGACAATGATTTTTGGGTCGACACAAGGAATGAAGGGTAACACAAACGAGTCGTGGGTAGGTCTGGGCCGTTTATACAGGACAAGGACGGTTTACGGCGAATGCGAGAGAGCTCTGTTCTCGCCACGATGATATTGAACCCCTCGTCTTGAAGACGACTCAAAGTTTTGTTACTTTATCATGTACTCACTTTAGACGCTTATATGATCGCATTTGAACCTCATAAGTTCACGATCACCCGTTCTCGCCACAGACAGTCTTTAGGCTCCTTTCAATGGTCTGGACATCTGTAGGTAGCAGTTCTTTACATGCAAAGTATAATTCACAGAGTTGTTAGGTTAGGATTAAATCACTTTAGTATGAATAGCCACTACGTATTTTCGCAGATTCCCATTGTGCAGTTTCGTAGCTTCATTACCACGTAACGAGACTTTCGGTTGAAACCCGTCTGCTCTTAGTCTACTTACAGTCCATTTTGACACCCATTCGTAAGTTTGCAAGTCCCTTTCATATACAAGCCTCATTTTCCAGACTCGAGCTTCTTCAAGCAGTAGTTGCCGCCGCCTTTGAAGCGGCGAAAGACTGCTCGAAATCGGCAATGATATCGTCAATATGCTCAGTACCAACAGAGATACGAATTGCATCATCCGTGACACCAGAGTCCTCTTTTTCTTTGTCACTGAGCTGCCCATGCGTAGTGGACCAAGGATGAACAGCCAGGGTCTTAGAGTCGCCGACACTATAAAAAGTCAGAATGCACAACCAGTGGGGAGAATTCAAGGCAAGCATACTTGGCAAGGTTAGAAATCAACTTGAATCCATCAACTACTTGGCTACCAGCAGCAGCACCACCCTTGATACCAACAGACAACACGCCACCATATCCACGAGGCAGATACTTCTTCGCCGTCAGATGGGAAGGATGATCCTCGAGACCAGGATATGAAACCCAGTTAACATGCTCATTCTTCTGAAGCCACTTCGCCAGCGCCAGTGCATTCGTAGCATGGCGCTCGCATCGCAAGCTAAGAGTCTCAAGACCGAGAATCAGCTGCTGCGCCGCGAAGGGGTTCAGAGCAGAACCCAGGTCACGCAGAATCTCAACGCGCACGCGAATAGCAAAGGCGATGGGACCGAACGTTTCCCAGAACTTCAGTCCATGGTAACCCTCAGACGGCTCAACGAACTGCGGGAACCGAGCGCCATTCTTGCCCCAGTCGAACTTGCCGCTATCGATGACCACGCCACCGATTGTGGTTCCGTGGCCACCAATCCACTTAGTAGCACTGTGCACGATGATATCAGCGCCGTGGTCAATCGGACGAGCGAAGTATCCTCCCGCTCCAAATGTATTGTCAACCTGTTAATCATCAGCACCACTACCTCATGTCATCACATCTAATACATCCCACATCTCAAATTTTACATACCACAAGCGGGACCCCCTTCTCATGCGCAACCTTAGCAATAGCCTCAAAATCCGGAACATTATACCTCGGATTCCCAATCGTCTCGACATAAACCGCCTTGGTCCTCTCGTCAATCGCATCCCTGATGTCCGCCGGATCATCCCCATTCACAAACTTCGTCGTGATTCCCAGCCGGGGCAACATAACCTTAAACTGGTTATAAGTCCCGCCGTACAGATTACTCGTAGACACAATATTATCGCCCACATGGGCCAGCGCCGAAATGGCCATGAACTGGGCTGATTGGCCCGAGGAGGCGGCGACGGCAGCGACGCCACCTTCTAAGGCTGCGATACGCTTTTCAAAGACGTCGACTGTTGGGTTCATCATTCGGCTGTAGATGTTGCCGAATTCTTTGAGACCGAAGAGGCGGGCGCCGTGGGCGGAGTCATTGAATGTGTATGAGGTTGTTGCGTAGATTGGGACGGCGCGGGAGTTAGTTGTTGGGTCCGGGGTGTGGCTTAGGGTTCATTGTCAGATGGAGGGGGTTATGGTGGATTTGGGATCGGTGTCTTACCCGGCGTGGAGCTGGAGAGTCTCGAAGTGGAGGTTCTGGGGGTCGGACATGGTGAACACAGGGACGGGATCAATGTTCGGTGTTTGAAGTCAGTAGGAGTGGATTCAAGACAGACCGAAGTGTCTGAGAGGGTGGAAGGGAAGAGAACAAAAGAACAATTAGGGAATCCAACCAAATATAAGAGCTGGAAGGAGGGGAGAGTGCGACGGCGGGGGAGCGGATGGCGTGATTTCATACAATGGTCAGAGCCTCTTCCGTCTTCATTGCCCAGACCAAGGCCAATATCTCGTGTTTATTCGGCGTCTCCACCCGTTTGCTCTTTTTGAGACTCGTCATTTCAGTCCCTTGTTGTACAAGCTCGACAATTGCTAAGACTACCGTCTGGCTCAATTTTGAGAAAGATCTCGCCATTCGCCCCTGTATCTTATTTGAGCCCTAGCAGGAAACACGTCGATTAATGTAGGTCCCTCGTGTTTTTCTAGGTGGGTCGAGAGGGATGTGCGCTCTAAGACTGGACGGTTATCGTACCCCGCATTCCGAGTTTGGATCTCCCTGTGTACCCATGGGCGAAAATACCCCGGAGGTACTCCTAGATCACTTCTTACCTACCTAGATTGAGAAGGCTCCGCCAGCTAGGTGGGACTATAGCTGGGTAGACATCCAGACATACATCCCTATGCAGCTCTTTCGGGGTCACTAGGCGTAGAGAAGCATAAGCTCTCCAAGCCGCGATCCGGCGGGTCAACGGGTGTCTATTATAATAGGATGCAGTCGTTGTCTTCCAGACGGCGTTTAAATCAACCTAGGGTACTACGCATTAACACTGATTGGAGCCCTACGGCGAATGTCGTAGATGGCTGCCTAAACAGCCCTGGAACAGCTCTGGAGTGCCGGCCCCCTTGTTTGGTGTTTGGGCACCCAAGAACCTCGAAGGGCAATGAGCACTTTCCACAGTCGACAAAGACGTCCCACATTTCAAGAAAAACGCATTCGATCACTTTTACCTGTGTAGACCTCCCCGGTCAGCCACTGTTTAAGCCACTAGGTCATCGGTTGGCGGAGACGCCCACTGGAGCTAGTGTGGAGAGTGTTTCACATACCCGATTAGGCATTAGGCAATCGAATTGGGCTGCAGATTACACGCTAGTGGCTGTGCTTGGATTTCGTCATTGAATACAGGCAGCAGGAAGATGGAAATAGAATTGAATCTGGGATAGCTCCATGAGGATATAAAGGAGCGTTAGGTAGCATGATCGTGAACACTAAAATTTCCCCACCCAGAATCCAGGTAAGCAACGTCAGCCCTACACCGATCAGTGCATGGATCTCCCCATGTGCCAAGATTGCACCGATGACGCCTGCGCGACGAAGGTGGCTGACTTTGATCTACTTTATAGTTTGAGCCTTTATTTACCTCCCTCCTGCCCTGTTTACGTCGCTCAACGCAGAACCCTTTCAAACACAACATCTTCGTCGCATCAATATGCTTCCCTGGATCCAAGCTATACGCATCGTGCAGGCCATCTTCGGTCTGATCGTGCTCGCCTTGACCGCCTATGGTACGTTGTCCCTCTCTCGATCCAGGGTGAATCCCTGATAGATACTAACAGTCTACAGTGGTCAGCACCTATTCCTGGTGGGCGTATTCCAGCACGGTCGACTTCCTCCTCTTCCTGGGATGCTGGACAACCTTTGTCGCCGTCCCTTACCTCGGCGCTGCCCCGATCTTCTTCCCCCGCCTCGCACACCACTACGTGATCCCCGCCGTTGAGGTGATCACCATGATCTTCTGGTTTGCAGGGTTTATCGCCCTTGGCGCGGAGCTGCCTGCGCCTGCATACTGCCACTGGAGCGCATGTAGTGCGATGCAAGCAACCACCGTCTTTGGCGCGTTTGAATGGTATGTATTGTATTCGGGTAAACAGAGCACAGAATTCTAATAGATGAGTAGGGTTCTCTTTGCGGTGACGACTTATTTCGCGGTTGTCGATCTTATGAATCATCGCAGGAGCGGTGAGACTGCCCAGAAGACGCAGCACAATGCCCATCTTGGTGTGTAGGGAATGATATCTTGTGTGAAGGATGATGGTGTCCCGGAGCAAAGTCCCCCTAGTTAATAGTCTTTTTCAAACGATACCCGATATCCGATACCCCCCACTTCCTTGTTGATTAGCGTGGTCGATGACTTGATGCTTTTTTGGAATTATGAACTTTGAAATAGTTATGTTGAATGAAATCAACTTGTGACGGCAGCCGGCCCGTGATGTGTCAAACTTATTATGGAATGCGATTAGCAGTGCCATTGCCCAAATTATCGATAGACCCACAGGAACGGAAACGGTTCCAATATGGCACGTCCACGGGTTTGCCTCCCCGAGGAAAATTCTCGGGTTCCCGAACCAGATTTATTTTTTTTTTCCCACATAAAATTCATGACTTTAGCTACTTATCTATTGGTCGACATCGGAATAGAATAATACCGGGTTCACAGAGGTAGAAGTCTGAGGAGAACAAGCTATTGATCAGCGCCAGCGATACCGTAAGAGGCCGGTGGTAGGAAAGCCTCGTGTCACATCGCACGGCTGTTAGTTCGTGCCTCGCACGGTCATGAACAGGACTAGGCTTGGAGGACAGGACAGATACTTGGTCATCCAGTGAATAATGGACTGACAAGAAGTATAGATAAGTACTCTCAGGCCGCTCGCCACCAGAAAAGAGTTTTCTTGGTCGGCGCGGCCCACATTGGGAGATTTTGCCCGGGTAGCATCCGACGTATGAAATTTTCATTCAAATAGGCCGGAAACGTCCAGATCAATTGAGGTGAACATTGCATCTATCCTCCAATTCCGACACCGTCCTGGGCATCTTGATTACATTCCCCAGTTTTCTTTACATAACGCTATCGAAGCCGATCTGAGCGTTCGGAATTGACGTCGCGTCGCGTGCTTCTCCACTTGAAGCAGAAGCGGAGACGCCCGCTCAAACTCGTTGGGGTGGAGAACATTACGTGAAAGACTTTCTCAGATTCTTCCCTTCTGACTCCTCTTTCCTCATCACTCAGTTGACTCAATTGGATCTGTCCAGACATGGCCTCCAAGGTCTTCAAGTCTGAGAAGGGAGAGATGGACAACGAAGGTCCCATCACCCAGGTGCAGCCGCAATATGAGTCTTCCGACGCCTACGATGTTGACTACGAGAAGCACGGCGCTGGCCGTGAGTCGAGTCCGCTGCCCGATCTGAAGCGCAGACTGAAGAGTCGCCACTTGCAGATGATTGCCATTGGTGAGTAGATCTATACAATGGGTTCGGGTGAATTTTTCCAATGCTGATTATCACAAAGGTGGTACAATTGGAACTGGTCTGTTCATTGGTAGCGGTGCCGCTATCGCCATGGCTGGGCCTGTCGGCGCCCTCATCGCCTACATCTTCGTCGGAAGCATCGTCTACTCGGTCATGATCGCTCTGGGAGAGATCGCCACTTATATCCCCATTCCCGGTGCATTCACCTCATACGCGGCTCGTTTGATTGATCCCAGTCTCGGTTTCTCGATGGGTTGGATTTATTGGTTCTCGTGGGCCTCGACATTTGCACTGGAATTGACGGCCACGGGTATGATTATTCAATTCTGGGATAAAGACATTTCGATCGCTATCTTCATCGCTGTCTTCTGGGTGGTCATTATTGCGTTCAATATGGTCCCCGTCAGCTTCTATGGAGAGATGGAGTTCTGGCTTTCGAGCGTCAAGATTATCACCGTCGTCGGTTTCATGATCTTCGCTATCTGCATGAATGCTGGTGTTGGACAGGAGGGATATATCGGTTTCCGGTACTGGGTTCATCCTGGTCCATTTGTGGCCTACGAACTCACTGACGTCGGCAACGACACCTCTCTCGCCAAATTCATCGGTTTCTGGGCTGTCCTGATCAAGGCTGGTTTCTCTTATCAGGGTACTGAGCTGGTCGGTATTGCGGCCGGTGAGACCGAGAACCCTCGCAAAACTGTCCCTTCTGCTATTAAGAAGACTTTCTACCGCATTATCTTCTTCTTCATCTTGACCATCTTCTTCATTGGCATCGTGGTGCCTTCGAATGACCCACGCTTGTTGAACAGCACGGGTAGCGGAGCAGATGCCAATAACGGTAACGCCTCGCCGTTTGTCATTGCGGCCCGACGTGCTGGTGTCAACGTTCTTCCGGATATCATCAACGCCGTCCTCTTGACCGTGGTGCTCTCTGCAGCCAACTCGAACGTGTACAGTGGTAGCCGTATCCTTGTTGGATTGGCTCAAGAAGGCTTTGCCCCTCGATGCTTCAAGACCACCACCAAGGGCGGTGTCCCCTACTGGGCTGTGCTCTTCACGGCCATGTTCGGTCTGCTGGGTTTCATGAATGTGTCCTCCTCAGCCTCCGACGTGTTCAACTGGCTGTTGCAGATCTCGGGTGTTGCCGGTTTCATCACCTGGTGCTCCTTGAACGCTTGCCACCTTGCATTTATGCGCGCTCTCAAGGCACGCAACATTTCTCGCGACGTTCTGCCGTACAAGGCTATCCTGCAGCCTTTCCTTTCGTGGTACGGTCTGTTTTTCAACATCCTGATCATCATTACACAGGGATTCACCGCGTTCATCGGTGGGTTCCAGGTCAAGGACTTTTTCATGGATTACCTTAGCTTGATCCTGTTCGTCGTTCTGTATGTCGGACATAAGGCATACTACCGCGATCCCTTCGTCGGGTCGCTTGAGGCTGACCTGGACACTGGCCGAACCACGGCCGAGAACGAGTCCTGGGAGACCACCGAGCCTACCACCTGGTACGGAAAGATCTGGCGCTGGATCAGTGGGTAAGCGCATTGTATAGTTGTATATTATTACCGGGGTGGACATACGGGTTTTGTCATTCATGGCATGCGGCACGGCGTTTTACGATTTTACAGTGTACATGATAGTTACCATATACTTACGGCGCAACGATAGACCGGGCGCAAAGCATACTTCGTTTGAATAGTGTTTCTCAAGTTAAAAAGCCGAAGCCAAGAACACGAGCTGCCATGTGAAACCGCATGTGAGCACTAGCGCAGATGACATCGCCCTTGCATTGTAACATAGCCGGAGTGGGCCACTAGCTCGGTACTTTCTTAACTATGGGGCGCCCCATATTTAACAAAGTACCCTCAAAACAGCCGAGGTTCCTTCGCCGATCCACCGTGAATGGAGAAATAACCAGAACGGTCACTCTCCGGATTTCACTTTTCTACTCCAGACTCCTTTCTCCTCTCCCCCACACTTCTTGTCATCACCTATCTGATCTCTAGGATTCGGTTATTTTCTAGGAGGCGCTCTCTTTCACTCCTGATCCGATCCTGAAATTCTCTCCTAATATTCTGGTATGGAATCTCCGCCCCGCGACATCCGAGCGCATGTGCTAACGTTCGGCACAAGCAGGCAACATGTTTTTCTCACAACCCGCCCACCTCGCCAAGGCGGAGGAGCTTAAGCAGGAGCCGCCCAAGGACACTCCCTACTCGGTCGCAATGCCCGGCACCGAGCAGCCTGATCGCAGCCGTGTTTATCGGGCATGGAATGCGCAAAAGGAGTTGTTGAAGACCCTGGATCCTCAGGTACGGAACCTCTCGGCAACTCAGAAGGACACTTGGACTAATTCGATCAACCCTCTAGGTCGTCACTGCCCACGACATGTTCGAGTCGACTGCCAACCGCCAACCCAAGAACCACTGCCTCGGCTGGCGCGCATACAACTCCGCTACCAAGTCGTTCGACCCATACCAGTGGTTCACGTACGAACAGGTTCAGAAGAAGCGGGCGGATTTCGGTGCCGGTCTGGTGGAGCTGCACCAGAAGCACAATTGCCACCGTCCCGGCCAGTACGGTATCGGTCTTTGGTGTCAGAACCGCCCCGAGTGGCAGATTACTGGTAAGTGCTGCAATCGATTCCTTCGAGAGTACCCAGAAGCTAATCCGGCTTAAGATCTGGCTTGCATGTCTCAGGGCTTGTTCTCTGTCTCAATTTACGATGTCTTGGCCGCGGATGCCACCGAATACATCATTAACCACGCAGAGCTGAACTGTGTGGTGACCTCTCTTCCTCACATTCCGACTCTGCTGAAGCTCAAGGCATCTCTGCCCAATCTGAAAATGATCGTCAGCTTGGACCCGCTCGATGCAGGTGAGCAGGATGGTCACTCCAAGCGCGCCCTGCTTGAGTCCATGGCTGCTGGTCAGGACGTCGCTATCTATAGCATGGACCAGGTCGAGGCTTTGGGAGAGGCCTCGAAACGCGGCTATAACCTTCCCTCACCCGAGGATATTGTCACCATTAACTATACCTCCGGTACTACCGGCCCTCCCAAGGGTGTCGTTCTGTCCCATCGGGCTGCTGTGGCGGGTTCTTCTGCCGGTCTCATGACCGTTGGTCAGGCCCGTGGTGACACAATGTGCTCTTATCTTCCGCTGGCTCACATCTATGCTCGTCTTGCCGAGCACACTGCCTTCTGGGGTGGAGCCCGAATTGGCTACTTCCACGGCAACATCGTGGAGCTCGTCGATGACCTGAAGCTCCTGAGGCCGACTGGCTTCATGTCCGTCCCTCGTCTCTACAGCCGCTTCGGTACTGCCGTGCGCGCTGCCACCGTCGAGGCACCTGGCTTCAAGGGCGCTCTGTCCCGGCACATCATTGCTACTAAGACTGCCAACCTCAAGAACCCCGACCCCTCCAAGGCTACCATCCGCCATGCCTTGTATGACCGCATCTGGGCTAAGAAGGTTGCTGCCGCTCTCGGCCTGGATCGTGCCAAGTACATGGTTTCGGGCTCTGCTCCTCTGGACCCCACCCTGCACAACTTCCTCCGTATTGCCACTGGTACCGATGTCATCCAGGGCTACGGTCTGACCGAGTCCTACGCGTGCGGTACCGCCCAGTCGGCTGACGATCTTTCTTCTGGTAACTGTGGCCGTCTCGCTCCCTGTACCGAAGCTTGCCTGGTCTCCCTGCCCGACATGGAGTACTCGGTTGATGACAAGCCCTACCCTCGTGGTGAGCTTCTCCTTCGCGGTAACAACATGTTCAATGAGTACTTCAAGAACCCTGAGGAGACCTCCAAGGCCATGACTGAGGATGGCTGGTTCCGCACCGGCGATGTCTGCCAGGTCGATGAGATGGGCCGCTTCATCATCATCGACCGTCGCAAGAACGTCCTCAAGCTCGCCCAGGGCGAGTACATCTCCCCCGAACGCCTGGAGGGTGTCATTATGGCCGAGATCAGCTACCTCGCTCAGACCTACGTCCACGGTGACAGCATGCAGACCTTCCTGGTCGGCGTGTTCGGCGTTGCCCCCGATATGTTTGCTCCCTTCGCCAGCAAGGTCCTCGGCCGTGAAATCGCACAGACCGACACCGACGCCATCAAGGCTGCCTTGTCCGACGAGAAGATCCGCAAGGCCGTGCTTCGGGATCTCGAGCGCGTGGCTAAGAAGCACAAGTTCCAGGGTTACGAGCGTGTTAAGAATGTTTCTCTGAAGTTGGAACCTTTCACCGTCGAAAACAACCTTTTGACTCCTACGTAAGTTTCCTTCTTTGTCTTTTTTTTTTTAATACTTGCTAACGATTCTCCCAGTCTTAAACTGAAGCGTCCTCCTACCGTCAAGGCCTACCGTGCGGTCCTGGACCAGCTGTATGCTCAGGCCTTGGAGGAGCAGTCGGCTCCTCGCGCCAAGCTGTAGTCTTGTTTTCCAAGATTGTCTTCTATTCTTACTGGGTTTGCCCCTTTTGACTGTACATAGAAGTCCGCGTTCTGTCTCATAGCCGGGCTATGCATTGTAGTATATTAAGCTGAGCTTTCATGAAATCTTATTCTTATACTTGAAGCTTTCTCCATTCCTACGCTTTTGTATAAAAGTATTGGCTCTCGTCCTAATCTCTCCGTGGGTTTATGCAAACGGGCCAAGGATGTGGTTTATATGCGCCTGAACTTCAGGTAATGACTTGACTCCCTAGCCAAATTTAAAGTCGTTCCAAACTGAACCATTGGAAACCAATGAAAACAGAAACGTTATAGATAGCTAGGGGGGTTAAAAGAGATTAAACAAAGTGTATAGGCCCAGTCACATTATCTTCTAGATCAAGTAGACCTAAATCACCCACTCGATTCGCGCTTGGTACCGTCACCTTAAAAGTCAAGGGACAGAAACTGCATGGATTTGAGAACTCAGTTGAACGGGAAAAAATAAATAGAGAAATCCCAATGGATTGATTATCTCATGAATATGGATTGCGCTAAGAAATGAAAGAGAAGAAAAAGAATAAGCAAAAAGATATGACAAGAGTGGGATTCGAACCCACGCCCCGTAAACGAGATCAGGAAACCAATGTTTGGTGTTAAGGTGGACCTTAACCTGACGCCTTGGACCAACTCGGCCATCTTGCCTGGCACATGTATTATGCTGCTAAATTTAACCTCATGATGGAAAATGTTTCACGTAGACATTTCTGGTGGTGCGTTGCCAGAAACAAAGATTGCTCATGTCCCAGCCCGTCGCCTTATGCTTGGTCTTGCTGCTTTAACTACAACCTTATATCAATTGCATGTTTTTCTCTCGTTTTGGAGTAAAAGATTGTAATTTCCATCGTGAGTTTTCAAAGATGTGTCAGATTCGATTGTAAAACTTGAATATATATATTTACGGCGTTTTGCTTTAGTTATATGGATAGCCACTAATATCAGGGGCCTCAAGCGCACCCTTTTGTGTTGCAATCCATCACCATACTGCAGGAGAACCAGATATGTAAATCGTTCAAAAGCGTGCTCTTAATGTCAAATGGATGGTGAAGAAAGGGCAATTATAAAATATTCGTAAGTATATAGCGGGCAACTTCCACGAAGAGGTTGGCAAGGGCCTAAATTTGGAGAACAACGTCATTCACCAGGCTGTAGGAATTACGAGGGGATTACAATACAATAAGAAGCATTCAAAGCTGTTAAATATTGTTGAAGAGAAAAAAATCACATAACCTTGTCAGCTTGCGACGGCAAAAGAAGAGCAAAAAGAAATTGACAAGAGTGGGATTCGAACCCACGCCCCGTAAACGAGATATGGAAACTTGGATCAGGTGAGCCTGAACCATACGCCTTGGACCAACTCGGCCATCTTGCCTTGTATTGTTTAATCTGACAGATCCGAAGCATCTCAACTCAAAGCGCATGAGCCTTCGATCTGCAACAGATAACAACACCCCGCCCACTTGGCGCCTCAACCCCCATCACATCTCCAGACACGAGACCAACGTCCTATTAAACCCAATCAGTATAGTATAGAAAGCTTAAAGCTTAAAGGAATCCGAGGCTTGATATCTGTAAGGGCACTAGGTAAAATAACTCCATAGGTAGTACAATCAGCTTATCATTCGGCCATGCCACCAACATGGCCTTGATACAATACTGACATACGAGCGGTGGGATGATCATGGGGAAAATTATTAAAGGACGGTTAAAATGGTGTCATTATACGAATATTACCATATATCGGCAGTCATGAATCACTAGGACATCGAATGGTATTGTTGCCCTTGTTTCCGACCCCGCGCGTGATGGCTTACATACGCAGCATGACATGATCCCCGCGATATCGCTGCACTTATCTCCTTTCAAAACAAACTGCATTCAAACAAATCTTTGATCTCGATGTCTTGACCATGCGGCCTGTTCCTGACTTGCCGTCTTTCGCCCGCAAACCCTCCCTCGAGCACTCCCCGTCCCTTGATCCCCGCACCGCTGCCCCCGCTACATTCTTCCTATCGCGAAGTCCGCATGCTTCCGATGACGAGCCCAACTCCCCTGTCGATGAACCTGCCGACCTCAAAGAGAGCATGTACGGGGTGAAGAGCCTAGGGGGAGACCTTATCTCGCTCCGAACTGGCTGCAAGCTCCCCGCGCTCGATCCCTGGAGACAGCCAGTTCATGAATAGTCCGTCCCAAGGATCCGAGGACTCAGAGGAAGCCCAGAGCTCACGGCGTCGATCAACGATCAAGCCTTTTGGTTATGGAGTGCAGGACTCCCCATCGCGACCAACCCCATCCGATACTGTCTCGCGCCCACCGACCCCGCTGAACCCCGACGAGCCATGCTCGCTGCCTAGCAGTCCTAAGTCCATCTCGAATCATTCATTTCGGCCGCTTGACGATATCTCCATTACAGATGAAATATACAGTCAGCCCCTCATGTCGAGAGACGAAGAGGAAAGGTCCGGGGCATCACCTCGTCTTGGCCCTGGCGGGGCTGGAGCTTCTCAGCTCATCATGCCTAGTCTGACGATGCCCAGTCGGCGACCATTTACCGGCCGAGGAAAGGCTATGGGTAGATTCAAAGTACTCTTGGCTGGAGCTCCGGGTAAGTCTATATCGAGTGGACACCCTGTGGGTCATATCTCAATGCACATGCGCTGATAAATCAACACACAGGATCCGGAAAATCATCCCTGATAAAATCCATTGTTCAGATAAGTGAGGATATTGTGCATATCGATTCCCTGGATACTCTTTCCTCGGTGACCTCACTCGAACGCCGCCGGTCGTCGCATCTCCACTTCGGGGTCCCCACTCGCGGGATGTCCACCGCCGTGACCGAGATCTACGCTAGTACCAAACCGTATCCCTCGTGGTGGTCTGATCTAGAGGACTCGCGCGTGTTGCGACGCCGGAAAAGCATTGGCGAAATTGTATTGGAGCGAAACCTCTGTTTTGTCGATACACCCGCTACTTCCCTGAGCCGGGCAGGGCAAACCGATGCCATCGTCCAGTACATGCGGCAGCAATTCCACCGAGCAACCACAGCCCTCGCGAGCTCAGGCGTAGATTTCCAAAATTTGCTTGCTGGAAATGGCGGCTCCCAAGTTGATGCAGTCTTGTACTTGATATCTGAGGGTATGTTTTATCTTCTTCTCAGACCGTTCCCATATTAACGATCGTAGAAACTTTGCCGACAGATGTTGAATGCATTCGCAAGCTCTGCGATCTGAGCAATGTCATCCCAGTCGTTTCCAAGGCAGACAATTTGACCGACGAGCAGATCACCTTGCTGAAGAACAAGTTCCACCAGCGAGCTCAGGATGCCGGAATCAAGCCCTTCCTATTTGGCAATCAACAGCCTGGAGAGCTTGACGGACTCGAACCACAGCCTCCCTATGCAGTATCGTCCGAGAAAACTGCCGACATGGAAGTCATGGACGCCAGTACACTGATGAGTCCAGATTACGTACAACCGCTCATCGTATCTGAACTTAGCACTTTGGTAGAGAAGTTGTTCGACCGGGACAATCTCGCCTGGATGCGCCACTCAGCTGCGAAGAAACTAGCGCAGCGCCGCGGCGATTTCCCACCAGCTCCACTAACTGCAGCACCACTTCTCAACCCACTCTCAGGTGCCACTACCGGTGGAACAGGCTGGCGCGGCGTATCAGGAGCATCTATGAACTCATCCATCTCTTCAACCAGCGACTCACCCCCCAGCTACACAATGGCCCGGATCACAGACTACACACGACACGAAGAGCGAATGGCTCAAGTGCGACTTGCCCACTGGGCAACAGACCTGCAGCGCAGCCTACAAAACGAGCGTGACCGATACTCCGCCCTGGCCCGCGGCGATCGCGCCGTATGGCTGACCGAGAAACTGAGCGAATGTGTCATAGATGGCTCCCTCGTGCCCATCTCCCAGACTCCCGGTTTCTGTGGTCTACACATCCCCATCGGCGAGAAAGGTCCGAGCGGGCTACATGCCATGCGACCCCCAGGATCAAAGGACTACCGCTTCACAAATATGAGTCCCCATGACCCTCTCGGCGTGGTTGGCTGGATTGACGACATCTCCCGACGCAGCTGGATTATCGTCCAAATCGTCGGCAGTGTCGGTGTAGTTGGCGGGCTGGCACTTTGGCTTGCCCGGACGTGGGGAGTTTCCACTAAGTCCCTATCAGACCTCCAGCTGGACTACTGGGTTGGACGTATGGAGCGATAACTTCATTCCATGAACTACGATCAGGTCACAAGATGGAAGCAGGCTTAAACGGGTGTCCATACCATGGATCTTTCAGCGAAAAGAAGTGAGCAGTCAGGCAGGCGTTTCTTTTCCGGCGGCGACATTTGCTTTCCCATTCCCCCTCCCCCGCGTTGATTTCGGCGTTTCAAGGTACTGCTGCATTTGCTTTTACTCGGTATTTAGGCTAGACAATCTAAGCCAAGAAATGACACCTTTTTCAAACCCAGCCGGAGGGTTATTCGTATTCGTAGACGTTATATTTCTTTTCATTCATACCCACGATCTTATTGATCCCTGCACTACCGACCCCCTCATCGATCCAATCCAATCCACTCTACCACCAGATTCAGATCTAGACAGAGGAAGGAACCAACTCCTCAAACCGGCGCAGATCCATATCCTTCTCCAGCAGGGGAATAACGTAGGGGTCGAAAGTCTTCCAGTAGGGGTTGTTGAGGTGGTACTCCTGCGACGACTCCTGCTCGTATCGCTCGACGATAGTGAAGTCCTGGGGATCGTGAATGGACTGCATCACGAACCAGGAGAGAGTCTCCTTGTCCTTGGAATAGACGGCCGAGGCCTCGAGAAGCTTGGCGTGCAGCTTGGAGATGGACTCCTTGTCTGCCTTTGCGCGCATGTCTAGGTGTTTGGGTTTGGGTTAGTGGGGTTCAGTCGGAGCTGCGGGGGGTCCATTGCGAGCTTCGAAGCAGGGCTGGGGCGATTGGGTTGCCCTGGATCTTGGGCAGGGTGACTTACGGACGACAATAGTGTAAACCATTTTGACGATAGGGTGTTCAGTGTAAGGTGAAACCCCTCGCGGCTCGCGGGGCGGAGGCTTCTTAAACGGGCCGAAAATCGCTTCGGTGAAGTCAGTGTGGAGCATATCGCCGAACTTGGTCCCGAGGTGATCCCGACCATTTAACTTGTGGAGCTTCTTCTGGGGTGGGTTTCTAGCATCGAGTAAATACAATTCCTTTACCTTTTGATTGGTGCTGTTTTTTTCGAGCTGAGGCTTTGTTCGTAGTACTTGTCAAGCTAGGCTATTCAGTGATCAAGCAACCGGATATCAACGGGAAAACAAAGATGAAAGTCCACTGAGGCATACAGAACCCTAGTTTATTATCTACAGGAGACTAAACAACTATGTCGTAGCCACCTACGTCTACAGCAACGCTAGATGACAACTGTCTCATTGGACGCGGTTCTTGTGAGTAGACTCGAAAACGGTGTAGAAAGACACACGGCAGAATATGAGCATCCTGTAATCATTTTCCGTCTCCAATCATTTCAAGCTCCTCATCAAGCGGTCGTCCAGAAATAGTTGCTCCTTGCACCAGGGCGGCGCTTAAGAGGAAACTGAGGACGGCAAGTTTCTGAATGATGCCGAGTACATCCTGGTTTGCAGACTTGACTGATGATGAATGGTACTCCTAGAGGGTGTCGCTGATCAATATGGGCGTAGGCAGTCATGAGACGTTGAGACCACTGGGCAGAGCTGTCGATATCGAGACTCTGGAGATCCTCGATACGCACATGGAAATTGTGTTTCGAATTAGGTACTGGGGCCAAGTACAAGATGTCATATTCTGGGTCGTTTCGATGATCGAGGACATCTTGTTTGATACAATCAACAAAGCGAACGTCGAGCGTTCCAGGGATCTGTCTTTGCATTTTTCCTTAGGAATGAAAGATAGATTGAATAAACTGAATGTGAAGACAAGTAGTCGAGAGAGTTCCGAGATCAGATGCGATGGGAATAAGGCAACAGTTGAATGTTTGATATTGAGGCGGTGTGTAATAATACAAAGCAACCTACACTCTTGTAAGGGTATGACTACACATTATCGAGTGGTATGGGGTGTCTACAGTCTACAGGACGTCAAGCTCAATAAACCAAGCTGTATTGTCTTTTAAGCAACTGTATCAAACAAGTGAAGAGAAAATATTCCAGTTGGATTGATAAAGAAAAAACAAAAGTTTAAAAAAACATCAAGGGTCGTTATCCCGTTTCCCATTTCCCGTAAGAACCGATTGTAAGCAAACAAATGGCGAAGGCATCTAGTCAACCTCCTCCATGGCGGACTCGCCAGTAGCCTCAGCAGGGGCAGCAGCCTCAGTAGCGGACTCAGAAGCAGCCTCAGCGGAAGTCTCGGCATCCTCATCAATGTTCAGACCGAGGGAGACGAGCTTGTGGATGCGCTCAGCGAAGGAAGCGGGCTCCTCAATGGTGAAGCCGGAAACCAGCAGGGAGGTCTCGAAGAGGAGCTGGGTGATGGACTTGACGGTGCGGTCGCTCTCACCGTCGGCCTCGACCTTCTTCTTGAGCTCCTTGACGATGGAAGACTTGGGGGAGATCTCGAAGGTCTTCTTGGAGGACATGTAGGAGGACATGGAGGTGTCACGGAGGGCCTGGGCCTTCATGATACGCTCCATGTTGGCGGACCAACCGAACTGGCCGGTACGGATGGCGCAGGGAGCGCCCATCAGCTTGTGGGAGACGACGACCTTCTCGACCTTGTCGCCGAGGATGTTCTTCAGGGCCTTGGCGAGGTCCTCGAACTCCTTCTCCTCCTTCTCGCGCTCCTCCTTCTCCTCCTCGGTCTCCTCGAGCTCGAAGTCCTTGGTGATGTCGACCAGCTTCTTGCCGTCGAACTCCTTCAGCTGAGTGAAGGCGTACTCGTCAATGGGGTCAACCAGGAACAGAACCTCGAAGTTCTTCTGCTTGAGAGTGTCCAGGAAGGGAGACTGGGCGACAGCCTTGATGGACTCGCCGGTGATGTAGTACATGTTCTTCTGGTGCTCGGGCATGCGAGTGACGTAGTCGGTGAGGGAGGTCTGCTCATCACCGGACTTGGTGGACTGGTAGCGGAGGAGCTTGGCCAGGGTGGGGCGGTTCTGGGCATCCTCGTGGATACCGAGCTTGATGTTCTTGCTGAAGGCAGAGTAGAACTTGTCGAACTGCTCGCGGTCCTCAGCGATCTCGGTGAAGAGCTCAAGGGTCTTCTTGACGATGTTCTTCTTGATGACCTTCATGATCTTGTTCTGCTGAAGGGTCTCACGAGACAGGTTGAGGGGAAGGTCCTCAGAGTCGACGACACCCTTGACGAAGGAGAGCCACTCGGGGATGAGGTCGGTAGCATCATCGGTGATGAAGACACGACGAACGTACAGCTTGATGTTGTTCTTGGTCTTCTTGGTCTCGAACAGGTCGAAGGGAGCGCGCTTGGGGACGAAGAGGATAGCGCGGAACTCAAGCTGACCCTCGACGGAGAAGTGCTTGACACCGAGGTGGTCCTCCCAATCGTTGGAGAGGGACTTGTAGAAGGAGGCGTACTCCTCAGTAGTGATGTCGGCGGGGTTGCGGGTCCAGATGGGCTTGGTCTTGTTGAGCTCCTCCTCCTCGATCTTGGACTCCTTGACGGTCTTGGTCTTCTTCTCCTTCTTCTCCTCCTCCTCATCGACCTCCTCGACCTTGGGCTTCTTCTCATCGCCCTCCTCCTCCTTGGTCTCCTCAGCCTCCTCATCGGGGACCTCGGTCTCGGTCTCCTTCAGGACGTGAAGGTAGATGGGGTAGGAGATGAACTCGGAGTGCTTGCGGACAACCTCCTTGATGCGGGACTCCTGAAGGTAGTCCATCTGCTCATCCTTAAGGTGGAGGATGATCTTGGAACCGCGGCCGAGCTGCTCGCCCTCGGTGTCCTGGGTCAGGGTGAAGGTGCCACCGGCAGCGGACTCCCAGACGTACTGCTCGTCATCATTGTGCTTGGAGACGAAGGTAACCTTGTCGGCAACGAGGTAGGCAGAGTAGAAACCGACACCGAACTGACCGATCATGGAGATGTCAGCACCGGCGGACAGGGCCTCCATGAACTGCTTGGTGCCGGAGCGGGCAATGGTACCAAGGTTGTTGATGAGATCCTAAGTGGGTCCGTATTAGCATTGAGTCACAATTTTCGCAGTTTCTGGCAGATTCCAGCGGATCAGGTAACTTACAGCCTTGGTCATACCAATACCGGTATCACGGATGGTCAAGGTCTTGTTGACCAGATCGGGGATGATGTCGATGCGCAAGTCCTTGTTGGAGTCGAGCTTGGAGGGGTCCGAGAGGGACTCATAGCGAATCTTGTCCAAGGCATCGGAGGCGTTGGAAATCAACTCACGAAGGAAGATCTCCTTGTTAGAGTAGACGGTGTTAATGATAAGGGAGAGCAGCTGAGAGATCTCAGCCTGGAACTCGAAGGTCTCCGGCATGATGGCGGTGTGATTCTGAGAAGCGATTAGATGGAATCAATTGGTGGCGAGAGTTGAAGGATTGGGGGGTGAGATTGAGATATGAGAGATAGGCAAGGGTAGATGAAGTGAAATGAAGATGGGAGTTGGAGTGATGGAGGGGGATACTAACAGGAAGGGGGAATGGAGAAGAGAAAACTGCTGGAGAGAACCAGAGCAGCGATGTGGGTGGGGAGGGAGTTTAAAGAAGCGGCGCGGGTAGCTTTTTGTGTTTCCAAAAAATTCTGGCGGGTTTCTACGACGATCCAGCAACTTCCACCGCTGGTCGGTCAGGCAACTGGCCCCCTACAGCTTCGAGAGTAGGTGACTGGTTCTAGAGCCTTCGTCCCTACTCCATCCTTTGTTTCTTTTTTAGGTTGGCTCGGTGGTTCCCGCTGGCTTTGCTGGGGCGCTGTCAAGTGCACTGTGCACTGTGCACCTGGGGAGAGCTCTGTCGCTGCCTGAGGCTACCATCTAGAATCTTCCGATCGTCACTTTACTTTCCACTTCAGTCATGTCATCCAGGCTTTGTTCATCCCTCACTAGTCACAGTTAGACTACGGCGGAACACCCAATGATTTGACCAGCCTGTATTGCATATTCCTATACCCTGCCCAACCTCCCTTCTTCCCTAAAGCCTTGATTTACACAGCAAAGATACAAGAAAAGAAAAAGAGAAAAAAAAAAACAGAACAGAAATGGGACCTGGTGCAACACCTCAAAGCCCTCGAGCTTGCTATGCTAGATAAAAGATGCAATATAGGTCTTGCGGGGGGTCACAAAAAAATCATAATGAAGTATAGGGCAGAGAATCATCGAAACCGGGGAGGACACGAGAGCCAAGTAAATAGAAAGGGATCTTCTGGGCGGAAAAACACAAGTGCCCAGAGAAGGAAGGGAAAGAAAAACGCAACTTTTCCAGCCAACCCGGACCAACCGCTATTATGCACCGTGACAGGGTTAAAAAAAAGGGTGGTCACGTAACACATGTCATTAGGAAAGAGGCAAGAAAAAGGGAAAAGGAAATCAAAATCGGAGTAATACAGATCCTGACGAATCATCCGGAACGTTGGAGCGTGAGGCTTTTATAGAAGGGTTGATGTCCTTTAAGCGGCCTGTGCGGCCTGTGTCTGGCTGCGGCCCTTGGTGGGAGCATTGCCGCCACGGCCACGGGGAGCGAAGCCTCCACGACCGTCGCGCTGGAAGCCACCGCGGCCCTGGCTGCCTGCCCGGTCACCACGGCCACGGCCAGCACCACCGCGGCCAGGAGCGAAGCCATTACCGCCAAAGGCGTTGCCGCGGGGACGGCGCTCCTCGACAAGAATCTGCTCACCGCCGACCTTGTGGGGGTTGGCAGCGACGGCGGCAACATAGGAAGCGGGCTCCATGTACTCGATGAAGGCGCAGTTCTAGGAAGTAAAGGTCAGTCTGGAAAGTAAACGGGAGTGTGCAGTTAATAGATGAATACGAACCTTGCTGCGGTTGACGTCGATGTACTTCAGCTTGCCGAAACGGCTCAGGACGGTCTCGAGAAGCTCGGTGTCAACCTTATCGGTGACGTTCTTGATATATCCCAAAACGGTCTGCTCCTCGCCGGCACGGGGCTGAGTCTTCTTGTGGTCAGCACCAGCGGTCTGCCAGCCGGCCTCGTTGGAAGAAGCCTGCTTGGGGGCGGCCTTGGCAGCAGGAGCAGCGGTAGCAGCGGGCTGCGCAGCACTAGCGGCTGGGGCAGCGGGAGCAGCAGCCTTGGGGGCGGCAGCCGGGATGGCGGGGACGACGGGCTTAGCACCGGGCTTAGAGGCGATGTTGGCCCAGGTCTTGGGGAGGGAGGGAGCGGGAGCAGATTCCTCAACGGGGGTCTCCTCCTTCAGTTCCTGCTCGGGAACGGGAGTGGGCTCGGGGGTAGCAGGCTTGTCCTGCTTCAGGATCTCAGCCTCCACGACAGGAACCGGAGCCTCGACTTCCTCGGCGGGAGTGCCGTTGGTCTGGGGAGCAACCTCGGGTTGCTCGACCTCGCCATTGGTCTCCTGCTCAAGCTTCTCATCAACGTGGGAGGCAGCGACCTCGTCAGTCACCTGCGCCTCAGCGACCGGGGCGGGCTCCGCAACCTTGGGGGCCTCGGCGACGGGCTCAGCAACCTCCTCTTCCTCGACCTCCTCCTGCTCATCGGCGAGGTATCGGAAGATATCATTCAGCACGTAGTAACCGTTGGGCTGCTCGGCCAAAACGAAGGTCTGGATGAACTTGCGGGAAGGCTCGGACTTGTTGGAGATCTCACCAATGACCGAGACGAGAATGTTGTCGAAGGAGGCCTGGGAGTCGACGTTCAGAACGCGCACCTTGCACTCCTGGAAGTCGAGCTGCTTGATCTTATCACCGATGGCCTAGAGAGACAAGCAATGGTTAGCGATGAACATAGGTGGTGAACGAGTCCGTGACGATGCGAAACTCACCTTGTTGCCGATGAAGACGGGCACCGACTCGGCCTCGGTTCCGAAGACGAGCTGGGAGCGCTTAGAGTAGAACAGGTGGAGCTTGTCAGGGTTGCGGCTCATAGTCGTATAGAACTGCTCAACGAAGAACCAGCCGACCTCATCCTTGCTGATCTCGTTCTTGTCGGTGGGAGTGGCGGTAGTGGGAGTGGAAGACTGAACGGGCTGGAAGTTGGCAGCGGTGTTCATGGCCACATGGGCCTGGGTGTTGAAAGAATCGGGAAAGCCATGCTGGGCAGCGTAATTGCCGTTGAGAGGAGCCTGGGTCATGTCGGCCATTGCGAATTGAGGGGTCGCGTCTTCGGTTGGGTGTGGATAAAGGTAAAGACGAAATTAAAGTAGCCGAGAGCGTTGAAATGATCGGACGGCGACCAAGAGATAAAAGGACGTCTAGTCAGGTGGGAAAGATCTAAGATCACTCTGTGCCCGCTCGCTTCCTTGATGCTTGGTCAGTTCGGATATCACGATCGCGGTGGAGATTTGTCAACCAGGAGTGGAACTCACAAATGCGAAATGGACCTAGCACCAACGCAATCAATTGAAGAGAGGCAAAGGAGGGGAAGAAAAAAAGAGGCGAAAAACGGAGAAGTCTCTAAATTTGCGGAGAGGGTTCGGAGAAGTATGCGAGAATCCAGAAGAGATCGTGTGCGGATCAGATCAGGACGGAAGGGGGGAGGGGAAGGAAGAGGAGATGCGAGAATCGAAGTGGACGATGAGGAGAATGGACGAACTATAAACGGGGAGATGGAGAAGGAAGTGGAAGATGCGGAATGGAAGCTTTGGGGAAATTCGCCTTAGAAGAAAAAGCGACTTCGCCTTCGTCGACTCCGTGCGGGTTTCGCGTGCGCCAGGTTATTCACCGCCCGGCAGAAAGAGTCATCCGATATAGCTTAAGCTTGGGCTTGAGTTTGAGATTGAGATTATGATTGTGAGGTCGCAGGAACTACTGATCATGTGTTTTCGTGCTCTCTGGACTTTCACTTGAATCCCTATGTAGTACGAGGTAGCTTTGTGATTGACAGGTATGTAGAGAAGAATAGACATAGGATTCAGGATTCAAAGCCAGAAACCATATACTTGGAGAAAATAAAGAAGAAAAATCATGGAAAAATCATCAGATCGAAAACGCCATAAGATAACATCAAAAGAAAGAAGGGGGTATGTATGATAAGACGTGCGAGCAAAGAACGAGTGAGATCGTACAGCCTCAAGCCACGAGGCCCGTATTGGGGGGAATAGATAGAGGAAAACAACACCAACATCGATCGCCGCGCCATCGATTCATGCGCAGCGCATACATATCCAGCTAATTTAGGTAGAGGTCTCAGCTGCAGCCTTCTCGTCCAACGGCTTGCGCATGACGGCGTCCTGGCCGGTCATCCTTCGTCCGAGAGCGCGCTCGACCTTAGCGCCGAGGGCCAGCTTGTTCAGGTTGTCGGATTTTTCGGTCGTGGGCACGAAGCGCTGGGCCTCGAGGGGCTTGTTCTCAAGACGCTCCAGGCCGTCGCCAAGGTGGTGGATGTCGGCGACTCTGGGGTCGCCGCTAGGCAGACTCCCAATCGTGCGCTCGGAGGCGGCGAGCGATGGGTTTCCGCTGATGGTGGAGAATCGCTTGGAGGTTCGGTTCTAAGAGGTGAGGGTTAGGATGCCGTTTTCTTTGACGTTTGCCACGGCCTAGGAGGTCTGGCGAGATTGGAGATGCCGGTAAAGACCTACGGAGTTGGTCATGATGGGTCGTTCTGAGTCGAGGGACTGTTGGCGCGCCATTTCTCTCTAGGGGATATGGGGGGTTGAAAGGGTCGTGGGTACTGGAGAAAGACCAGATTGGGCGCGAATTGTGCAGAAAGTAACCCAGAGACTTGTGGGGATGATTTTAGTATTTTAGGAGAGGAGGGGAATGAAACAGGTTGCAGAGGCGACTCAGGAGGCGCAAAACGGTTCAGTGGGTCAAAGGTCGGTGGGGTTCAGGAGCGGATGAGAGGGATCTGCCTCTAAAGGGTATTTAACACAGCGATCCTTTTTTAGGGCCAAAGTCGGTCGGCGAGAACTGGTATGGTTGGATTATCCTAGTGGAGATATGTAAAAAGGGGGGTTCTCAATCTTATAATAATAGCGTGGTTCAGCCACGCCCAGAAATGAGATTGAACAATGGAACGACCTGGGGCCACAAGGATTATGGTGGGACTTTTGCCACGTGCAGATCAGCCAGGATGAAGTGTAAATCTGCCTAGTTCAAGTATAGTACAATAGTACAAACCTACAGGGTTTGGCTGAGGTTTAAGATTGAAAAGCAGAGCGTGGAGAGAAGCTGGCCAACTACAGAGTGGATGACGGAGAATTACTTCATTTTACGGCCGATCCTGTGCCACATGGGTATGCCCATTATTATATCATACTGAGCCTAGGATTTACGCTAGACACTAGATAGAAAAAAAAAAAAAAAACGAACCGAGGAAGTAAGCACTTAACAGAAGCCCCAGTCCGAGAGTCTTGGCATCCTCATCGCGTGGAGACTTCTAAACTTCTTCTAATTCGTTCTACTGTGCTCGGACGAAGAACACAAACTTTGCACGCCTTCTTAATACGCCAAATTGACCAGTTCCGGAGCAAGGGAAACAAGCTACCGAAGATGCCCAAGCCCAAGAGTCTTCTCAAGGACTTTAAGCCCAAGAAGAAGGCCGCCAAGCAGGTACCATACCCTCCCATCGTATGATCGCGTTCAGCGCTAACTATTATAGGCCACGCCAGTCACAGCCGACGATTATCTCGCCGGTAAGGATCGACCTAGATCGACCATTCACAAACTGTACGCTAACTTGCCCCAGCGGGCGTTGAGCTTGAGGAGGCTGGTGAGAAATGGCGAGCGGGGGATGCCGCCAAATCCATGCGCTTCTTCATGCGCGCCATTTCTAAATACGACGAGGGTTTACAAAAACATCCCGCTGCGTTTGATCTAGCTTATAACAAGTATGTAAGATTGTTCAAACTTGAAAAATTCGTTTAGGATGAAACTGTTGTGACATACATCGTTATTCGACCCCCACTAACGTTTCCCCAGAGCGAGAGTTCAATATGAAATCACTCAGCATCCTAAGCTGGCTGCCCAGCTGCCAGCGCCCCAGTCGGAGATCCTACAAGTGGCCCTGCAATCGCACCGGGATGCATTGATGCTAGAGCAGGATAATGCCAATGTGCTCTTCAACTCCGGTCAGGTGTTGAACAGTCTGGCGGAAGTGATCTCGGATTCGAAACATCCCGATGAGGAGCAGATCGTGCAGGCAACCACTTATCTGCAAGAGGCAATTGAATTGTTCCAGAGGTGTCAGGTGCTGCAAGATATGCGTTACACCGAGATGCAGGAACAAATTGAGGAGATGCAATCCGCAGGCCCGGAAACACAGGCCCAGGTCCAGGCTCCGGAGCCGGCACCTACCCCATCAGCCAGTGATGAGGATGCTGGAGACGAAGAACAGACGCAGTGGGCGGCCATTGTGGAGCCAGTCACTAAAAATACGCTTGTCGACACTGCTGTGGCGCAGTTGGATACTTTGACCACATTGTGCAACCTGCTGACATTCAACCCCAGTGGTGGTGGCGTTGGCTGGGTGCAGGAGTATTCCTCGGGGCTCGTGCAGACTCGACTTCCTGCCTATGTTGAAGGTTCGGACAGACAGTATGAAGCAAGTCTGGCGCGGGCAAAATTCATCTGTGCCATACACGAAGTCCTTTATCTGGGCGGACACACCGATGTCGAAACCTATCAACAAGAAGTCGGGCAGGCCTTTGGTCCGGACTTGGATGTATCAGCCGACCCCGAGGGACTGTGCAGCAAAGCCGAGGCATTGACCTCGCTCAATGGAGCCTTCTCAGACGTGCCCCCTATGAGCGACCCCGAATCATTCAAGCGCGCTTTGTACTTGCGCTGGCAATCACTTTCGACCGCCTTGGATGCCTTGACAAAAGCATCTAAGCTTCCAGATGCGGAAAACCTTCCCAAGATCCACCTCGCCCGAGGTGATGTGGAAATGCAGCGCTGGAGGCTTGGAACGGCACCCTGGAACCACGCGATGGCTCAGCAGTACGGTGCTACACTCTTGAAAAACGCGCAAACATACTACCGCGGAGCCGCCGCGTTAGCCCGCCGCGATGGTGCTGCCGATGAAGAACGCGACGGAACATGCAAGGAGGCAATCGCAGCCGCAGTAGAGGGACAAAAGGCCAAGCTGGATCAGCTCAAGACCACAGCTCTCGAGCAAGTCGTGGCAGTAGCCACAGACATGGTGGAGGATGGCATGATCGAGGGCACAGTAATGAGCGCCCTGATCTCATGAACAGAAACCACGGAATATAAAAAACCACTTAGATACCTGGCTGAGCATTGACTTCCTCGTCCATTTGGAGCGTATCCTCGCGAAGATGGTTCTCCTCACTGAATTGAGTAGCCGCTTTAGCAGCATCCTCGATATCCCCAACAACAGACTCCAGGTGAGCCAGTAAACTCTCAATCTCCAATCTTTGAGCCTGCACAGTTTGCGCAAGCTCCCCATTCTCAGCCGCAGTAGCCTCAAGCTTACTATTCAGAGTTGATTGCGCCTCTTCAAGATACGGCGTCAAATGCGCATTGTAAAGCTCTTCAGCGCCGAGTGTGTGAGGACTGCGTAGAAAAACGAGTTAGCTCAAACCATGAAACCAACGCACTCAAGGTCAAAAACGTACGCTTTCTCAGGCTCGGCTCCATCCCCCTCAGCCTCCCTTCGTGCCCGCGCATCCCCAACCAACAGATCCAATTCATTCAAATGCTGCACAGCCTGTCTCTCCTCCACAATCTCTTCAAACTCAGTCTTCGCGCTCTCCTCCAATTTCGCGTTCAATTGTCTCCAAACGTTCTCCAGACTTGCAGGCACATGTCGCGCAGGCGTAGGGAAGCAGCTCGCGAAATTGGCGTATGAGTTTGCGCGTAGTGTGCGAGCAAGCGCTTGATCGAAGACTTGGATCAGGCGCGAGGCGCGTGGGCCGGGGACTTCGGACTCTGGGGCAGGCGGGGGAGGGGCTGATGAAGCGGGTTGGGGTGGGTGGGCATTTGCTTGGGCCATGTTTTTTCCGCGAGTATGTGTTTTGAATTGAGTCTGCGATAGCGGTTGGCTTTTGCTGGGTGAGGCTGTCAACTTGTTTGGCGAAGAATTTGGACATTGGGGTATTTGAAGATGCCTCAACGGCGCGACGCGCTTGTCACGTGCAGGGTCCACTTTATAGAGATGTCAAGGTAAACATATCAACGTATGATTCCACTACGAACTGAAGCCATTTGAGGTTCATTTAACTGACAAAGATGGGCTATGATAGATTACAGAATTCAATAGGCAGTACCACTCTTATTAGGAAGGTGAGAGTAAATTACAGAACTCGAAATCATTCCATAGATATATTGACCGTCCGTAGGATATTCTCATTCATTTCGGAAGGTAGACACTTCTCGGTGTCATAGTGCCCTGGGGCCGCATATTTTCGCAGAGGGCTTTGAATGCCGGCCACGAAATATTTATGTAAATCAGACTATTCCAAAAGCCTTGTAGAGGAAGAACGAAGCTGGAGGCATAGTTGAGTCCAAAAGAAAAGGCATTTGGGCGAGCGAAAGCGTATACCCTGTTTACAGTGGAAGGAACCTATATTGTATTAGAGTGATATTCTGCTATATCTCAAGCGCTAATTGGATAACATACCCATGTTACAAGAAGCGCGATAAAAAACAACATGGCGTACTTCGTATATGCACACGCAGCCGAGTTGGCCTCTGTAGCCACTGCCCGCCTTTGAGAAGCAAATGAATCTAGCACCCCAGAGCGAGCATTCATCGGCAATATTTCCGTTCGAAGAGGACTTGAACTCGGACGAGAACTGAATGCTGGCCCATGAGGCGGTATCGCACCGGCGTGTTGAAGCCCTCTGATGGGATCCAAGGGCCCACCTTCAATGGTCACAGAGTATGGACAGAATGAAGACGCATTGAAGCTTCGTGCGGGCTGTATCTCGGTGCTTGATGTAGAATGGCGTTCTGGCGAAGAGCAGGCGATCTCGCTGGTGACCTGGATGCCGGCCAGCTTCATGACTGGGTGAATATCGCTATCAATGGAATCGATGCCCCCAACCCCTCGTAGTTGGCGCCGTTTTTGGTAAATCACGGATCCGGCGCGCAAGTAGATTGCGAATGTGAGGGAGATGACGAACCACACGGGACCGTAGAAGACGGCGATGCGGAGGAAGTCCCATGGGACGGCGACCCAGCACCATAGCTTGAAAGGTATTAGGAACGGAGAAGTAGAAGCGTGATCATTGGAGAAAACCTACAATAGCAGAACCATAAACACGACCTCGTGATTGTGTCTTAATAAAAAAGTATGCAAAAGCTGGTATAAACGGTAGACCGTAGCAGCATAGCACATACTTCCATTCCAGCTGGCGTAGTTGCTCCGAATTATACTTGTGAAAAAATGTCAAGTAGACATTGCAGGCCATAGCGAAAGTCCATAGTGCGTCTGCCGGCATGAACCTGATTTCAATTAGAGTTAGATGGCACCTAGGACCATCTTTACTCACCACTGAATCAAAAAAGCCTGAAATTGACATAAAGAACTCCCAAAGCCAGCCTGTATACCTGACTGAGATATTAAAGTCGCGATATTCGCCATGATGTTTCCCCAGGAGGCATAGAAGACGAGACGATTAATAGGCTTGCGAAATGAACGGAAGCTTATGAAGGTACTGACAATTACGAAGGTGCCAACCAGCGAGACTGCAGAGCAGATACGCTCTGTGAGCGATATTGCGAATAACTGTGCCTGGGATGGTGACATGGTGAGATGGCCTTCAGAATTGCGCTTGTTTGACACAAAGCTTCAGACACAGCGGGAGCTTGAGAGTAGACTTCCTTGCCACACCAGGAGATGTAGAGAGTAAAAAGGGGCTGCTGAATATGATTGTACCCGTGTGAAAACCATCCCCGGATGGTCTAGGACAGATGTATCCGCAGAGCGTGGTACCCTGGTGGTCGGACCCGTAGATTATTGTAAAAGCAACCTGCTTACTTCACAGTCCAACTAAAATAGCAGCGATGATTATGAGACCAGCTCGGCTCACATGGGGTCTTGTTGGAAACTGGTCCTCAGCAGGGATCTCGCCAGTCGAGGTTGGAATTGTAGGGAAATCACTACTAAGAGCAAAAGAAACGAGAAAATTTTAGTGGATCAAAAGAGACCTTTTAAAACACGACTAACAGGCTTTGAAGAAATTCCTCTTTCTAAAACGCTCTAAACTTATTGTCGGGGTGTGCCGTCTGCATGAATGAACTTAGGGTCGAGCAAGACAAAGGGTGCTATACGCATCTGGTAGTCACTAGAAGCACCCTGGCCATCCGAGCCCCCTGAAACATGCCAAGAATCTTTGATCATGGTTCGGGATAACATAAATTTGTGAACAAACACCAACCGTATTCCCTTTCTCCGCAGAGCTCGTTTGGCCTCTTTCGGATCAGGGATCTCTCTGAGTCCTAAACGCTACCAGAAGGGGGGTGTAAGGGGCATGAACTTCCAAGAACCTTATATCCGATATGTTTCTATAGGGGATAGATCTTATATTGGGCACATAGTACATAAAGGGAAACGGTGGTAGCGGGTAACCCCCTTCTCCTTGATTTATACGGCCATACCAACCCACGAGAAAGCTACTGGTATTGAAGCACACGAAAACGAAGAACTCATTGCAGAAATTCTCTAGAATGGCACATTCTCTTCTACTACCTACACCACACTATCATGACCTACTTTGCACAGTAATGTACAGCCAACTTGATTGGTGCTTAGGTGCTCACCTACAGTGACTCTAGCTACTCTACTAGAGGGGAACCCTTAGTGTGCGCGTTCGTAATATAGACTGCAAGAAGCTTCTTGTACGTTAATGTGCATGTCCAAAAAGTATGTACTGAGGACTATACAGAAGTAGATACAGAACCATCTTCCGACTTTGGAGCCTCGCTTAACCTCTTTCTGGCCCTTTCAAAATAATCTTTGCATTTTGGAAGACCTTGCCTTATAGCTGGAACGCTAGAAGCAATGAGTGCAGTCGATACCTCCACAACAGAGCACAAATAAATCGGCACATTATCCCGAGACGGGTCACGAGCCCTATAGAGATGAATCACAAATCCTAGTCGTACAGCAGCAGCTGCACACGCTCTGGTTCAGTGAGTTCAAGTGGTTTTAAACGTGTTTGCATGAGGATAAAGAGACTCACGAGATACCGGTGGAAGAAAGCAGCCCTAGAATGGCTATTTTTTTTTTCAAGGCAAGATGAAGGCCTGTTTTTGAATGTAAGTATAGTGTGCGACTGCGATTAAGCCTTAGCATAGAGTGGGTCAACTAACCAAGTATTGGTTTGATAGGTAACACCACAATCCAAATGTTGGTGACCAGAAAAACGACGGCCACATCACACCAAAACACCAGAAGTGAGATACATGAGTGTTCGCCCGTATCTTCATCAATCCACAGACCTGCAGCGGGCTTGCACTGAAATATGGCGACAAATAGAAAGGCAATACTTATCAGTACAATAAGTACCATGGTGAGAATAATCGTAATCCGAAGGATTATCCGAAATAATCGATAGTATAAAAACAAGATCGAAAGTTTGATCATCCCACTTGACAGGATGTACAAAACCTGAGTGGATAGTTGCGTCTTACCAGCGTGTCAGTTCCAGTCCCCACCAAACTCATCTATCAATTTACGCACCTTTTCTAGAGCGTAGAGATTTTCCGGCCCGGTCTCCCCTGTTCCATATCTCACCCCTAGAAAGTATCATGACGACAGGATTTGAGCGATAGGTGGATTTCGCACTAACCTAAGTCCATTGCGACAATCATTCCAACGGCGATTATTGTTGCAGCTAGAGCACACCAATCATCCATGCCTGGTGTATGGGAAATTAAAAAACGCGCAATTAATCTCATTGCGGTTACCAAGATAGCAATAAACATGAGTATGGATGAGACCAGAATGAGAGAGATCCCTCGGCCTGAGGGTGCCTGAAATCTAATCAGAAAGGCCTCCTCGAATGATATGCAGCTAGAAGCAATTTAGCTTAAGCATACCTCTCTACTGCTCAAATTAATCATCCTCAACACTTTGCTGTTCTTTCCCGGGATAGAGAACCGTTGGATCAATGCGAACAGACAACCCTTTCGACGCTTGACGATGGTGTTAACAACACCGCATCTCAGGTAAATGAGTATCTTTGTCAATTTTCTCCATTTAGATGGGGTGACGAGGATGACACTTACCTCAAAAGATCTCAAGGTGCCCATGCCATTCCAGAGAAGTAAGCATTGACGTCGTGACGTCATAGATCTGAATCATTGACCACCACCCGGATATATACAACCCCGAGAATGCGTGAAAACAACTGGCAGTGTACGGGCATAGATGTCTTTCAATTGAACGCAATCGAGCCTTTTCAACCAGTTCAATTATAATATGGAGACTACAAGGCCTCAGGGCTTCATTGCATAACTTCTTTTCGACTACTTCACATCTTGTCCTAGTCCCATTAGATGATGCACCGCCATATCTGATCCTTTCACATAATAATCCATAGTACCGACTATTTCATCAGGGATCTTCACAAACTGCCCGATCAGCGCCATATTCTTCATCCCTTGAGGAATAACCTGCGGCCGGTCTTCGGACGTCCGCGGCAAAAAGGCCGCTGACATGCGTGGCACTACACAAGGAATAGTCACCGAGTTAAGGAGGATTGAATCAGCCGGGAATTTTAGCTGATGCAGAATCTCCGTCATGATTTCCTTACCCGAGCACTCGAGCATGGGTTTCTTGACATAGTCGCCTTCTTTTCCTGGGAACGTTGCATAGCCCCAGAACACTTGCACGTCTTCTGGCTGATCCGGAAACATGGGTTGCTGGGGAATGCTGAGGTTGAGCAGCCAGCTGCTGTCTTTAAGAGTGACGAAGACTCCGGAACCCGGGGCATCTCCCGTCAACTCGGTGAAGCGATTAAAAAACTCCGGGGTCTTGAGCGTTATGGTAAATGACTCCTGTCTGGACTCAGTCATCCGCGTGCAGAAGTTGTACGCATTGCCAAACTTCTCGTTCTTCGTCGATAGTTCTAGCCACAGTAACCAATTGTCATCCAAGTCTTTCTCGATCTCCATCATCTCAAGCGATGGCGGCGTGGTATTTGTTCCGCTTGTGGCGCCAGATATGACTGAGCCCACGGATACAATCACAATGTCGTTGGGCCTGACATTGATTGAAATTTCCGGTTCGTTGACTTTAACCGCGCAAATTGAAGAGACATATTCATGGGCGGAATCAAGAATGATATCTGTGACGGTCGTGCGGAAACGGAAGTCGACTCCGCGGGATTGAAGGAATTGAGCGATTGGTATGATGATAGCCTCATGACGATTGTAATTCCCGTTATCGAGCGGACGCAGGTGGTTTAGTTCGTGCTCGCCGTTCTTGTACCATTTTACAAATCGGCGGAACTCAGCGGCGCTGTGCCTTTGTTCAAAGCCGAAACTGTTTGTTGTAGGCGCCGGTCAGCGTATCTCCAGATACCAGATGATATTTGTCTGAACACATACGTAGTAGCAAGATTCAACCAATACGTGCTCTTGAAAAAGCTCGAGTGGAAATGATCTTGAATACGAGATCGTCCAAGACTTTTCTCGGTCTTTGAAGACAGCATATACAGGCTGAAGCGGTCTCTCAATCCCATTCCAATTCGTTTTGGGTCAATCCGTGCCAATTCATGAGACTTGCGAGAGAGGAATCGTGTGTGCGGGGTCTTGTAAGGTGGATTTGTGCGGTTGAACTCACAGAGATCGTTAAGCGCGGTTTTCTTTGGGTCCGATTTCGATGGCACAAGGGAAAGAAGTTTCTCCATGTAGACGCCATTGAATGCTGGCATCGCTCCGGCATGATAATCATACCCATTGACCGGGTCTCCCGTGCTGGTGGACCCTCCGCCAGCTTTCTCCAGCGTTTCAAGAATGTGGATTCGTGAGGGTGGAATGTGAGCCTTCTGGATCAAAAGTGCCGCCGATGTGAGCGAGGCGATACCGCTCCCAAGAATCCAGGCATCCATGTCGCCCGGACATCGAGGTTCAGGTTGCTGATCTGGCGTGTTAGGCGACATTGGGTGCCAGCGATTGTATGCGCCGAAGGTAGCATGGAGCACATTGAGAGTCACAAGACGAACACAAAATTCAAAAATTGAAACAACCTGAAGAAAGTCCCACACGCCGCTCTGCCTGACCGGGACATCAGGTTGATGTAACGTTGGTAGTGATGGGTTGATCCGAGAGTGATGTCAGGCTTAAATTGTTACCTTGGGTCTTCCCGGAGTCTTCTGCACGTTTGCAACCACCATTTGCCCGGCGGGGGGGGGTTGTTGACCATCCACTTTAGCTCAGAGGATTTCCAAAATATGCGTCTGAAGGGTTGCCGGTTTACCCGACACGTCTATATCATCATGCAATGTACATATTGTGGGTTTACCAACATTGGATATCTTCCATTTGTACATTGCAGCCCTGGAGACGCGAGTATGTTAGTCAAAAATCGAGGCACATAGCTACTTCATTGAGGCTATAAACATGCGTTTGTTCAAACTTGACAGGTAATCAATCATCAAGCCAGGAAGCTGGCCGAATACTTCACATAACATCAAGGAACGAAGACGAAGCAGTTCAAATAGCAAAGCTGTAGATAAAATCATAGTCAGAAGCCCTTCATGACCGGACGGACAAGTTATAGCAACGAACACCAAGCACTGTACAGTACAATATAGAAAACAAATGATCGTGGCGAGTATCCAAATTGATCTGCTTCCTTCTTCTTTCTACTAGAACAGGCATATTCAAGATCCCATGCTGCTTTATGCTCTACACCATCCTCCGCACTGGGTTAAGTCCAGACACACTATTCAAGTCACAAAGGACGTGAGGCAGAGGCCTGCCCTGTAACAGATGAGGGGGAAACCAGGTGAGAATCTAGACAGTAGCCCTTTGATCAAAAGAGAGAAATTCCTCAGTTCAAGGCCATCGAGGCAAAAGAAAAGAAAAACATTTGCAGGAAAAGCTATGCAATATGTAGCCACTCACTTCTTGACTTGCGTGTCAGATCCCAACGTGGTGCAACCGAAACTTGAAAAAATGAAAAAATGAAAAGAAACAAGAAAGAAATTGCCCCCATCGGGTAGTTATAACGCCGAGGTCTCCCATATCCGATCATCTAAGTCGAGCTCGTCATCTCGTTATGCGAATTCTGGCTCATCAATACGCCGACTGGGGCGGAACCATGCCTCCGTATGCTCCAGACATCTGCTGCTGCTGTTGATGCTGTTGCTGCAACTGGGCTTGTAGCTGAGGCAGATCGTGGAACCACGGATGCTGCAGGGCATCAGCGGCACTGATGCGCATCTCCGGACGCAGCTGGAGCATGCGGTTCAGCAGGTCCAATCCAAGAGGGTCGATCTGGGGAAGAATCAAGCTCAAATCTTGTGTTGCGTAGACGTGGAAAGTGGGCTTGTACTCTGGCAGCTGTGAAATACCGGGCCATGATCGTTCCGACGGCGTTCCCATCAGTCGGAAGATCTTTAGCAGCTGGTCTTCATTGGTTGTGCCGGGGAAGAGGGGCCGGCCTGTGTACATCTCGGCCATGATGCAACCGGCGGACCAGATGTCGATGCTGGTGTTGTAGGTACGACTACCCAAGAGGACATCAGGTGCTCTATACCACAGAGTGACAACCTCGTTGGAGAAGGTGTTGACCGGGATACCGAACGCCCGGGCCAATCCAAAGTCACCCAGCTTCAACTGACCCTTCTTGTTGATCAACAGGTTCTGCGGCTTGAGGTCACGGTGGAGAACTCGGTTTTCGTGGCAGAAGGCGATACCCTTCATCAACTGATGCATAAAGGACTTGATTGTGACCGGATCCAGTTGTCCCCGATCGCCCCGAGTGTCCATGTACCGCTTCAGATCCCGGTCCATAAACTCAAACACAAGCATGAGTTTGTTCTCGGTGTGGATGACATCGTAGAGCGAGACGATGCTCTCATGTTTCAACTCCTTCATCAAGGAAATCTCACGGATGGCAGTAGACGGGGTGCCTTCTTCTGAATCGAGGTGGATCTCCTTAAGCGCAACCATCTCGCCGGTCTGACGATTGCGCCCTTTGAAGACCTGTTTAATTTCTCGTTAGCGACAGAACTGGGATAATAAACGACGGCGACGGGAGCACCGGAACGTGCTGGATGATTGTGGGAGGTCTGGAGGACATACGGTAGCATAGGTACCTTCACCAAGCTGTAGAACAAGAGCGAGTCAGTTATTGGATAAGGCCTAGGGACGACAGATTGGGCGTGATACCTTCTCCAGCTGCTGGAAAGAGCTGGGCTGCTGTTTATCCATGCTTCTTGGAGGGTGAGAGGACAGTCCCGAGAGAGGTTTGGGATAGAGAAAAGAGCCAGGCGAGACGAGGGACGAAGGGCGGGCTGCAGGATCCCTGAGACGCTCCATGCTGATGAGGAAGGAGCCCCGCGCGCAGTGGGGGAGTCCGAGGGTTGGGCCAATGCTTATGGCATCCGGCGCTTGGAGGAGGTTTAAGGCTTGTTTTACGTTCATTACGCATATGAGATCAATTTCAATAAGAGACTACTATCTTTTCATGCACCTATTTTGTCTAGTAGAGGTGATTGTGTCAGGCAGAAAAAGAAGAAAAAAAACCGACTCCGGGAATCGAAGATCATCACGTGATACATGTGAAGTCTAGCCAGGCCAATCGTCGATCAGATAGGTCCACGGGGTCTGCGTTATCCTAATGTTCTTGTTTCAAGTGATGGGAAGAATCTAGCATCTAGGTTGTCCAGTGTGTCAAAGACTTGTACATATGTCTGAGAACTGGGCTTGAGGTATGGCCAAAATCAATTCATGTAGTTATTGAAAGCTATACAGATCTAGCATTCGTGTACCATGCGTATTAGTACATCTCGCCTAGATTATCGAATAAGGTACTGGCGAATTTGTTATTTGCCGGCCTTTTCATGGATAGCTTCCGAAGACCTATCGATCGTTTAGGAGTTCATCGGCAGCTTCGATACAACAGTGGGAAGAATCAACTGCGCAGGATGGCTACACCTGACACGAGGAGTCGGGTCAAAGTCCAGGTTTCCAAAGAGATGAGACTCGTTCCGTACTCCTCCGACATTTATAATGCCGATTGGCATGCCTCGCTTGTGTGCTCGTTCAACTAAGCGCCAGGCGGAGTAGGTGGCCAGACTGCTGCCCAAGACAAGTAAACGTCCAGCATCGTCGATCGCCTCTTCAGCCGCCGACTTGACCGTTGGATCAATATTCTCGCCAAACATGACCACTGCGGGTTTTAAGATACCGGCGGTTGATGTTGGCATCCATGCACCATCACGTTCAACCTCTACCTGAGCCCTCGAACCATCTTTCAGGGTGGGAGGTTTTTCCAAGCAGGTCGGACAGGATGGGTATCGGAACGTTGAGTACGGCGCTTCTGCCAAGTCGACATCACCATCTGGATTCAATTTCAAGCCTTTACGACGTTGCTCGTCCGGGTTGTGAGTGTCGAGGGCTCCAGCCTTCACCATGCGATCCAAGAAATCAGTCCATGCCGGATTGAGCTTTCTTAATGATGACTGGAACTCTTCTCGAGAGAACTGATTGTGACAGCTTGTGCAGACAACGGATCGTAGGTATCCGTGTAATTCGAGGGTCGGTAATTCTGGGTGAGCGAGAGAATGGAACGAGTCGACATTCTGCGTCACGACAGAGCTAATATATCCCTTGGTGCCGAGGTCTCGAATAGCCCAGTGGGTAGAGTTTGCTCGAGCTTTCACCAGGCCAGGCCATCCGACAAAGCTACGCGCCCAATATCGCTTGCGTGATTCATGACGTGACACGAATTCGTGGAAGTAGATAGGCCGATATGATTTGTTTCGTCGATAGGTCCCTTGTTCCCCCCGATAGTCAGACAGACCGGACGCGACAGAAATCCCTGCGCCCGTCAGTAGGACTGTTTGAGAGTGCCTCCCGACATCGATGCCGCGTAAATTTGGGGACGGTGACGCGGCAAAGAAGGCGCTCACAGCGTCGATCGCTCCTGCAATTGTGGTAGCTGAGGGCGGGACTATAATGGCCGGCGGTAATGGGCCCGTGAAAGGGATTCTAATTGCAGGCGTCGTCATTGAAGACGCATCATCGACGGATGGAGGTCTTGGCGAGTAGAAAAGGCGGCGGAGGTTCCGGCCTCGACAGAATTGTCCTACGGGCGCGTCTTGGCAAGTTACGGCATTTGACCCTCTGTGGGTTAAGCTCTGCAGGGAATCATTTCTGAGTCGAGTATAGTTCCAGTGATTTCCAATAGGGAGCTTGGTGATTGTAATTATAGTCGATCGTGTAGAGAGGGTCAGACATCAGCGCATCTGGGATCTCCATCAGCCGGATTACATGATCGGATCGAATGATATCCATAGGACCATTTCTCCTCATCAAATTCCCCTCGATATTCTAGGTTGTTTTGAACCATGCAAAGCCCGAAGTGAACACCCTGTCCACTCAGCCCTTTCGCCCGTGCTCGCGTGCCTCGAACTAAGACCAGGCCGTGATGCCGCTGACGCAGCCCCTGCGGTGCAGGCTTCGTCCCTCCCTCCACTCCCTCCTCAGGGTCTCCAATTTCCGTGGATCTGCTCAGCGGCGCATTCTCACCTACCACCCCTCTATAAAAACCCCTCCTTCCCTTCATGCCCGATCCCGTCCCATCCGCTCTATAACACTCGCTATGACGCAAACAAGGAGCCATGGAGGCCACAGCCACGGTCACGGTCACGGCCACCACCATCACCACGACAATGTGTACCTGACTTCCACCAACAAACGGGACGCTGGCGTTCGCATTACTCGAATTGGCCTCCTCGCCAACCTATGCATGGCCATTGGCAAGTTTATTGGTGGCTATGTCTTCCATTCACAGGCTCTGATCGCCGACGCCTACCACGCGCTCACCGACCTCGTCTCCGATTTCTTGACACTCGGCACCGTCGCATGGTCCATTAAGCCTCCGAGCGAACGATTCCCCAACGGATACGGCAAAGTAGAGAGCATCGGTGCTCTCGGTGTGAGCGGGCTTCTGCTCTGCGGTGGAGTGTTTATGGGTCTCAATGCCGGACAGGTCCTGCTAGCTCAGTTTTATCCCGACGCGGCTGAAACACTGGCACACTCTGGTATTCTGGGACATGGTCATTCCCACAGCCATGGAATGGACGCTATGGGGCCAAGCATCCACGCGGCCTGGTTGGCAGCCGGCTCTATTGTTGTTAAGGAGTGGCTCTACCATGCGAGTAAGTGTTTCATCATAGCGTGCTTGACAGAGATATATACTAACTGGATTATAGCTATGAAAGTTGCCGAGGAGCGCAAATCGTCCGTCCTAGCTTCAAACGCCGTCCACCATCGGATCGACTCTCTGACGAGCATTGTCGCTCTATTTACAATTGGTGGAAGTTATGTATTCCAAGACGCCACTTGGCTGGATCCGGTCGGCGGACTCTTGATCTCCCTGATGGTTATCAAGGCTGGCTGGGGTAACACTATCACCTCCCTATTGGAGCTCGCCGACACCACTGTGGACGAGGAAATCCGGACTAAAGTCGAAGAGGCCGCCGGCAAAGCCTTGAAGGCCCTCGAGAACGGCGGACAGGTGGCCATTCGCGATGTCCAGGGTATGAAGTCCGGACAAAACTTTTTGATGGAAATTGAGCTGGCCGTGCCTGGGTCCTGGTCAATCATGCAGTCCCGGGCCGTGGAAGAGGCCGTCCGCAAGACTGTTGGTGATGGCGTTCGCGGTGTGAAGCGTCTCAAGTTCCGATTTATCCCTGTAGAGCTGAAGGAGCTTACTTTCTCCGAAGAGTTCATCTTACAAGACACCGACGCGAGCCCCGAGCTCCATGATCACGAGGCTAACGGCGCCGCTTCTGGATCCCATATTCACGAGGAGCTTGACTCTCGGAAGAGGCGGTAGATGATAGAATTTGGATTGCGAGAAAATGAGCGGCATTACTGGTGCTGCTATGATACCCCACATTGGCATCTTCCGAGAGATCTGTACTGTGTATAGACCGTCTTTGAAGATAGAAATTATTAAACAAGACAGCAAGAAAATCTCATATTTTATTTTGACTCATTCAAACTCAGTACCTGTTACTTTTGATCTTACAATGTTTCACAGCCCACCGTTATGTCGTTATGTTGGCGGAAAGGAAACCTCTTCTTAAGCAAGCGTTTGATAGAACAGGTTGCCGTCACGGACAGCCGCCAGCAAGATATCAGGCAGCCTCAGGCCGACGACATTGGTACATCCCAAGAGTAATTCGTAAATATTCCATTCAAGTGTTAATAGCCATAAGTTTTCAAATCCATAACCTTGAATGGCGCATACCGGACCAGCCCACATTATTTGAGGGACTAGGAAGTCTGTTTCTGGACTACTGTATGTTCAGTCCTAGGGCAAGCCAATAGCAGATTTGGCCATTGCCTAGAGCCGCAAAGGCCCACGTGAACAAGAACATTGGCGGTTAAAGTGTATAACTAGAGGTGCCCAACAAGGTAGGCCCATCCCGAGCAATGGGCAGGTGTCCCCGCGATCCTGAAGTGGGGCAATAAATTCTACCGAGCTCCAGGGCTATTTAGCAGAAATCGATTTAGCCGGACACAGTTCTAGATGCACTCGCTGGGGGCACTAATGCATGGAAAATCCTTGTAATCCTTGTGACCCTAACTCACACCTTGTAGAATATGAGATACGAAGCAAATGGCTGAATAAAATTATCTTGTTCGCAGGTGCTTACACATAGGTGGGGAAGGTCCGCTTTACATCATTGCGGGCTCATCTACTCCGGCTCGAGGTTCGTTGCGCTTCTTCCTTGTACATTCTTTTTTGCCGTACAGGTTAAATTCGCTACCCCCCACATCCATAAGTCCTCCCTAAGGATTGAACTGATACTTGTGCGATTACAATTGTGTGACTCTGGCGCGCTCATTTACTATGGCGTCGCAATCTCCCCTCTATATCGGGTTCGACCTGTCAACCCAGCAGTTGAAGGGGCTGGTCGTCAACTCGGACTTGAAGGTTGTCTACCTCGCCAAATTCGACTTTGACGCCGATTCTACCGGATTCCCCATCAAGAAGGGCGTTCTAACCAACGAGGCCGAGCATGAAGTATACGCTCCGGTCGCGCTGTGGCTGCAGGCTCTTGACACCGTGTTGAGCAGCTTGCGTCAGCAGGGCCTGGATTTCAGCCGTGTCAAGGGTATCAGTGGTGCAGGACAGCAGCATGGAAGTGTCTACTGGGGCCATGAGGCCGAGGGTTTGCTGCGAAACCTCGACTCGGCCAAGTCGCTCGAGGAGCAGCTGGAGACAGCGTTCTCCCACCCCTACAGTCCCAATTGGCAGGACTCGAGCACCCAGAAGGAATGTGACGAGTTCGACGGGATTCTTGGGAGCCAAGAGGAGCTTGCTCAAGCCACAGGAAGCAAGGCACACCACGTAAGAAGCTCTCGAATGTTTGCTTTTGTCCGATGACGCTGACCCCGCGACTAGAGATTCACAGGTCCCCAAATCCTCCGATTCCAAAGGAAGTACCCTGAGGTGTATCAGAAGACAGCGAGGATTTCCCTTGTATCCTCGTTCATCGCCTCGCTTTTCTTGGGCCATGTGGCACCCTTTGATATCTCGGACGTGTGCGGTATGAACCTGTGGAATATTAAGAAGGGTGCCTACGACGTCGAGGCGCTCAAGCTCTGCGCCGGCAAATTCGGTGTCGAGGACTTGAAAAAGAAGCTGGGAGATGTGCCTGAAGATGGCGGACTACATCTGGGTTCGGTTCATCCATACTACACCAAGCGTTACGGCTTCAGCTCGGACTGCACAGTCATTCCGGCCACTGGTGACAACCCGGCGACCATCCTCGCGCTGCCACTGCTGCCATCTGATGCTATGGTGTCTCTCGGCACCTCCACGACCTTCCTCATGTCCACACCCAGCTACAAACCCGACCCCGCGACACACTTTTTCAATCACCCGACCACTGCCGGCCTATACATGTTCATGCTATGCTATAAGAATGGTGGCTTGGCCCGAGAGCATGTCCGAGATGCGATCAACGAGAACCTCAAGGACACACCTGCACAGCCCTGGGCCAACTTTGATAAGATAGCTTTGCAGACTCCCCCGATGGGCCAGCAGAATGCCACTGACCCTATTAAGCTGGGTCTTTTCTTCCCGCGACCGGAGATCGTGCCAAACCTGCGCTCGGGACAGTGGCGCTTCACCTATAACCCAACCACTGGACAGCTAAAAGAGACTACAGAGGGCTGGGCCACACCACACGATGAGGCTCGCGCGATAATCGAGAGCCAAATGCTTTCCCTGCGCCTTCGCTCACGAGGCCTAACGCAGAGCCCTGGAAATGGGCTTCCGGCCCAGCCCCGTCGAGTCTACCTCGTGGGAGGTGGATCCAAGAATGAGGCGATCGCCAAGGTGGCTGGAGAGATCCTTGGCGGTGTTGAGGGTGTTTACAAGCTCGACATAGGTGACAATGCCTGTGCTCTAGGAGCCGCATACAAAGCAGTTTGGGGAATGGAGCGGAAGGCTGGTCAGACATTTGAGGACCTGATCGGGCAACGATGGCACGAAGAAGATTTCATTGAGAAGATTGCGGATGGCTACCAGGAAGGTATCTTTGAACAATACGGCAAGGCCGTGGAAGGCTTTGAGAAGATGGAACAGTATGTCTTGCAGCAAGAGGGCAAGTAAAGTAGATATCCATAGAGTTGAGGTGTTTAGTACATTTGAACATTGATCAAAAGGAACTTGGACCTTGTCAGACGTCACTGGATCACGCAGCCCCTTGCCCCATTCGGCCACAAACCCTGTGATTTCCCTATCTCATCCCATAGCCTTTGATTTCAAGTTCATAATCCATCGAATCCTTCTTAATATAGCCATTCGATAGTAAAAGCGTGGTCAAGCGAGGGCGGAGCCAGGCACGGAAATCCGATTACGATACCATGGATGTGCTCCTCCACTGAAAACAATTTTGAACCCCAACACACATCCCCCTCGTTCCCTGTCCCTCTCCCCTTCAACAATCTGAGGGAGTTCCGGTTGGTCGAAGATGGAAGAACAGGTAAGCCTCTTTTCCGACTTCAGGTGCAAAAAAAAAAATCAATCCCCTCCCCCACTGCCACCGAGTCAGCCCCTCCGAGGGGTCCCTGACCATGCATTGACGCAACCCTCCACCCACAGGTAGCAAATGCCATTGAGATCGCCTGGAATCCGACCTCCGACCAAGCCCTGAAGTCGCAAGCTTTCGACTATCTAAACCAGCTTCGCTCCGATCCCTCCGGATGGCAGGTCTGCCTCGCCCTCTTCACCAAAACCCCACAACAGCCCGAGGTCGTACGGCATGTGAGCTTGGAGATCGTCAACAGTGCTGCCCAGGCTGGTCTTATTGATTTGGTATCGCTGGGTATCGTGCGGGATGGTTTAATGGGCTACCTTCGCCAGGTGTACGGGCCCGACGGTATCGCTACGCCCGATGCGACCTACATCCAGAACAAAATTGCGCAGACAGTCACCTTCCTCTTTTCCGCCCTCTACGCAAACGGTTGGGAGTCTTGTATCGACGAGCTTCTGAGTCTGACTTACAAGTCCGCCGCCAGCACGACCAGGGATAACGCACTTGGAATCATATTCTACTTGCGTGTGGTGAACTCGATTCACGAGGAGATCGGCGATGTGCTGGTGTCTCGGTCACGCGGAGAGCAGGATAAGGCAAATTCATTGAAGGATTTGATTCGGGGACGGGACATGCAGAAAATTGCTAGCTCCTGGCAAGAAATCCTGTCACAATGGCGGGATGGTGATGATACGGTCGTGGAGATGTGCTTGAAGGCAGTCGGCAGCTGGGTCAGCTGGATCGATATCGGTCTTGTTGTGAATCAGACCATGCTTGATCTGCTCTTCCAGCAACTCGGACGAGCCGAAAAGCAGGAATTGCGGGAAGGAGAGCAGCGGGTGCGCGATGCGGCTGTTGATGTCTTCACAGAAATCATCGGCAAGAAAATGCGCCCCGCCGAAAAGATTGAGATGATTGTTTTCTTGAACCTTGACTCGATCATTACGCAGCTCTCGAACAGCCCTCCCCTCCGCGAGAACCGATACACCTTCAAGTACGATGTCGATTTGGCGGAGACTGTCGCCAAGCTTGTGAACATTACTGTTATGGATATTGTGCGGGTGCTGGAAACCGACAACGGCCCGGTGAAGGAGAAGGCAGACGACCTTCTGCAGGTTTTCTTACCTCATATGCTGCGATTCTTTTCGGATGAGTACGACGAAGTCTGCTCTACCGTGATTCCCGGTGTCAACGACATGCTCACCTACCTTCGGAAGCTCTCCAAGACCAACGCCGCATTCCAAGAACGGAATAAGATATTCCTCCTCCCCATCCTAAAAGCAATTATTGCCAAGATGCGTTACGACGAGACCTCAAACTGGGGCGACGAGGACGAGCAGACAGACGAGGCGGAGTTCCAAGAGCTGCGTAAGAGGCTAGGTGTGCTCCAGCAGACCATTGCCTCAGCGGACGAGCAACTGTATATCGATGCTATATCAGAAGTCGTTGGTACGACCTTCGAGAACCTGCGTGCTTCCGGGGGTCAGATCGATTGGCGTGATCTGGATCTGGCTCTGCACGAGATGTTCCTGTTTGGCGATCTTGCTGTCAAGGGCGGCGGTCTTTACCAGAAGAACCAGCCCACGGGCCCGCCTGCAGTTCGACTTATTGAGATGATGCTCCGCATGGTTGAATCTGATATCCGCTCCTTCACCCATCCGGCAACACAGCTTCAGTTTATGGAAACCTGTGTCCGGTACAGCTCCTTCTTCCAGCACCATCAACACCTTATCCCCGGTGTGCTGGAAAGCTTCCTTCAGCTCGTTCACCACCCCGTTCGCAAGGTCAAGACCCGTTCGTGGTATCTTTTCCAGCGTCTTGTGAAGCAATTGCGCGCTTTGATTGGCAATGTTGCCCAGACTGTTGTCGAGGCTTTGAGTGACTTGCTAGTTATCCAAGCCGAGTTGCCCTCCGAGGGCGAAGACGGTGATGAGATGTCTTCTGAGGACCACGAGGGCTCTGCTGATGCCGTTTTCAACAGCCAACTGTATCTCTTCGAGGCTGTCGGTATCATCTGCTCGACCAACGGCGTGCCTGCCGACAAGCAGGTTCTCTACGCCCAGTCAGTGTTGAACCCTATCTTTGCTGACATGGAGCGGAACCTGGCGGCGGCCAAGGCCAATGATGAGCGGGCACTGCTCCAGATTCATCACGATATCATGGCGCTGGGCACTCTTGCCCGAGGCTTCTCTGACTGGATGCCTGGCACCAGCACCCCGGCTGCCCTACCAGCACCTGAAGTTTCAGAAGCTTTCTGCCAGGTGGCCGAGGCCACTTTGGTTGCCCTCGAGTCCCTCAAGGCATCCTTCAACATTCGAACTGCGGCTCGCTTCGCTTTCTCACGACTTATTGGCGTTCTCGGCGCTCGCATCCTGCCCCAACTGCCGCGATGGATCGATGGGCTTTTGACTCAGACCTCTTCGCGTGATGAGATGGCACTGTTCCTGCGCCTTCTGGATCAAGTGATCTTCGGATTCAAGGGTGAAATTTATAGCATTCTTGATACGCTTCTGACTCCGTTCTTGCAACGCGTTTTCTCAGGCATTGCGGATCCCACAACTGGAACCGATGATGAGATCCAGCTTGCAGAGCTCAAGCGTGAATATCTGAACTTTCTGCTGGCTGTCTTGAACAATGACTTGGGTGCGGTCATTATCAGCGAGAGAAACCAACCCATCTTCGAAACCGTCATCACCACTATTGAACACTTTGCCAAGGATATTGAGGACTTCACAACCGCCAAGATGGCCTTTTCAGTTCTGTCCAAGATGGGCAGCTCCTGGGGAGGGCCCGATATCGCCCCTGCGAATGGAGCCACGACTAGCCAGACCCAGCTGCCCGGCTTTGGTGGTTTCATGATCTCCCGATTCTCGCCCTTGTGCTGGGCACTTCCCACCACCCCATCCTTCAATTCCAAAGACGCACAAGCCAAGCAAGTTCTTGCTGAGGCAGGTGGAATGCAGCGCATTATCTACAGCAAGACTGGCATGGAATACGCAGACTACCTGCGCAACCAAGAGTTGCCCGGCATGGGCATGGGCGCCGAGCTGATTGAAGAATTCTTGACTGCATTGAGCCAGCTGGACGTGAAGGGATTCCGGCAATTCTTCCCGGTAAGCATTCATTCTCCATTCACTCCTCACGAATCCTAAACTAACCTCATTTCAGTCATTCATCCAGCGATTGAGCGCATGAACACCCCCTCGATGACCTTTTCTATTTCCTTCTGCTTTTTAGATTCCCCCATGCCACATCTCCTATTTCCGAGAACATGACGTCCTCGCCGACCTTGTGATATGAATTTTCTGTCGGTGACTCATGCCATCTATCATCATGGATACCATCTCTACCACACGTTTCAACCCCCCAAAAGAACATCCCCCTGCCCCTCCAAAAAACATCAAGGATGAATAAACGACTCAGGGAAGTGGAAAGTGGAAAAAAGTGGTTCCCCAAAACTCAAGTACATAGCGTTGATCACTCCCCTGGTGCATTCGCATCGCATCTGGGCCTTTGTATCCCCGACATAAGCCCCCTTCACACTGGCGTTTTGCCTTAGGTAGATCATGAATGAAAGTACTCTACAGAGCTCACCTCTTAAGTCATGAGTAGGAAGTAAATAATGAGTAAAAGCGTAAGACATGATTTCATTCCTATTTAGGTGATTCCCCTCCATCCATTTATTCAGTTTAAATCAGTTTTTTGATTTGTCAAATCACAGATCTTACCGGACCCTGGTGCTCACTTGAGCGAATTGCCATCAGAATCTGTTGAAATGGTCCATGAAGCCGTTTCCCATCCCGTCTATACAAGGAATCCCCCCAAAAAAGACAAAGCAAAAAGAAAGGAGATCACACACTAGTTTCCGAACGCCTTAGCCGCGTGCGCAACGTGGTCGTCGGCGAACGAGGCCATGAAGTAGTATGAGTGGTCGTAGTCTGGCTGGTAGTTGACCTTGACGTTGGTGAATCCCTTTTCGCTAGCCACGGCTTGCAAGTTCTCGGGAAGGAGTTGGCCCTGCTTGTAAAAGTTGTCGCCGGTGCCCTGCAGAGTTATTAGACTTGTTCGTTTGGATAAGAAGCATGGTACATACGACGTCGATCAGAATGTTAAGGTCCTTATCAGTCCACTTCTTGAGGAGCTCGGTGGCGTCGTGCTCCTTCCACTTTTCCTGGTCTTCGCCGAAGTAGCCCTTGAAGGCTTTCTGGCCCCAGGGGCAGTTGATGGGGTTGCAAATTGGGGCAAAGGCTGAGACGGACAGGTACTTTCCGGGGTTGCGGAGGAACTGGTTGAATCGGTTAGAGTCTTCTGTGTACTAGAGGGTTGAGAGAACGAACCAGAGTAAGAGCTCCGTGTCCACCCATGCTGTGGCCAGTGATGCTGACTTTGCTGGAGTCTAGCTGGGGGAAAGCAGCAAAGACGGTCTTGGGCAGCTCTTCGGTGATATAGCTGTACATGTTATAGCCTTTGTCGTAGGGGGCCTTGGTGGCGTCGACGTAGAAGCCGGCGCCGGAGCCGAAGTCATAAGAGTCGTCCTCGCCTTCAATGTTCAGACCACCTGTACAATTATCACATTAGCGCTGTTTCGACTTCTTCTCGGTCTAGTCTTAATGCATTTCCGGATAACATTGACAGGGCGATGACGTACGAGGGCTAGTATCAGGATAAAGCACAGCAATGCCCTGCTTGCTAGCAGCATGCTGGAAGAAGCCCTTCTCAGAGCAGTTATCGGCAGTACAAGTCAGGCCAGACAGGTAAATGAGGACGGGCACCTTCTGAGAGTCCGCCTTCGGGGGCAGGTAGAGGTTGAAGCCCATCTCGCAGCGGGTGGTGGCGGCATTGTGGCTCAGCTTAAGCAGCTTACCGCCGAAGGAGGCAATAGTAGCCTTGGTGGTGACGGACATGATGGGTGGGTATTAGGTGTAGGGTCGAGTTGGGGGTCTGATTGCGAGGATGAAGAATATAAATAGGAGTTGACGTTTTTGCGCGGGGTTTTTGTCCCGCATGAGGGGAAGCTCCACTGTGTTCTGCTTGCCTTTTGGGGTCGTTTGAGTTGCCGCTTTTGGTGTGCTGACTGCTTGCTAACTCGATTAATGGGTGGCACAGGATGTTAGTCCTATTCATCAAGGACTCAGATAGAGATGAAGGCGATATATTGGCAAACCACAGCGAAGAATGAACGAAACACACGGTATGAGATTCTGCCAAAAAAAGAGTCTACTCATGTCAAGTACAAGACAGATGATTATTAGAGGCCCTGGGTGTTCAACTATACCTAGCTTAGAATACCCATTCATAAGAGGAAAGTCTATCAGCAACGATTTGAATCATGTAGGAAGGTATGAAACTCAATTGCATCGACACAGTAGAGTATAAAAGCAGCAATGGCTACCAACCCACGAATTAGGAAAGGAAACCCGGCCAAGGACGAAGTAACAAGAAACGAATCCGAGTGATGCCCACAGTGGAGAAACACAAGGAAAATAAAATAAATTACAGATAAAAGACCCTAACCCAAAGCTAACTGATATCATCTCATCGTACCATCATCCCATCAATCCAAAAACACCGGAACACCATAAACGACGGGTGCAGCTCCATTCAAATACTTCAACACGCACGTTTCCCTTGCACCTGCAATCGCAGTATCCAGACCAACATCAGCCGAACGAGATTTTCCCTTCTTCCCAAGCAACCCCCACGTATCGAAGGTGGATGTACAGAACCGATCGATGTCTTTATCAGTGACATCCCACAATGTAGCAACAAGCGCCGGACTGCCAGCATGGAGGTAATTCATAGGCGTGCCGTAGGGCTCGTACTCGCCTGCTTCGGTCAAGGTACCGCTACTGCAGCCCATGAGGAAGGCGACGGCACATTTGTTCATGCGCTTGACAGTCCGACCGCGGATATACTGAGCGCCGCTGCCATGGCCGAAGTATAGGAATAGATCCTTTGTTTCGAGGGAAGTGCGGAACTCGTCTTCTGTTGGCTCGCGCTTGATTATACCAGTCCAGGATTTCTGCGCTGAGAGGTTCCCTTCGAAGGTCGCTTGTGTGGTGCGCAAATCGCCGGTTGGGTTGAGGATGAAGGCGCCTGAGGTACGATCTAGGACTGCGCCAGAGCGAGAGCCCCGGAACTGGAGGACTCGGTCGCGGAGACATTCCAAAGAGGGGACGCGGCAGACAGGGAATCCGTGGAGGCAGGGAAGAGATTCCCATGGGAATAAGTGGAGGGCCTTGTCCAGGACCAAGACGGTATGGCTGGGTGGTCGAGACGCGAGCTCATCTCGCGCGGCTTCGTGGTAGCCTCGCAATGCGTCGAGAGTGTCGACAACCATCATATCAAAATCGATCTCGTCGTAAGCATTGCGCTCACCCTGGAATTGGAGGATGTCGACCACAAAGTATAGAAGATCCATCAGCGTGTCTTCGGGCTCCTCCTGCTGCTCGAGATCTCGCAATCCAATAAACAACTCCACAACATTCTGGTGAAGCGTAAGACGAGGCGAAGAGGCCTTTCCGCCCTTTTGTCGAGAGGGAAGATGTTTGTCAAGAATACTTTGGAAGGCACTCGAAAACTTAGCGAGGGCTGAGCTATCCCGTGAAAGCGGCGAGAAAACACCCCTAAAGCCTCCAAACCAGACATTCTCAATGTTCTGCAGAAGGCTTTCCATTTGCTGATCAAGGGCCTCACGGTTCTTCCACCACTCCTTTTTCGACTGCTTATCAGTCTGGGCTTTTGCAGCATGCGCACTCTGGTTTGCCAGCTTGATAAGCTCTTGCATTTCATCCTTTCCGTCTTCGAAGGTAAACTGCTCTTCTTCGTCATCGTCAGAAGTGCCCCTCCGAAGTGGAAGTCGTAGAAGGAACGGCGAGCGATTCTTCTGAAGCCGGGAGACTACAAACTCGGTCTGATCCGCACTCAGTGATAATGAAAGAACATTCCAATTCTCAGGCAGGATATCGACGTAGTTCTCGGTGAAGTTCAAGCAGACTTTTTCGGTCATCTCCATCGTCGAAGGCGACTCGGTTGGCCAAAGAAGCGGGTCGGAGAAGTCGGCTAGTTTTCGGTCGAAATCGATAGCCATACGTTCGCGGGCAAATGCACTGACACGGCCGATTTCTGATGAGAATAAAGTTAGAAAGGTTGATTACACTAGAAATTGGTCACTCACCATTCATGTTCGCAGGCGACTGCGCCCAGGTTGAGGGACCTCCTGGGGAAGTCGCATGGGAGAGCATAGATATACGACTCATCAGACGGGATGCAGCATGACTTTCAAGCGTCGAGCCAAGAACAGTGGCATCTGCAAAGACACTGGTAAGACGCTCACTCGCTTTTGAAAGCATGATTGAGAAATCCTCGCTGGCCTTTTGAACCTTCGCACGAGGTCCTCGGGCCGTGGCCTTGGTCTTCCTCGTTGGCTTCGCGGCAGGTGTGTTCGTGTCTTCTCCTCCCGCGGCGGGTGACATGAGGGAAGGGAGCGAGATGGTGGATTCTGGGAGCACGCAGTACACGGCATGGCTGGCAAAATTACGAATAGCATCAGCCAGGAGGTGCCCACTCTCCCCGATTTCAAGGGAGACCTTGCTTTCCCGGCCAGTTGCATACTGTCGAGCTTCCGCAAGAGTTTGTGCGGATCGCTCGAAATCACGCAGCGACCGCAGGCAGTCTGCTTGTTGCCGAAGGACGTCGCCCTTCAATCGCAGAAGAGACTTTGATTGAACCTCAGGCACTTGGATCTTGGATGCTGAAGCCTTTTTGGTGGTAGTAGCGGTGGCGGTGGCAGCTGCATAGCTACTCGCACGAGTGCGTCGAACAGTAGTGGTAGCTGACGATGTCGAGGGCGTGCGCCGAGTGGTTCTCACTCGCAGCTTCTCCATTCCTTCTTCAAGAGCTGTGATATCTGGTGCTGCTGTGCTGCTAGTTGCGTCGGATGAAGTGACAGCCGTGATGACTTTGTCTGCTTCCTGGAGCAAGCACAATGCCTTCTCATGCTCGCCCTGTACCTTGTACAGGGAGGCAAGGGCCATATGAAGAGAAACCGTCTCAACGCTTGTCTGGATCTGCTTGGACGATTCCGAAGCCGATGCGAGGAGTCCCTGACCTTCATCCACATGGCCGCCGAGGATCCAATAACAGCCAAGCTGAGTTTGAGCAGCGACGAGACGAACATTGGCATCGAGTGTCTTGTCAATTTTCAAAGCCTGTTCTCCGTAGTAGATAGCATCCTGGAAAAGACCATGGTGGGCAGATAATGTTGCGAGGTTCAACAAGCAGGTATGATGGGAGCCAAGGTGTGGCCAAAATGGCGCGCCTTGGATGTAGCTCGCTGGAACATCTGGTGAAGATCCATTCTGAGACAGATCGAGCTTCGCTACGCCTTCGGCGACAGCATCAATGTCGGAGCTATGAGTGGCAGGCAAAGTCTTGTCCTGCTTCTTCTGTGCCAACTTCTCGACCTTGGCCCAGATGCGGCAGTTGAGTCGAACAGATAACTTAGCGAAAAACAGAGCCTGAGTCATTGATCCCTGCGCTGTTGATAGCCGGGACTGGGCAAAAGCGGCGTCGGCAACAAGTCTCTCCCATGAGATCTTGGACAAGATCGACAAGTTCGTCAGCTCATCCGATTTGTGGCATTTCTCATAGAGAGTTCTGGCAGTATTCAAAAGAGAAGCAGCTTTGTCAACCTGTCCTGTTTCGAGGAGATATTCCACCCGTGCAAGCTTGTAAGAAAGAGTTGCTAGAGAAGATACCTTGTTCTGGGCAAGATATTGTTCACCACGAGAAAGAAGATTGCCCGCCTTCTGACAGTGTCCAAGTCGGCAATTCTGCAAGACCAAACGAGAGAGAATGATGATCGCATCTGAGATGTCTCCGGATTCCTGAAGTTCAGCGACGCGTAAGATCAGCTCCAAGGTAGCAAGTTGAGCCTTCCATAGCCCGTGGATCTCAGTGTAGTCGACCAAGGCTTTGAGCTGGAGAACCCAGTAGTCCGTATCATGGACGTGAAGAAGTAAAGTCTTCCAGTCAGAGCCATGGCGAGTCATCGAGGTCCACGAAGCAAGCGTTCCATCCAGATTGTTTGCGTCGATCTTGCCTAGGTGGAAACCAATGATGACGCGTAATGAGTTCGTGATATGGGTTGCGAATGAAGCCAAGTCACCGTCTTCTCCAAAGCCGTTTTCGCACTCCAGCGCCTGTGATCCTTCTTTCATGAGTCGTTCGGTCAGGGCGGAGTCGAGAGCAGCCGGGTGCTCTAACAAGAAACGAAGAGCAGCGAGGGTCACGCGACCATGGCGGATTGGATGAGATTCCAAAGAAAACATGTCGAGAAGGGTGGTCACGACTGGACTGAGAATTGAACGGAAGTCATCTTCACTGGGGCATTGTCCATGCATATCAAACAGAAGGCACATTTGCCACTCAACAAGTATTCCCTGTCGCTCAGCATCTAGCTCAGCATCTTCATAGATGGACTGAGACTTTGATCCTTTCCTGCGCAGCTTGATCTTCAGAAGAGTAGAGAGAACCCGATTGAGCATGAAACCAGGACTTTGAGGGTCCTGGCTGACCGCGCCAGGTTGGGCTCCCAAGTTGCTCTCGACGATTTGTTCCAAGGTTCCAGAATCGATGTACTCTGCAATTGATTGTCGAAAAGCCTTCTCTGAGTCGCCGTATAGACTGCCGTCTAAGTAAAGGTGAGCGATTCTCTCATACTTGAGAGCGGCAAACGCCGTGGTTCGGAGGGGTGATGAGCAGCCCGAAATCATCTGGGTGGATTGCTTAAGAAGAGGAATGAGTTCACGGTATGTTTGCCCAGCCTCCTTCTCTTTAATATAGCGAGACCAGAAAACGTTGGAGAGTTTGACAAGACCCATGCCAATGCTCTCATTCAGCGCGGTATCAGGGCAATTTTCGTCGTTGCTTTCAATACTGGCGAGAAGACGATGGCAATCGGCCAGAATGGGGAGCACATCATCCCAAGGTGGTCTTCGAGAAGTGATCGATAGTTTTCCAACAGCAACGGCAGAATCGACTGCAGCAAATATGATGCTTTTGGACATAGAGACTCTCATTTTGAACATCTCAATCTCCTTCACGTCACTGTCCTCTGTTGGTGGCTGTCCAATGTACCGCCTGAGGAAGCGAAGGAAAGCTTGGAGGTACTCCCGGATTTGAGAGGCGATTTCGTTTTTCTTGCTGTCGCTATCACTGGCCTTCATCATTGCATCACCAAACCAAGCAAGTGCAAATTTTTTCAGCCTAGCAGCCTCCACGAGAAGCTCATCCAGATCCGATGCGTTTCCTCTGAGGTGCAAGCCCAAAGCCTCGGTTGCTTCCGAAGTAGACTTCAATGCTCCATCCAAGAAATTCTTCGAGCTTTTCAATGCCTGAAAGTAAACTGAAGCACTCTTACACTGAACTGTGGCCAACGAAAGACTTTGTGCGCTGGTAAACGGGGCGATAGTCTGGCCGAAGAGCTTCAAGGATTCCTCAAAGCACCCGGCGTCCAAAGCGAGTTGGCCAAGAATGGTCATAATCCTGGCAGCTGAAGTCGCATCCTTGGCATCTTGAGGCTTCTTTTTGATCTCCGACACTGATGACTGGACTCTGGTGATTGTTTTATAGACTGTGGCAAATTCGGTCTTCTCAATCCCTTTACTGCGATGGGAGAAACTTCCGAGGTATCGAAGAAGCGGGTCGAACACCTCTTTGCTTTCGTCACAGACATGCCCGGAGATCTTCCATCCCAAGGAACGAATCTCCAGGGACAATAGTTGCAGAGTCAGGTTCGTGATTGGCTTCAGACTTGTCGGTGAGCCGTCGTTTGAGTTTGACCTTCCGGAGCACAGAGAGAGTACGGTAGTCGAAAGCAGCTGGAGTTGAAGAGCGGCTTTTTCGGCGGGTAAGCTTCCAGATTTGAACGCTGCATTAATGACCTGAGCAGGGCTGCTGAGATCAGATAATTGCAGCAGAGGACACAATTTCTGAACAGTCGAGGCTTTTCGGTCGGAGGCAAGCAGACGCATCGCATTCGAGTGGAAAGAAACGAGGAGGCCGTATACGGATTGTGCGTTGGCGATATTCGTAAATGTGACCAGGTCGGACATTCGTTCTCTCCCTGTCTCTTCCTCTAATGTCGCACTCAGATCCATAGCTTTCTTTCCCATCTTCTTTGTATCCAGATGCTGTTGTATTCTTCGCTTGAGAGATCGTAATTCCTTGCAGGCCATGTCGTTCAATCCCAAAGAAATCAACTTCCCCGCCAACACGCATACTCCTTGCTCAAGCTGCATATTGAGATACTCTCCATTTGAGTTGTCGACTTTGAGAGCTCGTAATGTTGCCAGGGCCAGTCTCGCACACTCGGCAGCTGCGTAGACACCCGCGTCGACTCCAGCAACGCCCGACCTTCCTGACTTGGTCGAAATATTGTCCGGAATCTGTGTCTGCCGGTTTGCGACTGGAACCTTCAACGCGTCTGTGAGGGTCTTGAGTGTGGTGTTGAACACTTCGGTCGAGAGAACCAGCTTCTCCTGGGGCGTCAATGCAGAACCATCCTGATCGACAATCGAGTGTAGCGCGTCGGTCGCGGGCTTCGCTTTGGTCCGGGAGGCTTTAGCACGACTAGAAGCGGTAGTAGCCTCCTTTGAAGATTTTGTCGATCTCCGCGCGGGCTTTTCGGGGGATTTCGAGGTTGCGCGTAGGAGGGTTTGGAGGGACAACACAGTGGCATCGGAGCATGTTGTTGTTGATCGGACCGCCAGCTTGACGGATTCAGTCATAGAGCTGGCAGGTAGGACGGTAACCGCCATGTCGAGGAGGTGAGCCGTTCAGGAGGACCTGCAGTTACTGATAAGGACAAATTGAAGCTGTGCAACTGATATCATCAGAGCCGTGGGACTCAAAAGGGCCTTGTTGTCGTAGCAACAATGCACACTATGCCCGGGAGGGTGTTGTCGCCTTAGCGCCTGAGGCCGGAACCACTCGCTTTTCCCGCCGCCGAGATCTTTGCGACTGCAACAGCTGCCACATTACACGCAGTTATGGCGGCAGCACTCAGATTGAAGCCCTATGGGCTGAACCGGTGGATTTTCTCGACGTCTACGACATCTACAATCTCCGGCCGGTGTCGTGTGGCTGCTGTGCGCACTTACTCTACCTCCGACCGTCTCCCGAAGATCGCAGACACCTCAGTATGGACGGCTATGATCCCCACGTTTATGCGACGAAAGCGATCGCGCACAGCAGGCGAAAAGAAGAAGTGGAACCCGGCCACTTTCTACATCGTCATGTTCACACTCATCGGGTCACAAGCTATCCGTATGCTCACCTTGAAGAACAACTATACCGCATACCGCCGGACTGTGGACGCAAAGATTGAGCTCCTTAAGGAGGTTATCAAGCGTGTCCAGAATGGAGAGGATGTGGACGTGGAGAAGTTACTGGGTACTGGAGATGAGGCGAAGGAAAGAGAATGGGAAGAAGGTATGCTACAATTGCGGACTAGATAATTGGCTGGATTCTAACGTTTTCATCTTTTAGTCTTGCAGGAGATCCAACGAGAAGACAATCTTTGGCATGAGAAGCACAAGTCTACCCAACAACCGGAAAATAACACACCGAAGATCGAGGACAAGGCAGCTCCAAAGTGGAAAGAAAAGGAAACGGTGCCCGCAACGAATGAGGGTGAAGAGACCACGCAGACCAAGCCGACAAGGAAGCCCACCTTCTTCTAAGTGATCTAGATGGAGATATACTCTTCGAAAGGTATTGGGCCATGCAATTGCACATCATCAGCGCATTGCCCACACTTTTGTCGGAACTTGATACCCACTCACACCTTCTATGTATAAATATCATTCTACTTACACGAACAGAGAACAAGTTGGAAGCGTTCAAAGTTACAACTTTTACTCTTGACATACATTTAAGAATCTTTGAAACCGCGTTGTGTAGTCTTTGAACAGAATATCCGATTCTATCTGCTCTAGATCTAGGTACTATACAGAACTCAAGCCACCCCGACAGCAGCAGACAAAGCGCCGTGCACGAAGACCAGAGACAAAAAGAACAACACGAGCCTGCAGGGACTTCATGCAAACCAGGAACCCCCTGTATATAGCCTGAGATCCTTTCTTTCCAGATTTATCTGCTGTTGGTACAATGCACACCGGCCATCTGAGTGAAAGGAGAAAGAAACATGCGGGCTTCTCCCGCAACCCGAAACAAGCCCGATCTTTGCACAAAAAGGAAACTGGAACGGAAAAAGAGATGGCGGGGCAGAGGGGTCGGAAAAGAGAGACTCGAAGAGATCTGATGCTAAAAACGAGCAAAGAAACAAGACAGGGACAAAAGCGTAAAGATCGAAGATGGAAAATATGGAAAATATGACACTCAAATCGCTATGGAACTAGGAAGAAATCACTGCTGCTTGGAACCTCCCTGGAGGATCTTGGGCCAGTTTTCCGCCCGAGGGACCTGCACTCGGCCGATGTTTTGATCCAGGTCAAGGATGAGCTTGAGGGCGTTCCTTGATCGGAGGTAAGGGAGAGGAGCCTTGGCCTGAGTCAGACCAACACCGGGCTCGACATGGCCGCTGGCGGTCTCGTCCTCGTGGGAGCCGGGCATGGGAAGGGCCTTCTGGAGAACTTCGTAGGCGGCCAGAGTGAAACCGAACTGAGGCGAGGATCGCAGGATACGGGCAGGACCACCCTTGAAGAAGGCCTTGAGACCCTCCTCCTTCCACACGGTGGTGGCACAGTGACGGAGACCAGTGTATTTGGTATCGCCCTTGCGAGCCTCGACCTGCAGACGGGTCTTGATCACGTCGCAAGGAGTGGTGAGGTAGGCAGCGGGCATACCGGCGATGGCACCCGCAGTCAGAAGCTGGACAACACCGAGCTTGTTGGTGGCGGTTTCGCCGAACATGTCACTCTTCAAATGAGCGTATGTGGGGAAATAGATGGCGGAGAAGGGAACTAAATATGTGTTAATTCACTTTCAGAAATGAGATATCTGTGAAACATACCATCACGCAGCAGACAGGCACTGGCGCCCTTGTACAAGCCCATCAGACCAAGGTTCTTAACGATCCAAAGGGCAGAGCGGCGAGGAGCACCCTCCACATTTTTAGCGATCTCACCCTGGACCTGCAGACGAATCTTGACGATCTCCAGAGGGTTTGTGAAAACCTGGGCAATGAAATATTAGCATGTGAAAAACACATCAAATGAGCGAATCAAACTTACGACTTGACAAGCACCAGCAGTACCACCAGCAAGAATTTCATGGGTATACTTGATCTTGCCAGTGTCCTTATCAGTGAAAGACCCACGAACAAGATCGTTGACTGTGAGCTTGATAGCCTTCTCAGGTGCCACACCGATCAGCTGCGGAATGACACCGGAGTACAAACCCTTGAAACCCTCATTACGGATGACCTTCTTGGCGCAGTCCATGGAGTTGTTATACAGTCTCTCACCCGGGCGACTGGATCGCTGGTTCTGCATACGAGTCTTCACCAGGTCAATGGGGTACACCATGAAAGCACCGAAGGCACCAGCAATACTGCCAAGAGCGAAGTGGTGCATCGACTCCAGCACACTGTGAAGAGCAGACGAGGCCTTCTCCTGAACGCCCGCCGCAGCCTGGCCAGCAAGGGCAATGGGGACCCGCCATGAAGCGTCAATGACCTTTGCGAAGTCCTTCTGGGCGAGACGCCCGGACGGAGCATCCAGACCAGCGAAGTGGAACAGAATGTCGGCCTCCATGGGAGTAAATTGGGAGAAACGAGTGACACGGGTGGCCTCGTTCAGGAAGTCGGAGCGAGTGATCTTGCCATCGCTGCTCTTCTTGGTGGCCTCGCGCACGATCACGTCGATGATGTCCATTTCGCGCATAATATTCTGGAAAGCGCGGACGGTAGCGTATGAGATCTTGTTGGTTGTCGCGATGTTACACAGGGTAGGCAAGTTGTCGAGCACATGGTCGGACAGCTTGTGCTTCGAGGTCTCCAGAATGATGCGCTGGAAGTCCTCGGGCTCGATATAACCATCACCGTCCTTGTCGAAGATGTGGAAAGCCTGACGGATGCGCTCGCCTTGCAGTCCGCGCAGCATCTGGCAGAATTGTGGGTAGGTCATGTCATGGCGAGACTTGGTGCGGCCGGCGTACAGCGAAGCCCATTCCGAGGCCCAGTCGAAGGGAATGCTCTCCGGGCTCTTGGTCGAGTTGTAAAGTCCCTTCACGGTGTCAATCTTGACGGTTCCCGAGCCATCAAGGTCGAACAGGCGAAACGCGATCTCGTACTCCGCATCGGGCTTTGTGAGGAGGTTCTCGAAGGTCGACCAGTCGGACAGGGTGAGCTTGCCGGTTTTCCGTCGGTCTGCAACTCGGAATAGAATTCCGTACTGCTCGCGCTTGATTTTGTGCTGTATTGGAGAGGGGACAGGTCAGCAACAAGCTCACACAAGGGATCTCCGCGATGAAGAAAGGGCACAGCGACACTCACATAGTCCTCCTGCTTGGGAGCAACCGCATTGACAAAGTCCTCCTCGGTCATGAACTGTTCTCCGTTCTCATCCTTCTGTGCATGACGGATGAAGTTGAAGCGGGCCTGGTGCGACAGCTGAGGGTCCTCAGAGCTGCTGCCGACCAAGGTCTCCTTGACGGTTTCCTTAACACTTGACATTGTGTCGGAGTAAAGAGGGATGAATCAACTCTTCGAAACTTGACAAGGGACCAAAAGCGAAAGTCCACCGCACACACTGGGGGAAGGGGGAAAGAAGATGGAGAGTGGAGAACGGGGAGGTTTGAGTCAAAAGGAATGAGCGCACGTTTAACGCGATAAAAGCAATGTAGTGCCCCGAGACTTTATTTCTCCCTTTTCTCTTTCTTTTTCTATATTGCCTTGTTCGGTTTAATGTAAGATGGGATTGTCAAATTCTAAGGTTGCTACTCCTGATCAATACAGTTTGTTTGGCCACGCGAGTATGAATTTTTTCACCGCCCCTGGGATGGCGCTATTTACCCGTGAGATCGGGTTTGGGGCCGAATTGTGCTTCCCTAGGGGATCTCCGCACTCATCTTCACCTGGCATTTTAACCGGTTCCTATCCAATGCCGACTTCCTCTGCCATAAGGCTGTATATCTAGAGAACTATAGAAGTCGTACTATTCACGCACTAGGATCTTCATATCTGTCTAGATGAGACTTTGGGACAAATTGCCACCACAGATCCACGGTAGATGGAGCCCGACCAGCCAATCGCCGCACCGAGTCCCTGGTTCCTCGAGAATGTAGTAAGCAGTCGAATTGAACATGCTTCTCAGATTCTGCTGTTCAGATGACCTTCGGAAGGGGAGCGGGGTGAAACCGGGATGGCCGGCTCACATGTGCTCCCGGTGTCTATATGTGCGGGCTGGGGCATATGAAGTGCCCGGATGCCTCCGTCTTCGGTGCGGAGCAGAAGCGGGTCACTTTGGAGAACAAGGCGAAAGTTGGAGATGAACGCCGCTATTGGCCCTTTCCCCCTCTCCCCAGCCCGGGTCCAGGCTCGGCCCAACTCCGGACTTTCTTCTCCGCTCGCACGTCAAGTGTCTATTACTCCTAGCTCTCATTTCGGAGTGAGTTCCATGTAAAGGGGTAAGCTACATAGCTAGGGCGGGCCCTCCTTGAACTCGAACTCGAACACAAAGCGAAAGCAATTGATTCTCTATGTTTGGTTTGTTGTTTCCTGTTTAGGCGCTTGAACCTGCCTATTGCGGTGACCCAGTTTATCCCAGTGCACGGCCTCGGTCCCTTGCAATAAAAGCCTCAATGGCTTCGGTGTCCGCATCAAAGGTGCGTCTTTGGATTCCATAACGTCACTGGGCCTAGGGTTGCAGAAATCAAGACCCGGATGACAGACACCCGAGCGGAGTATAGAACAACCCAGAGCTGCTCGGGATACCTGCCACTTCTCACTAGCCCCATCTTAGCTCTCCCCAGGTTTCTCTAGTCGAATAGCCCTGAACATCACCCTCTCGAGCGGCAGCAAACCCAACATCATCCGGTTGAAACGATATGCGGTCGCAATAACCGCCACGCCGACAATGGTATCGAGAACGAAATGATTCGCGGTCGCGACAACCGTCAATTCCATAATCATCGGCCAGAGCGGAGCCACGATTCGGAGGAGCACGTGAGGGCTGTAGTTCAGCAGGCAAAACGCAATCAGCACGGAGTTGCCCAAGTGCAATGAGGGCATCGCAGCAATCGTCAGCTGGAACTTGTTATGCGTCCATGCGGAACCGGAATTGTCTTTGTGCAGCACGTCGATAAAGCCATACTCTTCAGGGAGGAGACGCGGAGGTGAACATCGCCAAAGTGAGATGATTACGAAGGCGATGACATTCTCCAGAGCCAGTGCGCGTCTGATTCTCTGGTATTGATTTCGTGACATGAAAGTATAGCAGTAGACGTAAAATACGACTCCGATGACGATGTGGGAATGGTAGACGTGGGCAAGGTAATCCATTAACCATGGGGCTTTATTGAGAGCGAATTGTTGGACGGAGAGTTCGATATCGACGTCAAGGTGGCGTTCAAAGGACAGAATCTGAATCGCATGGTGTTCGGCCTTTTGGAAGACACTTTCGTTTTCAACGATCAGTCGCGCAGAGATAGCTCTAGCACCTTGATATACCTAGTTTCTTAGTATCTTATGTCCAGTTCCAACCTACAGACACATACCCAGTAGATCAATAGCCAATAAAATATCTCCAGTAAAAAAGGGAATTTCCTCAACACTCGAGAATGAACCACCCGTCGCGGCCTGCAAGGTTGCTCCTCAATGGCACCGTATCCATTCTCGCCAGTATTCTCATCTTCCGAATCATCTTTGAATAGAGGCGTACGGGGGTCCCCCGTTGCACGGGACCTTTCACACCGGTTAATCCAGGTACCAAGGGTAAATATCGCAACGATTGCTACAGTCAGGAACGTCAGTATCAAAGTGTCTTGCCGGAAGCTGACTTCACTGACCACCTGGCTCAATAAGATTTTTGAAGATGCCCATCTGATGCGTATACCAAGTCGATAGCGCCGTATTCGTTTTCTTAGATAACCTCAAAGGGGTTGTTCACCTGAGAAGAGTCTAGTAGGTAAGGTGCTAAAAGAGCTTCGTACTCCGGCAGTCTCGGGAGTGGAAGGTTCCGACCGTTGTACGGGGTAGCTCTTCGTACACGCAAGCCACGTTGGCAAGCGCCACACTTCAAATTTCTTAGCTACACGTGTGTGGCTAGCATACTGCAAGAGCTTCACCTAGGGGTGTTCTCAGCAACTTTTGTTCGGGCAATTTGCCAAATAGACTCAAATTTTCGGTCATCACTCTCAGGTATAATGCAGGAGACCTCGGTCTTGCTCGTCTTTGGAGTGAAGTCAGACCTGCTCTTGTCAAATTTCTAATCCAACGCTGACGGGACACTAAGTAGGTACGAGACTTAGTCGTAGCATACATGGATCGCATGCCCAGGTGAATACGAGCTGGGGGTAAGACCCGTGTTGATCTCAGGGCATCAATGATCTACCCTTACATATCTGGGCAACGAATGACTATATTCTCACCTCGAGCATTGCTGCGATCTATCAAGACCATTGATCCCAGACTTAAAAAGAAAGTTTGGCAGGGCACCCAATAATGTACTTATTTCTGCTAGCGCAAGTGACAATGCGGGGATAGTGATAACAGTGCAGACGGCTATCACCTTCTGAACGGCAGAATCAGCGAAAAGTCCGCCAAATCAAGCAATGTGTGGCCCGGGCTTCAATTCCTGAAGAGGCTGGGATGCCGTCCCTCTATTCCTCATGGACTGGTTTGGAAGGGACGGCCGTGACAGTGCACAGGGCTGCATGACATGCCTGAGAGCACAGGCTATCACACCGAGATTATCTTGGAGCAAACACTATGGTTGGCCGAAGATCAACGAGACCTTTCCAGAGTTGCCACTAATGCGTGATGGGAAAGTGATGAGTGCACGAGGATGCATAGAGTGGGCGCTTGGAGAAGAGACGATGGTTGGCCGCGAAGTGCCACCCCCGCCCCACGAAGACCAGCGCAAGTATATAGGCGCCGTGTCCTCCCAGGGGCGAATTCCTCTTTTGCATATCGTTTGTTTGAGATTTTTCTATTTTCTCCTATTCTATTTTCGTCTTCGCGCTTCGTCTTGGCTGGTCCAAACGAACTCTTTTTATTTTATTTTACCCTTACACGTCAATAATTGTCTACTCTCTTCATACTCCCAACCGCCGTGCCTTTGTTGATCAAAGTGTCCCCGCAATAAAACCTCTACATTAGTCTTTACATCTCCCAATTTCCAATCTCTGCCCTACCTGTCAACATGTACGCCGCCAGACCCAAGCTGTCCTTGAGCATCTCTGCTGCGCAGAATGTTACACGCCCATCTCTGTCACTCAAGTCGCCGAGTGCTATGTCAATTCCTCGCTCCCCTCTCTCGCCAGTCCACACGGCGAGTCCCACAGCCAAGCGCTTCTCTTCTTTGAAAGTGCCTTCTTATGGCTACACAAATTCGTGTTCATCCAAAAGCATTCTCAAGAAGCACTCGTCCGCGCGAGCGGGCGTCCCCGAGAAGCGCATCCAATTCAAAGGCACACCAACAGTGCACTGCGTGACTCCAATCGAGAACCCCGATGAATACTACGGCAAGCACACCAAGATGTCCCGTGAAGAGCGACGATGGGCAGTACGCGAGTGAACCAACTCAGAGACCTCCGAAGCAACTAAAGCTCCATTAGCTTAGATCTAGCACCAATTTGCTGAACTCCGAACATCCGACAGCGACAGAGCAACCAATACGGCTTGAGATGACCGAACATGCCCCTTCCGGGACTGCATTTGCGAGTCCTGACATGGTTCGATCAATCCAAGGCTGACTCCGGTCGCGTGTATACGCAGCCACGGTCTGTCCAGAGCCGGAGAAGACTTATGTCTCGTGTTGAAGAGACGAATATATTAATGACGTTTATGGACCTCCGATTTGATGACTTTGCAATATATAAGCGAAATACCTATCTAGTTTAACCACGTCAGTCTTTACCATTCAAATGTTAATTGCCACCGTGCAGTGATATCTATATGCATCCATCGTCTTCTCTTCTGCGTACATCTGTCGGTCCTACGTAACGTTATAATGCAAGTGTGTTATATGGAGAAGCACCCTGAGCTTTCCCCTGGTTGACGAATCAGTGCTCACGAGATTGACATGTAGGTTGAGTTCAGAAATGATAAAATCATACGGGGTATATTGATGCAATTATTAGACTATACAACTAAGAGAACATTGAAAGAAGAATCGTGATAAGCCAATATCCCCAAGACCCGAAGCCCAAGAATCTAGACGCCCCAGCCCGCAGCTTTGACCACAGTCATGATAAATGAAACTCATGATTCGTTCAAAAGATAATCAGAGAGTAGCACAGCGATGAGCACAGCACAAGGCGCTTAAGCATAATGAGCAGGCAGCTCCTTGCTATTATAAGCCGGACTCTGGTACGCGCTGTCGGGGTGCATGGGATAGGACTCCTGCGCAGGATACTGAGGCGGGTACTGAGTCGGCATGTAAGGAGGCTGGCCTCCATGCGGGCCATGAGGCTGGTACTGCGCATCCATGGGAATGGTATAGTACATCGAGGCAGCGGCTTCCCGGTGAGAACGGCGGCGTTTAACGCAGTACATGATGAGGAGGATCCAGCCGATGAATTTGCAGGCGGCGCCAATGATGAGAAAGGCGAGGGCAGCGTAGAATTCGCCATTCTGTTTTGACGTGCAATTCAGGTCGTCCTCGCTGTAGTCGTAATAACTAGAGTCGCCGAAGCAGTCTGACGCGTTGGAAATCCAGACGCCGACCAAAGCGCCGCCGACGATGAATGAGACGATGGCGGCTAGGAAGAAGCCCAAGGGCCATCTTCGGGACATCCCTGTGGACTTCTGCTTGGGTGGATCGGTGTTCACCGGCATGTGTGACATGGTGGGCGAGTAGGATAGAGGTGAGGGTTGGAAATAGAGACGCGAGGGCGTTAGGGCGACCACATGCCTTTAAGAAGGGTTCATCTACCCCGGGGCAAACAAAGTTTGATCTGGCTGATACGATACAAGCTAAAAAGTAGACTAATGTGAACTGCCTATCATAAGCTAGCGTTAGGTAGAATAGGGGCCGAAAAAAAGACGGTGCCAGGCTGTGTTGCAATGTTTAAGCCTCGCATACCGCAATTTTATTTTAGCGAGGGCGCGTACTCGAGCCCCGTCTTGTGCCCCCTTTTCCGGGTGAGGCTCAATTTGCTTAGCCCTGATTCAGTCCGTAGCTAAGGAAAAATTTGCAAGATCATTCGCGCAAACTAAGCTATTTTTGCGAATTTTGCCATTCGGTAGATGCCAAAAGCCACTGAACAAACGGGTGTTCGCAACTCAGCCAGATATGATACTAAGGATGCGAGCAACTGGCTGCGATCTCTTGACGAAAGTCAGCACCTGAAGCTAAATGAAGAAAATTGCGATGCTATTTAAAAGCGGGTCGGTCGAGCCTGATCAAATCGGGGTCCTTATTGGCCTACGGCACGGTCCCTGGACCCTTAAACCAGCTCAAGTTTAGAATAGATCGTAGATTCGCCGTAGGCACTTGATGTTGATGTTGATGTTGATGTTGATGTTGATGTTGATGTTGATGCTCATAGATTGAAGGTTCCGTTATGTAGATGGATTGAAATAAAATTTTAATAAAACTGGAGCCACCAGTTCAATGATTTTATAATTCAGGGGCTGCTAGCACCGAGCTGATGATGAGCGCTAGAGTGTTCATGGCCGAGAGGCTTGCAGGGACTGTGCGGCCGCTAAACGCGATAAATTCGTGAAGCGAAATTTTGTGGCTTATATGCGTAAATGGAAGTCAACTTAGCACATAACATTAAATCGAGAGATTTAATGCTTTTCAACATCTATTGTAATAGATTCTTGACATGAAAGTGGACTTGGCCCACCAGGTATAATTAACATCCTCCTCTGTCATTTTCGAACCCAAGTTTCTGCTAGATCTCAGCGTGCGCTCCAAATAACACTTACTCCTGCTTCTTCGGGATGTCTTGCTCAGAACTCTCTACCGCGGTTGCACGGTGTCATCCTTCTCGACATTCTTCGAAAATTCACGACTGCCGTAGTTGTGTGGGAGTTTGCCATCATTCTGAGCAAGTTGACGATCGAGCTGAGCCTTTTCTTCGTCGGTCGCATCGGTGAGATTGACAGCAACTTCTTCACCGAAGTTCTTGGCAATTTCCTCGAGAGTTAGGCCAGCGGTCTCAGGGAAGAAGAAGTAGATGACTGCGTTTCGTTAGTCCCTGTAATTACTAAAGGCGAATGTTGGTGACGGATAGCTTACTCGGAATGAAGAATGCAGACCAGCAGATGATGACGAGGTAGTACTTCCAGCCAGCGTTGTTGAAGCCCATCGGAGCGGTCTCCAGGAGGATCAATGTCGCTTTATTCCGTTAGTTGAGATCGGGGACTGAAATGGTTGAACCTACCAGCAAACTGGCCGAATAGCGAAAAGCCCATGCCAATGGGGCGAATCTCAGTAGGGAAAATCTCCGAGACGTAGAGGTACATGGTAGTATCACAGCAAGTTCTGGATGAATGTAAGAGGATGGCCATTGAATGTTGCAGTTTGAAATGAACTCACCCCTGGAAGGCCAGGTACAAATACATAAATAGAATACCAAAGCCGTTGCCGACCTTGTTGGTAGTACCGGCATATTGAGCGGTCATGGCAGCAAGGCAAGACGTCGTGCAAATAATACCGACAAACCCAGTCATGTACATCCCACGGCGGGAGTTGACTCGATCGTGCAGCCAGGCACCCAGAGGGTTGTAAATCAGCCCTGCCATGAGTTAGATGGCGAAATAATTTTCAAAGCAGGATTTTTCCATGTCCTTACCAGCAGTGGTCAACCAGATGGCGCTTAGCAAAAGAGGCATGCTGCCTTTCTCTCCGAGGTTGGTGTACAGGAGAACGGCATAGTTGTTCTACTTGAACATTAGCTGCGCCATCATACCCAGGAAGACGATTGGTCTCACGATAATCAAAGGCCCGCCAAACTCAGCACCCCACTGGGTAAGGAAGCCAATGGCCATGCGCTTGCGATACGACTTCTTTTTGATCACTGCATTCCACACATTGCCATATTCAGACAATCTCTCAGCCTCCAGTCGAATCTGCTCCTTTGTCTGGTAGAACTCCTCCTTGGCAACCAGGTTATCGGGATCATCTGGGGACTGGCGGAGACGCAAAAGTACACGCTCAGCCTCGTCAAACTTACCCTTAGATATCAGCCAACGGGGAGAACGAGGAAGCCAAGGAGACCCAATAAACAAGACCAAAGGTGGAAGACATTGAAGAGCCAGAGGGAATCGCCAGCCAAAAGAGGGGTTAGAGCTCTCCGCATAGTAACATGCAAAGCCCACCCACGCAGCAAGCATATATCCGAAGACAAGGAAAATGGCATGGTGACCGACGAGCCAGCCGCGACGGAGGGCACTCGACATCTCGGAAAGGTACATAGGGCAGACTGTGACAAGGATACCGATTCCAAGCCCGCAAACGAAGCGACCGCCTTGGAACATACTATATCGTTGTTAGCTCTGCTCTGAAAAAAGACACTATGAAGTGACATACGCAAGAGAGTTAGCACCACCCTGAAGGGCGCCGCCGAACATGGTAAAGAAAGCACCCAGTTGGATGTTGGCCTTGCGACCAAAGTGTTCGCACGACCACATCATAAACAGGGTGCCAACGGCACCACCAGCGCTAAAGACACCATTGGCGGTCGAGATGGCGGGGGTTGTAATACTGTCATAGCCAGGTTCACCCTCGGCGGGAAGGTTGAAGTAAGTATACCATCCTGGCTGGCCGATCGTGCTAGAGATGATAGAAGCACAGTAACCGTAGGTCTTGTATGAGTATTAGAATACCTAGCGTGATACATCTGAGAAGCAAATCGGGTGCTTACCATCGACCCGATGGCCACAAAGATGGCCACCAGCCTGTTGTAGGTACTGGTCTGCGACCCAAAGCGACCCATGATGATCTGATACCACATTCGGGCCGGACAAGATGTATATAAGGAAATCACACGTGGATAGAGGAGGATGCCAGCATCTGCTCCAGCTCAAAGCATTTAGCCAGGATGAGAGAGAGAATGTGATTTTTCTAACAGAACACGAGCAAGGGGGCACAATCAACTCGTTGACATGCGATGGAACGGGGATACTCCACCATGTCGTGGAACCTAAACTTCGGCGATTCACCTAGTCCACTCGCGGAAACGCGAAGACCATGCCGATCACAAAGCGTGGCTCTAATCAGCGCTATATTGACAAGGGCCAGACTGCACGCTGGGGCAATAGGAAAATTTGAAAATTGGGGGCCGAGGGATTCGCCGATCGTTACTGATGCATGCCGCCCATCCACTCGGCATGCAGAAATCGTTAGCCTAAGGTTTCCTATCGATAGCCTTCTTCATTCGTTAGGCCTCTCGTTTCGTTGCCTATTTTCGGAGCTGGTCCGAGGTAAAGGTACATCGTCGGGGTTAAAGAGTCAGAGGTCGGTGGTGGGTGGTCAATCAACACAGATGTACCAAAGTACTCCGTACTGACCCACGGGGTGGATGTTTCGTGCCCCACATAGACATGACAGGAAAGTCCCTCACGTTCATATGAAGTCCCCGTCCAGCTACAAAAGTACCTGCTATTTTGCGGCCTCGGCGCTCGATAATTCAAGCTTGGTATTCATCCCTGTGCTTGCCACTACACCAGATCTACCACAAGATTAGCACCGTTGAACATGGCCCTGTCCATTTTTGACAAACTATTTGACCAGCTTCCAAACCCTAAGCAGGTTTGGATGGGAAAGCCGGGAAGCTATGAAGAGGGCCTCGGCAAGCTGGCTATACTTACCCCTGAAGTCGTTGCACAGGCTGCCGCTAGTGAGATCAAATGCGGCCGCCGCGTGACGATGGGATGGGAGCTGACGAAACTGGATTATCCTAATCTCAATCGCCAGCCATGCCATCACCAGATCGTACCTCTTTTGGGCGGTGTGGCATTCGACGATATCTATTCTATGAACCCGCGTATGTTCAACGTTCACCTGTGTATTTCTTAGCGGTATTAACATCCATCAAGAACAGAGTAGTCAGTGGGATGGACTTCGTCACTTTTCTCAGACAGTCCCCGGCCAGTCTGAGCGGGTCTTCTACGGTGGAACAACTGTTGATGAAATCAATGATCGTCAAAATGATCGTATTGGTCTTCAGCATTGGGCACGCGAAGGCATTGCAGGTAAGTTCTTTTATGCCAGAACATATGACTTCAGACACATACTAAAGGTCAATTTGTACAGGACGCGGAGTCTTGATCGATTATGCAACATGGGCCGAGAAAAGGGGAATCAAGTATAGCACATTCTCCACCCATCAAGTACGTCTCACAGATATTCTAGAAATTGCTAAGGAGAGCAATATCACTTTCCAAAAGGGTGATATACTGTTTGTCCGCATCGGGGTCACCAAAGAGTGGGACACTGTTATGACCGATGCTCAAAAACAAGCCTACTCAGACAACCCCAGCCCGGAGCACGCAGGGGTCGAGGCCACCGAGGACGTTCTCCGCTGGTTGTGGGACAGTGGTTTCGCGGCAATTGCCAGCGATGCAATCAGCTGGGAGGTACGATACCCTAAACTTTCGAAAATCCTACCAATAGCCAATGGCATCTGTAGCGCCATTGACAGGTGAAATGACAATCAGAGAAAATCCGTTGACATCTCTGGAACAGGTTTACCCACCGCAATCCCCTGACATCTTCCTTCACGAGTACGTACTTGCAGGATGGGGCATGCCGATCGGTAAGTTACTTGAACTTGAGACCCATCCTTCGCGGAACCTGCCCGCTAAACGCCATAGGGGAACTCTTTGATCTAGAGGCCCTAGCACGATCCTGCGAGGAACTCCAACGGTGGACCTTCTTCGTCACGTCCGTGCCTTTGAACATGCCCGGAGGAGTCTCGTCTCCTCCAAACGTGATGGCAATCTTTTAATCTATTTACGGCGTGAGTTCGCACCAGGGCACGTGAGCCCGTAATTATAGAGGTTAGAATGTCAAGTTGTGTATATGACACATTTGCCTAGTAGCACGCCACACTCAATAACCGATCTAGTATTCTCGGGTGGCGCCATCCCCATAGAGTATCTTTGACAATTAAGAATCCACTTGGCGTGGGTAACGGACAGGGACTAAATCCCGGAGCATCGAAGTCATCCCGACTCAATGGGTTGATCGATCTACTGCAGGCAATGAGCGACACCTAGACGACAACAAATTCCTCTTTGGGGGCCAGACCAAATCCCTCACATCGGCTTAGATCGGAGGCCGAGGAAATAGCTTTCAGTGTCATGGCCTGAGACAAAAAGGTGCGTGGAGATGTCTCGTGTTTTAAACTTTGCCTACTGCTCGTCCTCATTTGCGAGCATAAGGCCACTTTAGCTGAGACCAAATCCTTCGATCCACCATGCTGCCGCATCAACTCTATTTGACTAGTCTGTATTTTCTCGTGCACCAGGCGCCAACAGGCACCCAGTGCCAACTAATGGTCCCAGTCAATAATGTGGCGCTGACGAGGACGTTGGGTCCCACCTCCCGCGTGTGTGCGGCCCGGTTCTCCACTCGATCCCTGTCTGGTTCTGCACAAGTTGGGTAATGGAGGTGGACCCTTTTTGGGGCGTGATACGTAATTACATTTCATACGTGAATGCCTATGTAATGAGAGAAATAGCACCATGCTACGGGGATATCAAGCGTTAAGTATGCTTTGTATATTAATGGGAACAAACCGTTCTTGAATGGCAAAGTAGAATCAGGCACTGCAAAACCTGATATATAAACTGGCTATCCATGAAATAGACGAGAAAGAGCTGAAGCCGATGCGAGAGAAACGTATTGGCGCACTATAATTCCCGATGTCATGAACGCGTGACGGAAAATTTCCCAGAACCCACTCCGTTGGTATGATCTGTGTTTCTTGGCCCTCCATGGCAGCATAGAAGTACAAAGTCATGCTTAAAGGGGAGCAGCCCTGAGATTACTACCCCCTGCGGTCGGGTTTCGACCAGTTCGTTCTTTTCAATTCAAGGCTTGGAGATGCATCTATCCACAATGGCTTCGGTGTCATCCTTGTTAGGACGCAGCCCTGGAGATTCAAACATCAATCGGAGTGTGCAAACTTGGAACTATGTATGCCAGTCATTATGCATTATCGGCATGACTGTTTGCTTTGGTCTCCGGGTGTATACTCGTGCGGTTATCCTTAATGGGTTCAACAAGGAAGATTGTGGGTGACTACCACACAAGAGATCAACATGTGTACTAACTCATGGGGTAGTGATGTGTGCAGCTGCTTGGCTACTTGGTACTGGCTACTCAGTTATTGCCATGATCAGTAAGTTTGCCAACTGAAGTGAATTGATTATTTTGCTTATACAGAATCAGTGGGACACTATGGAGGAGGCCTTCATCTTGACGATGTCCCCCCTGAAAATGTCATTCCTTTTGAAAAAGTAAGTCTAATCTCCAGTTCACTACCTCGAAAACATCTAATAATCCAGACCGTGTACGTGACAATGGTTATGTACGGTCCAACAGCCTACCTCACCAAGTTCTGCCTCTTGTGGATCATGACCCGTGTGTTCAGTCCTTTCCGGAAAGCCGTCATCTTCATCTACGTATTCATGGGTGTCATGCTTGCCTACTATATTCCAGCGGTAATTGTCAAGATCCGAATCTGCAATCCTATCGGCAGATTTTGGAACAAAAATATCCAGGGCACATGTCTCAATGAAACATCCATCATCCTGGCTGATGCCGTCGTGAGTATGGTCAGCGACTTGATCATTCTCCTCCTTCCTCTTCCATTAACAATGAGCTTGCAAATGCCCAAGAAGAAGAAAATGCGGGTCATCGGTCTCTTGGGAGCGGGTGGTCTGGCTGTGACGGCTAGTGTTATCCGCCTGGCGCTCATTGTCACCACTGGGCAGTCCAAGGACGCCACTTATGCCTTTATGAGAATCAACATGCTTGGGTAGGTCTATCTCGAAAGTCTCCCACGCGCAAATGGGATTATTAATTGAGTATTCTTCAGAAATGCCGAAGTCGCCATGGGTGTCATCTGCACCTGTCTTCCCGCCCTTTCAGCCCTCCTGATTCGAGCCTACCACGAATATTCAAGCAATAAAGCAACCAGCACATCCAAGTACAGGTTGAGCACAATCCAAACCCAGTCAAAGACTCAGCGGAGCAAGCAGAAAATGAGTGTGCTGGAGGCCGAAACCGATGAGGATGTCCTCATGTACAATGCCCAGGGCAACCCGCGGGTCGAGACAACTGTCCAAGGCGATACCGAGCGACAGGTGGATCTAAGAGGCTCTCCATTCCTAGGTGGTATTGGTATAACCAGGACTGTTGACGTTTCAACCTCCGTCGAGACTCGATAAGGTAAGATGACAGGGACCAGAGGAAAACTGCACGTAAGTCAATTACTCTTTTCTTTTTCAATATACATAATGCTCGGCCTACTTTGTTTCGCTATTCTCTTCACTTGGCTAGCATGTCTATTTTCTGAATACTTTTTTGAGCGTATAATTCAACTCAGGATAGTCCCATGTCTTCAGTGATCCGTTACCTCTGATCTAAAGCAACTTGAACCCTGTCCAGCCTCCTGGAACGAACTGCATCCACCGGGTCCCATTTGCCGGTGATCAACTTGGAATAATAGAGACATCTCAGTTGTTTCTTCATTAATAGAATTAATATCGGGTCTTGTCCCAGTGGGGCCGTTCGACGGGGACTGGGGCCGAGTTTGATCCGAGATCGTCCCTCCGAGGTGAAAGTCGGGAACCATTCATCTGATTGTGACTATATTTCGGCCTCTTGATTTCGCAGGTTCCATACATAGCACAAACAATAGTTTGTGATCAGGATTGGCGGTGAGCTATTTCTTGCAAGTCCAAGCATCTCGGTGATTTGCGGGCGACCCTCTTACCTGACTAGGGTAGAGATCTACAGCACAGCGAAGGCCAAGACAAGACTTTGTCTACGTGAACCATTTTAACAAATTGTAAAGTAATCTCTCCCCTGGATGTCACATCCTGGAATTATTCTATCGCTCAGTGAGTTCGCAAGCTAGTGTATACCCCATGGCCAATATCCGGGGCAAGTGGGTCGAGCTCTGTCAGTGGTGATCCCCCGATACTTGATTTCAAATCAACTGTTTAAAGCAAGGAAATGCCAGGATCTCACTACTTTACAAGGTCTAGCTTCCAATTCAATCTCCAGGCAGCCAACATCGTAAGTTTACAAATAAGATGCAGTTCGTTCCTTCCAATTCGCAGTCTCGCCGCAAATCTAGACCGGAACTATTTAACCGCGGAAAGCTATGCCAATGAAGGCTCTCGTGGAAGAAAACGTTATTATCAACGGCAACCGTATCGCTTACGGAGTTTATGGCCATGGACAACCTGTTGTTCTTTTACATGGGACTCCGTCTTCATCCCTCATCTGGCGCAAGGTGATTCCGCATCTCACCGGTACGGGCTTTAAAGTCTATGTCTATGATTTGCTCGGATACGGTCTCTCAGAGCGTCCATGGAATCCAGAAACTGACACCTCCATCTCCGGGCAAGTCCCCATCTTGGAAGAGCTGCTCACCCACTGGGGGCTAGACACATTTCATCTTATTGCCCACGACATTGGGGGTGGAGTCGCACAACGATTTGCTGTTTTCTCTCCTCAACGGCTACGCTCCTTATCACTGATCGACGTCGTGAGCTTTGACAGCTACCCCTCCAAAAGAACAAAGCAGCAGATGGAGAACGGATTGAAAAGCCTCATCAAGGCCAAGGACGATGTGCATCGATCACACTTCAAAGAGTGGCTGCTCTCTGCTGTATATGACAAGGAACAGTTCACAAACGCAAGCCTCAACACTTTTTTGGAGTACATATCCGGACCCATAGGCCAAGGCAGCTTCTTCCAGCACCAAGTGCGGCATTATGACCCGAGGCATACGATGGAAATCGCGGATCGGATCCATGAGCTTGGCAAGTTACCAGTGAAACTTATTTGGGGTGCGGATGATGCATGGCAAGTTGTTGACTGGGGACGTAAGCTTAATCAGGCAATTCCTGGCTCTGAATTGGAAGTGATTGAGCATTGTGGACATTTTTCACTAGAGGATCAGCCAGATAAGATCTCACAGATATTGGTCAATTTCTTGAATCGCTATGAAGAAAGGCCCGCAAACGCCGAATGAACGAACACGGGTCCTTCAAATCAATGAACAATGTATATCTGATTAGCTACGTAAAGCACATCTAAGTAGAAGGTTAGAACGGGCAATGTGTACTCGAGTGTTGAAAGCTGAAAAAGTCCGATTTCATGGACGAGTAACCCTTGAAAGCCAAACAAATACACGTAGAGACAATTCTAGATTTCTTCTTTAGTCCTGTTAGGGCAGCCTTTGAGGGCACGGATGGTCCGTGCGGCTCCGATCTTTTCCTGCTCGCCGCGTCCAACTTGTTCAATAGCTCCTCAATGTTTTTGTCCACATTTTCGCTTGCAACATTGCGTGGATCGGCAACATGCGCATCGCGCAGCTTGTTGAGGAACCGAAGGGGCCTATTAACCCTTGCGATTGAGACATCATGGTAAGCTCTGCCCATCTCCGAGTACCCGTAATAGTTACTTACTGGAGCCATTCTTACTAGTGACGACACATCGGTGTCTATTGTCGAGAAGAAGATCGATAATTCTACCGGAAGCAGAGCTAAGATTCATTTCCTCGAGAATATCACCGCGGATTCACGGGCGCATCGCGGCATTCATCCGATCCTTGCCCTCGAGTCGCATCAAGAGAACCTAGCAAGCCTCGTCGACAAGGCTTTGAATAGTCTACCGGCGTCACAGAGTGATGGAAATACTATAAATCTCGCAGATGGGTCAACGCGTCGCCGTCCGGACTTTATCTCGGCCACTAGGGGCCCAGGCATGCGATCTAACCTGTCCGTCGGACTGGATACAGGAAAAGCTCTCTCGGTGGCTTGGCAAATCCCCATGGTGGGCGTTCACCATATGCAGGCACATTTGTTGACTCCACGTCTGGTTTCATGCCTGAAGGAAGGCGATGGCGCGCGTACCACTTCCCCTGAGTTCCCATTTCTATCCATTCTAGTCTCGGGAGGTCATTCGATTTTGGTTCACTCGAAGTCTCTAACCGATCATAAAATCATGGCATCAAGCAATGATATTGCTATTGGAGAAACTCTTGACAAGGCTGCACGCGAAATCCTGCCTTCCGACTTATTGCAGAGAGCAAAGACTACGATGTACGGCAAAACCTTGGAGCAATACGTCTTTCCAAATGGCAAGGCCGACTTCGCTGACTACCGGCCGCCTATGAATCGAGGAGAGGAGGTGGTCAAAAAGCAGAGCCGGTGGGGTTGGAGTCTGACCACTCCCTTTGCCAATACCCGGGCACTGCAGCTTAGTTTCTCGTCCGTGTCCAGCATGGTCAACAAGATTGTCAAGGACAAAGACGGGTCCATGTCTGAAGAGGAGCGAGTCGATCTGGGCCGGGATGCAATGCGCGTCTCGTTTGAACACCTTGCATCCCGAACTATCATCGCGCTCGAGGCCCTGCGTTTGCATAACACTGGCGATGATGAGATCAAGACTCTTGTTGTCAGCGGCGGCGTTGCTGCCAACAAATTCCTCATGGCGGTCCTCCGGTCCTTCTTGGACGTGCGCGGGTTTGAGCATATCCAAATCGTCGCGCCGCCCATCTATCTGTGCACTGACAATGCAGCGATGATTGGATGGGCAGGTATTGAGATGTTTGAAGCTGGCTGGCGGACTGATATGAGCTGTCGTGCTCTTCGCAAATGGACCCTTGATCCTCAAGCCGATGATGGCGGGATCTTGGGGCCCAGTGGCTGGACTTCCAGCGAGAAATCTCTCGAATCTCTCTAATTTCGTGTACAATATCCTCCTGCATATTAGCGATACCCTAATTGTATATCAACAACAAGCCATTTTACTCCCATTTGTCTTACTTGGACAGTATGGGAGTCAATTCCATTCCCATTGTGTTTTCTGAAGTAGGACTACTCTGCGCGAACATGCGATAGAAATAGGCTCAGTAAAATGAACAAAGACGCCGATGCAGTAATGTAACAGCTAGATGGCTTCGATCAAGCTTCCCATCCGAGTCCTCCCATATCCATGAAGCCTCCACAGCAGGGTATCGATGATGCGCCGTTCTAATCTGTGCAAGTGAACCAAACCCACCGGCACACTGTGCAATAGAGGTATTTGAAACAATGTAATACATCAAAATTATGGTTGGCATGATCAGCCGCCGACAGGAGGGCCCGTTCGTTGCAACGAAGCGACTTGTTTCCGAAGCTCGAGGAAGAAGTCCTTCCCGTTCGCCATGGTATTCTCTGCTTTCGTCAGTCATTGAATCCGGCGAGATAGAGTGACAGTGTTCGTGACGACGTACGCTTCGAGCCCCAAGGGCTACCAGATCGTTGGTTGTTGTCCTTTCCGGCGGGCTTGTAGAAAGTAGCTTTCGATTCTATGGCGATAGATGCATTAGATAGGAGCTGGGCATATATGATCGATAAAAACTTACCTCCAGGGGCTATGGAAGCAGCAGACGAGCACTTAATTAGCGTCATCCTTTGAACAGTGAACGCCGGTCCTACCTCTCTTCAGAAGGCACTTGGCCTCCGCAGCATTGAAGCCCCGAACGGGAACATGCTGTTCTTGTGCTGGCCCAGAGGCAGCAGGAGACGCATTTTCATTGCGAGGACCTCCCCGGTTGCCATTGTTGGAGTGGCGTTGCGATGATTGGCGACTGGGCCCGCCGCGCCATCTGCAGCAAATAGCCTGGATTAGCGGGGTTCGGAGCGTACGCGGTAGGTCAACGAGGAAGAAACGAAGGCGTACCTGTTTTCGCCAGGGCCGCTCATGGTGTAGATTATAGAGACTTGAATGAATTGTGCAGGTCGGAGAGGATATGCGGGGAAGCTGTACACGTCCAGCTCAGTTCAGAGTTGTCGACACCTCAGGCGCCACGCGGATGTCGACGCCTTCGATAACAAAACACCCGCCCCAGAACTCAGCCTCCGCTAGACCAGGCGTCTTTCTTTCTTGTTTTTGCTGCACGATTTCAGCAGCGCTACCTAATTTTCACCGGTCACCCCTTCGATATATGCCATCAGGTGGCGCCTCGCCCCCCTGAATGCGACCTGACGTGTCTTGATTGGCAATCACCAACCTCGACGTCGATCAACCCGCGCAACTCTTCAAGCTCGATGTGAACGATGGCGCCGATGTCCCGACACTCTTTTTCTGGTAGATCATCCAGAACTCAACCTAAGTCAGCTCTGAAATCATCGCGCCACGCCGTCGATTCGCCCGAGGGTCCTCCTTTCAAGAAGCGCAAGTACGTTCCCGGCGGACCTGGGGGAGGTGGGCGCTTCATAGATGTCGAGGCCTCCCAAGAGACAACGCCCAAGAAGAAAAACAACACTCCGAGACGACACTCCACAAGCGCACGCAGTCGCCCCATCCGCGAAATCGAACAACCAATGCAGGCCCCTCCACCACCACCGCCCCCTGTACCAACAACGCCGCCCTCTGTGACGCGTCCTCGACGGGACAAGAGTCAGAATCGGGGTCGCTTTCCTTCTTCCACAGCTGCCGCACTGGCCTTACAACAGGGGGATGGGTATAAACCGAGAGAAGAGCGAGGATGGGAGGAGTTCCATCCCGACTTGGATATCGATGGCAAGCTCGCTGTGTTCACTTCAGAAGAGGTCGACACCGTTGAGCCTATCGCCAACATGTTGGGCTTCGAGTCTCTTAATGGCACCGGCACGGACAGTAGCACAGGAACACCTGTGGGGTATCCTCCAGAACTGCTCTCGCCCGCTCCCTTTAAGCGCAGGCCCGGCCGTCCTCCACGTCGCCCTGAAGCCATCCTCCATGCTCTTTTCCACCAAGGCCCCAAAATTATTCCTCCACCGGGGCCAAACCCCCGGGAGAGACTGACATTGCCAAAGCCATCCTTCCGGCTCAAGGACCCTTTCACGTTCTATGAGAATAAGAGCATTGGCCAGCAGAACTATGTCGATCGAACGATGGCCAGCGTTGGCTACCAGGAGAGTGACCTGTTTCTTCGCCATGACCGGCGCTTCATTCGTATGACCGAGGGTGCGCAAGAAGACGATATGGACGTAATTCAGCCTGCCGTGGTTGAAGGCGATGTCAATGCGACGACCGGACGGGTCGAGTATGACATGGATGAACAGGATGAAAAATGGTTGGAAGATTACAATGTCAAGCGTCGAGATGATCAGCTTGAGCCGATCAAACCGGCCATATTCGAGATCACCATGACCAAGATTGAAAAAGAATGGCACGCTCTCGAGAAGCGAATCCCAAAACCGAATCCCAAACCACCCCAGACACACCGACTACGATCCAGTTCTGCAGCCGCCGTTAATGGCGAAACGGCTGGGGCTGGGGAAGAGCAAGATAGCAAATGTGCTATCTGTGATGACGGCGATTGTGAGAACGCAAACGCCATTGTTTTCTGCGATGGCTGTGACTTGGCGGTACACCAAGAGTGTTATGGTGTTCCATTCATCCCCGAAGGTCAGTGGCTGTGCCGCAAGTGTCAGCTGCTAGGAAGAGGGACCACGAACTGTATTTTTTGTCCAAACACCGAGGGCGCGTTCAAACAGACCACCTCCTCGAAGTGGGCGCATCTTCTTTGTTCCATCTGGATTCCCGAGGTTTCCATCGGTAACCCGTCACTTATGGAACCGGTCACCGATGTCGAGAAGGTGCCGCGCAGTCGCTGGAAGCTCAATTGCTATATCTGCAAGCAAAGAATGGGCGCTTCGATTCAGTGCAGCAACAAGAATTGCTTCGTTGCGTTCCACCCCTCATGCGCACGAAGGGCTCAGTTGTATCTGAAAATGAAGGCTGGCCACGGGCTCATGGACTCCCATCTGCTGAAAGCATTTTGTGACAAGCACGTTCCGCCAGACTGGCGATTGGAGCATGGGACGGACCAGGCAACCGCCGACGCGATTGAGTACTACCGTGATGCCATGTATGGCCGACGGTGGGGTGATAGTCAGGCAGCGGCGCTTCAGATGGGTCCCTCCCAGGTGGAATCTGGACAAGAAGAACAGACTCATACCCCTCGCATCACTTTGACTGTGGGTGGGAATAAACGGAAACGTGTTCCCAAAACGATCTGGAAGCTTCCCTCTGGGGCACCGGTCATCCCCCAAGTCGTTTTGACCTCTGTTGTTGCGGCACTTCAGCGATTCACCGTCCGTCATCGAAAGCAATATGCAGAGGATGCGTGCAAGTACTGGACACTCAAACGTGAGGCACGACGAGGTGCCGCCTTGCTTAAGAGACTCCAGCTGCAGCTGGAAACCTTCTCGTCCATGGAGATGACACGAAGAGATTATGTGGCAATGGGTGTCACCGGCCACAAGCGCTTGACACGCCGTAAGGAATTTGGAGAACGACTCTACAAGGACCTTGATCGACTGAGGATGCTTTGCGATGAAGTGAAGAAACGCGAAAGGGAGAAGTTGAAGGATGCTGAGATGCTTCGTAGCATAGTGGACATTGTCTACTTCCCTACTTTTCCCATGCTCTGGCCGATCGTTGAGAAAGCTCAACTGTAAGTCAAGTCTCTTCTACCATATTGGCTCAAGCCACACGCTAATTAATCTGCAGATTGGACAGTAGAGGTACATTTGCCGCAGGATTGCTTTGTATACGGAAACGACTCGAGGAACGTTTCTATCCATCTGTCGCATCTTTCTCTGCCGACCTAGCCAGTCTTTTCACCTCTGAGATTGGCGTCGAGTCAACTGGAGGTACAGCTGAGCTGCAGGAACAGATCGCAGGTCGTGCCTCCGGACTTAGCATTGAGCAGCGTGAGAAACGGAAACTGGCGAAGCGAATCATCAAGGCCATTCAGCCAGCTTTGGAAGATGCCATCCGAAAGGAGAGCGAGCTGAACCGCAAGCCATTCGAGAAGGAGCTTAAGGAGCTTGATATGATTCTCGACAACAGTTTAATGTCTCGTCGTGATTCCATCGACATGGAAGGCGACACCGAAATGGACATTGCTCAGTCTGATGCTATGGAAGGTATCAAACAGTCTGGCGATGCGTCTGAAGCCCTCGCTGGGCCCCAGCTCGAGAATGGCGCTATCCCTGGTCAGGACGTCTCACCGGAAGAGGGCAATGGCGACGAGTCTACCTCCAAAGAGGGTGTCAAACCTAATATCAACACAACCTTCAATCGACACCCGACTCCGGAATTGACTGAAGAGGATCAGCAGCTGCCTTTAGCTCGTGGCGGCATTCAATGGTACATGCAACCGTTCGACCCTGTCGGTACAACGATTCACGAAGAACGATGGACCGGACGAGATGTGATGCGTGGCATGAGTGAGGAGTTGAGTGAACTGGACGAGGATGAATTGCAAGACCTGGTGGATGATGAACCGCACGCAGACCCTACAAAGACAGCTGATGCAGGGAAGAGCAAGCCGAACGTCCGCCGAACCCGTCGCGGGCGCAAATAATGATTACGAGCGCAAGGCGCAGGCAGGTGTTATGGGTGAATTCATTTTTTGCAGAACCCCTAGGTAGATAATATGAACGACCTTCACAGGACAAAGTCACAATCTAAGAGGTCTAGATGTCCTAGATATAGCTAGCTGGAGCTAAGGCAGGTCGTAGCCTTGGCCTATGACACCTTGCTTTGCTGTCTTACCCCTGGGCGCTCTTCTCGTAATTTCCACATTCTGCACTTTTCTTTTCTTTTCTTTTTCCCGTGAAATCTGGTGTATTTCGTTTGTTTTATTTTTTTTTCCACAACTTTCCTTTGTCACTCGTCACATAGGCGAGTTTGCAAACTCGACAGCTCTCGGGAGTGTTGTTCCTTTCCGGAGGCTAGCGCCCGCTCTTATCACTGATTTCTCTTCTCTCCTCTCCTTCCTTCCCCATCAACCTTTTCGTCTTTCGAACCATCATGGCTGATTACGACAACGATAACGGCCGTTACGCCGGTAAGCACTTTCATCGGTTTGTCTAGTTCTCAATCTAACCTGTGTAGATGAGCCCCGGTATGAACGCGACCGCAGCGCCTCGCCTCGCGATGAGCCCCGAGGTGATCGCGCTCGCAGCCGCTCTCCCAACGGCCGCCCCGACGACCGTGATGACCGGTATGACCCATCATCAATTCCTCTCATTGAAGGCGACCCTGTCTAACGTGATTATAGTCCCGGTCCCCTGCGCAAGGCTCACCTGCAAGAGGAAGAGGAAGAGGAAGGCTCCCTTAATAGCGGCTCCAACCTGTTCGTCACTGGAATCCACCCGCGCCTGACCGAATCCGACATTACGCGTCTATTCGAGAAGTACGGTGATGTTGAGAACTGCTCTATCATGCTGGACCCCCACACCAAGGAGTCCCGTGGCTTCGGCTTCGTCAACATGGTCACTGCCGAGCAGGCCGATGCAGCCAAGGAGGGCCTCCAGGGCGAGGTCATCGAAGGCCGCACCCTGAGCATCGAGAAGGCTCGTCGCAACCGTCCTCGTACCCCTACCCCCGGAAAATACTTCGGTCCCCCCAAGCGCGGTAAGCTCTTTGTTCTCTGTCTTCTATCAACCCGTTGCTGATCTTCTTTTTTTAGATGGCCCTGGTGCTCCCCGTGGCCCGCCCCGTCGTGGCGACCGCTACGATGACCGCCGTGGTCCTGGTGGTGGTGGAGGCGCCTGGCGTCGCCGCGATGACGATTACTACCGCTCTGGCCGTTACGACTCCTACAACGACCGCCGCGAGTCCGGTCGCGATTATGGCCGCGGTGACTACCGCAGCCGTGATTATGGTGGTGGCGGCAGCGGTGGCGGCAGCGGTGGCGGCCGTGACTACCGTCGTGATTCCCGTGACGACTATAGCGGCTACCGTGGTGGTGGCAGCAGCGGTGGTCCTGACCGTTACGCCGACCGTTACAGCCGTGATGATCGCCGTGGTGATGACCGCCGTGGCGGAGGTGAAGAGTCTCGTAGCAGCTACTACGACCGTGATGCCAACCCGCCCAGCTACGAATCGGCTCCTCCCCGTGAGCCTCGTGCCCCCTACGCTGGTGGCGAGGGTGCCGCTGCTGGTGCTGGCAGTGCTAGCGGTGGCCGTTCCTACGAGGGCCGTGGTGGTGAAGATCGGTACGCTAGCAGGTAATGTATTGCCTGACAAAACACAGAAACGTCCTTTGGATGCCTTCATGGCTGAATGTTCGTTCCCATTGCCCAAAATCCCCAGCTCCTCACAGTTCCCCTCTTTCCATTTGCCTCTTCACTTTCTGAAATTGTTTTAATGCGGGATTTGAGCGACGGGCCACGGGCGTCGTTTCCTTTTTGTGTGTTCTTTCTTTTTGTTTTCGCGTCCATCAAAACGATAATTCGGAGCGCCATCGGCCGACTGCGACCGACTCGGCAACTATCGGTCATTCATGTCGTCATCTCTCGATCGCTTGATGATGTGTCTCTATTTTATCTGTTCGCGACGCAACTCGGGAATCTCTAGCGGCAAGGAAGAAAACAATTATCGATGTAATTCGGTTGTCTCTTGGGTCAGCACTCTCTCGGTCAAGCTGTTCGCCTTATGCACACCACTACAACTCTTCAACTCCAACTCCAACTCTCCAGTAACGGCTCGGTTGTATTCGACCAACTAAAGTGTCGGCCTCTTTCAGCACCTTTTTGGCCTGCTCGCCAAGGCCGTCGCGCTTGTAGTATCGCAGAATTAATGTTACAGGCGATTTAGTGTCCGTTTTAATCCTGGAATTTCGGGCCTTGGCAGGTGAGATTGGAAGCTGACATGCAGATATATTTCTTTGTTGTCTTTATTGTCTATGTTGAACCTGGACTTGGGCCTGGTTGGCAAGTATCAAAGCAGGGTGTTCTACTCACTTTCTCTCCAGGGACGACCCCACGGTCCTCCGGGGCTAGAGACAATTACCCAGTATCACAAGAGCACCCTGGGCTCGCGAGCTATCCCGGTAGGTGCACAGGTGGTTCTGAATGAAATATTCGCCGAATAGCGGCTCATTCCAATCATATCTTAGAAAACGTGCAACATGGCCACCTAGGCAGGTACCTCTTGAACTCCGTACTTACTAGATTATGTAGCTGCCTCTCGTATTCTTTACCTGCTTATTCTGCGCAACTTTTCACTGCATAGGACTCTGCAGGTGGGCAAGCTCTACTGGACTATGGACTATGTACTGCCAAAATGTAGTCCTGGTCCACCCAAACCCCAAGTCCATATAAGATATATTTCAAGTATGAATTGGGGTATCACACGACTCCGCGCTGCTGGAGGCTCTAATAGCCCCGGAACCTAGGGGATTTATAACAGACCTCATAGAAACCGAGGCTCAAGCTTTTTGTGCCTCTTGTAGGATCGAATCCATCTAGCCTGCAAACGCCTAAAAAAGCAAAAACAAATCCCACTTCGATGGAAATTCACTCCGTTCTGTTCGCGTCCCGTTCCAGCTCATTGCTCTTCTGAATCAAGTACTCTCCAAGCACACGCAGAGGATTGCTGGGCCTAGAAGCAGGTCAGCTCAGCCCAGTGTTCATGGTAATCTCGAACGCCGGCACACTCACTGTTCCTTCGCAACAGTCTTCATCCCTTCAAGTAGAGTGGGAACGATCTTCTCGTTCAAGTATACACGCGCCGGAGCACCACCAGGGCGTACCTGAGTTGCGGAAGCACCAGAAAGATCTATATGGGCAGAGCTCGCGCCATTGGTCTCAGCCATTGTGGAACGCGGTTTCGTCGATGCGTCTGCGGAGACTAGGATCGAGGGAGTCGGGACGTCGGACGGTGTATTCGAAGGCTGCTTGGAGGATAGAAAATCAGAGGAAGTAATTCCCTTTGAAATGAGAAGGTGACTTGGGCAATCTGGGGGAGGTAAAGGGTTTGGGACCGGATCAAGGTTGCGCAGAGCGGAGCTGTGGAGCTTCTGGAAGCTCCCGCTTGAACGAGGGATCGGCTTCTTACATGTGCTTCGGCCATGACAAGATGCCTGTCAAAGGCAAACGACTGTCATTTACTTCTCTTCTCTTTCTTTTCTTTTCTGCTTGCCGTTGAGGCTTCGTGCTTGCGCCTGTCACGTTTGTTGCAAACTTGTCAAACAGCCTAATCGGGCTATATGGACCACGTGACTTCGTGTTTTCCGCGAGTTGTTGGACACGCGCTGTCGAGGCTTGAGTTACGAATTTATTCGTCTATTTTGACGTTTTTTTTGTCCATGGCATCTTGGAAGCATGTCTTTGCTGCATTTTTGGGAGACTCAGCGCTCCGTGAAGCGCAGAAAGACCTCTGACCAGTACTCCGACAGTGACGAGATTGTCCACGCGAAGCCACCGCCGAGTCCGAGTCCCTCCGCAGGAGCGACGGAACCCGTTCCTGCTGATGAACCTGATGCATATATACCGAGCAGTCAGACAGATTTGGAGACCTCTCTACCAGTGATTAAGACCGAGAAGGATGCTATTGAAGAATACGAAGCGTCGAAGATTGACGACGGGGAGAACGGGCCGGAACTACATATCAGACTGCGGGATGGTGTCTGGGAAAAAGGCAAAAGCTCGATATATGTGGATGCGTTCAATTTAGCGCTAGAGACCGTGTTAGACGACGAATCGCATCTCTTTCATGAAGCTGAGATGGAGGTGTTCAAGCAGTGGAAGGAAATGTCCTATGAGTCGCAGTATTTGTAAGTTCTTGCCCCTAGCCCCGATCATGTCATTCGAAATGGTGATTAACGTCTCAATCATACCAGGTATGTGCGATTGTTCCTCCGCAAGACTTCTGCCTGGCACCGTATCCATCGGCTGGGTTACTACTCCGACATATCAGACTTGGCTTTGGTAGCTACGGATCTCCAACGCGATCGGGATCTACCATCTGGTGGAAGCCAGGACGACGACAAGACTGCGTTTGGCTCTAGCTTCCGGTTCGCCGATGGCACGCAAGAGATTATCACGCTGGAAGAAGCGTCTTCTCTCCTGCTACTTGATGAATTGAAGGGATTCGCAAAGGATGTCAAGGCACAAGGCAAGAACAAGAAAGACTTAGTGGCAGCCTTATGTGAGACGAGTCAAAGTCAGACCGGTCTGGGGTTCAAGGAAAAGACAGACGCCAACCATCCCGGTAACAGGGACGACCATTTTGTGCAGAAGATTCTAGATTATACGGGCGAATGCATTCGTCTGTCGCCAGGTCCACGCGCGCTCTTTGAGCGAGTGCATCTCGTTTTTTACAGATCAACAGAGTGGACGGAGAAGTCACTGACAACCATCATTCTCGCCAAAATCTCAAGGAGGAATTTCCCAGAATACATTGTCTGTCGATCAAACTCCATATTCTCATCCAGGGCAGCACTCCTCGAATTCGAATCTGCAATTCGCACTCAATTTGAGATCGACAATATCCTGGAATTCAATGGTCCTCCAAGCATAGAATCTTTACAAAAGATCATAGACCTTGCAGACAAGTTCTACCCTCGATGGCAGTCCATGATCAAAGAAGAACAGCAAAAAGAAGATTCGATCTATGAAAGCGGCGAGGGCGCCTATCTGCGTCGTTTCTCGCCCGCCTGGGTCTACACAAGAATCATCCATAAAAGTCTTCACCCACTTGGTCGTTTCAAGGAGCATAAACGCGAGCACGAGGTTATCTCGGACCTTCTTGCACAGCGGCTTTTTCACGCTGCTCGTCGGGGTGCTTGGTATCAGCGCAAAGCCCTTCTCGAAGAACACTACATGTGGGCACTCATGCCATCCGAAGGCCGTAATGAAGATAAGCAGCGCAAGTTCTGGAAAAGAATTGCGCTGCGGACGTGCGAAGAGGGACTTGAAGATCCGCTCTGTCATCTTATATACCACTACGACCTCCAGAAACGAATTATGAAGCTTGAGAAAGCCCTGAAAGTTGTCAAAAGGGAACAGCATGATTTCGGACACGCCATGCTAAGCAAACCCGTTGAACGAACCATCGAGGGTATCCGCATAGACCGCGAGATCGATGTCCCGAAAAAAGGCAAGGCTACCATCTGGATCGACGAGCGCGAGGGCGGCGAGTGTAGAGTTGAAAACATGTGTCTGAGCTGGTATCGCGACCATGGCTGGAAAGGCTATCATTCCGAGGGGGGCATTGTCAGGACTTTGTTCGGGTATCTTTTCTATGATATCCTGTTTACATATGTTCCGAACGTCTTCCAGACTCCGTTCCAGACGTGTCCGCTCGATCTGCACACTGATGTCTTTTATCCATCTCGTGCGTCGGAGATCAATCACCGACTGGTCGAGATTACCAATGGTGATGCGGAGCGGGTGATTCGCGAGATCCATGAGCGGGAGTCTGCTGCTCAGCCGTGTGCTATTGGGATTGACTGGTCATTTGAATTGGATGATCTGGTTGAAATTGTGCAGTGTTTTCGTGGGGAGGCGCTGGCTACTATATGTAAGGTTATGGCTCAGGAGTATCAGCAGCGTGGAGGAGGGATTCCAGATCTATTCTTGTGGAACCCCGATGAGCAGGTTGTCAGATTCTCCGAGGTCAAGTCAGAGAATGATCGGTTGAGTGATACCCAGCGGTTGTGGATTCATATTCTCATGGCGGCGGGTGTACAGGTCGAGTTGTGTAATGCCGTGGCGAGGGAGGTCAGGATGGAGTGAAGTGTTCATAGGATCGCGTTTGAACATGGATCGCGACTGCATATGAATGATATACCCGAATCTACTTGAAAAGCATGTTATGGACTGAGAGGTCTACACTACGAATTTTTGCTCAGGCCAAGTGAAAATAGAATAATAGGCATGAAAGGGTATAACTCGTAATAGTTCTTTTTTTTAACGGGCGTATCTAGCACAACTGAATGAGAACCACAGACAATGTCCGACGGAACCCTTCAGATCCCCATTCCAAATATCCACAGACAACACACCTTACGCTTATGCGACAAGGGTGGAGGCGGTGGCGCTCTCGTAGCGCCAGGTGGGGGGCAGGACACCGACGGTCTTGTAGTAGCGGGACAGACGGTGGATACGGGACTCGATCAGAATGAGGCGGAACTTGGAGTCCTTGTCCTTGCGGTTGCGCTCGAGGTGCTTGCGGACAGCGACGGCCTAGTTGCAATCGTTAGTTGAATCGGCCCCGAAAGGAGCCGGATATCTTGCACATACCTTCTTGATCAGGAAGTAAAGGTCCTCGGGGAGCTCGGGGGCGAGGCCTGTATTCCAAAATCTCTCTGTCAGTCTAATTCTTGACCAAGCAGAGGCTTAGCTGCTGGTGCATTTCTGCGACCAGAGTTTGAATGTGGATGTTGAGTGATCACGAAGAGAAATCTCAACCCGAAAAAATTCGATGCCAAAAATTCTCATGCAATACTCGGTTTTCATCCGATTGATGTAGGGGGGAGGGTTTCGGGAGTCGTACCGCTGGACTTCAAGATACGGAGGATCTTGTTACCTATTCACACATACAATTAGCATTTCGGCCCTTGCGATCGCAAAATCAGCACTCTCGTAGGAATTCCATACCAGTGACAATCTTGACCTGGGCAACACCGTGGGAGTCACGAAGGACAACACCGATCTGGGAAGGGGTGGCACCCTTCTTGGCCAGCTTGCAGATGTGGTCGACAACCTGATCAGGGGTGGTCTTCATCCACGCCGGGGCGGTGCGAGAGTAGGGGACGGCAGAGGACGAAATGCCCTTGCCCTTGGAGTGAAGACGACCCATTTTTGCTGAAGTGTCCGGCGAGGAGAGGTTGTCGGAGGTTGTCGAGGTGGATGGTAAAATTCAACGGTGGAGAGTTGGAGGTTTGGGAATTCAGAATTGTGTGGGTCACGTGGTCGCGGGTCGTTCGCTTATTTTTCAGCAACCTTTTCTTGGTCGCAACCTCGTCTCTTTCTACCCGTAAACATGGCCTTGTTCTCACCACGACTTTTGCTTTGAACTGATGTGCTCAAGACGGTCGCTTGGTTGAGAAGAGCCCTCCGACTTCAGATTTGCGAGAACTCATACGCCACACCCGATACTCACTATCACCAGGTCAGTTTCTGCTTTACTACTTCGCTGCCCCCGATGCCCCCATTTTATGATGAAAAACACTTTTTATACTTATTTTCTGGTACCTCTTATGTCAGAAGGCGTGTTTTCGGATGCGTCTTCGATGATCTAACTGGACTTCTGATCTTTGCCCATGACTTTTACACTTCTGTCATCTACATTGCGAGACCGTCTTACTGACTTTGCAATAGACCCTACAGATATTTCCCAAGACGATAGATATTCAGATAGCATTCAATGAACACTCTGTTAGCAATATTGCCTTCCATACCGAAGCACGGTGAATCGGTCATCTGTATCCGTATATCTGTAGATCCGTTGATGTAGCATACATTGTTCGTACATAATTCGAGCCCTAAGGGAATCCTCACTGGCGCAGTCTTTTGGACATGCGCCTGGTCTCCGTAGTCGTTGAAGCATGGACAATTCCTTCTGTCGACCCCTTTCGTTTCTTTCCACGAGATGCTTTAGGGGCAACTTTTGGCTCCAAATCTTCAAGTTTGACGTCGACTTCCTCTTTCGGCGCAGTCAAAGCAACAGCCGTCGTTACTTCTGTTTCAATCTTCACCTCTGAGTCTTCCTCTTTCACTTTCACTTCTACCTTCTTCGTAGCCGCAAGTCGATCAGCGAATGATCTCAGGTCAGCAGTAAAAAGCACGCTATGAGCCCATCCGGCTTCCTGACCCCAGAGTTTGCGGAAATGGTTGCCAACGGCGTCGTAGGTTGCTTTGGTCAAGGACTTATGGGAGCCCTTGCCAAATCGGTAGTCTCGCTGGGCAATTTGCCAGACTGGAAATGATTAGCCAAGCACGACTCGGCTGTGTATTCGAGCTCACCATGTGTATCAACCGGCACTGACTCCCCCAACCCAAGCCAAATAGGGACACGCAATCTGCTACTTTGGGCCCAACACCTTGTAACTCAAGTAGCTTTTCGTGAGCTTCACGATACCCTTCTCGACCCTCTGGTTTCATTTCGCCTCCCGCTTTGGCCTCCACGTCAAAGGCAGGCGATTCAGGGTTGCAGAGGCCATTCAGCCATCCCTTTTCTCGCTCCTGGGATACCATGATGGCCGTCTGGTGGATGTACCTCGCCCGGTATCCGAAGCCCAAACTGCGGAGATTACTCTCCACATCCTTGCCCGTTAATGCCTCCGGTGCAGGGAAATCGTGGTATGCGCGCCCATCAACCTTGCCAACAAAAGGGCCGTAATTGAGGCATAGTTTTTCCACCATTTGCGAAATCCGAGAGATATTGTTGTTGCTGCTGCAAATAAACGAAACCAGAGCCTCCCATGGATCCTGGCGCAAGATGCGAATGCCACTGAATTGAGCGGCCTTTCTCTTGAAATTGGGATCCGAAGATGACCAGTGTGCGTAGAGTTCTGTGAGATTTGATGAAAGATTGAGGTAATGCTTTAAAATGTGCACAAGGTGGTCATCCTGCGAGTTGAACAGATTTGTCTTGCTGTCCGCGACTTCTGTGTCTGATTGCGCGCGAGAAGGGATCTCCGAGGAAGGTGGGGTTGGCAATATCGGAGGTTGGGATTGAAATGCGCGGTAATATAGATAGCTAGAATCTTGTTTTAGAGAGAGAAGGTGCCCGTACAGGACGCATCGCCATTCCTGGCTCTCGGGGATGTTGTGCCATCTAAAAAGGGTGAGTACTTTCACCTTGAATGAAATGAGAGTAACCGACCTAAAGGATTGACCGCAACGAAGAGTGGTGTTTATGCACAATTCACTGAGACTGACCGGCAACCTGCGCCATTCACAGAAAACACCAGCCATTCTTCCAAAATATCTATTGTGACAGAAGTGAGAGAAACGTAAAAAGATGTCGATAAGCATTCTGCCGTATCGCCCCAAGGAAGAAGGCGGTGGGAATACTACCGCCCCAGAAGGAGCTTCCAGTTTTCCCCTTCGCGGCTGCGCCAGCCCAAGAGCTTCGCCATTCCTCAAGCTCAGCATGAACGGAGATACCTATTCCTCCAGAGGTAAGTACCCATGGTCGTTTCACTTGATTGAGTCTAACTTTTGCAGATTCTGGACGTTCGCGCGATTACTATGTAAGTGCCAGCTTTGCAGTTACCTGACTGCGACTAACCTATTCCAGCGCGACGAGCGACGTGATCGTGATAGGGGGGCTCCGGCTGATCGAGCCGAGAGACCAGAGAGACCAGAGAGACCAGAACGAACAGAGCGACCGGAGAGAGGAGAGCGACGACGATCTCGGTCGCCTCACTTTGGGTCTAGGGGCGGCGGTCGCCGTGAGCAGGAGACCAACTCCTACTCTTCCAGCCGTGACTACCGTGCTCGGGAGCGCGAAGACCGCTATTCCAGCGGCCGACGTGATGATCGGGAATGGGATCGTGGTGACCGCGGCGACCGTGCAGAGCGTCCAGAGCGTCCAGAGCGTCCAGAGCGTCCAGAGCGGCCAGAGCGTGCAGAGCGTCCAGAGCGTGCGGAGCGTGGAGACCGTGGAGATCGTGGAGACCGCCGACGTCGTGACTTCGATGACAGACCTCGACGCGGTGACTTGTTCGAAGACCGACCCCGACGTGGCGGCCGCGAGGATCGGCCTGATCGCGGAGATCGCGGTGATCGTGGAGAAAGAAGAGAACGGAAGAGAAGCGCTTCACCCCCGAGGCGCAAGGAGCCCACACCAGACTTGACGGACGTTCCCTCGATCTTGGAGCGCAAGCGTCGCCTGACACAATGGGATATCAAGCCTCCGGGATATGAGAATGTTACTGCCGAACAGGCTAAGCTCTCAGGCATGTTCCCTCTGCCTGGAGCTCCTCGCCAGCAGCCAATGGACCCCAGCCGTCTGCAGGCCTTCATGAACCAGCCCGGTGGATCAGCTGAAAGCACAGCGCTCAAGCCATCCAACTCCCGTCAATCCAAGCGTCTTTTCGTGTACAATATTCCCGCCACTGCGACTGGAGAAAGCGTCATGTCTTTCTTCAACCTGCAGCTCAACGGCTTGAACGTCATTCACAGTGTCGACCCGTGCATCTCCGCCCAGATTGCCGACGACCAGTCATTTGCACTCTTGGAATTCAAGTCACCCAACGACGCAACTGTTGCACTTGCCTTTGATGGAATTACTATGGCAGAGAGTGGGGATAAGGGTCTTGAGGTCCGACGGCCCAAGGACTACATTGTGCCGGGAACCGCAGAACAAGAGTCCCAGGAAGGCGCGCTCTTGAATGAGGTGCCTGATTCCCCTAACAAGATCTGTGTTTCCAACATTCCAGCCTATATTCCAGAAGAGCCCGTCACAATGCTGCTCAAGTCGTTTGGCGAACTTAAATCATTTGTCCTCGTCAAGGACGCTTCTACCGAGGAGTCACGAGTGAGTATTCCGTTCTAGTTTTTGACATTCACAACTAATGAACCATAGGGCATCGCCTTCTGCGAGTACGTCGACCCCGCGGCTACTCCCATTGCCGTGGAGGGCCTGAACGGTATGGAATTGGGTGACCGTCACCTGAAGGTCTCCCGCGCCAGTATTGGCACCACCCAGGCGACCGGCTTGGACATGGGCGTCAACGCCATGTCTATGTTCGCCAAAACCACATCCCAGGATATGGAGACTGGCCGTGTTTTGCAGCTCCTGAACATGGTCACCGTGGATGAACTACTCGACAACGAAGATTACGAGGAAATTATGGAAGACATTCATGAGGAGTGCTCAAAGTTCGGAAAGATCCTGGGCCTCAAGATTCCTCGCCCCGGCAGCGGAGGTCGCCAACAATCTGGTGTTGGCAAGATTTATATCAAGTTCGACACTGAGCAATCCGCTACCAATGCTCTGAAAGCGCTGGCCGGCCGCAAGTTCTCCGACCGTACCGTCGTGGTGTCGTACTTTGGCGAGGAGAACTTTGATGTAGATGCTTGGTAAAGGGACGGCTCTTGACTTGACTAGTACTTTCGCATTCCATTTCTTTTGCTTCTGGTAAAGGAGTCTAAATGTATCATAGCAGCAAAGACCACATGCACTCGGTTATGATGGCTTGATTCTGAAATTTCCTTCCAAAATGTAACGCCCTGATCTCTTCCTTTCGCTCAATTGAATTCAATACTGTACAGCTCCGAGACTTTCACAGCATCGTTGTAGTTTGCCCATGTGATGTTGCTATGACGGTCCACTTCAAAGAATAATCCAGAGCTCGGGTGCTTGCTGAAGTTGTATAAAGCCTTGTCTGTTTTTCACTCAATGCCAATACTTAAGAGCTCCGAGGCTAATGGGTCATCTGAGCGATGACTGAGAGAGTATGTGAAAGGCCAGTCAAGAGGCGGGTGACAACCGATCGCCGGGTATTTGTTTGTAGATTTAAGTGACCGGGATGAACGTGGGTGGGTGGCGTGAAGAACTGGTCGGCAGTAATGATTCCAAGGGTCCCTATGCCCTTTTGTTCGCGATCTAGAGAACCGAATGATACCCAATCCCTTTTCATGAGATTTTGTAGCAACTAAGCATGGTACGCAATTTGAAAGAATTCTGTGTATTCTGGCAAAAGCCTGGTATACAGAGTATAGGGATCTAAGGTTACATCAAGTAAGCTGTTGATGCTATGATTAGATCTAATGACAAAGTCCCGCTAAGCGTTCGATCTATTTTTGAGCCAAGATGCGCGCAGCAGCAGCCTCCGCAATGATCATGATGGTGGTCTGGATGTTACCAGTGGGCAGGTCCGGGTGGATACTGCCATCGACAACGTACTGTATTCAATTTTATTAGCCTGAGGTCACCAACAATGCAAGCAAGGAATATTACCAAGTTATCCATTCCATACACCTTGGTGTTGACATCCACAACGGAAGTACCGTTCTCAAGACCATTGTCGGTGCCCATCTTAGCAGTACCAGTGTAGTGCATGCCAGGGGACTGGGAAGCGAGAATAGCAGTGGTGTTAAGGTTAGTCTCCAGCTTGAAACCAGTAGAGGGGTTCTGGATATCGTTGACCAGCTGCTGGATAAAGGAACGAGCCGCCCGGCGGTCGTCAGCAGTCTGCATGTAAGGGGACTTTTCAATAACGGTATTCTGGTTGGAATCCAGACCCAGAACACCCTGAGAGGTAGATCCGTGAGTCAGATAGGTGGTGATACCGAGAACGGAGCCTGCATTGGGGGCACAGGAGCCCTGGTAGTAGCGGGTCTGGCCGTGCAGCTCATTGGAGCTGAAGAAGATCATGCGGTGCTTGCCTTGGGTCAAGAGACCATCGCCATTCTTGTAGAGGTTGATGTCAGTGGTATCGCTGCCATTAATAATGGCGTCGTAATCGGGGACACCGTAGTTGCCGCCTGTCTCCACGTAGATGGAGAAGATGGGGTGATCACGGAGGCCGACACCAACGGGAAGCTCAAGCCACTCCTTCTCGGAGGGAACAGTGATGCCGCTCATCTTGGCGGTCTTGATCTGCTTCTTGGGGCCAATGCCGGAGTTGAAGAGAAGACGGGGAGTGGAGAGGGCACCAGCAGCGAGAACGACGCGCCCGTTATCGGCAAGAGAAACGATCTCAGTCTTGCCAGAGGCAAGCTTCACCTCGACACCTGTGACCTGGCTACCGGAGCGCACGACACGGATAACCTTTGCTCCAAGGTTCAGATCGAAGCTCTCGTTCTTTTCTGCTTCGGGCAAATAAGTGCGGACGGGACCAGCACGCTTCTGATCCTTGATATTCCAGGCAGGGTAGCTGTAGACCTGGTACTTCTCATCGGGCTGGGTAATCATGTCCACGGACTTCCAGCCAAGCTTGTTGAAGAACCTGGAAAGCACTTTGTACAGTCCTTGATCGTAGCGCTTGCCATCGGCAGAGGGCAAGATGGTTCCAGGGTTGCGCTTGTACAGACGATCAGCTGCAGACTTGAGGTCCTTCCACTTCCATCCCTCGGGCCAGTTGTTGTTGTCATCGAAGTCGTGGGCAGGAGGGTGCACGAAGACCATGTAGTTGATCGTCACACCTCCACCGAGGACACAGGCAGCGTATCCAGCGGTATCACTACACAGGTATTCATCCCAAAGGTCAAGGCTACCGACGTCAGCGGAGAGACCGGGTAGGTCGATGGGGGTCAAGTCCTTGTTCCACACGAGGGTTTCGTTCGCCCCCGTTGCGACAGTAGGGCCGACGCCTCGCTCGACGAGAAGGACCTTGTTACCAGCCTCGATGAACTTCTCGGCGGCGATGATACCAGCAGGGCCACCTCCAACGACAATGTAGTCATAGTATCCGTTCTTGAGGCTGGACGCTGAGACAAGACCTCCCAGGGTAGCAATCAGGGCTGCTTGGCAGCTTGCACGAAGAAAACGCATATTGAATAGTGCCTGATTAATTCGGCAATTGAGATAGAGAGTCCTTGGGGTCATCTATAGTATTGGGGATCGGCAGCTCTAAAAAGCCTGCACCTTTACTTCCAGTGGCCTGTCAAGGAGTCTCCTTGACCCGGACCCAGACCGAACCGAAGTCTCCAGATTGTGTCATAACTTCTTCTCGCCCAGGGCCAACCTTCCACATTGGGCCTAGAAAGCTGCTTCCGAGAAGATTGGCGATGCTGAGCCGAGAGACCGGGACATTGGACGAGTGGATCTTTCGGAGGAGGGCCTTGGCGGTGTCTTCATTAAAAGTCTCATCTCAGGAACAAAAAAGAGAGCAAGTGCCGAACTGAGGTTAGCGGGAGTCGTCTAGACGGTCGTTGCTGGAGACCGACTCCACTGCATGGCATTCAAATGGCTATACCGACGATCCACCGGCTTCCCGAGAAGCCGTTAACAGATCTTATTTGCTAAGCCGTGCCCTGAAACCTACCCTGTGGACCGGCTATTATCCTCTGAAAGGAATTTATCGGGTGGAGATACCCCTGAAAAAGCAAGGATCGCCGAAACGAGGCACTTGAGGTGAAGGAGATCCGTTATCTGATTAAGATCATCAGGACGGTAGCCTCGGGTTTACCATTTACCGTAGAAAAGAGAAGAGTTCAGCCGCTTCGGTCAAGACGACCACTCATCTGGTTTTCTGATTAAATTTGATCTACAATTTAGATCAGTGGCAAAACAATCAAGCGTATACTTCCCAATCGGTGTATTGTAGTTCGATCGTCCCCCAATCAAGGAAACCGCGCGTTCCGCATAATGTGAGTTCCGCTACATGTCGGAAATGCTGGAAAGGTCTGACACTTGTAAGGCTACAAAATGTCTCAATCTGCGGTGAGTTGTCTGGATTTGTGTGAGCGGCTGTTTGATTATCCTTTTCCCAAGTAGTTAAAATTGATAGTGTTTCACATGGGATTCGCCACAGCTTCAGGGCGCGGACTCAGGGCTCATTAGATTCGATGACCCATGCCAAGAAGCACAGTCGTTTCAGGTCAGGCCTATCCTTTCTAAATGAAGCATGTTCTGTACCTTATCAGCGATTAAGGCTATGAGATCGCGCTAGGGGCCTTCCCATCCAGATCTGAAGCGATGAAGCCCAGGTGCACGCACAAAGAGAAACCAAAGAGATGAAAGAGTTGATTGAATTTGTATCTATGGGACACATTGAATGCTATCTTCATGTTTATTGCACCTAAAAAGACGCATGACCAAACATAACCCGCCCAGGATTGCCGTCACGCCTGTACACACAATGAGAAGGCCAAATCCGCTACCGTATGCGCCCCACGCCTGTCCCTTCCAGCAATCTGCCTCTAGCAATGCCTCGCTAAGAGGACCGCTAACGACATTGCCAATCCCACGGCCAAATGCAATGAATGAGAAAATAATCGTCGGGTCGGAAGTCGGATCAGCTCGTTGGACTTCGTTAATGATTCCCGACCAGGTCGACGAGTAGCTGCCTGCAAATAACCCATATGCAATAGAGAACACCAACAAGATGGGGATGTTTATTGAAAATCCCCAGAGAAGGAAAATCGATACCGCCGCTCCGGCAGTAGCGATCGCGATGCAGTTTTGTACATGATATCGGTCTGACAAGAATCCCATAGAAATGCTGCCGAAGATAGATGCCAAGTTGAAGGCTGTGACTGTGAAGGAAGAAAGGAATCCAGAGGTTCCGATGGCTCGGGCGTAAGTTGGAAGATAAAGCGCAGGCAAGAAAAAGCCGAGTGCTTCGAAAATGTTTCCTATCTGGTAGAAAATGAATACTCTTTTGAACAGAAACCGGAAGGTCAGTCGGCGAGAGACGCTAATGGGGATTCGAGGCTTGTGGAAGTACAAGAAAGGACCGGCCAGCACAAATACCAGCACAGACAATATTCTCAGGGTAGTTTGGAACCCGAATCGGCTCAGAAGTTTCTCTAGGAGTAGAGGGAAGATGACCCCAGAGAGTCCGGAGCCAGCCCAGACCATACCAAAAGCGAGGCCCCTTCGTTTCACGAACCATTCCGGCATGAATAAGATGGACGGGCTGTATGCTATGCAACCACCGAAGCCGAAAGCAATACCTTGCGATAGAACAAGATGGGTCACATTTGTTGCAAAAGAGCCCATGGCAAGTGATAGGCTCATTATGACTAGTCCGATCGTTGAGAACCAGCGAGTCATACCCGGAAGCAAAATCATCGCGACTATTGTCAAGGGACAGCTCAGGTAAGCAACCCCCTTTTCCATTTGTTAGCACTATGTAAGTCATGAAGTTGATTCATGTTCTTACTGTGGCACACGTTCCGATCAATGCTACCATTTTCGAGTCTTTGAAGGCGTCCTGGGTTCGGTAATAGCTTTGAAACACGCCGAAAGAAAACGCGAGTCCTGCAGGAATCAGCAAAAGCTCTCCATAGAGAACATGGAATTGCAATCTCACCCCACACTAATGCCTCGATCATAGCAGATGCTGCCAAGAATAGCCATGCCTGGAGACCGCCATCTTGAGGAGCTAACGTATCCTCTGCAGGGGCAGCCTCTTTATCCTTGGGTGTGCATCGACAATGCTCAAAGCTGCTGCTTGGTGATGAGCAGGTGCATATTGCGTCTGGTGCCTCCATCACATTGAAAATATCGGGAATATCGAGGACCTTCGCATATCATATCTTTCGATACGTCGAGACAAGGTTGAAAGCTGAATGGTAAATGTCCGGACGGAAGTAACATCAAACTCCACGACATTTTAAAGAAGGGGCTCACGCTTCGGGTCGGGTCAATCAAGTGACGAAAGGAATTCAGAAGCGAGTCGACATCATAAGGCTGGCATGCGACGCATCGGTGGAAGTGCTCCAAGTTGCAAGAGCAAAGCCTTGCCAGCCCCTTGGATCATAATCTCTGAATGTCCCATTTCAATCATGCAACAATCCCTTCGATTTGACGATTTCGGTCTCAAAGAATGCTATGACCTAGATTACTTCAGATTCAGGAATCGGGTGGAAAGCTTCAGACGTTACAGTTGACGTGCTCTGCGTGGGACGTGAAAACACCTCGAGGGTACTCTCGGGGGATTTTCAATTCGATCGCCACAAAATCCGGCTAAGCACGGAAAGTCGAAGGGCTGGAATGTAGGGTGTTTTGATTTCAGAGTCCGGCTTGTGTCCCGTGCACTTTAACATGAATAAGGTAGCTCATGATATCATTGGCACACAGCTCCGGAGCTCGTAATAGGATTGACTCCTTGCTTGGCGCAATTCTTCGGGGACTTTTTATGCCCAGGTAGCTCAGATGGGGAAGCTTTCGAAGTTTGATCGAGACTCAGCTCAGTTCCGTCATACCTCGGCCTTTTGGATACACATGCGACTGTCCCTCGCCTTCGACTGTAAGGGCCATCCATAGAAGCATCGACAAGTCGTCCGCCCTTTCGCACCATTCGGCGAGTTCCTCTTCCCCGTTGGAGCTTCCGGATTTGACGATATTCTCACCGCGTGCTGAAGACTGCTTAAACAAGAACAGATCTCGCAGGGTCAACCCTTTCCTTCCTTCCTTTTGTTTGGCAGCAACATGTTCGCGGTATCGCTTCTTCCACTCTTTGTCTGATGTCGGCTGCCACAGTTCGCTGCCACAGGGTAAAGGCATGTCGAAGAAATCATCACAATCTCCCCTAGAAGGAGTCTCGGTATCTAGATGGAGTAAAAGATCAAATAGATAGAGGAGGCAGCCAATCCTGTGCAATTTTGTTAGCCTTTGAGCCGGGTTCGACATGATATCTCAAGACATACCTTCTCAAGCTTTCTACAAAGACCCACTTAGGGCGTGAGGAGCATAAGTGATCTATATCCAAGCCCCACGTGCGCAGATCGTATATCTCTTCAGCAAATCTCTATTCCAAAACTGCAGTGTTAGTATCGCCGATGGACTGGAAAGCGCAGATCGTAAGATGGGAAACCAAAACCGACCTCAATCGTTGCAACCATCCATGCAGTATCATCACTCGATACTGACTCCGTACAACGAGAGCATAGAATGCCATACACCATAGCGGCCTGCAGGGCCTGTAGCATCCTCTCGTTATCGTAGCTTTCATACTGATAAGAACATCAGCATCCTCGGATCTGTAGTACTGCTAGTGAATGAATTCGAGGCTTACCTCCTCGCTCATTTGCCGCAAATGAGTACATATTTGCTTCCATGCAAAGCTGTGGCTCCCTTGCATGTTGGAATAGAACATCTTCGTTAGATTAGCGCAGACGGCAAGCGCTTCAGGTAAGCATTGGTGGGGCAGGTCTGGCGGACATTCGTCGTTAGAATCAAGGGAACAGGGCGGGTGAATGAAAGGCGGCAAGGTCTTTGGATCGGCCATCATACGAGTATAAACCGTAAGACGACCGAGAAGCAGTTTGCCGGTCAAAGATCCCTGCTGGAGTGACCTTTCACGCTGTGAGAGCTGTGGGCCGGGTATCTGGGTACTTGACATGGAGTTCAAGGACTTGGGCGTCCTCAGCTCGACGGAGCTTTCATTTACCACAGACATATCGAATGAGTCTGGCAAACTGAGAAACTGCATGAACTCCGAGTAGTCGGGCAAGTCTGGTGTTTGGGTACTTGGTCCGGCTGCCGCCATGTCGTTTTCTCCAGGAAGCGCATCGAAGCTGACAGAAGCTGCTCCCATCGTTGCTGGAGTGACTAACCCAGGCCCGGTCGCCAGATGATCTTGAATAACATCCACAGATGAAGCGCCTGCGGGTCTAAGAGGCCGGAAGCCTGTCCATTGATGTCCAGAGCGGGGCAGGGCAGACGTATAATGGCACTCGATCTGTCGCTTCGCGCAGCGCGAGCACGGGCTTGACAGAGAGCATCCGGCCTTAGCCCGGCGGCAATTTACGCAGGCTTTTGCTCGTCGGACCGGCATTCTCTCTCATTCGGTTTGTCGTGTTCACTGAAGGTGAAAGTAGCGCTGATTCTAGAGCCGCATTTAGTAACCAATCATGTGCCGAGTTGTGCCGGAGATCGCAGCCAACCGCAATTCATCAGAGTCGCGATCTCTACTTTATTCACGACGGACTTGGTATTCGAGCTGGAACTCCGGTGACGGATTTTAATAAGAATAAGGGGCGAGTCACATATATAAGAGCCGAGACCCCCACAAACGGAGCCTTTCTCTCTTTTGTAATATCCCTTCAATAATTTCAAGATGACCAATACTCGCAAAACCTGTCTGATTACAGGCTGCTCTAAGGGTGGAGTTGGCGAGGCGCTTGCAGAAGCCTTCAGAGACAAGGGCTATCATGTTTTCGTGACCGCACGTTCAACAAACAAAATCCCAGAGCCCCTTCATGATGCGTCTAATGTCACTGTCCTTGCGCTGGATGTCTCGTCTTCCAGGTCCATTGCTGCAGCCGCCAAAGTCATTCAATCCGAGACTGGGGGTAAGCTAGACGTTTTGATCAACAACGCTGGCCTCGGCATGGAAATGCCCGTTCTAGACACATCTATTGCCGAAGCTAAGAAGTTGTTCGATGTCAATTTCTTCGGAGCCTTGGAGATGACTCAGGTGTTCAGCCCTATGCTTATCAAGGCTGAGGGATGCATTGTCAATAACTCATCCGTGGGCGGACGTTTTCCAATTCCATTCATTGGTGTGTATACCGGGGACATCTCCATCGAAAATTCAGGCTGATCTCTTCATCCAGGCACCTACCAAGCAACTAAGGCTGCTCTCATTCAAACAAGCGAAGTCCTACGTCTGGAGGTGGCACCTCTCAACGTGCGCGTCCTTACTCTCATCACAGGCGGCATCACGACAAACTTCCTGGCTAATATTCCGACCCTGCTGTTGCCGGAGAATTCCTACTACCATGGCATCAGAAACATCATTGAAGAACAGCCCCAGCAGGTACCCTTCGGTGTAAGCCCGAACAAGTTTGCAGGAGAAGTTCTCTATCAGGTGGAAAAGGGAACGACAGGCAAATACTGGATTGGCGGCGCTACCGGCTTTGCTCGTTTGTCATTGTGGCTTTTACCAGATTGGTTGCTTGTGAGTATTCAGAGCGATATCTTCGTTGGCGGATCTGAAATTTACTAACTCTTGGTGTACTAGGATCGATTTTCTTTGAGCCAGAAACCATTTACCAAGAAGCTGGCTGAAGAGCATGGGAAGCGGACTGCGCAGGATACAAAGCTTGATTGAGTGGTCGACAGCTATTGCTTGATAGGGATCGTGGAATCGCTAGATGGAAGTAGCATCAAATTTCTAAGCCTTCAACTTTACAAAGTTCGCGACATCTGGGGACAAAGCGGTCGATAGAGGAATACCGTGGCATATGTGTTTTAATAATATCGTATGATAAGTTCCCATTATCCTTCCTCTGGAATTCAAGGGGGCTGAATCCAGACCTTGCGGAGTGACAGGTATACAGAATACTGGGGTATCACCACTATCTATCATAGATTCCGTTTTCGAAAGAAACTGTTTCCGTCTAGGTGGAGCTTATCCGTCTCTGATTGGTGCGCTCAGTCAATTCCGTGATTTTGATTGGTCGTTTCCGGAAAGTACCCGCTTTGCACTGCTCAAGCTGAAAACTGCTCGACCTCTTTTGAAGAGCCACATGTTTTTCTATGTAGTGTTTTCGCTACCATATCTAGCAATCAGGTCTGATCCAACTAAGGTGCCAGAGACTGTCGCATGTGAAGCAAAGCCTTAGTGCACGTCTCCCTTTCAGGTACACGTCGATCACTGCCTAAAGAACGAAGTGACAGATCTCGGGACGCATCCCAAGGCTCAAGATCTATACTAAGGCTAGGAACAGCCAGGTTTGATGAAGAAAATCCTTCAGTCTGGGTCTGTTGGTGAACAAAAACTCGGCAACTGCCGAGAAGTGACTGGTTTGTGGGGCGGCAAAAATATCCGTCCAATCATCGAAGCCATTAGAGGTCTGGGCAGGCACCGTCACATTGTCTGCACTGTAGTTCCTTGGTCTTTTCAATGTTCACGAAGAAGCCATGGCTTTTCAGCGATCGGCCCGCTAATTTCTCAAAATAAAACCGGCGCCTTAGGTCTATGGAGTGAGGATGTCGTAGCTCAGAATATCCTGCTTTTCGAACGTCTTGTTGAAATTGTAATTTTTCATCCGTTCTCATCCACATACTTTTCGGTAAGAAACGAGCTCATAGACTGTAAGCCAGCAATCAAGGGCATAATTGTTGAATATTGCCACCCAATAGGACTCCAACTGTAGTATTGTCATTGTTGCAATTCAGGATGAGTGGAATCATGTAGCATTGACGAAAGGTACTGCAATGAGCGAAGGCCCAGGTATATCGGCGTACAGCCTCTGATGTACCGCTATTTGGGTTACCACGAGCCTTATTCGGACAGATCAACCACGGGAATGGCGTCAGCCTTCCGTCTTTAAATTCAAACTCCACAGACTATAATGGCCATCGCCGCCAATCAACGAGTTCATTCCTTACATGTGCCTCGCTCGCTCTAAACTAGTGTGTATCGGGGGTAAATATCTTGGGTTCTTACCGTACGGAGAGATGCAGAAGGCTGCGTATATCATCATGCTACTCGGAAATTCAAGTCTGCATCTGTAATGTTAAGTTGTGCTCCAGCGTATCATCACCCTGCAGACATTGCATACGCGGGTCATAAAGTCTCTACTAATGGAGAAACCACCGTTGTGTTTGCACCATAGACCCTCATTCTCAACACTGGTTCAGTCTTGTGTCAATGGCTCTAATTTTGGTCCGTGTTATTTAAGAGTGCAACTCCCCGTTCGTTGGGATTATTTCTCTGCCAAGCAAAGCTCTCTTAAACTACATTCCAAATCTCTCCTCAGTCTATCGCCCAAGATGAAGTCTGCCGGCCTCTTGTCTCTTACCTTCCTTCTATCGGCTGTTCCCGCCTTTGCCCAGTGGGGTAACCCTCAGGCAGTCACCATCAAGCTCGCCAACGACCACACCGGTGCTTGGGCCAACGAGGCCATCCCTGTTGATGGCAGGAGCTACCCCATCAGTGCTTTCTGGGGCAATTCTGCCCTTTCGCAAAACGGCGGAGTCTCTGCTACGAATGCGGAGCTCAACTCCTATGGCCAGAATGCCCACTGCAATATTGAGTGCTCCCACGGCAACTTGGCTCTCAATGCCCAGACCACTTACCTGTCCTTCGAGTATGGGCAAGTTGTGAACTTGAAGGATGCCACTGTGGCTTGCCAGGTCCCCCACTGGTAAAGGCGCTGCTGCCTTTACCACTTTGTCGGCTTCTGCAGACTCTCTTGCCAATTACTTTTTCCTGTGTTTTTAGTCTGGCCCTTCTCTGTTCTTGGATTGAAAATGGATCCTATGTTCCTGATGTCTTACCATGAGTCTTGCTATATTAGACACAAATTATCTAGTTAAAAGTGAAAGGTGATACTCTTCATACTAATTTCCATTGCCCTTTATTAAGTGGTGATGTACCATCAAATAGAGACTACTCTTTCTTCACATTCAAGTTCTTGCGCGCTCGAGCCATCAATCCCCTCAATCGCTCCGTAGCCTTGCTATCCAAAAACTCAATAATCTGAACAACTTTCTCTCTAGAGTCGTCCATCGTCAAGATAAAGATATATTCACCATGGAATTTCCAGTCCTCGGAAGAGAAATCATCGCCCTTTGCTTTCTCGTGGAAGATAGTTTCACTAGTCGCCCAGATCGTCACTTGGCTCAGGCCTTCATTTTCAAAAATTTCCTTGGGAAAGACAGGGAAGCTAGCTAGAACTTCTCGTAGGCTTCCTAGATGTTGGGCAAATGCGGCTGCGTCCATGGAATGCGGGAGGTTGAGAGATGCGGGGGCGAACTTGTGTTCGGCCGAGGGGGCCAGTATCGAGAGGAAAGTTTCTGGCGAGAGGGTTCTGAATCCATCGATGTATGCCAGGGCAGTCTGGCGTAGTTTTGAAGCCATGATTGAAGGGGTATGCCAAATGAGAAAGGACAGAATTTCAGGAAGAGCGACCCGGGCTGATGTGCCTTGGAATCGGAATTAAGTATCTTATCTCCACTGCATATCCCCTTCTTCGATCACTGTCTAGAATTCCCGATTCAAAGCGCTTAAACTTAACTAGTTAGTAGCAAATGAATTACGAATATTTGATCATTTATTAGATTGGATTGTCACATAATTCAGTTTCAGAGTCTGAAAACTATCTCAGGAAGTCCCCTTCCGAGACAGCTAGCTCGTACTCGTAATCAGGTTGAAACTCCAGCCACATAGCTTCAGGTGTCGAGTGCTTATAAGTATACTCGGCCTCCTTGTCCGGGACAATGCTTTTTTCAATACCCGAAGCAGCCGCAGCCTCCGCCAGAAGCTGCACTCGGCAGGTGTTTTCCATTAGAGTGAACAGGTAAGCAGCTTCATCAACAGTTCTGCCTGTTGTCAATAGACCATGGTTCTTCAGGATGGCGCATCGTTTGTCATCAAGGGCAGCAGCAATTCTTAACCCCTCATCTGCCTCGAGGGCAATCCCACCAAACATGTCGTAGACCGCGTGGTCCTTGTAGAATATGCATGCATCTTGATTCAGCATTTCTAGAGGCCGTCCGAAGCAGGACCAGGCCTTTCCATGAGCACTGTGGAAATGGCAGGCCGCATTAACATCGGAGCGAGCATCGTGAAGAGCGGAGTGGATACTAAAGCCGGCGGTGTTGATGGCAGCCTAAGTTCGAAGGGATTAGCAACCTCGTCTTGTCACAGGGTTGACATAACATACTCTGTTTCCACCGATGATCTCGCCCTTCATGTCGACTTGAACCATGTCGCTCACTTTCATGAGACCAAAGTGACGGGCAAGACTGTGAATCCAAATCAATACCTCTTTCCGTCTAATTGGTGAGGAAGTCACTCACGGGTTAATCCAAAAAGTGTCAGGATCGACCGGATCTCGAATACTTATATGACCTGCAGTCCCTTCACCATAGCCCTTTCGCGCCATTATTCTGAAGGCACCGGCCATGCGTTCCAGGGCCCATTTCCGCTCGTCATATGGATTGGAAAAAGTTGGGATACCTTGCATGGGAGCACCTCGCCCAATGGTCGAGGCGGATCCGTCGATGCTTGAAAGACGGTCCATGAAAGTATCGTCGACCCTTAGGTGTCGCTTTTCTTGGACAGGGTTGCCAGCATTTCCCGATGAGCTCTCTACTTGCGTAGAGACCGGGGGAGAGCTTAGGGTGACGGTCGACATGTTTGTATACTGGTAATACGAAAGTAATGATAGAGCTTTTCTGATCAATTCAAAGGCAAAATGTTGATTGTAGAGCTCAAGTTGGGATGAAATTGACAGGCAGGACGTGGTAGAGTTAACTAGATATAGGTCCGCCCATTCCGTAGCCATCGGCTATCTTCCATACTCCACTCATCGATCGACTATGTAATAACCGGCAGGAAACCCCGACTATCAGTCAGAAGGACCAAACATAGTGAAGAAGCCAAAGGGTCCAAACGTTGCGATGGCAGTCAACTCCGAGCCCCACTTTCTTCCTCCACACAAAAGCCCCGCTCATTTCGCCTCGCTTTGGCTCCCTTTTCTGGCCAATAGACACGGTTGCTTACTCTTCTTCTTCTATTTTCCTTATCCGTTATAGAAAGTTTCATCTTTGAACCACATCATAGCCTCGTGGCTATTTCTAAGAACCACAATGGCCACTCCTGCCCGTACCTTTCTCGCCTATCAGCATGATGCGCATCTCCACACTCTCGAAACAGTGGTGACAGCAGTGCACCCATTCACCTCTCTGGGGGAATCAGACCGCCAGCTCTTCAAAGATGGCACAGAAAACCACCATGCGGTCATCACAGAGAAGACAATCTTCCATCCGCAAGGCGGCGGCCAGCCCTCCGACACCGGCGTGATAAAAGGACCCGCCGGAACTTTCACCGTCACGGCAGTGCGCATGACAAACGACGGCCAGGTACTCCATCTAGGCCAATTCGAAAGCTCAACCTTCAGCCCGGGCGAGATTGTCAACCAGGAAATTGACGTCGACAAGCGTCTACTCTTCTCCCGTCTCCACACAGCGGGGCATGTCCTCGGCGCGGCAGTCCGGCATCTCCTGGAGAAGGAAATCGAGAATTTCGATGAGCTGAAAGCGTCGCATTTCCCGGATTCGGCGGCTTGTGAGTTTCAGGGTGCTATTGAGGGCAAGTGGAAGGACGAGATTCAGAAAAGGTTGGATGAGTATATTGCAGCTAAGATGCCGGTTCAAGTGGAGTGGTGGGATGAAGATGATTTCAAGGCGAAGGGATTGGAAAGGTTGATTCCTGACCGTAGTCTGGTGCCGCCTGGTGAGAAGTCGCGCGTTGTGAATATTGTTGGAGCGGAGGTTTATCCTTGTGGAGGGACACATGTTGATACGACGGATTTGTGTGGTCAGACTAGTGTCAAGAAGATTTCGAGGAAGTCCGGGAATTCGAGGGTTAGTTATGTGGTCAAATGAGCGGTAGATTGATAGATAGATGGCGTTATTTCATGCTTATAGAAATACGGTGCCATGATTAAAGCGCCAGCACTTCAATTTTTCTTTTTCGAATGATCTCCAACCAGTTTGTGGCAGGGTCGGCGTCAAGGCTAGACCACACCTCTTGCACCACGTTGAATTGTCTTTTCATAGTCCCAATCCCATATCGCTGCATCCTGGTCCACCATGCGACCCATGTCTCTCTGTCCAAAGCACTGCATGAAGCAATGAATGCTGGCCAAGTGATCGGCGCCATTTGGTTATCTGAGATCCCGGACTTCAAATCCTCCACAGTATGCAGGTTCGAAGCAATCATTGCGACTTGTTCGGTTATGTCGGACCTAGTGCTCCCCTGGATGTATTGTAGGTAATATATAAGAGTACCGAGATGCCAGGCATGTGCATGGTGACAAAACATCACCTGCATTATTTTGTCGTTCGGGAAGATAGTACTTGCAAGATTTTCATGAAGGGTCCAAGATAGGAGCCTATCTCCTAGTGACTCACAGGCCTCAAGAATATTCTCTGGGATTGCCTGTCGTGGAACAAGCTTGTCATAGAAAGAAAGGCTCTTGCAAAGTTGAATGGTTTCCTCAATGAGGTGTGCAATATCTGTAGTAACACCATATGTGAATTCATAGCACCATGTTTGACTCAGTGGGCGACATTGTTCCTCTCGCAAAATTTGAAAGTCTGGTAGTGATGGAAGATGGCAAGACGTAGTGTTGGCGATCAACATCATAAAGGAGCTCATTTCGTTCAGTCTTGAAGTTTCTGAGCTCATAATCTTCCAGTGTTGACGGCTTTTTCGCAAGTCTAGCATTGCTTGAATATGAATCTGAAAGTCGATAATTGATCCTTCCATGACCTAGAGCCTTGTCAGTATATCGCACTATTGAAATATTCGCAAAGCGTACACCGATAGTCAGCAAAGAGCACAATGCCACCATTAAGTGTCTGTAACTAGACTGTGATGCCCCTTCCGCCAAGGCCAACTGCATACATCTGAGTGCCTTTTGTCTATGCAAGATACCAGTCTTATGATAGCCGCTTTGCGCCGGGTTACAACTGCTCATATGAAATGCAGCGGTAGCGACCAAGGAGTGAAATATACACAGTCTCACGCTTGCTGCGACATTCTTGGCTGGGAAAAGGACGTCGACAGAGCCTTCTAAAGCAGCTGGCACATAGAGAGAACGATAGGGGTTTTCGATATGTGAGAGGGGTTGAAGGACATTGGCGACATATAATGAGTAGTGGTGGAAAAGGAGATTCGTTTCGGGGTTGTCGCAAATGTGCATTTGCGGTTGGCTCCACAAGCAGGATGCTGATTGAGGCGTGGTATATGGTATAAGAGCCGAGAGGTGGGCATTTCCATCATTGAGCTCTGAGTGATATTCTCCTAAGTCGTCTGTGGTCATAAGAGGCTCAGTATTATACGAGACGTGGTTACAGAATCCCGATATCGAGGAGAAAGCCACAGAGGTGGGCTCTTTGTTGTTGCACACGGCTGAGAAGGAAGTGAAAGGGCCTTGACTTGACGGTACAACACCATTGTATAAATCATTTTCGATGTTCATCAGAAATGTATCAATTTCGGCAAGGTTGAACCGATGTATGGCATTTCGGCCTTATCGGGGAAGTCAGTCAGGAAGACAATCCAGTACTGGTTAATGGACCAACCTCCACCAATTCTCCTTCTTCCAACTCCCGTATAACCCACATTTGAAGGTGACCCTTCAATCGAAGACATCCATCTTAATTTAATGCCGTATCCCTCGCAGGTGAGGCCTTTTCTTGCGCAGGCCTCGCAGCCTGCGGGATTCTCATCACACTTGATCTTCCGTGCCTTGCAGGTCCAGCATCTAGCCACATTAGCGCTCTCCCTGGAACCTCACTTATCAAAATGCATACCCTGAATAGGTAATAGGCCTCTTTTTATGACCGTCCATAATCTGTGACGGGAGAAGTTGCCAGTGGATGTCACGTTTTGAATGACATCCTTGCACGTGATTGACATGTCCGCTCGAGCCCCTGGCGTTCCTCCTACCTTATTCTCATCATGACCTGATGTATCAGGTTGATGTGAAGGTCCTTCTTGATGGCCCAGATAATGCTGCTGGTTTCTTTCGGACAGGACGATTCACGTTGCGCCGAAACTTGGTCTTGCGCTGCGTTGCGCGTCTGCATGTTTTGGGTGACCCACTCGCGCCTCGCGATAAGCGTTTCGACCAGAAAGATATGTTCCAGGCAGGCTTGATCTTAGCGCAAGATGAGCGACACCCGGAGATGGATTGTTGTCGGATTTTGCCTGTGCGATCTCGCAGCTCGGACCCTGGGCTCATGGGTTTGAACCGACCTATCTCGAGGTAGTCGGTGACCCCGATTATGACTTCTTTGACAACATTATCGTGACCATATTTAGCAGTGGTCTCGGTCAGCCGCGTGTTTGAGTGGACACCGTTTGTTATGACCCGGCAAATCACTTCGTGGATCCGGAGTTTGCCTAGATCGAGCTGAGTTCTGGCTGCTCACTGGCCGTCGCCAAAAGCCTCCGAACATCCTAGCTGGAGTTTCCAAACTATGGGGCCATCGCCCTCTGATACTGGTCGCTTTTCTGGAGGCGTAGCCTTATACATATGAGCTCAACGTGTCTGGGAACTAAGCAATGAGTACGGGAACCCGATCGGTCAAAATGTCCCAAGTACGGAGACCGGGGCCAGAGCTCGACCGCCACATTTGGTATCCTCGGCCTTCGTACCGACCTATCATATCACACACAACTTTTGTTGCCTTTTACAAAGTTCCTTGAATATTGTTTTCTGGATCTTCTTCGGCTTTCACTGACCGGAGATATCCGTTACCAATCGCGCATCGCATGTCAGGCTCCTTCGCCGGGTCGATACTCAAGAATGTAAACAGGCGTTAGACACAAGACACATAAGAAGCAAAATACACCCTTTCTAATCCAAAGCCCCCAAATACAACTTTTTAAACCTGTCGATATGGATTTCATGACTCCCGCAAACACCAATTCTTCTCGGGTTCGAATCTTGATGCTTCACGGTAAGAAGCACCCTTCTGGATCAGATTGGCATTTTTTCTAATCTCATTCGCTCCCTAGGACATGGCCAATCCGGTCAATTTTTCCAGTGCAAAACTCGCTGCTTGCACCGTCCTCTGAAAGAAGCGGTCTTCCAAGCTCTGCCCCAAGACTTCAGACAAGATGAGATCGATACAATAGACTTCTACTACCCATCTGCTCCTTGGACCGCCAACCCCGATCATTCGAGAGAAGAGAGATTCGGTAGTCACTCCGGCTCAATCATTGCGTCTAGGCAGCTTCTGTCAAAGTCCATCATTTTTCGGTTTCCATGGAACCCACTATGTTCCCAAGAGTAGTGAATTCTTGGCAACTATGATTTGCTTCGTTACAGGCGCCTTGGGACCAAAAGCAGATGTAGGATCGGACAACGAAGAGGACTGGGAAGACTGTGATGCTTGATTGGAACTGATTATTTGCGTGGTTTCAAAATATCTCTAGCGTGTCGTTATAATTTATCGTTTTATCTATCAATGATTTATGGGACTCTAACTTCTATTCAGGAGTCAAAGCTCATGTAGAAGCATATGCTTCTAACCTATAAATTCCACCTGGCATCTTGGCCGAAGAGACCTCGCATCTCTTGGGAGAGAGCTACCCGTACTAGGAGTAAACCCGCCATCACATCCGTCCACTTCGTAGTTTCTGCTTTTGAATTTGCCTAGAATTGTCAGATGGTTCCAAGCAAAGCTTGTATGATTGCACACATACCAAAGCTGAAGCATGAGGAATGAATGCGTTCATGCCAATCGACCACAGAGTATCTTGAAGCCATCGCTGTTGAGACTGCAATAAATTCTGTGATTTCAGAGCACAGCATAAAGACCACATAACCAGGAAGCCTCCTATTGGAGCATATATTCCCTGGCTGAGCTCAATTCTCTCCTGGATGGGTATTGTCTCGAGTATTACAGGAATTGCAGAGCATATGCGATCCCTTGCCTCCTGGATGATATTTGAAAGAATTATACTTTCTCTCGTCTCGTCATAGGCTTCACCCGAATGAATGGAGTTTCCAGTCAATAGAAGTAGATTGGCTGTAATGAGCTGGAGACAATGGTAGTCGTTCCATCGGACTATAAGAAGTGCCTAGTATGTTGTCAGTGTGCTGTGACTTTGTTTCCAAAAGAGACTTACATTCACCAACCTCTCGGTCGGAGGCACTTTATTTATATCCAGTTCCGCCTTGGGGCATATTTTCGGAAACAATTTGAGGTTCTTTTGAATATGTTTGACTGAGGCTCGAAGTTTCTGCACATCCAGTTTGCGTGCTGTCTTTCCCTGGGACAGGTTTTCAACTTCTACTGTCAATGGTTGTAGACAAATATTTGCGACGTCTAGTATTAAAGAGGCTTTGGCGCGATCATTCACACAATATGACGCAAGTTTCTGAAAGACATCATCTTCAGATTTGGAAATTATGATCGCATGGTGTAACGTGTCGAAGTCACTGGTAGGTACATCCTTATGAGTATTGGAGTTTTGCGCTAAGATGTTTAAGAGACCTTCGAGATGAATTCGCCATGTTTGGTCTTTCGGGTCGATGTTGACAATCATCTAAGTCTTTGATCAGTATTGATCACGAAAGGCCGCAATATTTATATACCTCATATATTGAGAATAGGAAAATAGCGCTGGCTAGAGCCGGCGAGTAAGGTGAGACTGCCAGTGTTACTCTCAATTCGCTGATTGTAGTGCTGTACTCTGCGAGCAGGGTTCTTCGACTTTGAAAAGATTGTTCACTCTGTTGCAAGGCATGAAGGCACCTCCTTATAGTAGTTACTGCGGAGATGACTATATTGTTTGAACCTTGTGTGATCATTGTGTCGAATGAATATCGCGACTCTGGCTCCTGCGGGTTCCTCTCGCTATAACCCAGTAGCAAATCTTCGAGGAACGAGATAGCAGCAATCGATGACTCAATCTTCGGTGACGTTTCATTTCTTTCAGGAGTATTGGAAGAAGAAGACAAAAGCGGCTGTCGTTCTGTTGCAGACCTTGTGGAACGGACCGTCTGACTTTCTCCATACCCCAAACAGACTCTCCTTGACTTTGTGCAATGACGACAGACAGGACGCGTAAGGTCGCATTGGATCTTTCTTAGCTTGCACGTTGTGCATCCCTTGCTCGGATGACCGGGATTGACCATTATCAAGGTCTCAGCCCAGAACAGTTTTGTAATCCGCGAGGGTAGAAGCAATGCCCAGTGGGCCCCGCATATGCCCGCAACGGCGCTAAAATTCTCGCATGGACGGCGCTATTCCCGATCGGGCAAGAAAACTAAAGTCTCTCGTCAGCTTTCTACTTATTCTCGCGCTACTTTTCTCGCAAGGGGCACGCTCTTAACATTTTGATGCAACGAGTCATGTCAATATTTTCTAAGTGGCCAATAAAGCATCTGGTGGAATAGATTAGATAAATTGATACCGGGCTAGACCATTGTGAATCTTGCCTCCTTGGTCTATATAAGGAGCTCAGAAGTCCATCGTGGGGATTTAATTCCAGTTTCTCAATTATTCGCTCTCAATACTCTTACAGAACACCTTCAGCACAATAACATTTCGAAGTTCCAAGCTTCTCACTCTCAGTCTAGAATGTCTCTTCAACCGATCAAGATCTGGGGTCACTGGGGTGGTCCTAACCCATGGTAAGCACGTTCTTTCAGAGACGATAACAAGAAAAAAGCGCTGAAGTTTTGTGAAGGAAAGTAATCATATTGCTCGAAGAGCTAGCTCTTCCTTATGAGCTCAGACTGGTCGAATTTTCCGATGTCAAGAAGCCCGAGTACCTCGAGGTCACCCCCAACGGACGCTTACCTACCATCAAGGATCCAAATACTGGAATCCTTCTCTGGGAGGTAATGATTCTGTTTAACTGTCCCTTTCAAGACACCAAATGCTAATAAGAAACTGTTAATAGAGCGCTGCAATCATTCTCTATCTAATTGAGCAGTACGACAAGGAAGGCAAGCTATCCTATAACCAGCTTCCTGAGAGATACCTGACCCAGCAATGGCTGGCCTTCCAAGCCTCCGGTGAGTAGTGACTTGTCTTCTCAAAGTTTGAGCAAGCTATGACATAAATACTAACCCTACGCAAAGGCCAAGGTCCCTATTACGGCCAGGCAACCTGGTTCGCTCGCTTCCACCCCGAGAAACTCCCCTCGGCTACCGAGCGATATGTCAATGAGGTCATCCGAGTGATCGGGGTCCTAGAGGAAGGCTTGGCTCGAAACGGCACAGGCTGGCTGGTCGGCGACAAGTGTACTTATGCTGATTTGTCTTTCATTACTTGGAATGGTGTCGGTGAAGGCCTGTTGCAGGAATTGAACAAGGCGGATAAGCTGGAAGAGGATTATCCCAGGTACACTGCGTGGATGAAGTCGTTGAAAGGAAGAGAAAAGGTGGCCAGGTGCATGGCTCTTATTGCTGAGGCCCGGGTTGCGCATGGGTTGAGGTAGATAGAGCAGATGGTTATGGTGATTAATTATTGATTTTGACAAGGCGTTTCGGACACGGGGTGACGGGGTGAGCAACCCACCCCGTCACCTCAAGTAATTTACTAGTAATTTATAGTAAAGGCATAGTAAAATCGTGGTAATTTAGGCCTTATTGGTTATACCTTATCGATAATATTTCCACCCCGTCACCATTTTCTCCAGTTTCTAGTAATTCCTAGGATTTATAGCCTAAATTTTCAGGACCGCCTAAAAAAACCTACCTCGTCACCTCGGGGACCTTGAATAGATATATACGTTTAATACTATTTATTACTATTCATTTCTAGCGAGACTAGTTATTACTAAACTATTAGAGAGATTAATAGAATTTCTATATTATAATAATATTTTTAATAATACTCTGGACTAGCCATCATTACTTCATATAAATTTAAGGATTATCAAGCTAAAATCCTGTTTTCTGGGAACGAACCAGGTTTTTTTAGTTTTTTATGGTAAATACCCCATTGAAGACAGACTAATTAGTTTGACTGTCCTTAGTGATGGATTCGAGGTGCTCCTTATACTGAGACTCGGTGATATTTCCTTTCCTCGGCCAGTCAGAATAGCGTAAAACGAAGCAAAGATTATAATCGGATGGACAAAGGAAGACCTTCTCTTCCTCAACTGCTGAACAATATCCGTCTGTGTAGATCACTCTACCAGGGCATTCCATTCCCCAGTCTCCCCATGCCTGCTCTCCGGTCCTAAGATCTTCACAAGATAGAGCGAACTGAAAGAGCGATTTCAGACAGACTCTGACCGATCCATCATAGTGCTCTGAACATTAGTTTTCGGGGTCGTTGGGATTATACTGAAAGTCGCAGTCAATCACGTTAACGTATCCGACCATGCCAGGTTTATCTGGCTCCGTGCTTGCTAGAATCGAGCGTATAGAGCGGGCATCCAACATAATGCAATAGTCAAACCGAGGATTACCAGGTCCAAGAATAAACCCCCGCTTTTTGACCCATTGAATATGTCGTTTGCGAATAACTTCTGCCGAGGCTCCTTCTAAGCTAGGATCTTGAACAATAACATTTCGATGCCCCTCACGGACAAGTTCAATAAAATTAGGTTGGAATTCGAATTCTTCTTTTGAGTCTCTGGATCGGTCCATTACGGCGTAACAGTTTCGATCAAGTATCTCGATCGTAGCCGCCCAGTCTTGATTAGATATATCCGTAAAGGTCGTACGATAGATGACATAGCCCCACGGCCAACATCCAGTCATTCTAGCCTGCGTTTGGAAGAATCTAGGAATCCAACCGTTCCAACCCTTTGACCATCCTGGCTTTTTGTTGAATCGCTGCCTTCTCTCGAGCGGAGTCTCTCCCGGTGGAAACTCGGATGATCGCCATGGTTCACACCATGATTCGTCGTGGAAGATATTCAACTCTTCAGGCATTGTTATTCCAATAATCATAAACTGCAAAGAATTACGTAGGCATGTGCTGCCTCGCTTAATATACTTTGATCGGATAGTAATGATTCAGTCGTAAGGTCGCTACTTCACTAGTGCCTTGACGAGCGAGTCACTAGCGATACTTACCAAGCCTCTCCCTGGAATGCGACACAATCCGCGAGATAGATTACCGGAGGGTACTCTCTGACTGGGAACTCTCCAGTAGATCCTGGAACTGGTCTAGCGTAAGCCGGGTGATAAAACCAACCACTACGACGCCCCAAGATTGTCTACATACTTTGAGAGCACCATAATGTACAGTACGTCTCGAAACTGGTGTCACCACATATGCTCTCTAAGTCTTTCTCAAACCCCGATGTCAAGATATACTAAACTATATCAAGAATAGCCCCGAGATACTAGTATTTCTGTGTAGTGAAACATACAGTCGATTACCTTGTTAATTACATGACGCCATGTCTTATTACTGTATGGGTAAGATATGGTTGTTAGAGTCAGCTAGAGATCCCACCAGTGCCGCCGCGCTTTTGAAGGCTTTCAGTCCACTGAATCAAGCGAAAATCGCTATATGTTCACGGCAGAAAGTTGTTAGTACTCTTAACGCCATGTTATCCCCAAAGACAACCAAAGACTGGATCTTGACAAAGTCCCAGACCTACGAGCCTGGCAAGAGCTTGCGCCTCGGTCAGGTCCTTTTACGTCCATCGAGGTGTCAAATTTATTGATATTACTAGTGAATACATTCCATTCTGTGTCGTAATCGCTAAGTGTAAAAGCCAATACAAGCCTCATTGACAGGGGTCCTCTGGAAACCCTCCTCCATACTGGTGCGTCTTGGCAATTAGGGTTCGAGAAACAATCGAAGAGTGTAGGTGTTGACACCAATTTCGAGACGTAATGTATTTGATCCGTAGATCTTAGACACGTGCTATCAATAGCATATATAAAATGAGATTAGAGTGCGCCATAGACACCGCAGCTATCCTCGTCTTCCATGATTTTCTCCCAAGAGGCTAGCATATCATCTCCATCATCCATTATGCCCCCAAGAAACCATACATTACTAATAGCACATTTAATCCAACCATGGCAGGCATCACTGCCATCTATTCTGGGCCAAGCCCCCAACCCACCTTCCAATCAATCCATCATGGCAAGACTGTCTTGAGACTATCAAGACTAGGAAAATCACAATTTCTCTCCAGGAATTTCTGTTGTTGTCAAGCTTTGTGTAAGTATTCCAATGAATTTGGAAAAAAACGAGTTGATCACTTGATTTCTTTTATAAAGGATGCGTATTCCGGCACAGCTGTTCAAACAGATTGACAAAAATTGGAGCAGATCGGACGAATAGATCATTCCCAGAGGAAAGTGTTGATGCGGGCTCAATTTATGGGTAATTTTATTCGTGCAAATTTGACCAAAATAATACACGCTTTATTTTCGAGGGACAAAATTCACGATGCAAAAAGTTGGACTCGCGGGGAATCGAACCCCGGACCACTCCCATGCTAAGGGAGTATTATACCACTAAACCACAAGCCCATTGGATGTGGGTCTTGGAACCACTATGATATCTGAATCTCGACTGTATTCTTAGTAAACTGCCTATGTGGGAGACAATCGGGAAAAGGAGTAATTAACCATAGAACAGACAGCGAATAGCCACTTATTACTTCTGACCTGACACTAGAATGTTAAGCAATCGGCCCCAGCCCTATCTTGGTATGAGACAGGATAAGACTCGTATTCGATAACGTTAGAAAGTCAGCCGGGGCTCCCACCCCGCCTGAGCCATCTCAAATGACTCGAAAAGGAAGGCTGGTGCCACCGTACACCCCACGAGAGTCCAATCACCCAAGCTTCTTGCATGCTGCCATTCTCCACGCTTCACAATAGCCTGCGGGCGCTGGCCCTAGATCGATCAAATTTAGCATGTGTTTCAAGCGACCGCGATTCGGGCGATGGATCATGCTTACTTTCGCAAAATCAATCCCTAGAGTAATGTTCCGATTGGGTTTTCCATCATCCCATGATAGTTGAAGTTGCATAGGGGCACCGGCGTAGTAATGCCATGTCTCAGCGGCATCGAGAACACGATGCCATGTTGAGAGGCCAGCTTCACCCTCAAGAAGATAGTAAATACAGGTGCTGTGGGGGCGGGCGTCTGATGAGTCGCCGTCACGGAAGGTCTCGATATAGTAGCCCTTTTCTGGATGTGGAGATAGGTTCAAGGCCTCAATAACCTCTTGTGCAGAATGAAAATTTGACATTCTGAGTACTTATGGCTGGGAGAGAAAAGACAGAGAGAGGAGAAGAGAGAGAGCGGGGTTGGGGTGCTTATAAGATTGACGCGCGTGAGTAAGACGTTTGCGATTATAGTGTCTAGAAGGTTGTGACGTGGTCGGCTGTCAGCAACTTCACTTGCTCAGTTTAAACGAGGCTCAATAAGGTTGATCAGATCTGCCCGACCCCTTAGAACTTTCCGCCGAGTAGTCCGGTAATTTACAGTGAATACTGTTTTTCTTTCAGCCGAACTAGAGTTCATAGGTTAAAGTAATACGGTAATTTACAATGACTGGGCCAATATCGAAATACGGCTAGACAGTGTTTATTTTTACACACAACCTGATATAGAATAGCGTGGATGAGAAACGAAGCATGAGTTTTCGGAGGTGGGGATCTGTTTTCGAATTTTACTGAAGATGTGAGCTATTGGGTCGGGTATACTTCCGCGGTCGTGCCTGTCTGCAGTACTCGCAGCCCTACCAACTCCTACACCGCTAGACTTTAAGAGGGTTCGGATCTGTAAAATAGTCACTTAAAAGTGTTCCTGAGGGCCAACCAGGTCAGCTCCAAAGTAGCGGGAGCCTAGTGACGAGGATAGCTTCTTATATAACTTCAAAAGTTGGGCTCTTCAAATTTAACATTTTCGTACTTCTGAAAAGCTTCCCACCTACACGTCTTCAACCCCCACGCTATCTCCCCGCGCTTGTGCCTCATGAGCATGTTTGACTAAAACCACGCATACTCCAGCCATTCCGCGCTAGGTGCCTCGACATGTTTGATAAAATCAAATGGAGAGAGGACTTGCGACTGTTGTTGCTCACGATAACTGGAGATGCCTCATAACAGCAAATAGTGCTCTATGGGTCACAGTACAAGGATCAGCGCTGAGGGGGGAGTTTAAATGACAAGCCATGCAATGACCCTCAGCTCTCGTCATCATTTATATCATACATAGACAGTATTTGCACCTCAAGTAAAGTAGCTCGCCCCACGGCGCCTACTATGAAGCAAAAAATGGCGCGGTAAACCCCCAGATTTTGTACCCCGCATTCACCCATGTGGAGATGCCCGCCGACACCTTCCATTATCTGTCACTCTTGCCGTCTTTCCTTTTCCTTTACTTCCTTTCTCATCTCATAGTAACTCGATCAAGCATCATACGGCCTAGCAACATGCGAAACAAGGCTGTTCCTTGGTAAGTGCCCCACCGTTCACCCGCGCCAATCACTAACGCATTGAGTGTAAAGCCAGGAATGCCGTAGTAAGTTGCATATTCCGAAGTGCGATGATCATTAACTGATCATATCCACAGGCCGACATGTAAAATGTTAGTGGATTTTAGGCTCGGTCCCGGGACCAAAGACTAACCGAGATTCAGGTGACGGGCAGAAGCCGAAATGCCACCGATGCAAGCGAACAGAGTCATCATGCATCTGGCAGGGTGTTCCATCGGGTTTTCGTCATGGCTCCAGTGCGAGCGCCCATTATGATTTCGCAGATGATCAGCCCTGGTTGCCCATCGGCCGTGGTGCGTGACTTGCTCCTCTCCACACGGCATTTTGCATACATCGCATTATCACTACCATCGGTGTCAAGAAGTACAAGTTCTATCTACTCACACGATCCGCAGTTACATATAAGTACGTCGATGAAACGGGCGACATAGCCCAGCACTATTCCGTGGATTGGGGCTGCAATGCACCTTCATCGCCAGCCCTGACTTCAGAGAGGCGCCGAAGTACGACATCCATCAGCCAACAGGCTTTCACCGAGTCATCTATAATTAGTGATACAGTCGGGCCTCATTCCTCCGAAAGTTTTCTTCCCTCACCTCGGCCCGCTAGCGATTCGACTAAGTATTTGCCGTATAACCTGCAGCTACCCCCACGAGACCATTCATTTGTCCCATCTGCCTCGCCGGGCTTTTCTCACAGCAGTCAGGCGTCGCCTGGGTCGGGAGACTTTCCTTCTAATCTCGAACATGGCTTAGCAACTTTCAATGACCTTGAAGCCTGTTTAATGAGACATTTCATCGTACAGCTCGCTCCATGGGTAAGTGTTTCGGGTTCTGGCATGGCTATATTCTCTAACATCAAAAAGTTCGATATATGCGATGGAGAGAGACACTTTGCCTGTACAGTACCACTTCGAGCTCTAACATGTCCACCTCTACTCAACGCCATCTACACTGCATCTGCAAGACACCTAAGTCGAATCAAAAAGCACTCGCATGGCAATCAAGTACGCTACGGAGACAAAGACCTCCCAAACCTAACCTCAGAGACCGCAATCCACTACCACAATCAATGCATTACACACTTCATGTCACTATCCGACCATTTTCGCGAAGCTCAAGACGAGAACCTACTAGCCGCAGCTGTGATCCTACGCTTCTATGAAGAAGTAGACCGTCAGTCTTGCCCTCCCCACCCAGCTCTCCCTAACACTCCTTAGTTCCCCCAATGGGTGAAGACATTGGCAACGCCCTTCGAGGGATAAAGATATTCCTGGACGCTCAAGCAACCACTGCAGTATCAGGCTCCGGTCTTCGCCACGCAGCCTACTGGATCGCCCTCCGCCAAGAAATCGTAACAGCATTCAGCAAACAACGTACTTTCCGCCTCCCCTTGGGCCCCTGTGAGCCCTATCGATCCTTTGAACCAGCCGACGACTATGTCTGGGCCGACCGACTTGTCATTCACTGCGCAGATGTCCTACAATATTGTTTCGGATCCGACGAGGAAACATCTCGGAGTGGGCAGATCCAATTTGCTCCAAGTATGGGTGGTCTTCATCCTACACCAATGGCCGAAATGAAGGTTACTCGATATGACGAGCTTGTTGCGTTCGAGACGCTGTGGGAGAAACTTGGGCCGCCGAATTTCAAGCCCATCTACGCAAGGGAACCGGATCGGGCTCGTGGAAAGGTTTTTCCGGAATTGTGGTATCTTAATAACTGTCATGTAGCGGGATTGCAGTTTCTGGAACTGGCAAGGATTCTGCTTACGGTTTATAATCCCAAGCTTCCACGTTTGGGGCCAGGTCAGAGGACGGCGATGCGGGAGGTTGATCGCAAGGTCCAGAAGATTGTATTGCGACTATGTGGGATTGCGCTTTCTAATCAACATAGTCCGCCTGGACTGGTGATTGCGTTTGTTGCGATTGGGATGTGTGGAGATCGGTTCACGGATCGAATTGAACAGGAGGCGCTTCTGGGTGTGTTGAGTAAGCTAGAGGCTGAGCATGCGTATCCTACGACTAGTACGCAGGACCTCTTAAAGGGAGCTTGGGGGTGGAGTGCATATGATGCATCAGAGTAAATAATGACAGTGAGCTATAATTGATTTATCCTATACGCCACGGTCCACGTCTCGTCCTGAATTTTAAGCTCCACCGCGGGAAGATCTACCTTTTCTCGAAACTGTAGATGGTCGAATGCTTTTGGAGCCAGCAAAGCCGATCTACGACAGCACATGCTATCTCCTCATGTGTAGCTTGCAGCTAAACATCGCCAATCGTGGGGGCGCAAGTGCGGGGAAGTGGAGCTGCGCACAAAGAGTAAGTGTCGCCGGTTGCTTACTTCTTCCAGTCATCTGCAAATTACTACATCGAGGATATCTCGCCGATAGACAACGCAGACATCTTCGAAAACCCAGCTATATAACCCAACCCACCTTCCAATCCATCATGGCAATTGAAAACTCACACTCCATCTCAACCAGTTCCCCTCCAATTCCACTCTAACAACACCAAAATGTCCGAAAAGCTCCAAGTGGCGGTTGCAGGCATCGGACGCATGGGTAAACACCGTCCTAGCTTTCTTATCCATGAGAACTTTCAGACCTATCTAACGCATTATTCAGGCATGCGCCATGCCCGCCACTTCGCAACTCTTACTCCCCGCGCCGAGCTCATCGCCGTCTGTTCCCCCGTCCAGGCCGAACTAAACGCCGCAGCAAAGGAGTTCCCCGGCGTCCGCACCTACACCGACTATGACCTGATGCTTGCCGAAGAGGAAACCCTGCAAGCCGTTGTCGTCGCTAGCGCCACAACCGTGCACGCCGAACAAGCCATCAAAGCAATCGAGCTAGGCCTGCACGTCCTCTGTGAAAAGCCCATCAGCACGAGTCCCGAGATCGTACGTCCCCCATCCCCTTTAAAAAAACTCACGTCTAACATACCATAGTCCCAATCTGTCGTCAATGCCTACAAAACCTCTCTAGAGTCCCACCCGCTCCAGAAAGTTATCTGTGGGTTCTCGAGAAGGTTCGACGCAAGCTACCGCGACGCGCACAACCGCATGGTAACCGGCAGCATCGGAACGCCCTCCGTCTTCCGCTCACAGACCTGCGACAAGCTCGATCCTAGCGGCTTCTTCGTCGCGTACGCGGAGTTCTCGGGCGGGATATTCGTGGATTGCTCGATTCACGATATCGATTTGGCGCTATGGTTCTTTGGCGAAGATAGTAAGATAAAGAGTGTCACGGCTGTTGGGATTACAGCTGTGCAGCCTGATTTGAGGAAGCACAATGATCGGGACAATGCGTTGGGGATTATTGAGTTTTATGTGAGTTTTTGTTTTTTTTCCCCCTTATAATCATGTCATTTTGGACTTGGGATAGAAAGGTTGGGAACTAATAGATAAATAGGGCGGAAAAATTGCCCAACTCTACTGCTCACGCATGATGGCAGCAGGCCAAGAAGATTGCACTGAGATCTTTGGAACGGAGGGCAAGATCGCAATTAACACACAGCCGCAACTGAATCTGGTCAATCTGTACGAGCCAAGTGGTATCAGACGTGAGATCCCGGCGGATTACTATGGGCGGTTCAGAGAGGCCTTTATTACAGAGGCGAATGAGTTTACGGCTTGTTGTTTGGATAACACGCCGGCGCCTTTGCAGCTGGAGTCGGCGGTCAAGGCTGTTGCTATTGGGTGTGCATTGCAGGAGTCGTTGATTACTGGAAAGAAGATTGAGTTTGATGAGAGTGGAAGACGGGTTGAGGGGTCCAAGTTGTGAATTCATTTTCTCGAGGTACTAAGTCTAGGGGTAACTATAGAGGGGATTTTGGAGATAGACTTGTGAAATGTGACTTCGTTTCTGATCATTGGGTTCGAGTAGATCTGCCCTCTTTTTAAACTGGACAGTTATCTCCGGGCTACAGTCTACATCTACCCCAGCTTTCACCAATTTACCCGTACAAACATTGAGAATAAGGAATTGCCGAAGCGCTGCAATTGACTAACGTATAGGTAAGCGGCATAAACCACATGCCCCAGAACTAGGGAAAAATTAACGAAATGAGCGGGTAATAGGGCACACAGAAAGCGGACAAGAACAAGATATGGCGTAGCAAAAAGTACATCACAAGAAGGGTAAAAAGGTCCCAGAGCCGACCCGCAACGGATCGTATTATCAAAACCATTCTTTTTGCGATGCGTGGGCCCATCCAGCGGAAGTAAAAGGGAAGAAAAACAACACAAAACTGCGTTAGGGGAGTAAGGGAGTGTGGGATTGAGACAGGTTAAGGAAAATGTGGGAAGTGAGCGCGAGTGGTGATGGGTTTCAGCCGTCAACGGCACAGGAAGAATTCTTCTTAGCGAAGGGAGAAACCCTTGCGCTTGCCCTTTTCTTCGATTGGGCGTCCGCTCTCAAGGCGGTTCTTCTTTTCTTCCAGCTCCTGGCGCTGCCGGTCGAGCTGATCCTTCATCTCGCGATGTCGGGCGTAGAGTTCGTCTTCGCTCTGCTTGAGCTTGCTTTCCTTCTCGGAGACCTTCTGCTGGAAGACCATCTTCATCTCGGCTTCCATCTTTGACAGCTTCTGCTCGTGTAGGGTACGCTCTTCCTCCTGCTTGACGGCAGGGTTGACCTCCTTGAACACGCTGGGGTCCTGGGCAACACCCATCTGGGTGAGCTTGTCTGAGCGGTAATTCTCGTACAGGAAGTTGTTGGTGTGCTCCTTGAGCTCCTCCATGTGGGTGCGGATAAGCATCTGGCGCAGCTTAACGAAGTCGCAGTGCTCCTCGTTGTCGACCTCGATGGTACCCCAGGGGTAGCTACGGCCACGGACGCGACGGCCATCGGCGGCGCTGACCTCGGCGTTAGCACCGACAACAGCAAACGGCACCTTGGACATGATCTCCTGGTTCTCGGCAATGGTCTCCTCGTCATCAAGCTCGTAACGGGGTCCCTCGAAGATCTGAATGGAGTGGTGGGAGATATCGGCGAGGATCTATAAGGTAACCATTAGAATGCCACTCACGGTGATTTCTTGGAAAAACAATGGGTTCAACATACGCGCTCCTTGAACAGGACGATCTCCTCGTCGGTCAGGGTATCGGACTTGGCGATAACGGGGATTAGGTTGACCTTGGTGTGCAGGCGGCGCATAACCTCGATGTCCAAAGGCTTCAGGGAGTGGCCGGTGGGCTGGATGAAGTAGACACAGGCGTGAATGCGGTTGTCGACGATGTTGCTACGGTTGACCTTGTTCTCAGCCTCGAGGTAGGTGTCGAAACGCTGCTCGATGTTCTCGACAATAGGGCGCCACGAGTCGTCGTTGTTCACAAAGTCACCGAATCCGGGGGTATCAATAACGCTCAGGCGGAGACGGACACCGTTCTCCTCGATATCGGCGCTGGTGGACTGGATCGACACGGTCTTGGGGATAATATCGGCGTTGGGGCCGGTGCGCTCCTTCGGGGGGTAGAGGGAGGTGTTGAACAGGGTGTTGACAAGGGTCGACTTTCCGAGGCCGGATTCACCTGGAACAGGCTATCAGCTCTGCTAATGCGAGCCATTGAGTCTTATACATACCGACAACCATGACATTGAAGTTGAAACCCTTGCGGACACTCTTGCGGTGCCACTGGTTGGGCAAGTTGGCGAAACCAACATAGCCGGTGAGCTTGCGGCGGACGACGTTCTTCATATCGGAAGCGGCCAGGGCCACGGCCTTGGGGTCGCGGGAGCTGACCGTTTGGGCGGCTCCGGAGCCCATGGGGTTGCTGCGCTCCACGAAAGGAGACTCCTTACCACTGGGGGTGGGAGTAGCAGATTCGTCGCGGGACACGACGGGGGAACCGTTCGCTGACGGTGAAGCTAGAAAATTAATCAGTCTTTCGATTCAAAAGATGTCGGACGTGATTTCCGGACGTTCGGGCACGAATTCGATCCGAGGGACAGCTTACACATGGCGAAAGTCTTGTTTGGGAGGGCACGGAGGACGAGTAACGACGGCACAGATAGATCTCCTGAATTTCGATCAGACCATTAGCAACTTCGCCTTCTAGAGTGGGGTCTCCAAGGCGAACAGAAAAAAAAATTCGGGGGGTAAGTGATGATCAAGAAATGCGTGGGCCTTCATACCTGGACAAAGCGTCAAAAAAAGGGGGTGGGAGAAGCACCAGAGAGAAGCGAACGAGTGAAGGTGTCAAACACGTTTCAGAAACACAAAAGAGAAGAAAAGAGAGGTGGTCGGGAAAAGGAAGAGGGAGGAGGATGGCCAGTCTGGGAAAGAAAGGGGGAAGTCGAGGTTCCCAGCTATTCTGAGGTGGGTTTGGATCGACCCGCGTGAACAACATGTCCCGGTCTCGATACATCAACTGTGCGTCTTTCACGCGGATTATTTGGCCGTGCATGTTATTTGGCTATCAATTGCTACTGGTCGTGTCCGATCTCCTGGGTCCTCTAATCCGTATAGGTGTCAACATCTACAGCTATCCAATACTCTCGGTAAGGGACCTGGGCCCGGCCAGCCATTGAAGCTTAAATCGGTCTCCGGAAAGATAATCTCATCGAAAATGACCCGACTCCAAGGTAGTTTGTAACCTGTGTAGCGTTGATCGCACCAGTTCTCCATTTCGCGACTCCTTGGATCAGGGGTTACGGGGTGCTCACGTGAGCTCCACCCGGTGGAGCCAGTTGTATACAGCCGTTAACTTCGTACTTTTGTAATGGTCAATGCTTGTGAATGAGACTTATTATCAACGCCGTGATCAGAGGTATTCAGGAATAGCTGTACATCTATTTTCCGACCTTGGTCTTCTTCTTCGGCCGCTCCTCCTCCGCATCATTGCCACCTCCGCCATCCGAGGCATCGCCCATCTCCGCATCACTGCCACTGCCGCTGCTCTCGTGATCCGAATCGAATTCCTCGGCAACGTCCGAGTCAGAGTCGGCGTGGAAGTCCTCATCGGGTGACTCGTCATCTTCATCAGCCGAGCCACGGTCCGCGCGGGCGCCCTCCTCGTCACTGGATTCCATCAAATCTTCATTGTTAAGAGCGGCCTTGAGAAGATTCGAGGCATCCTCGGCCATCTCATTCTTAATGCGAATACCCTTGGCCTTGAAGAAGTCCTCCAAGGGTTGTTGCTCCTCACTATAGCTCAAGTCAGCAGATGTAGGGACGATAAAATAAATCGGGACTTCTTACCGGTTGATGTTGCTGAACTGGTGCTCGCCGAGACCTGCCTTCAGGCTGACAGTGATATCAAATGTCCGGCTGGCAGACACAGCACCTCCGACACGCGACATTGTGACCACGGCAACGTTCTCCATCTGGATGTAGGTCGCGGGTTTGGGTACGAACATAAGGCTCTTATCCAAGAAGTAAAGCAAACCTTCGTTGGCCTTGATGGAGCACTTAACCCCGTGGTGACCATGGTGGCTGGTAAAGTCCTTGGAGGGCATGATAACCTTCTTGCCGGACAAGCCCCGGAATATCTTGGTTACCACCTGGTGAATCGGTTCTTCGTAGTGTGGTTGCAGCTTATCCTTGTATTGGGATTGCAGGAGGTCCCTATAGTAGTGTCAGTCGATACATTCAATGTGATCGTCGAGCGAGAAACTGACTCCGTCATGTTCAGCTCGAGGCTGATCTCCTCGTCCAGCTTCAGCTGCATAACCAGGAAGGGGTATCGGGTCTGACCCTGACGCAGCGGAGGGTCCAAACCCAAGACAATGAGTGTGTGGGTATCGTCGGGCTTAGGAAGCAAGAAGAACTTTTTGAGGGCAGAATATTGAATCTTGTAGTCGTAGGTTTTGCCACGAAGACGGAAGGACGATTCGTACATGTCGATATCGAAACGACCTCTGCATGAAGGTCAGTACTGGACTTGTAACAGAGAGCACATATGACGAACCTGGGTGTAAGGTGAAGAACGTCCAAGAACGTAGCAAAGGTGTCGCCAGCCACCTCGCCAATCTCAGCCTTGTCCATCAGAGTTTCGTAGAAGAGGTTGGCAGCATTTTGCTCCTCCACCTCTTCGTCGTTGTCCTCCTCGCCTTCAGCGCCCTCGGCACCCTCGGCCTTCTCCTTCTTGACAGCTGTTCCTGGAATGTAGAAGCGCATTTCCACGAGTTCATCAGCTCCTGCAGCAGCCTTGCGACCCCGGTTCTTTGTGCTGCCAGCCGGCTGGCCATTACCGTTCGCATCGGTGGCAGAGAGCGCGAACTCCACCGCGACCTCGTTCTTTCCAGCCAGATTGGTATTGGAAATTTCGGAGTAGGGGACTTCGAAAGCAGGTCGGTTCTGCACATTAAAGGACAACTCGGCCTTGGTGAATTCTGCCTTGCCCCAGTTCCATCCTCGAAGGGCGTGTTCGCGGGTCTCCACGTTGATGCCGTACCAGATTTTGAAAGCCTTGCTCAACCGTTCGAAATCCTAGGCGCGCAGGTCGTTAGCCAATCATCCGCGCATTGTAAAAGAGGCTCTGCACATACCTCTTGGTCAAATCCATCCAGCTGGATGACACCCGAGGATCGCGACAGGATTCTCAGCTCGAAGCCTTTCGCGGCGCGACTCCACTGGGCACCACCAATATTGCTACTATCCAGAGTGAAAGTGTCCCCGCCTCCAGATGGGCGCCATCCCAGACCGCTCTCAGCCAGCTTGCATTTGCCGGGCTGCTTTAACAGGTCCAGGTACACGTTGTCGAAGCTCTCCCTATGAAAGAAGTTAGAAGGCGAGACAAGCAGGATCGCCCAGAGGGGCTCACATGATGGAGAAGCTCTCAAAGATATTCCGACCGTGTCAAAGAAATTAAAGAATTTGGAATGTGACCGGTGAGTTGGGGATTGATGAGAAAGGGAAGTGCGTTGGATAGCTTTCAGATTTCTCGGAGGGTCGCGTTGCGGCGCGCTGCAGGGAGTCTGCCACTTCAACCCGTTTGGGTTTAGATTGGTGCCTGAGGAATACATGTTGACACGACTGCCGCAGTAGACGTTGTGCTTAATACCTGAAGGACTTAGATGGCTTTAAGAAAAAATTCTGCATTAATACGGCTTTTCCTCTCCTTTAGAGAATATTGCCAAAAATGTGTTTTCTTGAGGTGTGCGAAGCTACTATTGATGCAGCAGCATATTATATATTTATCTGCCGGAGCACCATTAACCTCATTCACGTTGTGCTGAATCTTCAATTTTTGAGGACTTGGATCACTAGTCCTAGGCCTCGTCGATATCTTAGTACAGAAACGTTTCATTTAAGCTTTAAACATACCTACTTGAACAAATCATCTCCACCCCTGAGTTGTGATGTGATGTGATTGATTTCAACATTCAACGGCCAACTACAGGATCCCGACGAGCCGGAAAATTACACAAAAACCATGGACCCCGTCATAGACGTCCCAGACCTACAGGGCTGCCTATAACTGCTTAGGGGATGGCAGCTATTAAAAACTACTACATAGCTACACTCATATATGCCTGGATCGTAATTCAAGTTATTTAATTGTTTGATCCCCCACTAGATGGTTTGGGATATGTTTGATGTTTACCGCACCAGCACTTCGTACCGACCGAAAGGGAGCCATACGCTACCGGATAAGCGAATAATGATGCCTGGAGGCCCATATCTCTGTGGACTTCCGACTCACTTATCCTGCACGGACAGACCCAGATAAGTGCGTGAGCACTGCGTAAACAGAATCCAGTTTTCTATAATTAAGTGCAGCCCGCGGGGCGGGATTTGTGTTTCGGCCCACTGTGTATCGGAGTTTACACGCAGTTATCGGCAGACTCTGCCTGAACATTGCTCAGAATGGATATTGTGTTAGTGATGCTTATCGTAGGTGCATAAGCGTTAGACACAATTGACTGAGACGTGTCTAACTAGGATCAATCTAGGGGTGCTTCGGAGCCCAAGTTCGGGAGCCTGGGGCTAAGCACACCCGATGTAGATCCTCATTCTACTCGAGTTCAACCGTCATTTCGACGTAATTGGCCATTTAGTCTCAAGTCACAGTCGGCAGTTATGGAAGACTATGAATCTTGGATCATCTGACGCGGGCACTAGCAGGTGAAGGAATGCCGGCCCTGGTATCTGCGTGCACAGCCTGCCACATTCAGGATGGGTATGACTTGGCGATAGCATCGCATCACCCACGGCCCGAGACCCATAATAAAACGAAGGAAACGCAGGTATGATTGGGGTAAGCAAGGGTGGACCCAGTCGCGTAGCGGGACAAAGCGTGGCTTGGTTTATGTTTCCGCCGTATTTCTGTATTTTGGGTAATTTGGGTACTCTGGACTCGTTTCATTTCTCCTTTCCCAGGTGTTCTGGCTCTGTCTCCAACCACTTCAGTCATTCGTTCATTGCAAAGAGGCTTCGGTCTCGACATGCATACGCCATTCTTTTTCTTTTAGATTGTTCTATGCCACATTCCTTACTTTCCTTTTCCACGCGTTGAGGCTTGCCTCCTGAATTCTTAACCCTTTCCACTCACTTTCGCTTTCGCTTTCGCTTCAACTTACTCCTGGAGACCACCACTTTTCAACTGTCGTCGCACCCACAATGAGGGCTTCTTCATTGTTTGGGCCAGCGACGGCTGGCCTCGCGACTTTACTCGCCTTACCGACCGTGCACGCTTTAACATTCGACGCCATCTCCATTCCCGACCTCGATCTCTCTTCCCTCGGCCGGGTGACCATTACCGGTGACTTCGACGGTATATCGCTCTACGAATATGAAGGACAATCGGAGATCACCCGGCGGAAGGGCTCCTCAATTTTAACTCCGCTTCCAAATGGCATTCTTACGAACCTCACCTCCGCCGACGCGCAGATCCGTGATATGTGTGCCTACACAAAGAAAGACGGAACTTTTGGAGGGATATTTGTCGCTGGAAACTTCACCAGCCTCGGAGGAGTCGATTCGCCGGGGGCTGCGCTCTTCAACCCCAATTCCAGTCAAATTACCGCCTTATCGGGCCTCAATGGCTCGGTGTCGACTGTGCTTTGCGACCAGTCAACAAACCGTGTTTACGTTGGTGGAGACTTCTCACGCGAGGCGTCTTCAAACGCCGCTGTCTGGACGTCCGACAATGGATGGACTGATCTGTCCTTCGACGGCTTCAATGGACCTGTGGCTTCGATTATCAAAGATGACAATGACCACATTATCTTTGGAGGATCTTTCACTGGACTCGGCAATATCACCACGACTTCTTCTAGCAGCAACAACACTAAGCAGATTCTCAATCTGTCGAGTGCGACCATTACGGCTGACGCAAAAACCTCTCTTAGCGGTTACGAGGATCCCACAAACATTGTGTGCTCGACTAGCGGCGTTGCGGGCAAGGGCAAGACCTACCTGCTTCACGACTACGCTCCCGGATATTGGCGCGCCGACCTTGGCTTCACGTTCTTCCCGACAAAAGTGCGCCTTTACAACACTCATCTGGATGGCCGCGGTACCAAGGACTTTTTGTTCCGCGCTCTGCCCGACGACGGCATTATGAATTTGACCTACACCGACACCTCCGGCAACAAGATCCATTGCGACTCGTCTTGCCCCCTTTCCAGCAGCACCAGCGAGAAATATCGTGATTTCACCTTGGTGAATCCCGTTGGTATGAAGGGCTTCCAGATCGAGGTTTTGGATTGGTACGGAGAAGGTGCCGGTTTGAACGGTATTGAAGTCTTCCAAGATCAGATCATGTCCTATGCCGTTGATAACTACAATGAGCCCTCCTGCGCTGGCATTGAGTACCCCTCAAAGTCGACTAGCACTGGCACCTGGACCGTCGGCTCTGGATACCTCACTGCAAATGTAACAGACTCCACCGCCTCGGATACATCCGTTGTCTTTGAGCCTGATGTCAAGGAGTCCGGTAATTACACCATCCTTGTGTACACCCCCGGGTGTATAGCGGACGACACTTGTGATTCTCGTGGTATGGTCAATGTTACAGCTGTTGTTGCCACTGACACTGATGCCACACAACCGTCTCCGACCACTATCTACCAGAGCAACGACTATGACAAGTACGACACTTTGTTCTCTGGATATGTGGATGCTGCTAGTAGTTCTTTCCGCCCCCGTGTCACCCTTCAGCCCATTGTCGGTCAGGGAGATATTACCGTTGTTGCGTCCAAGGTTCGATTTGAACTGCTCTCCGCATCCAACACGACGAATACGACTGGCAGCCTGAACGGATTATATGATTATAACCCGAAAGCTACGAGCACTGCCAACCTCGACAAGTCGGATATTAACAAGGCTGGTACATCGCTTAGCGACAGCGCTTCTATCAACAAATTGGCGCAGCACGATGGCGTGATCTATGTTGCTGGCAACTTCTCCGACTCGGGTATTCACAATGTTATGTCTATCACCGATGGCAATGCCACTGCTATGCCAAGCGGTGGCTTGAACGCGGAGGTGCTAGCCATGGTCACCTCAGACAGCTATCTGTATGTTGGTGGCAAGTTTACCGGCACCTCTGACGGTGGTGTCAGCGGCCTCTACCATGTGGCTTCTTACTCCTACTCTACCAAGAAGTGGTCAGCCATGGGTGACGGTCTGAATGGCCCGGTTAACACGATATACCCGATCGAGTTGAACGTCTCTACTGCGATCAACGAGACCACCTATGCTGTGAGCGGTGACTTCGACCAGATCCGTGCCACCAGTGACAATCCCGCCATTTACGTGGCTGGCTTTGCCATCTGGGTGCCTTCCCAGAATACCTGGCTGCAGAGCCTCAATGATACCCAGATGGAGTTCGCTGGTCAGCTGTCCGCAGTCGCCACATACAACGATACCTCCATCCTTGCTGGCAGCCTTGCTACTGATGGTATTTCCGCTGGAGGTGCAGTGTCATTGCAGAACGGCAATGATCTGAACCTGGTGCCTCTGGATATGAACTTGAACCACACCACGTCAAGCATTGGTGTATTCACTGGTGTTTACGATACCGAGTCTGGGCGTAACCTCACCATTGTTAGTGGCCAGTTCGTCACGACCGCCAGCAACGGATCCATTATCAACAATCTTGCTTTCTTGAACAGCACCAAGCAGACCATCACTGGTCTTCCCCAAGGTCTAGATAGCAACTCGACCTTTTACTCCATGGTTGTTCACAATGACACCCTTTATGCTGGTGGTCTCGTCACGGGAACCATTGGCGGTGACAGTGTGAGCGGCCTGGTATCCTACGATTTGTCCACAAACACTTTCCAGGAAAGCCAACCTTGGTCACTCCATGGAGACAATGTCACAGTAAACTCAATTGCCGTGCGCCCCGGTTCGTCTGACATCTATGTTGGAGGAAACTTTGAAACTGCTGGCTCTCTTACCTGCACTAGTGTTTGTGCTTGGGACCCCAATGAGCAATCATACTCTTGGCCTGGCGTGACAATCAGTGGTACCGTGCTTTCGCTCACCTGGGCGAGCTCGACCACCTTGTATGCTGTGGGTGATCTCGAAATCTCGGGCAACAAGACTGTCGCCGCCACATTCAGCACCAAGTCTGAGACCTGGACCGCCCTTGACGGCGCATCTTCCTCGCTCATCCCTGGCAACATCACTGCATTCACACCTGCCAGCGAGGACATGTCAGAATTCTGGGTCGCAGGCACAGCGACTAACGGATCAGCCTTCCTCCTGAACTACGCGGGCTCCAAGTTTGCCTCTCCTGGTAACCTATTCTCCAAGGGAACAGAAATCCGCGGCATGGAGATTCTCCCTCTCGCCCAGGATCACTCGGCCGTTTCCCTCCTGAAGAACGATCAGACTCTGCTTATCATGGGCAACCTCGTTATTCCTGGTTTCGGCATGGCTTCTGCGGCTCTCTACAACGGCACTGCAGTCACTCCCTTCATCCTTTCGTCCAAGTACAACGGAAAACCGGGCAGCATGTCCCGAATGTTCACGGAGAACCAGAACCCGTATGCCAGCGGAACGCCCCACCACTCCAACGGTATTGTCGTTCTAGTAGCATTCTGCTGCGCCCTAGGCACAGTCTTCCTGATCGTCGCCTGTGGCGTAATCATGAACAAGATCCAGCGCCGCCGTCAAGGCTACGCCGCGGCACCACAAACCTTCGGAACAGACCGACCAACCGACATGACCCGTGTACCACCGCAGTACCTTTTCAGCCACCTGGGCGCGACGCACCCCACCGCCCCAACCATCTAATGCCTCCACCTTTTCACCTTGCACAAAATATCCTCCGCCCTCTTAAGCCCTTTTTTGAGAACGGCGTTTTTTTCACTTCTTTATCGGAAGCAACGTTGCTTATACCCCGCCCTCCTTAATGTCTGATTTTGCTAGCGCATGTTTTTAAGTCGCGCCGGCTTTTGCTCGTGATTATGTTGGTCTTGACAGCTGTCTCTCTTGTTTCACCCTTATCTGAGCTTTCCCTTATGCTCTCTCTCCTGTGCCTATTTGAGTATCTACGTGGCACTTTATGTAACTTAGTTATTACGTCCTGGGGACGTGGATAATACAACGATCTACCTGTGTCATTTCTTCGCTTTGACTTGGAAATAACGTTACTTAACATGGAGCCGTAACAGTGTGATATCATTCGGGGTAGCCCGTTCTAACTTGAAACGGTCGTGAATGCCGTCCTTCGGGTCGGCACAATGATATTGTCTGGTTAGGTGCTACATTTCGGAGATTCGCCTCGTCATTGACCACCAGGTCTGTCTTGGAAGCTTCAATATCGTTCGTTTGGGATGCGCTGGTGATTTGGAAAATAGTGCTAAAGAGAAGTAGGAAACCCAGGTCACCCTCTTTCATATAGATAGGCTGAACCGACGCTGTCAGTCACATCGGCGAGACATGTGTGGCTTATAGAAGAACCCTGTGCCGCTGTTCGAGAGAGACGCAACCTGCCATGACAAGTAAGTACACCCCCAGGTGATGCATGCCACGACCGCTGACCCTGCACTACAGTCATTGCAACGCCAGCGAGTCTATAGTATGGCTCACGGCCTAATTAATAGTCCCTATCCATGAGAGCTTCGGTCTCCTAAAGCGGCCAAGAGTGCTACATTCAGATGGTGCATGCTACAGTCGCCCCAGTGAGCCACGGCACCTGCGAGCTGAGTTGGGTGGCAGCAGTGCCCCAGCTGAGCTGGCGACGCCAGCTGGGCCAACGAGAGAAGATGTATTCGTCGCTTCACACAAGGTCCCCGCTATCTCACCAAATGTCACTTGGACCAGAATCCGTCTGTTTGAGCAGCATCTCGCAGGCTATACTTCCGTTGCACACCGGCTCGGGATGAGTGGGGAGACGCGGTAAGCGCGCGTCGCCAAGAGCCTATGAACCGAGAGATCAGGGAGATCGTGGCTACCGTGCGTGAGTCTGAAATCGAGACCGGAAGAGCATCAATTATAGCACAGCCTTCTTTTGCTCAGAAGTGGATCCTTTCCCCTGAGTCCCGAGCCGCGCATGTTGACACCGCAGGGAAGACCGACCAGGTCGGTTCCAAGGCCGAACACCAGCCCCAAAATACCCCAGACGGATCTCGCATACAGATTCAAAATGAATATACATGATGTCGCGACTCACGGACAGTTCGGAGGAGGAGAATGGTCCAAGCGTGTGGGGGCCATTAGAGTAACTGAATCTGCCAATCTTCCCCGGTCAGGTGCCTCCCCGCAAGTCTCTCCAGGTTTCTCTTCCACCCCAGGTTCCCCCCACGCATGTCGCGCCTACGCCCTTGCCATGCGCTCCCGAACTGGCTGGTAGGTGGCTTGCATCTAAACCGCTATTGTTACTGTTACTAATTTAGCCCAGCTTGACATGTCGGACTCGCAAGCTTAAATGTTTGTGCCCGCCCTGCGCCGCTCCCGTTCCCGGCTAACACGTATAGGCGACGAGCAAAAACCTCAGTGCTCGCAATGTCGCAAAGGCGGCCGAGAGTGTCGCCCCAGTGAGGGCATTGTATTTCGCCATCAGCAGAATGCCTCTATGAATGAAGACTTGGCCCAGCCGCACGAGGGTCGTGGAAATTTGAAGGGGTTTTATTCGTACAAGAACACGTTCGACAAGGATAGCGTATGGCTGGATATCCCCAAACACGGTATGTACAGAGGCTTGCTTGGCTTTGGAACTGTGCACTGACGCCTCTGCAGTTATCTTCGTCGATAATTCCGATCCGTACGCCGACGATCTCGAAGCCACCGAATCTAGCGCAGAGGCGCTCGTTCAGTCGCGGAATAATATATGGGGCAGTGACTCGAGGGCCAGCGACGCAGGATCACACGGTCTCGATACTTTATCAACAGTCGCTTCCCACGATCGCTTCCCTTTCTCGCCCATGGAGCACTCCATCTCCGATAGCATGTCGTACCCTTCGCCGAACCGATCGCGCAGTAGCGCCATGCCTCCCCCCGCATCTCCATCCATGTCTCTCTCCAGCAACAACAACACAAACATCAACTTCCTCCTGAACCCTTCCCATTCCATGTCACCACCCCTCGACCCTACCATGGGGACACCCGACCAGAGGAGTGCATCCCTTCCATCGAGACCGGCCCCACAACCAAGGAGAGTATCATATCAGGTGCATGACCATGCTGAGACAGATTTTGAGGTGGCTTTTCTCTTGCGGCATTATACCGAAGGGCCAGGGTTATGGTATGTACCAAAGGATCTGCTTAGGCGGGCGTTGGACCCGTTGGACTCGTGCTGACAGCTTCTCCAGGATGGACTTGTTCGACTTGGGCACATACTTTGCATCATACGTCCCAGTCAGAGCCATGTCAAATCCTCTTCTCAAATATGCAGCCTGTGCATACGCGGCAAAACAACTCGGCCGTGTTAAAAATGCCAAAGCGACCATGGGTGGTGTATGTTCACGCCAGGCTATCATGGAGGTATGGCCTGACAAGGACGATGATTTTATCTGGCACGGCGCCAAATACTATGAGAAGGCTATCCAACTGCTGATGAAGGAGTTACAACCCGACGCGGAGGGCCCACCTCCGTTGAGCACCCCCGAAGCCTTCGGGCAATGGCAGGCTTCCGAGCTCATTAGCGATGCAGAGAATCCACGCAAGCGTCGGAGGCGTGTCTCGGACAGTCGGCTTTCGCACGGGGTACACTCGGATGAGGTTTTGGCAGCGACGGCCATCTTGTCGATATATGAGTTTCTGGATGCGACCGGTCCTGCATGGAATCGACATCTGAGCGGCGTCAAGTCCCTGCTGGATGTGGCCGAAGTCGGGATTATGCCCATGGAGCAGAATTCCTCAGATGGAGACAGTCACAGTCCGTATCACTCGTACAGAAAGTCGGGTCTGTCCAAGGCTCGAAAAGCTACCTTTTGGAATTTTGCGCGGCAGGATTATTTGGCTGCTTGTGAGTGCTGTCTGGTTATTTCTTTTCCATTTGCCTGTACTGACAATTGCCAGTCATCAATGAGGGCCACACCAGGCTGAACACTGACGACATCGTGCTGTGGAACGAGGCGGGCTTGCAGCTTGATAACATGGGTTTCATTCGACCCAGCAACACCACGGCCACGGGATATCCCGAGGGCGACGACATCATGAAGGAGGATCTCATCTGTAATGCCCTTATCTGGATTCTGTCAAAGATTGTGAATTTCGTCAGTTCCGGGGACGGACTTAATATGAACGTCAACCGGTCTGTCGATAGTGGACCCCTAGGGGTGACGCAACAGGTCCTCCTAGAGCGATGGTATCGGCTGGAAGCGGAGCTGGACGCGTGGTACACCGGGCTCCCCAACACCTTCAAGCCATGTGCGAGAATAGAACCGTCGCGAATGTCTCATTTCCAGCCCGCTGAAGAGGCGAAAGACTTAGCCACGCTACAAGAAGTGTGGTATAGCATCCCTATGTGCGCGTCCACGATGCAACATTACCACATGGCCCGCATCCTGCTACTCATCAACAAACCCCACGAATCGACCAGCCGACGGAGCACTATCACTCTTCGACTACAATCTTACCGCTCCATCGAAGCCGACATTGGCTTCCACAGCCGCGAGATTCTCGGAATCGCCCTAGCTCGGCCCGACGGCAGCGTAAGGGTCCACTCCCTGCAACCGCTTTTCGTCAGCGGGCAATGCGTAACCGATTCCCGCGAGCGACGAGTCGCAATTCGACTTCTTCGAGCCGTCGAAGCTGACCTAGGCTGGGCCACGGAGTATCGAGTGCAACAGCTTCTCAAAGAATGGGGCTGGGATGAGAGCTTTATCCGTTCGGTGGCGGTGACCTGATCCGGTAATCGTGTCCTTTGTTGATAAGATAACCAGTGCTAAGCACTGAAGGTCCACACTGGATCTCTGGGGCCTTTCTTAGCCTTATAAGGAGGCCAACTTCCACCTTTCCCCCGCAGTCCATGCCTTTGATCGTCATTTTCACATGTTCGATGCAACTCCGTCATCCGATCGGACGGGACTTTGCCTCCGGTCAATTGGCAGGCATCATCATGAAAGCACCGAACGCTTTAGCAGTAAAAGGACCACACAACAACGATAGGGCTGTGGCAGAGACCCTACATACAGCGGGCACTAATGGTTTCGAAAAATTGCATCCACAAACGGGAACAGTAACGAGACGACGATATACCCAGCATTTCGCATAATTCACTAGGAAAGAAGAGAAGAACGAGAATAAGAACAAGAACGAGAATAAGAACAAGAACGAGAATAAGAACAAGAACGAGAATAAGAACAAGAACAAGAACAAGAATAAGAACAAGAATAAGGATACCCATAAGCTATTAGCTAAAAGAACCCCACGAAAATAACCCGCGACACCCATAAATGAGAAAACCTGCAGAAACTCGGCCCAGTTTCCCCAACTCCGGCAATGGTTGCATCGCCGCCGAAATCCTCGGCGAACGTCAATCCTCATCGGGCCGCTCGATCCAAGCACGGAAAGTTAACTAGTCGCCCTGACTACTCTAGTCTCGCAAGAAGACCCCTATGACTAAGCATGAGATAAAAGTAGCCCGGTACCCCCTGAATCGGAATTCTAAACTGATCTCCTAATAATCCCAGTATTCCGCCCTCGTTACTTCACCTTGGTTGTTGAATGTTGTCATAGACCCACTGATCGCTCTCCATGCGGGTTCGCGGAAGGTTTCCCGAAGCGGCTTTCCCTCCGCAATCTTCCTATTCTGGGGTTCTTGGGATTCAGCCCTAGTAGTCCGGGATTACGCCCGGGAATACCTATATAAGACAACCCGGGTGCTTTTGGCATCTGGAGGCGGGGCAGAAGGTATGGCGGTTGATGGGGTTGTGGGGTTAAGTCGGGGTTTGATCCGAGGTGGCCTAGTTTAAAAGGGTGGGGGTCTGTAGGGAGATGGGTTCGCTTTTGGTTTTAGTTTGGAATGGAAGGTTGAACATCGAATATAATTTATTTGAAGATTTGAAGACTTGAAGACTGTAGGGCTGTAGCTATGTCTGTGTTTGCGTCTGTGTCTGTTGATACGGATATCCTGATCATCGGCGCCGGATCGTCAGGTATTGCCTTTGCGGTCCAGCTACAGAGACAATTCCCGGGTGCTAGTTATGAGATCCTTGAGAAGGCGAATAATCTGGGTGGGACGTGGTGGGTGAATACGTACCCCGGGTGCGGATGCGATGTGAGTGTATACCCCAAAGTGCGGGTTGTGAATTTTTTTACTAAGTTAGCTTGATAGGTGGCGTCGCATTTCTACTCGTTCTCTTTTGCGTTGAACCCGAACTGGAGCCGGAAGTTTGCGCCACAGATAGAGATCGCCGAATATTTGCATGATGTTGCGGTGAGGAATGATATCCCGAGGCATGTGCGTTTCTTGGCTACGGTGCAGAGCGCGGCTTTTGATGAGGACTCGGGGACTTGGGTTGTGACTGTGCGAGATGGGGTAAGTGGGAAGATGTTTCAACGGCGTTCGAGGATTCTGATCTCGGCTGTTGGAGCGCTTTCTGTGCCGAAGAGTTGTGAGCTTCAAGGCGCTGAGAGGTTCAAGGGGAGATTGTTCCATTCTGCGCAGTGGGATCATTCGTTTGACTGGGCTGGGAAGGATGTTGTGGTTATTGGTGAGACTCGTCTTTGTCTGCGATGAGTGTAGCTGCTGATAATAGGAAGGTAATGGCTGCAGCGCCACGCAGTTTGTGCCTGTTATGAGCGATGGCCATAAGAAGACCAGGAAACTGGTCCAGTTTAGCCGCCAGCCTCACTGGCTCGCGGAACGGCCGAACCCGACGTACTCGCGCTTTTTCAAATGGACGATGCGTTATGTTCCTCTTGCCATGCGCTTGTACCGGTTCTATCTGTACGCCCTGATGGAGAAGGATTTTCTCGGCTTCTACCAGGACACTGGAGGTTCTATCCGTGAGGACTTGAAGAGAACGCAGATCGAGTATATGAAGAAGAATGCGCCAGAGCGATACCATGATGCCTTGATCCCGCAAACTGAGATCGGGTGTAAGCGCAAGGTCATGGACACGGATTATCTGGCATGTCTGCACCGGGAGAATGTCGAGCTTGTGCACTCTGATCCGATCGAGGAGGTCACTGAGACCGGGGTGCGGACTCAGTCTGGCCGCGAGGTGCAGGCGGATGCCATCATTCTCGCAAACGGCTTCCAGACGCAGCAGGTCCTGTTCCCCATGGAGATCACTGGGGAAGATGGTGTTACCTTGAATGAGCACGTATGTATGTCTTCTACACTTGTACCGCAACTCGACTAACTACACCATGTAGTGGGACAAGTCCTCGTCCGGCTCAGCACAGGCATATTACGGAACCTGCGTCTCCGAGTTCCCCAACTTTTTCATCCTGATGGGTCCCAACACGACCACTGGTCATTTGTCGGTTATTTTCTCGACCGAGTGCGAGGTCAATTTCACGCTGCGCGTTCTGCGTCCAATCCTGGGTGCGCTGTACCCGTCCAGGATCTGGTCGATCCTCACCTATCCGTTCCAGCGTCTTTTTACTCCGGCACCAAATACCGTCACTGTAACACCTGCTGCAGAGCACGCGGATAACAATTGGATCCAGGCCGCGGCCAGTAAGCTTGTCTGGGCGACTGGTTGCACCAGCTGGTATGTCGACCCGCGGACGGGGCGCAATACAATGCTGTATCCGGATTGGCAGTTTAATTTCTGGGCGAGGAGTATCTTCGTGCCCCTGAAGAGAGACTTCGTGTTTGGGAGGAGTCTGGTTCAGTTAGCAGCGAAGGAGGAGCTGAAGAAGGATCGTCGGAGCAGGCGCCTAGGTCATGTGGCCTCGGGATTGGGTCTGGCGGGTGTTGCAGTTGTGGTTGGCCTGATGGTGGGATTGCGGATGGAAGTGAATGACGTCGAGATCACGAGAGAGCTCAGGAACGCGGTGGCTCGTGTACAGAGCGAGTGTGTGACTGGTCTCCGCAGTCTTCCCGTTCTGGCTGGCTGGACGGCAGTGTAGAACGACAAGGGGTGACGAGATATGCAAGATGTATCGATTCAGTGATACGATAAGATAGACCAAGCTGCGCGGTTGTTTCCAGCATCTGATTCGAGTATTGTAGTATTTCCCAGCCGTAGGTTCCGGCCGATCTCCCATACAAATCTCGGGATCAGAGGGGTGATAGATAAAAGTGCATGGCAGGCTGCAGGCCAGACTCGATACAGCAACTGTCAGTCATGCTATGACCGCAGTCTAACGTCAGAAACGTCCATTAGGGCTCGGATTGGCCCGACGCGCAACGAATGCTGGGGTCGATCACAGCTGGAGGCGGGATGACCAGTGTGATTGGGTGAGTTGGCGCGAGGATCGCCGGGATGGATGAGTGGCACTGTCCACTCTGTAGCGGTATACCAGTGTGGGAATCTGAATGCCGTACAGATATGTCGATTATGTCGAATCACAGAGCACAACCACTAGAGGGAAAAGCAGATGAGACATTTTGAATGTTCCTGGAAACGGTGGCGGTTTTCCGTTTCGGTTGTACAGCGGACCGTAACCAACACGAGCTGTGAACCCCCGTTCTGTACAGTCAGACATGATGCATCCGAGGAACATAGTATTGTATCTAGGAGGAATATGATCTAGGTAGTAGTTTTGTCGACCAGGACAGGCACAGCACGGACTTCCTGGTTGGGAACTAATTCTCCGACTCCGCAACGAGGCTGAAAGTGGAACCGGGAATACGCTACGATACACGCTACAAGCCGTGGGAAGGAGATCTAGACTCCCCCAAGAGACACTGCAGCCGAGTGGCGGAGTATTGTCATTCTCATCCTCTTGTCATTACCATGGACAGTGTCATTGTGACTGTCACTGTCACTGACCATCATTATCCCTGATGGCTGACTCTTTTCGGCCTTGGCGGGTTTGGCGGGTTTAGGTATTCGGTCTAGCCTCGTGTTCACGTGGTTGCCAGTCCATCAACCTCACGAACCACAATTCAACGGAACAGTTTCCAGAATTCTTCGAACTACTTCAACCTTGGTACCCGGTTCTACGTCCACCCACGGCTAATGATCCTATCTGGTGTAGATCTTGTCCTCAACAAGTCCCGTGTCACGGAGATCGCTTCCCCCCTGCAGTTCGCTTCCACCCTTTTCCCGTAATTTTGCCGTACCGAGTCTGACTCGCTCCAACCCTAAATGGGATCAACCAGGGAGTGACCAGGGTTGATACCCCCTGGCCCCGCCCGGAATTGACTTCTTCTCGGGGACCGTGTACCAACACCCATGCGTGAGCTCGTGGGCGAGAGAACCTGCAGACCCGCTTTTCTAGAACTTGGACCCCCGTCTCCCCTCCTCTCGCTCTCTTGTACTCTTCTATGTATAGCCGAAGTGCCCACTCTGCAATTCACTTCCTTTTCTTAGTTACTTACATCCCCAGACTCCTTCGACACTCCTTTGCTGCGCGATTTGCGCGTGGATTCCTCGCGCTGGCGCGTTTGATTCCCTACCTTGAGGATATGCCGATTTGGCTGTACGACGACTCAACATGACATCTGCCGAAGCCCTGTGTCGGTCTCCTTTCTACCTGGAATCACTCTTCCCGGCTACCGGTGGCTTTATCGAAGGCCGTTTCTGCGAGACCATCGGGAATATCTCGTGCTGCCTGCCATGTCCTCTTGCCGATTGGAGGTATGGCGATGATACCGCCCAAAAGGCCGCTGTCGCAGGTTGGATCAGTGTCGCCATCTTGCCTTTCTGTATCTTTCTCCTCATTTCATACGCCGTTCTTGCTCCCAAATGGACCAATCGTCACTATCTGAGTATTTGCTTTACTCTGGGTATCTGCTGCATGGAGGTATGTTGGACCGAGTCAGCCCACGCAACCCAGACCTGACCAGACTGCAGATCGCCTTCATTATTCCTCTCGGGGCCAGACCAGACCAATGTCATAACGCCATTACACCTAATGATATGTATTCGGATCTCTCGTGCGCCTTCTCTGGCGCACTCCTACTATTCGGCGGCTGGCTGGTCGTCATGTGGAGTTTCATCCGCACTATCGCATTCCACGTACAGGTATGCTGGGAGGTTGTCCTTGGACCCAAATTCATGTGGGGAGCCTTCCTTTGCGGGTTTGGTATCCCAGCCATCGGAATCACAGTGATGCTCATCATCACCGGCGTCTCCTTCCGGTTCGGTCAGATCTGTCACATCAACATTAAACACGGCGAGCAGGACTACTGGTACCCCGTCATGGCGTTTGCCGCAGCAGCCCTCGTCATGCAGCTCGCAACCATGGCCTACTGCATCCACATCTACCTCCGCTCGCTCTTCGACAAATCAGCCTCGACCACCGAAAATAGCTCCGGCCTCCCATCATACACATCTAGCATACGCACCCAAACCGCTCGTCAGGCCTATCGCCGGGTGAAACGCGTGCTGCAGCTACAGTGGCGTGGAGTCGCCCTAGTGGTAATCATCATCGCCAATGTCATTTTCTTCGCCGTGGTATTCATCGACCTGGACCGTGAAATTGCGCCTACGCCCGCCAACTTAAAACGCGCCGAACCTTGGCTAGCCTGCCTCCTTATGGGTGGGACTAAAAAAGAGTGCATGCAGTACGCATCCGCGCTAGGCCCCAACGAGGCCACTATCCTCGCCATGATCTACCTGTTGTCTCTAGTCGGAATCTGGAACTTCATTCTATTCGCACGGCCATCCATGTTCGCCGGCTGGCTCGATCTGTGGCGGCGCGGCTTCAATAGTCGGCATGAGTATGTCTCAGCCGATGCGAACAATCGTCACGTCGATAACAAGGGCTTCGAGATGCTCACGACGGCCACGGTCAAGACACCCGACCCCTACATGCGATCACCCAGCCCCAGTCACATGATGGGACATGGCCGGACCTCTATGACCAGTCCCAGCCCAACTATTGACCGAAACGTTCATTTCGGGCAGGAGGCACGTTACGTGCGCCCCTCAATGAGTTTCAGCGGACCGCGACCACCCAGTGCCCAAGAGTGGAATCCGTCATCGAGCTTTGCTCAGAGTCAGGCGCGATAATTATTGGGATGGCTGAGGAATAGGTCGAACTCAATTTTCAGTTTCCCGTCTCGGAGTTCAGGCGGGGCAACCTAAAAAAGAAGCCATATTTTGAGTACTTGGTGTTCCCGGCGTTTCCTCGACGGTGGTCCTAATCCTGATTCCTTGCCCGCCCCAGATCGGCTGTTCTAGTTTTTTTCTTTTTAGCAACCCGGGGGTATGGGTCACGATGATCAAGTCTAATGTTTTATTGTTTCCTGTACAGCCTCCCATGTGCAATATCGAACCATAATCTTGTAAAAATGAAAAATTACATTAATACACAAACCGTGTGCCTCGTTCGTCAACTTCCTTCCCAAGCATACGGTACTGTTTCACCAACGATGATCTCCACAGCACACGGCATCTGGTCCGCTTGCGCGGGTACGTACTAAACTCGCCCGACAGATCCAAAATTCACCCAATAACAGCCCTCACCAGAAGTACGAATCAACCCCACAATAAGGCCCAAACCCCACACCAAGCGACTCTGAGGACCTAGTGCGAAATACCAACTAGCTATCTCCCTGACTATCTCGTCTACAGTCAAGACATGACCGGGAGGGAGGTTGAGGGCGTAAAAAAAAAAAAAAAAAAAAAAAAAAAAAGAAAAAAGGGCAATCTAGAACCTCAGAGCTCAAAGCCCCCTCGAACACTGGCATGGTTTCGCGGTGCCCTTAAACTAAGCTATCCCAACGGGGCAACTCGGCCGTTCCTGCATAGCCTTGTTGCATGGGAACCTGCGTAAGCGGAGCCACCGGCCACACGGGATACGCGTTGCGCTAGCCGGATTTCCGTAGCGTTGAGATTTGTACGCCCGCGTTATTCCATAACGAGTATAGTTCAGTCTTGGGTTCTAATAATGATGGGCACCAGCCCTCTTCTTCTTGGCGTTTGGAGTAGGATTGAATTAGGCAGCTTGTCTTACCGATAATGCCTTTGTCAGTGGTACCTGCGTGTAGCACTCCACTGTCAGCACTACTCACGTGTGCTGGGACTAGTGCTGGTGGCAGGGTCCAGGATCGGGGAGTCTAATAGATGAGCTTTGGAATCCGAGGGGCAAGATTGAGCGACGGGATGGAACACGTTTATGCATAGACGTTTTTTTGCAAGCTGGTTTTCTTTCTTTCTTTCCTATTCTTTTGAGAACAAGTATATTGCAATGCAGATTCGGCCGGGATGTAAAATGGGGTTGTGGATTTCAAACGGTCCTCGCCACTGTACTCAAGTCCGGCCAATGAATACTGGGTGAACCAAACCCCTAGACCCAAAAGGCTTTTCCGGATGGTTCTAGCCAAGTCTCAATTTCACTTCCAAGATAACCTCATAACCTCCAACCCCGTGGGGAATCCCAGACCCAGTAACCGAGAAACAACCGAGACACAAAAGGCGGGGTGACTAGCGGTACGAATCGTGGATACAATTGTGGTCTGGAAGTGTCCAATGCAACGGTCCAATACAATCACCGTGCCAAGACTCGAATAAGTGAGGCATTTCTCGAAGCATGTGCTTGGGATCGGAAGATCTCAAAATACCGGAACCCCGTCAAGCGCGGGGTCAAGGATTGACAGTGTGGGGAACCCGGTAGTTTTCTAATAGTCTCGAATAGTGAATGTCAGAGTATGATTTGGTCCTATACTGTTCGTCCCCCGCCTCGAAAGTAAAGATGGCGGGCACTAGGGCAGTGGAAAGTCTATCGGGTCGCCTCGGTACATGTGATATCTGCATTTGCATTTGCACGGTTCGTGGCAACGTGGCAATGAGTTCAGGCCTCGTGTCCCATGCTTGATGGTTCATCTACGCGATCTAATCTTTTTTTCTTTTCTTCTTTTTTTTTTTGCTCTGTTTTTGGGACGTCTTATTGGCTTTTTTTCCAATGGTTCATTTCATGTTGACGATCACTTTGTTCCGGCAGTAGTAGATAGTGGGCGGGTCGCGTGCCCTTACATGAACTATATGGGGCTATGGGGCGTTAGTCAAGGGCCACATGTTTTAGCTACTGGGTTTGAATTATGGGGCCGTGGATTGAGGCTAAGATGAACGTGTACGGGTATTGTTGTCTCCGGGTTCAGGTTTGTGAAATTGGACTCATCGATTAGATCTGATCGTTGTGCACTTTCTAATCTACAGTTAAATGTTACTCTCAGCTCGTGTATAAGCTCCAGATTCGGGTTGGGCCTCTAAGGTGTGCCGAATATGAAGCCAGTCAGGCCTTGACTCTCGTTGATTTTGATTCTGGGGTTGGCAGGAAGAGCGAATACCCTCTCTCACTGAAGACTCTAATTAGGGAGTATAAAGAACGAGTTCTACGAATGTCTCATGTCCACCGACGCGTACCATCAAATGTTGATTTCTGCTACTGCACGTCGCGTGTCACCATGATCGTGTTCAGTGGTACTTCATCGCTCGAGTCGTCCTGGCTAACATGCATCTGCACCCGTGACTTTGACAAGGACTCGTCTCTGGACCCTGCGGCCACTCCGTATCTTACAAGGCATCTCAGGGCCGTTCCATCCGGTCCGAAGTTTCGCAGGGCGGATGTTTTGCCATCTGTTATTCCTGTTCTTGATGTGTCGAAGCGACTTCCGAATTTCGATGAAAGAATCACGAACAATGGGCGCAGTGTCGGCATGCAGGTGGAGATTATTCCACTTGCTGTCTCGATGAGGCACCAGGTGCAGGCTTCGGCAAGGGTCCAGGATACATCTGTGGGCTCGATTTTGAAGAGGGTTGAGAACCGGTAGGCGCCTGTGAATATCACGCTGTTGAGAAGTAGTTGTTATGATTTGATCACTCATGGTTGGGACGATTTCTCCTTGGGGATTCAGAACGCACAAACTACCCAGCAGGAAGACAGCAGTTATAGACAGTCATGGACGAGAGTGGCCTGCAATCGCCAAACAACGCGTACCGGAAGAGACAGAATCGCGACATCGATTAGGACATTCGGTACTCCGTTACCTATGAAAGATCCTTTGAGGTTGATACATGTTCCTGGAAGACTCATATTCCAGGCTTTTGCAATGGGCGTGCACTGGAAAACGCTGACACAGATGATGGCAATGACCCATGAGATAACAATGAAGCCCAGGATGTGTGCTGCAATGCGAAACTCTCGTGTTGGGAGGATGCGCGCGTTCACCAGCAAAATGGAAAATTTGACGATTCTTACTGCCATGCAGTAGGTGCACTTAAAGGCCACCGGAACTGCGGTAAGATCAATTCAGCTCTCAAGTACCTGGAAAGTATTTCATGGATCACACCTTTGCAATCATCACAGATTTTCGATCGGTATCACATCTGCGTGTGTTCCCATGCCATAGTCGATCACTGGAGTGATAATTTAAAGCCATGAGATCGTTACGTGCTCGTGTCTACTTACTAGCAAGATTCGCCGTTCCTTACGGCGGCGCCAACAGAGCCAAGAGCTAGGGACAATTCGCTTCTGAGGGAGGCCACAGGGGCAGGAACTGCATCCAGTACATTAGCATTCACCGCAGCGAATAGAATCTATGTAAGTAGCTTCGATGGGGGTCGGGATCGTGGATTCCTCCGGTAAAGGGTCTAGCTTACCCTGCTGTTGGGTGCCGGCCTTGGCTTCGGGCCCTATTTGGATTGCATTCGTACACTGCAGCAAGAACGTGGTGCCTCGACTCATTCAAAATGATTCAATGAATCAGATAGCTCACTCTTCTTTCCTCGACCCCGCGAACCGCGGAAACGCTTCTTAATTTGGTGGTCTGGACCACGAGTGGGCAAACGCGGAGGGCTGGGAGGGTATTGCAAGCTACGAAATTGTCGGCAGGCTCCTCAGCCCTTTGCTATAACCAATCGAAACCAGATTTGATCTTACGGTAGACCGACTAGACGAAACATTCCGAGGAGCTCTAACATGTAATCAACCATATGGCGGACTTCTTGTTTGGTATTATACTCGGACCGACGCTTTATATCTTCACTTTGTGCCACACAGCGTGTCGATGCCTGGCAACTACTCTTGCATCCTATCGGATCTCTGAGAGAATAAAATATAGATTCTGGCGAGAAATGCCGATGCGGATGGCTTCGTTATCTGAGGCGGCAAGATTCATGCGGTGTGCAAGGATACTTACCAAGTTAATGCCGAGGCTGTTCCTACCCCGTCTGTTGGCGCAATTCCTCCAAATAAGGGTCTCCATACGGATATCGATTATACCAAGAACTTCCTTCGGGAACTGTCTGACAAGGGACGCCAGATCGTCCTCATCACACACTCGTATGGAGGAATGTTCAGCGCTAACGTCGTTGAGGGCCTTGCTTACTACCAGCGCTCCAAGGCCGGTTCTCCTGGTGGAGTGATCATGGTTATGTGGATGGCGGCTTTTGTTACTCCCAAGGGCCAGTCTATGCTTGATATGCTCGGCGGCAACTGGCTTCCCTGGGTGCTTCCCAAAGTCAGTACTCTTGAATTTAATTACCCTTTCAGTGTCCATGCTAGTTTTTGTTTTGCGGATGGTGTTGATAGGATGATGGATATACCTATTCCTCGCAGCAAGAAACCCTCTTTTACCACGACATGACGTCTGAGGCACAACAGGCCGCAATTGCCAAGCTGAAGGGTCAACCCACACAGACCTTCTTGGAGAAAGTTGGATATGAGTGCTGGCACGATATGCCCAGCATGTATCTCTTCTGTGATAAGGATCAGGCCCTGCCGCTGGCTTTCCGGGAAGTCTTTGCTAAGGTTCTTGGCAACCCGGGTCTCTTTTCACACCAACGGCTCTTATTCAGCCTTCTTGAGTGTGCCTGACCAGGTCATGGAGGCTCTTGAGCTGGCCTTGAAGGAGGGCCGTGCCCAGAGCGGCATCCATGTTGACTGAGAGTGAAGACCTGCAAATAGCATTGATTTATGTCGATACAAGAGGCTAAACAGGCCGAGGATGACATAGGATCACACTGAATTTTAGCGGATCCACATAGCTGAAGAGCACAAAAATACAAACAGGTGTTCGAGATTGCATATTTCTCACCTAAGCCATGAATAACTATTATTGCCATTGTATGAAAATATCCGTAGATAAATCACTTCCAAACTATATAGATTTAGTGTTTGATTGCATCATTCCGACTCTCGACGTCACTGCGGCAGAAGGCGGAGAGCGAAGCTCCCGAGCTGGAAAGTGGAAAGCACAGGTAACACACAACTCTCCCCGCTCCCCAGCCTCCTCCACGACTTGTTTTTTACCTCTCTTTTTTTCCCTTCCTTGCTCGAAACCATCCTCACTGACCTCCGACACTTTCTCATCTCTCCCTACTTTCCGCGCTCGGAATCTCGAGATCCACCGTCATGGCTCCTCCTCCTCCCGCGACCTTGCCTTTGGCCGAAAGGCTGAAGGCTCTGGCCCAGACCCTCCAGTATGTCTTCCTGACGGCTTGATGCAGTTCCAAGCAGCTTCAATGCTAGATGTTCAAGTACTAATTCGTCCCTCGCTGCAGGTTTGGCTGGTTCATTGGGTATGTCGGCGCTCGAGAACCTTCCACGCACTCTCCCGATGTCGGGATCGCTGACCGTATTCCAGGCACCTGATGCTACTGCTCTCCGTCTTCCGTTACTCTATTTCCTTCGTCATCTTCAACTACTACTCTTCATGGGCCCGATTCTCTTATCGCCTGGCGTTCATCTCGGCCGCTGTCACCTACGGAATTGTCGTGTACAAGGGCCACTTCGCCCGCGGTGTCCAGGGCAATGTTCCCACCATCCTGACCAAGCTCATCTCCGATGAGAACGTCCAATACCTCGGTGAGTAATTGTAGAATAAGGACTGGTTTGTGATTCGGAAAACTGACGTGGTCATACCGTAGGAATGGCTCTCGTCTGGCTGTACTCCCGCCAGACCATTTTGGCCCTCCTGCCCTTCAGCGTGTACTCGGTCTTCCACGTCGCGACCTACACCCGCATGTACCTGATTCCCACCCTGCAGCCCCCTCAGGGTGGCTCTGGCCCTGCCTCGCCTGGCTCCCCGAGCTCCAAGACCCCTAGCAAGCAGAACCCTCTTGCTGAGACCATTGGCCGCTTCATCAAGCAGTACTACGACGCCAGCATGGGTGTCGTCGCTAGCCTTGAGATCCTGCTCCTGTTCCGCCTGGTCCTCTCTGCCATTACCTTCTCCAAGGGAAGCTGGGTTCTGCTGGTCATCTACCTCGCTTTCTTCCGCGCTCGCTACGCCCAGAGCTCCTTTGTCCAGCAGGCCGTTCGCCAGATTACTGCTCGCGCCGACGCTTCCATCTCCCACCAGAACACTCCTCCCCAGGTTCGCCAGGGTTGGGAGGCCGTCAAGGGTCTGGTGCGCCAGGGCTACCAGGCCACTGATATCAGCCGCTACATCTCGGGCCCCACCGCTGCCAAGAAGCCCCAGTAAATTGATCGCTCCGGTCGCGTGTCTAGCGTGTGAGTTCAGCCTCGCATGCTTTCACAGCGCTACGATCTCGAATCGGAAGATAACGGTACTATGTATTTACCACTACAACAGAAGGGTGACTGGGAATCCATCCTGTCTCTCAATTGTTTCGGAGAAGGGGTTGAGGGTCTGTGTATACACGGGCCGAGGCGGCTATTTTGTAGAAAAGAAGCGGACGTGGAGGAATCCCGCCCTGATGATGCTATACGCAACGCAACGCCATGTTCTCTGTTCGTTTTGTCTAGAAATTCGCAAAGCCATTTCATTTTGCAGTTCTTCGCCAGTATACCAGATGTGCTTTATTTTGATAGTATTTTTACAGTGATTACAGTGATTACAGTGATGACGACAATATATTCTGTTTCTGGCTTTTCTTATCTAGCGGATCGAGATAAGCTTCTAGACCAATTGCTCTCGTGCATTTGTGCTACATACGGTGATTGCCTCGTTATGCCCTGTACACATTTGTTAGCCCGTTATTCGATGCTCTGAATTTCCGTTAGTCTTTTCGACATTGTGAGAAACCTCGGACCATGCGGTATTCAACATGAAGAGCCTAGAATCCCGGACCCGCTGCATAGGTTGATCAACATAAAGCATTAAAATCTCGATCACGTTATCAAATGCCTTCATGGTCTAGTGGTTATGACGTCGGTCTCATATTGTGAGCATCGCACCTTGACGGTCCTGTTAACAGGATTGCCATCCGAAGGTCGCCAGTTCGATCCTGGCTGAGGGCAAATATTTTTTTGAGATTTCTTTTGCCTCCTCATTATGGAGAAGCCATACATTTGGCATGCACTTTTTAATATCTATTTTTGAATTTTAACTTGAAGCGAGATCGATCGAAGTTCTCACATCTGCATTATGTTCCTTGATTTTTTTTAGCCACGAGGAGCGATGGTGATCTCACCACTTTCACCACCGCCACCACTGTATAACCGTAGAAACATGTTCCCGATATGTGGACACCACGATCCTATTAAAGCAATATTCCGAAAAAAATTTATGTTTTCAATGCCTGGAGGAAACCGCCAATACCAAGCCGGACATGCTCTTTCTTCCCCTTGAGACCAGATACGTCACAGTAGGAACAGATGCAAACCAACAAGAACCTGCCCACTGGAGTAGGATACTTATAGCGCTTGCAATCGCCTTTGTACTGGTGACCACTATCTCATTTCTTCTCCGATTATACAGCCGACGAAAGACGACCTGGAAACCGGCTCTCGAGGATGTCTTTATGGGAATTGGTATTGTTTTCTCATACTTGCTTAGCGCATGCGTCATAATCGGTACAATTGACCTTCGATGAAGATTGAAATACTCAATATGCTGACTTTGATAGCCGCTTTAAACGGTGTGGGATACAATATCTGGGCATTACCCCGGCAAACGCAGGGACGGGTTTCACTCGTACGATTTCATGCCATCTATCACGAAAACAGACCAATTAATCGTTTAAATTTAGATATTCTGGCTTGGACAAAAATTCTGGGTACTCGCCCACGTCTTCGTGAAAATCTCCATTATCTTTCTAATTCGCCGCTTACTATCTATCGTTGGACCCTGGCAGGAGGTCACAACCGGATTGATAGTCTTCACGGTAGCATGGGGCATCACAGCCATCGTCGGTAATGCTCTACAATGCTTGCCGCCTCGGTACTTCTGGATAAGGACCATTGACGGCAAATGCAACGACAATCAAGAGGCGTTTGCGATTACGATGGGGTCTTTGGCCCTTGCAGAGGATGTGGTTCTTCTGGTTATACCGATTGTGATTGTATGGCGAATGAAGCTTGCTCGGCCTGAAAAGATCCGCATTACGATTTTGTTCGCTTTTGGAGGGTTGTACGTTTCCTGTGCTTCTGTTATTGCCTGTTCTGGTGTACTAATTGATGACAGGGTGTGTATATTTGGTATATTGCGCGTTGTCGAGTTGGTTAATTACCAAACAGACAATCTGACTGGTAGGTTGACTCCAGGCCTGGAGATTATCCTTGCTAATGAGCTCGACAGCTAGTGGCGCTTTCGAGGTTACCTGGGCGGTTCTAGAGCTCAATCTGGGCATTCTATGTGCGTGCATAGTGCTTATGCGGCCGTTGTTGCACTCCTGCAAAGCTTTCATTAGACGGTGCTTGAGTCAAGGAAAGAAGTCCTTGGGTTCGATGAGCTCGACCAGAGTTGAGGTGATCAGTTCAAAAGACATTCCTGGAGAAAATTCCACTTTACAGCAAAGTGAACCGGTGAATTGAGAGGCTGGGTTTGGGGCAACAAAAAAAAAAAGGGTTCGCCTGAAAGGAGGCTCCCAGGATGTTACTCTATAGACATAGAATTCTTTAATTACTTTGCGGCATTCTAGACTACTATACAAGCGGCATCGGCCGAAGTGTTATCGGATCGCGGCTCGCTTGTCAACCACACTAGCCCACACTAGTTTCACACAGAGTCCTTATAGTCAGACCACATGGCTCTCTTGGGGCTCCGGCAAGTTAGAGGATGTTTTGTTTGTTTCTCCTGTTGTGGATTTGTGTTTGATTGTATTTTTCACGTAGCCTCGATCTTTGGAGGATGTTCCCGGTAGAAGCTGTTTCCTTGACTGCTGCCTGGAGGAGCGCCATTGTAGCAGGAGTGATTATAAAGTCCTGCTTTCTTTTTCTTTCCTCGACTTAATATTCTCGGTGGGTAGAACTTAGAATCGAAGATTTCTCTTCCTCTTCAACTTGCCGGGGCTAGTCGAAACACAACCCCCACCTGTCAGATTCAACAGACCCAGACACTCCACAACATCTGAGAAGTCAATCGCGCAGTCATGTCTTGGGGCGAATCAATTTTCGTGACTGTGAAGTCACTACTACCAACATCGCCGCTACCCATTAATAGCGAGCGGGCCGCAGTGACAACGAATCGTCTTATCATCCGGGCTCTTCAAGAAACAGACCTGGAAGCATTATACACCTTGCGACGGGAAGAAGATGTCATGCAATGGACATCGGCCGGTCGTATTGACCGAGATATCGAAGAGACTCGGTCAAAGTTGAATCTCTTCTTGCCGCCGAATGATGCAGCCTCCTTCAACTGCGCTATCTGTTTGAAAGATACAGGCGAATTTATCGGTATCGGGGGCTGCCACCTTTACCCTGCGGAGCATGGCTGGCCTGAAATTGGATATATGCTTCGACAGAATTTTTGGGGCCGTGGATTGGGGTCTGAATTTCTAAGCGCATGGCTAAGAATGTGGAGTGATTTGCCAAGGACAGAACGGGAGTCCAGGGTTGAACAGGAGATGGTTGCTGGTGAAGGTGAGGTAGATGAGCATCTTATTGCAATCACAGAGGAGAAAAATGTTCCGAGTCAGAAGGTCTTGCTGAAGGCGGGATTTGAAAAATTCAGAGAATGGACCGATGGGAGTGAGGATCACTCGAAGAAGCTTGTCGGATTCCGTTATTTCCCCTCTAGTTAAGGAGACCTAGATCTAGAGTGATAGGTTGAATCCCTAAATCAAAGACATTAGCTAGATAGTCTAAATGGAATGAACAAAGCGAGGGTTATATCAACCAAGAGCTAAAAATAAAAAAACAAACTCGCGAGAAACAAGCTAAATAGGCATATAAATAGCTATCATGACCTCAAAAGGTTCTTCTTAATATTCCCACATGCGCTATCATCCAGTCCAAGAATGATCTTGCAATAGGCCTCGATAGTGCCAAACTCCTGTTTGAACCTCTGAAGTGTCGCCAGCATGTATGACTTCCGCGCGCGCACAACATTTTCAACTGCATCAACCTTTCCACGCAATCCTGGCTGTGCCAGAAGTCTCCTAGTAACCTGAACTCCCCACGTTCGCGTGCTATCCAGATCGTTGAGAGCGTATTCATCAGCGATGGAGTCATTATTGCAGCCAGCCAGAAGCATTATCAGCATAGAAGTCACACCGGTTCTGTCTTTCCCAGCGGTGCAATGCACTAAAATTGGCGAAGGGTTTGGCTGGGCTAGATGTTGAAAAATGGGAAGAAAGGCTTTCGTGCCTAAACGAAGAACGTGCATATATGCCTCAGCATAGCCCTGGTTCTTATGTTAGTAGTGTTTCATGATACTAGGCAAGTCGAGTATCCACCTCGGTAGCACAGGCATACTGGCGAAGACGGGAGTCTCGTCGGTCTTGGTGCCATTCTTCATCTGCGAATACAGGGACAATCACCCGTTCGATCCCAAAATCACGAATTCGGTCAGGGTATATGGGTGAGGTTTCTGATGCCAAAGTACACTGATGGCTCGTTCCATGGACTGAATGGTGGCCTTCGAACTCAATAGGGCTTCGTAGATCGTAGATTCTTTCAATTCCCAGCTCAATTAGCCTCGCTATACCAAGCTGGGTCATGGTCGATGGGTCGCCACTGCGAAAGATCAAACCTTTTCGTAGACCTGAGACAGGGCTACCGCCGATATCGCGGAACATGCGAACCCCTTCAACAATGACAAACGGTGGACTTGGATATTTCCCCTGACCAGTTCGGTAAATTTGGATAGGCGGTCGTTCGATCGTGTCAATATTCTGATAATCATTCAACCAGGGTATGAACATCCTTTCCGTGCCGGGTTTCTCTCTTCCAACACGCCTTTCTGCAGTACCTAGTATCGTGCCTGCCATGATCGTAAGATCTCGAAGATGCTTATGGACATTTTGTCTCTGTCCAATGTCAACTTCCGCAAGAGCATTGAGACCGACAAGACGGTATGCATCAATCAAGGTTCCGATCTCAACCCCATATCCTACGGGGAAATGGAGTTTTTCCAGGAGACTCCGCCTGGCTGAAAACTCGCCCGCAAGTGGCTGTCTAAATCCAGCCAACTCGGGCCAGTGCCTGTTCAAGACTGGACGAGCGAGAAGCTCTGTCACTCTCCCGCCGTCATGTGGGCTAACACAGCCATTCTGTGCCTTGAAGGGGCGGTCAAAACAAGCTCGTACCATCTGAATGTTATCAAACATGATTAGAGGCCCCAGAATCCCCACCAGATGAGCTGGAACGGGGTCTTCAGTATCTCCATCTAAAAAGGCAACAATATCACCTCCAGTCGAAAGGAGTCCTCTCCAAAGAGCGTCGCCTTTCCCTTTGCTAGGACCTAGCTCTGTTGCAATGTCGATCCGCTGGAGAACCTGAGCACCAGCTTCTTTCGCGACTTTAGCAGTCCCATCTTCCGATGCCGCATCAATCACAATAACTTCACGAACAACACCAGCATCGACCAATGGGCGAACGGCTTTCTTAATGATGTCGCCTATAGTAGCTGCAACTTCCTTGGCGGGAATCAAAACAGTAATCTTCACATGTTTTTCACGGACAATCACTGCTAGTTCACGTATTGAAAAGTCGGTGTGGGCAAAGCGGTTCTTCTCAAGCCAATGAGACAGTCCCTCCTGGCATAGATGAGAATGGACCGAACCGACGTCACCCATTCTTCTGATTTGAGAGAATATGTGGACGAAAGACCCCTTTGCGAGAAAGTAGAGCTTCGAAATTCAAGTACACTCTTATAGTGCGGCGAGCAACAGGATCGTCTCAACCACTAACCGGCGTAAGATGCAGCTCCTGAGATCCGTGCGTCATGATGCATGTGCTGTACTACATTACTAGTCTTTTTTCAATTGATGGATGCTTATCTAAAGAAGCCATTGGTTAAGGTATAATTAGATTGATCAATACGAATTCCCCTAGTCCCGCTTCACACAAGCCACGATCTAGGAAGGGTGCGCACCCTAGAGATTAGACGAAGTCTGTCTATAGGTGTGGGAACAATGGGGATGATTGTATCCATGTGTGCTCAGTTTAACTGGAAGAAAGCTTCACCGTTGGTCACTTCCCATGGTATCAGCTGGATCTGATTAGCTTAATCTGTTACGCTCGGAGAAATACGTCACTTTTGATGCATGAGCCTAGTTCTAGGTGCAGAAGAACTCTATCTCAGCTCATGCAACCATCGTACAACCCCGAAGGAAGATCGCCACAGATCTCATTGCGTTCGTTATCGTACAGAATTTACATTCGTATATACATCTCAGCCACAGATCCTATTTACATAGCCACGCAACCAGACGAGCGACGTCGTCGAGACTCAGGCTGCGTGGATTCTACCGCAGTAGGTCCTCCTGCAGCCATGTATCTTTTTTCCTCCAAAAATGAAGCATTTCGAAGGTACAATTCTTCATCCGACATAGTGTTCTTCGTACCACCCTCCACCAAGCTACTCTCAAACCGTAACCGAGGACTAAAGATAACGTCCTGGGGATCAACCTCGTACTCATTCTGATACAGCAAAAGTGACCTCCACCTAGGATCCTCAGGAGAAAGTCCAGGCCCAACATCGATCCACCGGGTGAAGATCAAGCTCACATCATGAGTCCCCAAGTCGCGCAGCTCGACATGCCATTCTGTGTTACATTTAGAACACTTTCCAAATTCAGCTGCTTTGGGCACACCAGAGCTGTACGCTGAGATATGAGAGCTAACATGCTCTGAAAAGTTCGGTGTCGCGTTTGTAACGTGTCCGCATACCCAGACGGTATTTCCTTGCGGGAGTAGCCGGGATGCATTCTGGCGTCTCACTACTGCCAAACCTTGGATGCGTAAGCATAGGCTGGGCGCTGTCGGGCAAACTCGGGCTTCAATTGAGGTGAGGCTTGTCTTGTTTTCGCTGAGGTGCTTTTCTTCCGGGGTCAATGCTGATCTATTTGGGGATTGCGGTGTGCTGTTACTGCGTAGGCGATCTACTCGTACTTCCGTGTGGAAGAGGGAGTCTGTGGAGATGCCGTATTGTAGCCCATGATAGAATCGTCTCATGGCCAGGTATACATGAGTAAATTGAAGTTGATAGCGACACCATGCTGGATAGTATAGACCTGCGAGGCCTTGGACCAGCCAGCGGTCTTCATTATCATCAACATCCAGAGACGAGAAGCATTTGAGGGGCTCAAATTTTGCTGGAGATGGAAATTTTGACCATATATGAAGACTTAAACAAGCAGAGCATAGATAATATTCAGGTAGGTCAAATGAGAGTCTGGCCAAAAAGAGGGACCTCTCGTCTTCCATATCTCCGGGCAGACCTTTTTGTAACCGGCCATTGAATGTGGCACTGTCTTCGGAGGCAAACAACCCCATCAGTCTATGGTTGCAGACTGCAAGACATGCTATATCAGCTGGTGATAGGAAATCTGAAATCAGCAATAGAAGTTCGACTGGAAGGCCAATTAAGGTACTGGGCCTATTGGCGCAAGTCATGGTGCCCAATTTGAATCGAAGACGCTAAAGGGAGTGAATAGGGAGGAAATCAAGTAAAAGTATGATTTATTCAGAAAGAGCTTATCAATCGAGCCGTTTGTCAAGCCCATGAGGTAGATAAGGAGATACGAGGTTGAGCCAAGCGATGCCTGAAACGACGCTTCTATACCCACTGTAATCTAAAGCAGGCGGTCTCGACGGGCAGTTCGGGGACCCGACAATGACGCACGCACTGCCTGAGGCAGGGCGGAGGCGGAGAAAAGAAAAACACCGCCGACCAGAATTTTGATTCGGGTCCCGAGATTCACGGAGAGATCTCCCATTACTCACCCTTTTTCTTGTCACTCCTTACACGTCTAACCGGGGGCTGCTTCTTTACTTTTCCCTTCGGCATCCCCCATCAATCTCGAAGGCCCCGACGGAAACAGCGGGATTCTCGGCCCATATTGCCATGAGCCTGACCTCGCGAGTGCTCGGCCTGTTCTCGACAACAGAGAACTCGGACTCGAACACGAGTACTGCACATGACCTTGCTGGTTCCACACTGAACCAGCCTACATTCGGCTTCGATGGCCAGATAATGTCCGGCGGCGCGGCCCGCCATGCGCCGGATGATTTACTAGAGGAGGAGCCCCGGCCACCGTATCTTCATGTACGACTCAGTTCCGATGGTAGAAACCGCGCAATGGGATATAAGGGAGCTAACATGAGTTTAATCTGCAGGCAATGCTGGCAGGTGGTATCGGAGGATGCTGCGGTGATATGTTGATGCATTCGTTGGATACAGTCAAGACCAGGCAACAAGGCGACCCGACCTTCCCACCCAAATACACATCGATGGGCTCATCATACGCGACAATCTATCGACAAGAAGGACTCTGCCGAGGATTATACAGTGGAGTGACGCCGGCTTTCCTAGGATCGTTCCCGGGTACCGTGATCTTCTTCGGAGTGTACGAGTTCACTAAGAGGTTGATGTTGGATTCTGGAATCAACCCCAGTTTGGCGTACCTATCCGGCGGTTTTTTCGCAGACTTGGCCGCTTCAGTTGTTTATGTGCCGTCCGAGGTGCTTAAGACCCGACTTCAGCTGCAGGGCCGGTATAACAACCCGCACTTCCACTCAGGATACAACTATCATGGCACAACCGATGCATTCCGAACCATCGTGCGGAAAGAAGGGTACTCAGCCCTGTTCCACGGCTACAAGGCGACCATATTCCGCGACTTGCCGTTTTCAGCCCTGCAATTCGCTTTTTACGAACAAGAACAGACCTTGGCCAAGGAATGGGTCGGCAAGCGAGATATCGGTCTGGGATTGGAAATTTTGACAGCTGCAACCGCCGGCGGTATGGCTGGTGTCATTACCTGTCCGCTCGACGTTGTCAAAACGCGCATTCAAACTCAAGTAAACCACCCCGAGCCCTCCACCGGGTCGAAAAGCACAAAACACGGCGGCGATCACAGACCCCACGCGGGATCATCGCATTCCCACGCGTCGCATCCACACTCGCGACCTATTTCCACCTCATCACCCTCCACCTCGGTCTCACCGCCGGGTGCACCGCGATTAGACACATCTTCCGTGTTCACGGGCCTGAAGATGATCTATCGCACCGAAGGATTTGCGGGGTGGTTCCGCGGCGTTGGCCCGCGCGGTGTGTGGACCAGCATCCAGAGCGGAACCATGCTGGTCATGTATCAATACCTCCTCAAGCAACTCGAGTCCTGGCAGGAGCTCCAAGCAGAAACGCCACTTTGAGGACCCTCTTTAACCTTTATTTGATGGAACTTCATTCATTGGGGCGGCGTTTGGACCATTTCTTTGAAGTATTAGGGAGTGCTTTGTTTTGTATACTCCCATCTCCCTTTGTGATAGACCTAGAATGTGGCCCTCTTTGGGGCCCGTGTACCATAGCCATAGCTTTTGCTTCAAATCACTATACATAGAATTCAAGAAAACACAGTATTTAATATGGAGTCCCAAGTCAGGGAAAACCACTGGACTCGCAAAGCTCCAGAATTCCGAGGTCGAACAAAGACGCGCTAGCGTGTTTTGTTTTGGCGATCCGCGTAAACAACGGATCCCCCTCCTTGCATCTACATCCTCCCCTCTTACTAGATTAAAATTACATGTATCTCGTTGGATGCATTGGTGATTACCTATCATCCTGATCAATCCGATACACTAACCGCCCAACATGACAAGCGGTCTTCCCTATCTTAAGTCGCTGCGCAAGCCCGACCTCGTCGACTTCGCCGAGCGCACCGATCTGCAAGAGTATGTTTACCTTGTTTACCTTGTTTACATCTGTCGCGCGAGCACCACGCATATTAACAAGTGATATAGATATGAGGACTTTAACAAGAATGACCTCGCAATTGCGCTGGACAAGCACCTGAGCGACAACAGTTCCATCTTCATGACCGACAGCAAGCTTAGTAAATTCTACGAGCGCCTGGGTGTCGCCACACCCAGAAAGACACCAGCCAAGCGCACGTCCGAGGCCAAGGTCGAGATCTCCCCCGTCAAGAAGACCCCTGGTCGCAAGCCCAAGACCAAAGTCGAAAGCGAACCGTAAGTCCATCCTGCCCCCCTCATTGTGCGTTGCGCGCCACCATGCGACATCTTACTAACTAATGCGACAGCTCCTCCGACGAGAGCTCCAAACCCGCAATCACCAAGCCTACCCGGACCCCTAGCTCGGTCCGCACTCCGCAAGCCTCTTTCGATGTCCCTGCCTCGCCGGCCCTGGTGGCCGCTAGTATCGATCGCCAGACCGCCAAGATGCGCGAGGGTCTGGAGAACGCCTGGGACCACAGTGGCTTCCTAGAGCACTCGTACAGCGTGCGCGCAATGCTGAGCAGCCTCAAGGCCGTCGAGACCATCCTCATCTGTCTGGAGGGGTCCAGCGTGATCAAGTCACTTTTCCCTATGCGCCACCTCGCCAACACCCCCGCCGTGGACGCGATCCACCTGCCGGAAATTATGATCAAGGTCCCCGACGTGTTCGTGATGATCACCGGCGAGTTCTGGGCTTCTTTGACATTGTGGGCACTTACCAGCGTCGTATTGCCTTTGATTGCGGCTTGGTTCATTAACTTGAGCTGGATGGCTGCGACTGGTGGGCAGTCTGTTCGTCGGACTCGCTCGGCTTCGACTCGTGCCAGCTTTGATCCGCTTACCTTTAACATTGCGAAGGCTTTGCTGGTGTATAAGGTCTTTGTGGAGCACTTCAACTACTTTGATCTCTTCAGCAACTACACTATTGTCAAGGTCAACGCTGTTGTTCCTGGTCGCTGGAAGGGTATGTTGACTGGAACTGCTATCGGCGTTATCGGGACTCTGTACGAGGCTATCTTGCGACGCTCCTAAGGTCGTGAGTCGTGGGCTTTGCTGCATCTGCTCTGGTTTGTATAGGCGGTGGATTGTGAGTACGCATACCAGCATGGCCTTCTTTTTTTTTTTTTTTTTTTTAATGAATAGTGTCGAAGGATGCGAATCTGTTCTGTTTTTGTCTTGATTCATTTCCCCACCCTCTGTTCGCGTGCTGCTAGTCGGGTTTACAAGCCATACTAGTATTTTATATTGTTAGTTGATGTCCTCCTGTATGGAGGTATTGTTGTGGGATCCTCACTACATGCCGTCCAATTTTTGTTCCTTATTCAGAAGAGCTCGCGGGTTAGGGTTTGAGTTTTAGTCTGGGATATGCGATGATGCGATATGTGATATTGGGTTTTGTTTTGTTTTGTTTTCTCCTTCTTCTATCTTCTTGTTCTCTCGTTTCAGCCAGACAAGGCGCCGGGGTTTGGGTTATTTTCTGGGTTTGGGCCCTCTTGGTTCCCTCTTGTAGGTTGTGAATTCGTGTTTCCGGCCTCTTTAATGCGTTTGGTCATGGTTGAGTCTATAAGGGGTATCAACAAGCATTATAGTAACTGTGAAACTAAATCCGTCTATACGTGTCCGGTAGGAGAGGGGCTTTATCACCTCTTCAACCTCTCCGCCAGCTCCACCGTAAATAGTACCGGCACCGATGTCTCAACTTCCACCGTATCCGCGCGGATGTGGTTGCTCGTTGAGATTTGCCCTCCAATCTCCGTACGCCAATCCTGTACGTCCCATTCAAATCCTTTCGTAGTGATTGAGGCAGCTGCGGAGATAGGAATGATGCCGATGTTCTCTTCGAAGAAGTACTCCGCTTCTTGATCGCGCTTTCGTTTCCGCGATGTCTCGCTGTCATCCGCTTGTGACTCGAGAGATTCAGCCTCGACATCTGGACGCCTGGTCGCCGGTGTGCGGATGATATTCTTCCCTTCTTGTAGAATGAAGGTAATGCTCTCCTCGGAGACGAGATAGAGGTTTCCACCCGCAGCAGGCTTGTTGCAGTGACTATCAGCGTTGGCCTGATAAGCTTCGCGGAGTTCTCGCTGGTTCTGCGTCATCATATACAGATGATGGATCTGTGAGAAGGCCTGGTCGACACGGCCACCTAAGCCACCCAATATCACGATCTCAAGGGTCGGAGTTTGGGCTGGTTGAGCCTGTAGATCTCCAGCTGCATTGCCATGCTTGACAGAGGAGTCTAGCTTCTGCTGTCTAGGAGAGGCGATAATCTCTGCGACATGCCCATTAAGATACTTCAGACATTTGGTGAAGTCTGTTGAATATTGATCTTCGTCTTCCACAATGGCCACGCCCATCTTTTCATAGTACTGCCGTACCAATGGACGCAAAGAGTCTAAATCCCCGACTATCCGGTCGGGTAACTAGAGCTGTCAGCTTATGCGTCTCGAGTAGAAGTAAGACACTTGGTCAGGCTAAACGAGTCTTGAGCTCACAGGTGTACCTACTTCTGTGGCTTCCTTTGCGTGCTTCTTCATCATATCATATAGACGATTGGCACCGCCATCGGCACAGATGATATAGGATGCTAGACAGCAGTCAGAATGCGAACAGCAGTCAAAGCCAACAGATAAGACTCAACACACCATGTTCACTTAATACACCAAATGCACTTTCGTTGATTGGCTGATTCAAAATGAGTAGCGCATAAGGAGACGGGCTCCCTGTGACGCGAAAGAAGCGACTTGGATCCCACTCCATGACAATTGATAAGTGATATTTGATGAAAGTTGAAGGGAAGTCGCGTGCAACTGCGATCCGCGCAACGTGACTGGCTGGCCGGCACCTTCGATCCTCAGGCCTCCACTTCTCTTCCCACTCTCAACTTCGTCTCCGCGATCATCCTTCATTCCTTCCTCTCCCCTCCCTCGTCCCCTGGAGGTCCTTCGCGGATTCGTGCCATTCTTACCATAATGTTCCGTCCTGCCGTCCGCGCGCTTGCCCGCGCGCCTACTGTCGCCCGTGGCCCGGCGAGCACCCGATTGATAAGCACCGGTCCGGCGCCGAAGTCGAGAAGCTGGAAGAATACCGCTGTTCGCCTGGGTCTGGCCGCCGGAGCCGTCTACTACTACAACACCAGCAGCGTGTTCGCCCAGGAGCCATCTTGTACGTCATTCCATGCTTTTTCCCCGTCCGGTACCTGAGGCGCGAAGTGTTCGGGACAGTCGCATCTCGGGCCAGGGCCTTTGGATGTGTGCTAACAGTTCTTCTTTATAGTCTCCATCCTGAACTCTAAGAAGGAGCCCGCCGATGAATCTTCCCTCCCTACCCTTGACTCCATCACCCCCAAGGCCCGTCAAGAACAGGCTGCCCGGTCTCAGCCGAAGCCTGCCGCCACAGAGGCTGAGAAGTCCGAAGAGAAGCCCCAGGGTACTGTGACTGCCCAGGATGTCGATGAGATGGATGAGTCCGCTGCATTCAACCCCGAGACTGGTGAAATCAACTGGGACTGCCCGTGCCTGGGCGGCATGGCCCACGGGCCGTGCGGCGAGGAGTTTAGGGCCGCTTTTAGCTGCTTCGTGTATTCCCAGGAGGAGCCCAAGGGCATCGAGTGCATTGACAAGTTCAAGTACGTGATTATGCCAACCTTGCCGATTCAAAGCCAATACTAACAACTCCGCAGGGGCATGCAAGATTGCTTCCGCCAACACCCTGAGGTGTACGGCGCCGAGCTGGAGGACGATGAAGTTGAGGGTGGCGCCACCCCCTCCGAACAAGCCCCCTCGGCCGCCGAGATCGACGTCTCCTCACACCCCGAAGAGCAGCGCGCCCGCGCCAAGGAAGCCAACGCCCAGGTGAAGGCCGACATCTCCGAGAAGGGCGAGCACGCCGAGGCTGAGGCCCTTGTTCCCAAGGCCGCCCACGACGCCGAGGACAAGAACTAAGTGCACAATTCCCCGCATATCTGACCTTGACTCAGCATTGTTCGCTGCTCGCTCGTAATGCTAGTCGCAGGGATCGGGTGCGTGTATTATATAACTAAAAGCCTTCGTCGTCTCCCGCCCTTGACTCGCATTCTCCTCTCCCACGATCTTCTCAGCATTTCCATTCCCCCGTTCTGCGCTCCTATGTTTCCACTCTTTGTCTCACTATGTAACTTAGTGTATTGGTATGCCCTGTGCTTCTTTGTGTTTCGGACACCAAAAGAGATGAGCTAGAATAGACTTGTTACATCATGAATTTCTTTGTCTCGTCTTCTTCTTATGATATCTATGCAATATGCTGAATAGAAGGGATATAGTCCAATGGCATAGTTGATGAACCCACTAGCATCAGGGATCTCATATGGTAGCAAGGTCTAGACCATTTGAAGGAACCACATCACTGAGTTTGATATGAGAGATTACATCATCTGGAGTAAATTTCAGAAATAAAAATATTGGCATTGCTTCTACTGCATAACAGTGAAAGACGCCATGAAACGGGAAAACATAGGCATCGTGTCGTGTTCTTCACTCTCGTCTTCATCCTCATTCTTGTCATCTCCTCGTCCCCTGGACGTGTCTCGTCCATTGATGGTAGACACCAGGCCGCCAGGCTGTTTGACTCTCACGAGTGAAAATTTAGGCTGACGCCAGTATGCCCGGTAAGATACAATTCATCCAGAAGGCGTTAGCACAGTTGCGGATGACGATCGACTAGAAGTCAATTTTGAAGATGCACTTCAAGACTTTGAAGTCATATATTCAGAGCACTGGAGACTGGCGATTTCATGGATGAAACTCAGCGCATATAGCTTCACAAGAACAGATGAACGTCCTCGGCGAGGCTCTTCTCATCTTGCGTCGCAGATGAAGTGCCGTGTAAATATAAGCAGAGATAAGGAAACATGTTTATGTTCATGTTCCATAGTTCAATACATTCATTACCAGTTCACGTCGCTGAGTTGGAGCTTGCGGGACCGGAAGGCGGTGCGGTTGGCTGCGGACTTGTCGACTCGCTGGTTGGTAGGCATGCGTTTCTCAAAGGCTTTGTGTCTGTTAGGAGAGATCGGATTAAGTGCATGGGTGGGTGACATACTCTCGGCAGGCTCGGGTTCGTTGGCTGCCTCGTAGTTCAGGACTAGGTTCTTGATACGTTGCTGCTCTTCTCGATCAGCCGCTTGCTGGCTGCGCATAGCAACAGCGAACGTTGAGTCGGATGGCAGGTCGATAGTGCGAGTCTATTGGCTCTTAGTTTCAAGTTGATTAAGTTCCTGGGTCGATGTATTCTTACCTGCTGCTTGTTCCCCTTCTTTGTCATCAGAGAAAACGCCATGGTCTTAGGCGCGAACGGTTCTGGTACGGGCGTAGGAGCCTCAGACGAAGCCTCGGCAGATTCAGCGGACTCGGCCAATGTAGCATCGCGAGGAGGACGCTTCATTGGCAGAGGAATATCAAAGACAGCCTTACGCTCAAAGCGTCTCGAGTCCACGCTCTCGGCCATCATCTTCTCGAACTCTCGATCGAAATCGGCCTCAGCTGCAGGGTCTCGCTCTTCTTCCTGGCGCGTTACAACAATCTGCTCGTCTTCGAAGTCGCTCTCGTCTTCACCCTCCGGGTTGGGTCCAGATGTTTCAGCCTCGGCTTCGTCGCTTGATTCACCTTCCTCTTCGATCTCGGGAATCGCATCATCTTCCAAATCCTCGTCCGAGGAGCTACTATCTGGGTCTTCTTCGTCGGGCTCGATGGGGCGCTCAGACTCGGGCAAGTTGTAATTTTGAGCCACTGCCTCGCTGAAGAGACGAGTTGCCTCTTCGGGCTCGGTAGCTAGCGTCCATGCGGGTCGGAGGGAAGAGAAAGTATCTTGGACTAGGAAATCCACGTCCATGGGCATTGGATCCTTGGTGAAGAGGTAGTACTGGAAGAAAGTAAGGAAGAAATCCAGCTTCTTCTTCGCGGATCCTCGATCGAAGCAGTGGCCGCAGGTATCGAGCAGAGTGCAGGCCAGACGAACTCGGAAAAAGTCATCGGGAAGATCTAACATGCTGATTCTTCCGGGAACTGGGGTGCCACCTTCGTGGCCGAAAGTAATAATGCGGTACAGAGTATCAAAAATGACAGGAGAATCAATCATCTTGTAGTTGTAAAGCTCACCCAGATATTTTACTTCGGCAATGCGCTTCTGGTTGAACTTGAAGTCGTTCAGCTCCAGGCCCAAGATGACTTGCTCCAGGACGTTGTCGACAATACCGATCACAAAGTCCTGATGATAACGGTAGAGAGCGCTGACAAGAATTGCCAGAAGATGGATGCTGCCATATTTCACCTTGACCGGCTTGCTGAAAACATGCTCCAGAATTTCAACAACCTCCTGCTCCTCCCAGTGGAGCTTGCGGACGGTCTTCAGGATCTTGGTGTAGTTGCGCTTGTTCATGTCCAGGTAGATTAGTCGGCGAATGTACTGCTCCATCGGAGTGCGTTCTTTCTGCTGGATGGCGGGCCTCGGCGGCGGGTCGACATAGTAGATAGCATTCTCAATGACCATGCGCTCATTCTGCGCCAAGTGCTGAACGGCCTTCTTCCGACTCAGCGTCTCCAGGAAAGACGCCATTCTCGGTGCAGTCTCCGGATTGCGCAAGAGGTAACGACCGCAGTTCTCCAGGAGGTTGCCGATGATTTCGATGTTCATCCGGGAGAAATCGTCAAGAGAGACTTTGAAACAGTGGAAGATGATGTGCTCTGGCACCACGCCAAACTTTGTCAGTTCTGCCAGGTAGCGCACATTTCCCATGCGCACTTGACCTAGAAACTCCTTGGCCTTGCGTCGCTGGAGACTCCGGAATTCTTCGTCCAGGTAGGTAGTCAGTCCCTGCGGAATATCTGGCAGATACTGCCCCAGAGTGGCTACCAAACGCGAATACAACGGCAAGAGATCAATGCGTCCCTTGGGAATATCCGAGACAGCCTTAACCAGCCTGTTGCGAGACGCCTTCGAGTTGACGAAACAAAAGTCCAAGGCAAACTGATCCACTTGGTCTTTGCTTTGCAGCTCCGGAAGCTTGCCTAGTAAAGTATCAACTTGAGCACCAACAGTCTTGCTCGCGATGGCAGTTGATTGATCGTCTGCGTCTGCGCCAGCCCTTTCCTCCGATGTTTCAGGTTTCTCAGTATCAGCCGAGATCTCGCCATCAGACTTCTTCTTTGTGGACTCTTCAGTGTCGCCCTTCTTTTTCTTGCCATCTTCAAGCAGAACTGCAGGCACTTTTCCTTTCAGGTCAACAAGGTTCTCGTAGAAACGGCGTTCTTCCTCATCTTCCCAGATACCAGCGCCGTCACCCTGTCCACGAAGGTAATCTGTGGTCTTCACAAGGCCGATTCCTCCACTCGAAGATGCATCAGCGGTTTCCTTCTCAACCAAATCGGGCATCTCGGCCCCCAGGGCCTCGCAGAGAACCTGAGTATTGGCCAAAAGCTTCTCCAGCGATTTGGTCTGCTTCTCGAAATTCGACTGGCGATCTTCAAAGATTTCACCACTCTTGACGTATGCCTCGGCATTGCGGCGGCTCTGGCTTGCCAGCGCTTTCTGGTCGCGAACCACGTGCGCTTTCACATCATCCAAGTACCTGTTCAGAATATTCTTAAAACGCTGCTGGGTCTTTTCTGGTGTCAAAGGCGGATCTGCTTCAGCTGCTTCAGTAGCACCCTCGGTATTCTCCTGCTCAGTCGTAGTCGTAGCGCCATCAGCCTCCACAGTCCTTCTACCATCCTCAGCAAGTTTCGCACCGAGAATATCCCAGCTGAAACTCTTGACGAAAAGCACTGCAAGCGGCAAATTGGTATGATCACGGTCATGTCCGAGTAGCTCTTTCAAGACCTCCAGCGGGAACGGTTCAGCTTGCTTATCCTGCTCCTTTGAAGCAGCAGCAGGCCTCTTGAGCGGGGCATCGGGCAACTTGCCCGCGATTCCAGAAACATTGTCTTTAGTCTTAGCGCCCAGATCCTCCGGCCGCTCGACGTCATCCAGCGTTCTAAGCGCACAGACAAGCCATAGCTCCGTAACAATGCGCAGAAGAACCCGGTGTCGCGACAACCGTTCCTTCTCCTCGCGCTCGCGTAGCTCACCCGTCAAATTCTTGAGCGCCGCTTTGTCCGGAGAGCTCAGGCCACGGCCGAGCAACCAACCGATCTGCCTAGTAAACTCCGCAGGACCGAATCGCTGATGCAGCGCGCTGATAATCTCCACGCCGACGGCGATCTCACCGGGTGTCTTGAGCTTGCATAGGCCTTCATAGCAGGCGGAGATGATCTCGGAAAGATACTTGTGCAGCGAAAGGGTGCGGATATCGGATAGGAAGGTGGACTGTGCGGATGCGCTGATTCCAGTGCGAAGACGTTTAATGAAAGCGGTATTCTTCTTCAGGGCTGAGTCGAGAGACTTGCTGACGGGGAAGACATCTATGCGGGCGAATCAGTTTCTCAGAGCTCAGGAAGGACGTCAATGACTTGTTGGTTCGTACCGGTTTCACCGGCCCAGGCTCTCTCATTCAGATCGCGAAGCTCCCCTACGGATAAGATGTCAGTGGCCGATCGCGGAGACCTGGAGTGGCTCTGGCATACTTTTCTTCTGGCGGTCCATGGCCATGGGTGCGGTCGGGGCCTTTTCAATCGAGGGAACCCTTCAGAACGTCAAGAAGATGTAAGTGACGTGAACGCCACATTGGGGAAAGGAGAGGTGAGTGCAGTGAAGACTGGCACAGGGAGGGGAGGTTGAAGCTCCTTGTGCGGGCGGGATGTTCCTAAGGCGGTGCGGAGGTTCACTTTTTATCCACTACGTAGCTGCCCACTTTGATCTTTGTGAGCTCGATATGTTATTTTGAACTCGACTACTAATTTAAAGTGCCTCTTTCCCGATCGCTTGCTCTCTTCGCTCTTGACTCCAACCCGTCTTTAGCGTCCTTCTTCGCTAAAACCAGACTCCCGGCCCTGCTCAACCTGCATCAATCGTTCCTGCATCTGGTGTTTCTGATCCTCATGACTCCAACTTTGTCGGCGATCGACTCGTGGTGTCCAATTCTGCTCGGACACAGTTTCCTCCTTGACATCCTGTGGCTCGTGGTTCTCATGAGAGACGGTCTCGAACGGAGGGGTTGCTTGCTCTCGAGACCGATCTGGGAATGGACCCTGGTGGATAGTGGACTGCATAGTGCGCGGAGCTTGGAGTCTTCGTAAACGAGGGTTGGATTAAATGAACACCGTAGTCATGGATTGAGAAGAGATAGTTTACAGGACAAGTTTGATTCCAGCGTTGATGCGGGGTTTGATACGCTCAAGTGGCGAGTTTGGTGACGATGAGATATTATGACGGTTATTTTAAGACGTACCACTCAGGTACATTGTGACTTGCTATGGACGAACAGAGTATAGGTCGTTTGAGACAACAGGCAAAAAGTATGCTACCAAGTATTTGTCTTGCGGCCTGACTAGAATCTTCTGGCCGTTCGTCGTATACCTTACCTAGACCTTACCTAGTCCGCAAATAGTGTTTGATGTCGCATTTACGAAGCTATCCAAAGTACCCTGAACATAAACCCCGCAGGAAAACCAAGCCGTGATACTTGAAACAAGTAAATTCAGCAATCCGTCATAGCATAGCTTATCTGTGTTGCATTCCAAAATCATTGAAAGCACCCAGTTGCTACATTAGCATCATACAGCTCCAAATCTACATGACTACCTTCAGGACATCAACCACTCAAGATAGATACAGAAACGAAGTATTGACTAGGACTTTTGAATTTCAATAAGCTAACGTACAAGTCATAACAGCATCGAACCCTCAACGAAGGCCGCAGCAAACAAGAACAAAAAGCAAGGATAAGATACATGGTCTACATCACCCAGATGCCTGGTATCGCCACAATACGCATAAAGAACAATTGCGCGCGTCAGAGCATTAACAGGACCAGGGGTGCAGTTCAGCAAATGGCAAAACGAGAAAAGGCCGTCGGGTCAAGGGAAGCATCACGCATCAAGCTCAAGTCCCAAGAGGACAAACAAACGATACACAGGGTGCCGAAGCACCTCACATCGTACACCTCCATGCTAGAACGGGGGAAATATTGAAAGAGAAGGAAACGAGAAAAGGATTAAAATCAGGGTATGCCTCACGCCACGCTATGCGAGTCACCGTGCCTATTGGGGTGACTTAGAACAACTGTAAATATGTACTGAGAGCCGAACCATTGGGAAATGGAAGGGTTGAAGTCTGATAGAAGAGTCGGAGCCAGGCATTCATTTTGGCTTACGCCAGAAGTATTGCTGGTATGTGTCAGCTATGGTTGGGTCCGGACTGAGTTCGGGGAAAGACATACCTTGTGCTGTTTGCGGCAATTTCGCAAACCGGGCTTCCTCAGGTTATTCACGACGGTCTCACGGCGCATGTCATCATCGTCATAGTCAGGGATGTAATAGTACTCGCTCTCGAGCGGCTTGCCAGCGGCATCCTTGCCTTCACGAGCAACCTTGCCAATGCACTTTGTATTTTCAAGTATGTAGCGGATTTCAGCCCGAGCTGGGCCAGAAAGATTGTGTGCATTTGACCTCCAGAAGGACGGGGGAAGATTGTTGAGGATGGTGGAGAAGGGAGTCGAGGACAGACGGGAGAAAGCGAGCTGGTTCACTGCGTGATTGCGAACACGCTCAAAGCTTTCGTCTTCGGGCTGAGACCGATCCTTCGTTGGCGTTAGGTCATCATCTTCCTTCTCATCCTGGGTGGTGGATGGCTGCCGTAGAGACTGGGTAGGCTGAAGAGGCTGGGCGGGCAGCAGGCGTGGCGAGCGTACAGGGCGAACGGGCGAATCACCAGCATGGAAAGAAGCCATACGAGGAAGCAAGTTTTCACCAAATGGACCGAAGGAGTGTATGATAGGGTCGTTTTCCTCGTCGTTATCTGACTCGTCCTCGGGTCTAAAGCTGAGATCGCTGGATTGCGAGCCCTGGAGAATGGCAGCAGCTCGACGAGCACTGTGGGAAGTAATTCCACCAACGGTATTGTGGCGTTTTAAAGGAGAGCCTTCATCTTCATAAACAACAACTGCAGCACGGGCACGGGAGGGAGTGAAGATGGGCGAGGATGGAGGGATAGCACGTTGCACGGCAGGCGACGGCGAAACGGGGGAAGCCAGACGCTGGTTTTCAGCAAATGGACTGTCCTGAAGTACTCTGATGGTACGCTTCTGAGTTGGGGTAGTTTCATCCCAAGTCTGTTCAGAGTCCGTGGACGGACAATCCTTTCTATCATTCTCAGTGCGAGGCCATTGCACCAAAACACGAGCCTCGTGTACGTCAATCATAATATCCGCATCCTTGATATCCGACGTGAAAGTCTTTCCCTTGGCCAAATCATACTTCTTGCCCTGGCAGTGAATCTTGATCCCATTCCATCCCATGCACATGATCTCAACCCTATCCCGGTCGAAGGGATTCGGTGCCGGCTTGTAGGTTGCCTTCACATGAACACGAGATATCATACGGCTAGCAGCTAGCTGGTGTTGGCACGAAGCACTTGACCGACCCATGAGTAGGGGCTCACCATTCTCGGGCAGCATGAGTGTAGGCACGGCGGACAGGGGAGCACGTTCGGACGCGGCAGAGAAGGTACGACGCGCCGACGCGCGAGAGGCAGAAATACCGGGTGGCGAGGAGGACATTATATGAGTCGAGGAGGTTGGGACCGGGGTGGGATAGGTCGACACGGCGGGTTCGCGTGCAACACGCTTCTGGGGTCTCGGGAGAGAGGGCGACGAGCTCAAGGGCTCAAATGCAGGCAGCAGGGCAGCAGGCCGCTTGACGCCGGCCGCTGGGCCCAGTGAGCTTCTAGACGGAGAAGAATCCATGATTCGAGAGTGGTGCCAAATCCACACGAGCTCCTTTTTTTTCTTAGCGAGGACTTGAGTCGAGCTCAAGAGACTCGCGTCGTGGGTTCCCGATAGAAAACAAAAAAAAGAATGGAGACGTGTAGAAGAGGACCAAGACCTCTTCTAAAGAGAAGAATAGGGAGATGGAGAGATTGGAGGGGAGAAGGGAGGATAGGGCTTGGGAGAAAAAGGTGAAGAAGGTGTGTGGTGGTGGTGGAATGCCCTGGGGCGGACCGTCTCGTTCGCCCTGCGCGGAAATGCACGCTTACAGCCCGAGACGCGTTCGATAGGCGCCGACGAGGGTTCATGGGCTCCACTATCCTCTCACGATCCCAATTGACCTTTCCTAAACTGTTACTAGAGATTATTTTATTTGTTTTAATACTTGAATTTGCAAGGTGCGTGATTTGCGCTATAGAGGACTAAATAATGGAGCTGTCGTCTTTTCTATACTCGAGTTCCGACAAAGCGCGGTCGCGTCTGAAGTCACGTGTCGGTGGATCGTGACCACACGCGAGTCGGAGTATGCAGTATGACAGTCTCCTCCAGGTATGTCTGGTAGTCGTGACCGTCATCTGTGGTATTGAATGACTTATAACTGAATTAAAAGGCCATTTTACGCCTCCCTAGATTATGTTACGGTGTTTGGTGAAAATTTCAAGGCAAGCGTGAACAGCCACGACAGCTCCGGCTATAGAACATGGACGAATGATGAGCTACCCAATTTTACTCTATTCGTACGAGACTAGAAAATGGAGGCTGGTTTTCGGTCTAATTGGCAAAACTTTCAAGCTAATTTCGACACGCCTGTCAAATTCTGCTCTGCGGGGCTCAACGCGGGCGCGTGGTGACCGTTACGCCCACTTCAACCGCCCCAGGCAAGTGGAACAAGACGCTTCAATTGAGAACCTAGTATGGCTGTAATTCTTTTTATTCATCTCGAGAGTCAATAGGAACCAATATGAAGGGTTTCACATTTTGCTGGCGCCATTTAGGGGCATTTTCTAGGGCATTGAAAGTTTCAAGACACTGGTGGTAAAGACGGTCAAGATACCAAGCAAACTAACCTAGGTTGATTTCACCACTTTTGAAAACACATTGACACAGCTCTGGGCGTGTTTTGCCTTCCACGGTTTCCAATTATTAGCCCCTGTCCGCCTGCTTAAAGGGTCTTGATTGTTATAACGTTGGGGCGTCTGATTTACCAGAATCTACTTCCCCAGTCCAGTCACAGATAAGAAGAAAATGCATCCCTTCATAATATTTGAAACAATTGAATCTAATCTCTGAAAAGCCAAAGAATTTACTTTTCCGCAGATCACAAAAGTCAGTTATCTGCGAAAGAAATGTGTAGAACTCTACTCGTTCTTTCCGCGCAACCCCTCCAGCGAGGGGCATCCGAGGTAAGTTCAATAGAACCAAGGTCACGAGTTCTCCCGCCCTCCCAACAGAAATAGCACAGGTATCTCACGTAGTCCGAAACATTGAAATTTCGTTGAAGAAGCATTTCATATGATCGGTCTTTTCCATCATGTACGGCAATGATGCAATGGCGCCTGTACGACGCCTGGGGTAGGTCTGGCCATTGCCAAGCCGCTTTGGATAGATCACATTCCTAATGAGATCACAGAAGAATCTAGGTTACTGTGGAGATATCATAGTTCATCGTTCTCCATTCTGGTGCGATTATGCTAAACCACTTTGCTTGAATCGTGCTGAGAGTAGTCGCGTGGGGTCTGGATCTGTTTCCTGGTTCGCGTGGGTCGTCGCGTCGGAGGGGTCATGATATCACGTATCACATGATGGATCAGTAAGAGGAGATTTCATGAAATCATGGATTGAATGACAGATGAGGATACGAAGCAATGTAGTAATTAGTAACCAAATAGACTCGAATCCCCGCTCTTGTATGAAGACATAGACAGACCAGCTGTCTCTGAGTCAACCTGACAAGCACTGCATCAAGAATCGCAATCAAACAGCCACACCAAGTCAATTGAAAGAGACAATTTTCCTCCATCACGATAGAGAGAACACAATGAATAAATCTAAAAATCAGATTGGTTGCACTTGAGGTACTGAGATAAGCCTAGCCATTGAGTCCCCTCGGTATTTGAGGGTCGTCTGTGAAAGAAAAAAAAAATAACAAGGATTGAATTTCCTCCCCAAAGGCCCACATCAAGCACAAGATAAAATTTAAGATACACAGAAGAAAGCAACCCGTCAAGTAACGAACCGTGATATGGACAGAAGCAGCACCAGAGGCCAGTCGAGGGTTGCCCCTTTCCAGGCCCCCAATGGCGGGTTCGAATGGAAAAAAAAAATTGATAAAAAGCTCATCCAAGTCCGTGGACCTTTGTATTTTCTTGGGTCGGAAATCGGGGGCATCAAGGAGACGCTTAATCGTAGAAGACAAAGTAAGCGTTGCCAGAGCTGGAGCTGGCCTGTAAGGAGGTATTTAATTAGTAGGAGATCTTAGGATGTAACAGCGTGTAGTGGAACTTACAGTGCAGCCGTTGCCGCTGGTGATCTTGCCGGCATTGTTGTAGAAGTTACCGGCGCCGTCGTAGCGGCAGCTGTCGCTGAGGTCGTCACCAATGAGCTTGACCTTGAAGTCAAGGTCCGCATCGGTGGTAGGCTCATTCTTGAACATGGAGAGCCAGGTGGAGCCGGCAGAGTAACCAACACCGAAGTTCATGGGGGCCCAGTTACCGATGGGCTCCGAACCATCACCCCACTGGCAACCCTTCTCGGCGGAGACACCCTTGTTGTTGACGTAGTACTGAGCGGAGGTAGTCTTGCCCTCCCACTTGAAGTAGGTTTCACCGTTGGGGCAGGTCAGGGGGTGGGAGGCACCGGCAGCAGCAAGCAGCGGAACAGTCTCAGACTCGGTACCGGGGTAGTCAGTACGGCAAACAGCGACCTGCTCAGACAGCTCGTTACGGATGTTAACACCGCCAGTACCCTCAATACAGATCTGCTTGTAGTCGGTGTTGGTGAGGTAGAGCTTACCGCCCTTGCACTCAAGACCACCAACGGACTGGCCAGTGGAGCCCTGGGTAGTGGGCCACTGGGACTTTTGGTAACCCGGAGGGCAGGCGTACGAGCACATGGAGCCGCTGGTGCAGGAGTCACCGCTGACAGCGGTGACAATCGAGCTGACAAGCTCATCGACCAGAGTAACGTACTGAATACCAGACCAGCCATCGATGCCGAGGTAGTCCAGGGCAACGGCACCGTAGTCGGAGGGGAAAGTGGAGCAGTCGAGCTCTCCATCGGGGAATTCGGCGGTGAGACCGGCAGAAGTGGATGAGCTGGAGCTGGATGAGCTGGTCGCAGCGGCCGAGTAGGTGGAGCTGGAGGACGAGCTGGTGATAGACTCCACGGTGCTGGTGCTGGAGCTGGAAGACGAGCTGCTGGAGATGATGGCAGCGGAGGTCTCAAGCAGGACCTGGGCAGCAACAGTGGGGGTAGGGGTGACAGTGCTGGTGCTGGAGCTGGAGCTGGAGCTGGTGCTAGAGCTAGAGCTAGAGCTGGTCGGGCAGGCAGCGGGAATGGGGGCATCGAGCCACTCGAGCTTGTGATCAGCAAGACCTGCACAGGCTTCACTCAGGCTGATTTCCTCGGGGGAGCCAGTGGCGCTGGGGTCCATAACAACGAAGTCGTACACGGTGGGACCGGGGACGGCGACAGTCTCGGTCTCGGTAGCGCGCTTGTGGAAGTGAGCGTGGCCGTGGCCATGGGCGGCCGCCAGCGAGCCCGCCGTGGCGAGGGTAACGGCAACAGAGTTGGTGAACTTCATTGTGAATGGAGATCGATGTCAAATTGTGAATCTGTAGAACCGTAGTTGCGTCAGTAACTGCAATCGCCAAATGGTCGTTGGATCCCATTTCCTATAATGGCCGCCTCGATCTCCGCGTTTCAAATCCATTGGGGATTCAATGCGCATTGAGTTCCAGGCTGCTGCGACGGGAAATATCGCGCAACTCCTCTGCATTGTCTTCCCTATCGGTTCGAGGCTATCGGGGGGCGGTTTCACGTACATCAACGGCAAGCCAGTCGCACGCTTTGAAAAGTGCTGTACAGATTGGGAAGAAGAGAGCGACAGATGTTTTCCGTAAATGAACGTGGTAGAGAGACGAGTCCCTCAGGTCGGATGGGAAAACTTCAAGGATGGAAACAGGAAGAGAAGGGGAAGAAGAGAAGAAGGAGACCCCAGGGGGGGGAGTCGGGCCACAATACGGTGATACCGCCCCACTGTCAAGAGGCACGAACAAAACGGCAAAAAGGGGTGAGACAAAGCACCCGAGGTGGACCCCCGTGTTTTCTTTCAATGATCCCAAGATGGCCTCGACTGGCCTAACTGCCTTGGCATGCTAACTAGAACCCTCCTTCTATCGGTTCTCCCGTGAACTTCGTACCAACTCTCATCCACTATGGATACTATGGCAATGGAGACCGTGGGCCCTGGGATGATGAATTTTCGTTGTTTACTCTCACATCTTGGCTACCGAAATTGCCATTTCCAGGGGCAGGCCAATTAGATCCTGCAGATGTCCAGGCGCCAGGAGATAATCTCCACTTTTGTGCCAGGTACACCAATTATAGTCCGTGGATGGCTCCCGAGATTCCAAGCGTATCCATGGGTACTGACTGGTATTTCCATACTTCCATATTTTCCATATTTCCATACTTGCGCCCATCTTTACTCTTACTGTACTACTAAGGTTGCCACTGAGCGTTTACCTCTTCCAGTCCTCATCGTGATGTATTTTATCGTCTATCAAAGCTTCCGTCCCTCTCCCCCGTGCCAAGCAACCGCTGCGGAGTGTTGCTGTATTGCTCCGCAAGGTTAATTCTGCACGTCTGCTGATCACACGCCAGGGGCTCTGTCTCCTGGCAGGTCATCCCGGCCTCGGCCTTTGCTGCGACGACTGTTAGGGGGAAAGTTACCTGCCTCCCCAGCTTCCCATCCATCCAGTTTCCACTCCAGCTTGCGGCCTCGTAATGCCGCCCGATTTTTTGGTCTTGGTCTGTCCTAAGCTAGTCCTGGAAGGGGCACAGTGCCCCTACATGTCGGAGGCCCTGAAGGTCCACGGGGATGACGATTTCGAAGGATTGTTTAATTAACACAGGACATTTCTCCAGACTCCTGGTTCCTCTTGGGAACCCGCATGCACTCCAAATTCACCCCCCCCCCGGGTCAATCAACCCACGCTTGAACCTTCGATAGATGCCTTTTCAAAGGGCGATAAGCCACTAAGGACCCCATAGGAGTTATCGATCCGCAGCAATCTTAATCGTCCGCGTCATGCTTTCCCGTTTCCCGTCCATTACAACTAGGCGTATTCTCCTGTGTCATTGCATACGCTGGGGCTCGTGCACCTTTTCATATCCGAATCTATATCTAGCCTGCCTGTACTCATGTCAGATCGGCCGTTGAACTATGTTGTACAACTTGACTTGTAGGACAGACTGGGGCAGTCGCAGTCGTAATGCAATTAACGGCTATGCCGCTAGATTAGTTCCAATCCACATCCGACCCCATACTCCGTCCTATCCGAATACTGGTGCCTATCGTATTGCTCTGGTCTTCCCCCTATTAGCTTATTCTTCCCATATCTCGTCAACCTTCTTAGTTCTTTACCCTCCGGCCCGACTCCATCCTTACGAGTCAGCCTCCAAACTACTCGGGGGACTTATCCAGGGTCGTGGGACCGCGCTGCTTGCGTGGCGCACTATAATAGTGGTAGTTGACGTACTCTACCAGGCTAAAATCCCGCTCAAGATCTGATGCTGAGCTTTAGTGCGCCACAATTTGTACTCGTAGAAGTAAACGATCGCACTAAAGTCGGCGCCAACTCTTAACGCATCTCTCTAGTGCACAATGGCGAATTTTTATTATTCCGATTCTCCATTTCACATCCACGTGGACGCGCAGACGCGTTGCCAGCCTTCATAATTTGTGTCGACATGCTTCCTTGCGGTGTGGAGCCAGCAAACAACCCCGGAGGCTGTCTGTCTCGCAGCGGCAAATTTACAAATCATGCAAGTTAGATGAGAGGGTTTGTCTTTTGACTCTTGGTTGAGCCTTGGCCGGGCATGGCTCAGCATTTGTGCTAGCGGTGGCTCCGGATCGCTATAAATAGCTGGCTAAGCCGCAGTGGCACCCTGTGTGGCTCGCTCGAGGCCGTGTGTGGCCTTTTTTAGAAAGCCGATCGTCGAGATTACCCAAGAACTTCAAGGGTTTGAAACAATCTCGGACGCTGATGAGCGCCATGCATAAGCTTGTAAGTTATCTGAAACGGCGCCAGCTGCAAGGCAGCTTATGTCGGACGTAGTGGCCATGGCTTTTGCAGACATCGCTGTGTCGTTTCGCTAAAGGCCTCCGAGCTTAGAAGTATGATGTAGACAGTATGGTCAGTACATGTTTTAATAGCGAGATGCGCAATATGGGGTCGGAATAAGTCCCTCGACGAGAGAGAGCCCTGGGGAGAGCCAGAGATAAACATCCTCACACGTTGGTGCCTAAGGCATATGCGCTTCTTTGGTAAGCAGCATTGGTGGATTGGCGTACTGCCAGCACATGAGTACTATAGGAGGGTTTTAAAAAATATCGGGTTTCGGAATAATCATTTGTCATGGATGGGACTTTGCGTCGAACCTTGGTCATTATGAAAATATTCTACCTTTTTTTCAGTAAGATGGTGCTTGTGTCCACGGGATGCAAGATCATCCGATGTAAATATATATCCAACCTACTGATCCATGGATGTTTCCAAGTAATGATAGTGCACCCAATCAAATAGTACCTACCTAGAGAACCGATTTTTATCCCCTAGTCACATCAAATTCTCCAAGTGTCCTCCATAAATCAGCCAGATAGTATAAGCTTGTAAATACTAAGATGGACGGTTACTGCCTCAGGCTCAAACACGGGGTCCAGACAACCATGTGCCAAGCCTGGCAAATCGTCACCGCCTTCCGAGATTTTTTTTTTTATCTTCGATAGCATCGCCGAAAAAACGGAGTCGAGTCTACAACCAGACAAGATGCCGACCTCTACTGTCCTCACCTCTAAGGTGTCCGCTGGATCACCGTATCAGCTGGACTCACCCCAGGTTTGTCGCAATTGCCCCCCCAGAAAACCCAGCGCACTTGCTAATTGTCCAAAGGTTGTCAAAGCCTCGTCAGCGCTGCTGCGCCATATCAAGTCGAACCAGGAAGCGAAGGAAAAGTCCGCAACCAAGAAGACCCTGATCGGTGACAACGATGACTCCGGTGATGAGGAGACCCCTCTCAACAACGAGGCCATCTGGCTTATTCTCACCACCAAGAAGCACGTCGTGGATAAGAACCGCCTGAAGCCGGGCAAGATCACCCTCCCCCACTCCCTCAACTCGTCGCCTTCCCTCAGCGTGTGCCTTATCACCGCCGATCCCCAGCGTAGCGTCAAGGACATTGTCGCCGACGCTTCCTTCCCCCAAGAACTCTCCTCGCGCATTGAGAAGGTCATCGGCTTCAGCAAGCTAAAGGCCCGCTACCAGAGCTTCGAGAGCCGTCGCCAATTGCTCGCTGAGTACGACGTCTTCCTCGCTGATGAGCGCATCATCACTCGCCTGGTCCCTACCCTAGGCAAGATTTTCTACAAGTCCAGCAAGCGTCCCATCCCCATTCGCATCCAGAAGATCGAGAAGGTGGATGGCAAGCGAGTCAAGGCGGACCCTAAGAAGAAGACCAGCAAGGAGGAGAAGCGCGCCGAGTTCGCCGCTCCTCTGATTGTCGCCAAGGAGATTGAGCGCGCCTTGCACAGCGCCCCCGTTCAGCTCGCTCCCTCTACCAGCACCGCCATCCGTATCGGCTCCTCCAAGTTCACTGCAGAGCAGTTGTCGGAGAATGTTTCCGCCGTCGTCAAGGGGATGACCGAGAAGTTCGTTTCAAAGGGTTGGAGAAACATCAAGAACATTCACATCAAGGGTGCCAACACCACGGCCCTGCCCATCTGGCTGTCCGATGAGTTGTGGGTTGACAATGCCGATGTCTTGGAAGAGGGTGCTGAGACCGCCGCCATCGAGAACGGTGCCACCAACAAGAAGCGCAAGTCCATTGGCGAGGAGAAGGCTATTGAGAGCAAGAAGACCAAGAAGACCAAGTCTGCTGAGGAGGAGGATGACTCCGCCGAGGTTGCAGCACGGAAAGAGAAGCTCCAGAAGCTCAAGGCTCAGGCCCTTGAGGATGGTGAGCCTGCCAAGCCCGACACATCCAAGGCTGGCAAGAAGAAGAGAAAGTCCACCTCATGATCGGGTCTACTTTGATCTTTACCTAATGTTCTGCATGTAAAAGGTATCTTCGGCGTACAAAATATATCACGTGTCTTTCATTATGACTATATTCTGTTCTCATTATTCAAATTTCTGTTCCAAAATATTCCAAGTGATCAAGTACAAGTAGACTCAAAACATAATCCCACCAGCATAGGCATCTTCAAAGCGTCATATCCCTAAGGAGCAAAGATCAGGCTATATGATGCCTGCGTTAGCCGAGTCCGACCTCGGGCGGGCGGGTCTTGGCACTCCGACGATAACCACATCTTCAGATCACCGCGGATCGCCGAGACTCACACTTGAACATCTTCCTGGCACATTCGAGCGTAACGACCCCTTCACCATCGTTCCGCTGTCGACATGATTCCTATCGCCAGACAATCCGTGCTGCGGGCTGCTCGATCGCAGATTTTCCCCGCCCCAACCCTCAGACAGCCCTCTTCGTCGGCGCTTGCTCGGCTCCTCTCGACTCTTGCGGTTCTCGAGCAGCGCGATGGAAAGCTACAGAATTCTTCTTTCTCCGCAATTGCAGCTGCACTAAAGCTCGGTGGCCCCGTGACGGCCTTCGTGGCCGGCTCCGGTGTCAAGGGTAGCTCTGCGGCCGAGGCCGCTAAGATTAAGGGCCTCGAGAAAGTCGTGGCTGTGGAGAACGACGCCTATGAGAAGGTATGTACTGCATGTGAAGCCCTAGCTCTAGCTCTTTCTAATATCGAGTTTTTTGTTTTCGACGTACAGGGCCTTCCCGAGAACTATGCTCCTCTCCTCGTCGAGAACATCAAGAAGGGCGAATACACCCACATCGTCGGTGGCCACTCGGCCTTCGGCAAGAGCCTCCTGCCCCGCGTGGCCGCTCTCTTGGATGTCTCGCAAATCTCCGACATCACCGGAATCGAAAGCGAAGACAGTACGTACAATCCGGGAAAGTGAAATTAACATGTGACAGCGTCGGTGCTAACCACTCTGCAGCCTTTGTCCGTCCCATCTACGCCGGTAACGCCATTCTGACCGTCCAGTCGACCGATAACATCAAGGTCATCACCGTCCGCGGCACAGCATTCCAGGATGTCGAGACCGAGGGTGGTTCCGCCGCCATCGAAGACGGCGTTGACTCCAACGTCCCCGCCACAACCGAGTGGGTGTCCGAGGAGCTAGCCAAGTCCGAGCGTCCCGACCTGGCCACCGCAACCCGCGTTGTGTCCGGCGGCCGTGGCCTGAAGTCCAAGGAGGAGTTTGATCGTATCATGCTCCCGCTCGCTGACTCGCTTGGCGCTGCTATTGGTGCTTCCCGTGCCGCCGTTGACAGTGGCTTTGCCGATAACAGTTTGCAGGTTGGCCAGACTGGTAAAAACGTCGCACCTCAGCTTTACCTATGTGCTGGAATCTCCGGTGCTATTCAGCACTTGGCTGGTATGAAGGATAGCAAGGTTATTGCTGCTATCAACAAGGATGCCGAAGCTCCTATCTTCCAGATTGCGGATGTTGGTCTGGTTGGTGATCTCTTTGAGAAGGTGCCTGAGTTGACCGAGAAGGTCAAGAACGCTTAAATTGCGTGCTTGTGTTTTAAGCATTCATATTTTTTTCATTTTGCGATGACCTATTGAGCAGGTCGCAATTTTTTTTTTGTGTTGAACCGTACAGAATACCACTAGAGAGGAATGGAGCTCGTAAAGGCCTAGTCACTGCAATATAACAAAATCTACTACACAATTTGTACTCAAATAACCCTGAAGATTGAAGCCGTTTCTTTAATTCTCCATGTACATTTCGCAGTGCAATGGCCTGGAACGAATCCAACCTGAGGCATCATAAATTGAAATTCCCAAACCGGACTAGCGCGTCACCACGCGTCGGCGCGTCCGCGATAATCAGAAGGGGAATTGGTAAGTTCACCGTCCGATGGCCAAATACTCCAGACCCGCGACATGACCGAAACGTTTGAATGATCCCCTCATCGCCCAATTTCCTATCATCATTCGACCCTGCCCTCCACCTTCACTCCGAAGACCTCGGCAACGCGCCTAACCCTCCCTCCGAATCATTCTCCGACGATCTCGACGCAATCCACTTCCAGCGCCGCGAGCAAACCCGCAATAAAGTTGTGATTCAGCACCGAGCTTGGAATTTGTCGGATGTTTTTCGAAGTGACGACGATATAAGACCTGGTTAGAACCATAAGTCTTGTTGGGAGATGCTCATGCTCATACGGATTGCAGATACTCCGACGAAAGCGTTCGAAGCAAACCCACGGAACATTTCTAGAACGCCTACTCGCACATATTCATACCTGGCGTCCTCACCTCCCTTAACAAACATGCCGTTCATATCGTCACCTGCGCCTGCGACGTTGGCCAATTCGGACGGAAATGCGCAGAAAAGAAAAGCGCCCGAAGCCAGAGAGACATCGACGCCGACAGAGCCCAAGCGGCAAAAGTTTGTCGGTGGATTCGTTGACGATGACGATGACGAAGAGGACGATCTCGGTGCGCTTGGAGACCAACAATTCGAGCTGCAGGAATACCCCGAGCCAGATCCGTCTGAACTTACTGCGATTCTGGAGCGGTCGCAGCTCCCAGTCCCGTCTCAACAAGATGAGACCACGCACACAGCTTCAAATACTCAATCAGAACTGGTCTCTCGACCCACACCTGGCGCAACTAAGAGGTTGTTCCAAATCAAGACATGTACCGGCAAGACGCACCATATTCCTCTACGAAGGGCCCAGGCTCCGGTCTCTTATGAGCAAATGATTGCTAGTCGGTCTGAGGCAGACCCGGGCCGAGCGAGGAAGAGCTACTATGGAATTGAAATTCATAAATTGCTGGATGATGCGGCGAAAGAAACAAAAGTTAAGGCCTCTGAGCCGTCTCCGCCACCTCCAGTACAGGTATCAATAGAGAAGAATGAAGGTGATGCTAAGCAGAAAAAGATGGATTCTATGATGTGGACAGAGAAGTACCGCGCTCGCAAATTCACGGACTTGATTGGAGACGAACGCACACATCGCCAGGTCCTCCGCTGGTTGAAGGGCTGGGACTCAATTGTCTATCCTGGCTTGTCCCGGTCTCAGAAGAAAAAGCCTGGGCAAGAGAATGAGGAAGAGCGTGTGCATCGGAAGGTCCTCTTGCTCAGTGGTCCCCCTGGATTGGGAAAGACCACCCTAGCCCATGTTTGTGCCAAACAAGCAGGCTATGAAGTCCTCGAGATCAACGCGAGTGACGAAAGAAGCAAGGACGTGGTAAAGGGCCGCATTCGAGATGCCCTGGCAACAGAGAACGTTAAGGGTGCTAATGTTGAGGTCGGCGAGAACAAGGTCCGCCGGGCCGCAAAGCCTGTCTGCGTTATTGTCGACGAAGTTGATGGAGTTGTTGGAGGTGCTGGAAGCGGTGGCGAGGGTGGTTTCATGAAGGCCCTCATCGATCTGGTGATGCTCGACCAACGGAACTCAAAGCAAGCAGAGAATGGTGGGAACAACGGCAAGAAGCGCAAGGGCGACACTTTCCGGTTCCTTCGACCTTTGATTCTGATTTGCAATGATTTATACGCCTCAAGTCTTCGTCCTCTAAGAACTTCATCCATTGCGGAGATGATCAATTGCCGACAAGCTACGTTGGAAAACGTCGTCAATCGAGTGAAGATCATCTTTACCCGGGAGGGGATCGCCGCAGATGGTGATGGAGCTCGAAGACTATGCGAAGCTGCGTGGGGAATGGCAAGCAAAAAGCAACGCGGATCTAAGAGCTCTGGGTCTGCTGAGGGCGATATCAGAAGTGTACTCGTTGCTGCAGAGTGGGTGGCACATAAGCTCCGGAATGAGGGCTCGTCTACGCGACTCAGCCGGAACTGGCTAGAAACTCGAGTCCTCAACGCTTCGACAGAAGGCGGCTCTTTTTTTAAGGAGATGAGTCGCGGAGGTGTACGTGAGATCGTGAACCGCGTCTTTACCGAAGGCGCTGGCTTTTCTGACTCTCCCGTTGGCATGACCTCTTTCCAAGACAAATACGACAGCTCCAATTCCAAGGTACCAGTAGGCGTGACTGACCTGCGAAAACGGCATGCCATCAACCGTCTTAGGGAGATGGTGGATGCCAGTGGGGATCATGACCGATGTGTCACCGACTGTTTTGCCGCGTATCCCATTCAGCAGTACCAGGACGATACATTCCTCTCGAAACCCTGCGACGCATACGACTGGCTCCACTTCCATGATTCGATTTCCAACAAAGTCCATGCATCTCAGGAATGGGAATTGGCCCCGTACCTAAGCCAGTCCGTTGTCGCCTTCCACCATCTTTTCGCTACAGCCCACGGCAAGATCGAAGCTGCTGATCACAAAGATGGAGACGAAGAAACCGAAGAAGAACACCCATTCTCCGGGCCCAGAGCAGAATTCGCTGCATTCGAAGCACAAAAAGAAAACCGAGCAATTCTTACCGGATTCCACTCGTCTCTATCCGCTCCTATGTCCCGCATGTTCCGCTCGACGGAGAGCGTCGTCACCGATCTACTTCCGCACCTAGTCCGCATGCTATCACCAGACGTCAAGCCCGTTATCGTGCGCACCGGTGGCGATAACCGAAGCACAGCGAGCGTGCGCAAAGAATCCGAGCGTATCCTAGTCCAATCGGCCGTACGCGTCATGGTCGGAATGGGTGTAACATTTGAGAAAGTCCGAGTGGAGCACGAAGGTGGAGGCCACGGCGGATGGGCCTACAGAATGGAGCCGTAAGTGAGACCCCATTTTTCACAAATAACAAGAACTAACACATACCCCACAGACCGATCGACTCGCTCGTCGCATTCTCAAAGCTGAGTACATCTGGCTCCTCAAGTGCCAATGTCCCCGTTCGATATGCGGTTCGCTCGGTCTTGGACCAAGAGTTCCGGAAAGAGGGCACACGCAAACAATTCGATGCGCGGGACGCCGTTACGGCGAAGGCGTTCCTTGGTAAATCGCCCAAGTCGGACGCGGCTAGGGCTATTAAAGACGGCCTTGCTAAGCGGGACTTCTTCGGACGGGTTATTGAAGAACCTGTTCGCGAGGCCGGGGATACTGATGGGCCTAACCCGTCGGATGAGACCTCTAAGGCTGGGAGGAAGGTGTGGGTTACATACCATGAAGGATTCTCGAATGCGGTCCGCAAACCTATTTCGATGGGAGAGTTGTTGACTGGGTTGTAATTCTGGGTTTTAATGTTTTCAGGGCTAGCATTTTGTATGGAGTTTTGCAGCATGGCTTTTATTCAGACTACCCTATTTGAGCTATTGTTCATGACCATATGCAAATACGCAATTTTTTATTATATTTCAAGGTGGCGTTTCCTGAGGCTGGTTCTACGTGAGATTTGAGAGTCTTAATGTGAAATACTTTTTGTAGTAGTTTCCGCAGTGATCTTCACATTGGTTAAAGGTATATTCTACCCTAATTACCTGTTCTCGGCGCCCACGTTGCCGTTACATAGTGCTAGGGTGAAGATTCTTTATATATCAAGTGACTTTATTCAGCTTGTCATTGAAGCTCTAATTCATGACCATATACACATACAAACGCGCAATACGATGAAGAGAAGTATCCCAATGACAAAGCAATGAATTAATTAAAAGTCGCATCATGTATAGCAATTAAAACCCATCTATCCCGAACTCCAATAATTTTTTAGATTTCAGATATCCGTCTCGCAACAGCATCTCATCTTGCAAATGTCTGATGCCCGAAATCACAAAATGCAAAGATAAAAGCAGAAACACAGTCAAACTCAGTATTAAATATCCAGATCATTCCATCGTCATGAACGCATCGAAAAAGAGAAGGTGGTATCAAGAGTCGCAGGCGTCACAGGCGTCGCAGTGTAAACAGAAGTCAAAGTGCGCATTTAGCGCAAGCTGAAGTAGATAGCGGTGGCCTCGTTGTGAATGGCTCGCTGGGCGAAGTTCTCGTCGATCGAGCTGACGTACTTGGAGTCGAAGGCTTTGGAGAAGAACTTCTTGCTGGCTTTGATGGAGCTTTTCAGAGTTGTTGCGGTGGAAGCGGTGGAATGTCCCGAGGACGCATCTGAGGAGGCGCGGCGGGAGGAGCAGGTAGAGGTGGTGGTAGTAGGTGTCTTGGGGACACGGGGGAGGGCAAGCATGTTGGCCATTTTGATTGATTGAATGTGGGTTGGGTTTTGGTTGGTGGTATATGGGATGAGAACGATGTCGAGGACTTTCAGTTGAAGATGTTTGAAGATGGTTGAAAGCTGGTTTGGTTTGGTTTCTTTGTGATGGTCTGATAGAGAATGCATTTAACGATCATGGGGAATGGGTCTTATATACACGGGGCAGGTTGTATATTGCGCGTGTCACTCCGTGCTTCACTCCGAAGTAAAAAAAAAAAAAAGAAAGAATATAAAAAATTGAAAAGCTAATGACCCACTCCGCAAGCCATGACCGCACCTTTGAGCTCGAAATAAACTACAATAGTCAAGAGCCAGAGGAAAAATTACAGACGTCACAGCCGCTGTGGAGCCTGCGACGGCAGGTCGGACTAAGACTTCGGAGTTCGATCTTGCGGTGGACCCTCGGCGATGGCCAACCATCCATACACGAGGTCTTGGTGCGAAGGCCATTGACAGAGATGGCCAAGATTTGGTCATGAGAGCTGACGCATGAAATATAGCAGATCTGACAAACAAAAGAAGGTCTATACCGTGGAGGGGAGCCCGTGAAGCGGCCTCCTAATCGGGAAATGGAGCTGCTAAGCCTAGACTCGCCAAAACTCTTGGAACCCCAAGTTCTTGCTATAGATCTCACCAATAATGACCTCGAACTACGCGATGAAGGGCGTGAACAATGCTCGGCGGTTGCGTGGCTTTCAGCCTAATTGAGTCAGGCAGACAGCTCGTGGACGTAGCCTAGGAAGTCACGCATCGACATCATAGAGTCTAGAAGCCTCGAAGGCTGGAGTCTAGAGTCTAGGATCAAACTCCGAAGGCCCTGAAATCCAAGCTGCAGATCACGCGGCTCCACTAAAAACCTCAATGTGGGCATCGGAGTACTTCTATACGGAATAAAATGGAGCTGCAAGACGTGTCAAGAACTCCATCGCGGCTATCTGCGGGCACCATTCAAATTGAAATTTCATCCCATATCAAAGAAATCTATGCAATTGTCCATGATCTGGTCATGACGTTCTGCTGATTTTCAAGCCCCGAGGCGGTGCGCTGTGCGATACGAAGTGGCTTGCGTGACTCAAGCGCGGGGTTCCCAAAAATCAGCAGAGCCATATTACTCTTGCATCGGATCTGGCCTAAAAGTAGTAATGCCTTGATCCTCTCCAAAAGGATGACGGGTGGCGTGATGGTGGTTGAGGCTTTGGGGCTCTGTTGCCGCAAGTCCGAGGTTTATTCCGAAGCTGAGATTTTTTACTCCGAGGCGTAGTCCGAAGCCGCGCGAGGACCCTGAACGGGTTCGACTAGTGGTACTACATGATTCAGGCGATTGAAAATTCTGCTCGGGTTACTCTGGTAGTATTTTCTATGGTCCTAGTCCATTCAAGTGATGCCGGAAATGGCACCTGGCGAACGTGCTATGTGACGTTGACGCTTATTGGGCACTTGTGACTAAAGACGTAAACCTCCATTTTCGCGCCTTTCAATGCTCTAAAACACGCCCTCCGGCCTTGGAAGCAGTCTATCTCCACCATCATTCCCACTTTCACGAAGATGGCGGTGTCGACTCATTGCGTGCTTTGGTAAGGGTGTCGCTACCATGACCGAGAGGGAGTCATATGGCTACCCCTGAAATCTCCGTGGATCTGCTCTTTATGGTCTTCCAATTGTCGTGTGAAATGAAGCCTCCAATTCCCAATGGAAGCTCAATGGTAAGCCAAAGTTGACATCTTGCCTCATGGTACCTTCCCCTCAGACTTTGCTTTTTCGCGATCAGAGATCGGGCTTTGTTTCTTCACGATCTCTCTGATCAAGGTCCCCATAAAGAGGCCTATCGGTGAACGAATGAAATCGTGATACACATCAAGACCCCGCCAATGACGAACCAAGAGCGAGCTGATCGTCCATAAGATGTGCAGAATGAGCATTCTGTGAGATCATGTCACGGTGTGCTGAACTCTCGCCGCGCAAAACCCCGCCAAACGGCCAATCGCGGAGCAATACCGCAGTGTACCTTTCGAGAATGCTCTCTAAGTGGCTCAGAACCGCTGGTTTGAGAGCCATTTGTCAGCGCTCGGTCATTCTTGTACGCTGTGGGTGGACCCGCTGGATCATCTCAAATGCTTGAAGACCCGAGAGACCAAAAGTTCAATGATTTAAGAGACCCCTGTGCCCCTCGTACCTGAACCTTCTCCAAACCATAACCATTACCATCAATTCCTATTTCCAAACAAAAACCATGTCTGTCAAGCCTATTACTCTCTATGGCCACGGCCCCGGCCCCAACCCGTGGAAGGTCGTCATGCTCCTCGAGGAGCTCAACATTCCCTACGAGAACAAGATTGTCGACTTTCCCGATATGAAGAAGGCGCCCTTTGAGTCCGTCAACCCCAACGGTCGTGTCCCCGCCATCGAAGACCCCAACACCGGCATCACCCTCTGGGAGTCCGGCGCCATCCTCGAGTACCTGGTCGAGACCTACGATAAGAAGCACACCGTCAGCTTTGACGCCGGCTCAAAGGACTACTTCCTAGCCAAGCAGTGGCTACACTTCCAGATGTCCGGTCAAGGCCCTTACTTCGGCCAGGCCGTCTGGTTCACCCGTTTCCACTCGGAGCAGATCGAGAGTGCTAAGGAGCGTTACTACAAGGAAGCCCGCCGTGTTTCTGGTGTCTTGGACAAGTTCCTTGCTGATAAGGAGTACCTTGTCGGGGGCAAGTTCAGCTATGCCGACCTTGCTTTCATTCCATGGTTCCAGATAGTTGGCCTGTTCGGCATTGATCTCCCCAAGGAGTTCCCCCACGTTGATGCCTGGTTGAACCGCCAGAAGGCCCGCCCGGCTGTTTCCAAGGCCCTGAAGCTGCGTGAGGAGGCTATCGCTGCTCACTAAGAATAAGCACAGTGTTAAAGCCCTGACTAGTCCTTTAAAAAGATGTATCCTACATAAGAAATGAGAAATGAAATGCTTTGAATGACATCTGGGTGGGTACGCCTTTTGTGACGAATACCACGGTGGTTAGTGCTACAATGCGCCCGACCATAGAGAATTTGATACGGCGTACTAGCTGAGAATAGAAGATATCAATAAGGCATTAGCCTCGACCCTGAATTTTAGTAGAGCGGAGATCGCTTATATTAGTATTGGCGCACAATGGCGCTGATCAACGTCGTAAACGAGATAGATTCTTGTATGTTCCTATTCGAAACATAACGATATGACAAAAGTCACTAACACAACAGTCGTATCACGTAGAAATAAGCATATACTTCAAAGGTAAGCAAGATGGTAGGTAATCAAATCCCTGTACTTGCTCATCGGAGTACGCTAACCGAAATCGGCTAGCGGCAAGCTGGGGCTTGGCAGCGCAGCCGCGAGTTTTCCGTGTCGCGACATCCACCTCCCCCAGTCAATCGAGAACTCGATCTAATCATCCCCCACTGGCCTGATTTCCCATCAAGTTGGGCCCTTTTTCTTCCAGCAACATATAACTACCGGCTATTTGCCCCAGCTACGCGTAACACTGTTGCGTCGAGCCAGGCAGACTGCCAACCACAGACAAGGAGTCGATCTTCTGTCGCGAGCGACAGCTACTTTCTTCACTTGATCCATCATGGATGACTCTTCGCTCAACCCCTCTGGGGCTTCTGAGCATGCCCAGAGCCTGACCGGTGCAGAGAGTGGCCTGGATGCAGGCAACAGTGCCTCTGGTATGTTCAGCTCTCCTCTCCTAGCTCAATTCATAAGCTTACTGGATGGCAAGAAGCGCAATCGCGCCAGGATTCCCCCGAAAAAAAGGCAGAGACCTCCGCCAGATCTGACAACCCCTTGGATGCTCCTGCCTCCCCCAAGCCCCAGAATAGCGGTGCTGAGCCGGAGGATGAAGAGATGGGCGGCACAGAGACCGATGCCAAGCGTGATACCGAAGGATTGGAAGATGCTGTTGGCGAGTCGCAGCCTCCGGAGCCGGCCACTGAAGGTCTTGAAGATGCCGTTGGAGAGGAACAGCCCGCGCCGACCAAGTCCTCTTTGGAAGCCTCCGCGCGCGAGCAACTGGTCACACAAACTCATGCCATTATCCTCCCCAGCTACGCTTCCTGGTTTGACATGAATGCCATAAATCCCATTGAGAAGAAGGCTCTCGCCGAGTTCTTCAATGGCCGCAACCGCAGTAAGACCGCGGCTACTTACAAGGACTACCGTGATTTCATGATCAACACATACCGTCTGAACCCCATCGAATACTTGACCGTCACCGCTTGCCGTCGCAACCTTGCTGGTGACGTCTGCGCCATCATGCGTATCCATTCGTTCCTTGAGCAGTGGGGCTTGATCAACTATCAGGTAAGGAAAATAGCCAGTATTTTTTTTCTCTCCAAGGATTCTGATTGACATGACTAGGTCGACCCTCAAACCCGCCCCTCCAACATTGGACCTCCCTTCACCGGCCACTTCCGCGTTATTGCCGATACCCCTCGTGGCCTGCAGCCTTTCCAGCCCGGCCCACAACCCCAGGTCACATCTGGCAAGCCTCTTGCGGCCACCGACCGTGCCGCTTCTGCTACCCCTGCCAAAGACTCCGGTCTTGAGCTCCGCCGCAACATTTACGACGAGAAGGGCAAGGACGTTACCCCGGCCGATGATAAGGAGAAGCAGACCAATGGCGACTCTAACGGAATCGAGGGTATTCCCCAAGAACCTAAGAAGAAGTCCCACTGCTTCTCGTGCGGTATCGACTGCACACGACTCCGTTTCCACTATGCCAAGTCGGCCCCGACGTCAGCAAACACCACAACTGCCGACACAAAATACGATTTGTGCCCCAACTGTTTCCTCCAGGGTCGCATGCCCTCCAGCCACAACGCCTCTGACTTTGTCAAGCTTGAGGACAAGTCTCACTCTCATGTGCCTGATAAGGATGCTCCATGGTCGGATTCAGAGCTTGTTTTGTTGTTGGAGGGCCTGGAGAACTTCGATGAGAACTGGGAACAGATTGCCAACCACGTCGGCACCCGGACTCGCGAGGAGTGTGTGATGAAGTTCCTGCAGCTGGACATCGAGGACAAGTACCTCGACGACATTCCCGAGCTGCGCACTGGCTCCGGCCGTGATCCTATCAGCCAGTCTGAAAACCCTGTGCTCTCCGTCGTTGCATTCCTAGCTCAGATGGCCGAGCCCGCCGTGGCCGCCGCCGCTGCCGGCCGCTCCGTCGAAGAAATCCGCAAAGAGCTCCGTAGCCAACTTGAGAAGGACAACAAGGGCAAGGAATCCGTCAAGGCCGAAGATTCCATGGACGTGGATCCCACCCGCGAAGCGTCAACTGAGAAGCCGAAGGAGTCACTCGCAACGGTGGCGCTCGCCACCTCCGCTGCGCGCGCCGGCGCCCTAGCCTCCCACGAAGAGCGCGAAATGACCCGCCTTGTTGGCGCCGCCGTGAACGTAACGCTCCAGAAATTCGAGATCAAGCTTCAACAATTCAACGAAATGGAAGAGATCATCGAAGCAGAGCGCCGCGAACTCGAGCAAGCGCGCCAGCAGCTGTTCCTCGACCGAATGGCCTTCAAGAAGCGCGTCAAGGAAGCCCAGGATGCTCTCCAGGCCGTTTCCCTGCAAGGCCCCAACGAGCACACTAACAGCATGCTCGGGCACGCCGCTACCACCGGTATTGGCAACCACTACAGCTTCCAGCCTGTTGGTGGAGATATGCGGGCTGGTGCGCAGCCTCTGAGCGCTGAGACGGGCGCCGATTTCAAGACCCTTGACCTGTAATCCTTTCCTCTCATGTATTTGATATCCTACTGCGTGCCAGGGGAAGGGCCCTCGAATGGGGACAGGACAGGACTGAATTGGTGTTATGAATATCTATTTGAAACTTATCTGGCTAGGAAAAGGCGCAGTTTCTATCGTTGGGAGTTTGAATTATTTCGCCCCCTGTTGACGGATTTTCCACACCGTCTTTGATCTTTGATATTGATTTGTTATAGGGGATGATGGCAGGGGGCTTCTTTTTTTTTTTTTTTTTTTTTCTTGAATGTGGTTAACCTTTCTTCTTTCTAATCATATTTCTTGTGATTGAAATTCCTTGTAGTTTTACTTTCGTAATTTTTATGTAGATGCTATGTACAAGCTGGGGGTATCGTATTAATTCTGTGTCTGAGTCTGAGTCTGAGTCTGAGACTGCGCTGTCAATTTTTGTAAGAAAGCCGCCCATGCAGGGGATCCATATTTCGGAAGCTCGACAGCGACCATCGGTCTCGATCGAGGCTGATCGAGATCCATAGGATCCCCATCCTCGAAATCTGAAAACGCGCCATAATCTTCACTATCGACATCCCTTCCACTTCCAGCCGCATCCTCAGCTTCAATTTTGCGTCGTTTTTGTCTGTTCTCTTGCAAGGCAGTTTCCAATTCCGAGCCTGAATCGCCAAACTCCTCCCATTCGGCGCGGTACAGTGTTCTGTCACGCCATGGGGCCATCTCCTCTCTGGTCCTGCGACGGATGAGAGGTCGGTGTTTTGAGTCCACGCCCATGTCTTCTTCGGCGATGAGGGGGTTGGAGAGGAGTGGCGGGATGGGTTGTTGTAGGGTTTGCCATAGGTGGAGTTCTGAGCGGCGGTCGTATTCTCGGTCTATGCGCGCGGCGTGGACTTCTTCGGCGTCTGAGGGTTGGTCTTCCGCTGCTGCTGCAATGCGTGCTGCGGCTGCTGCGGCTTCTCCTTCTTCTCCTTCTATTTCTTCGGATTGGTAGGAACCTTCGGAGTAGCGGCGGGGTCTGGCTTTAGGTGGTTGGTTGGGAGGTAGCACTGTTCCTGGGACGGATTGTAGTTGTGGTTTTTCTGTTGGGGTCTCGATTGTTGCTTCAGGTGCAGGTGCAGATTTTGGTTGAGCTTTTTGTTCTATATTCTCCGTTGTCGGTTCAGATTGAGGTTGAGACTGAGGCTCGGATTCGGGTTCAGACGTGTGATCTTGAGGTTTCTGACCCTTTTCTTCAGCTTGTGCTTTTGGTTTATCAACCGGCTCTTCGGCCTCGTCTCCATCTTCGTCCTCTCCATTATAATCGTCGTCTTCATGTTCAACTATGCTCTCAGGAGAACTCGATCCAGACCCCTCGTACTCGTTGTACTCGTCGTCGTCAAGAGTAAGAAGCTCTTCCACGTAATCGTAATCGAGAACTTGCGGTTTCCATCCCTTTTTATTTTGGATGTCTTTGATCAGAACGCCGTTCCGCCGAGCAAAGTCGACTAGGATATTGCCCCGATCGTATTTCATGTTCATCGTTTCAATGGCGGCCCTGACATCTCTTGTTCGAACCGTTTCAACCTCATCATCGATCTCCTCACCCATCTGCTCCATAGCAGAGATTCGTGCCATGGAAAAGAAGAGGGAGGACTGGATCAAGCGGCGTGTGATGCTCATGGTCAATGCGTAAAAGTCCATGAGGGCATCGCCTGTCATGGAGGGTGACTCAGCAGAGAAACTCTGGTGGTATATCCAGTTGTCTTCAGTTCTCTTGCCGCCCAGGTTCATGAACAGCTTGCGAGAGAGTTGAAGCCAAACTGGTACATTAAGAATGTTGAGAGCTTTGTCTATGCCGCCGTGTAAAGGAGGACAGACTTCATTATCTTTGACGAGACCTTTGGCCGTAGCCTCGGTGATAATTCCATATTTGTGGTATCGGTCTCTGGAAGCCCACGAGCTCTCGGCTTCTTCTTTCAAGCACATTATATCGGCGAGTTCTTCCAGCTTTTCCTCGCACTCCCCGCTGACTTCGGCAGCGCCAGGATAATCACCCATGAGGAGTGTAGCATTTTGCTCGTTATCGACATGTTGTTTCACCAGGCCTTCGTGGAGGCAGTCAATGTAGTGCATCACTTCCAGTTCCGACTTTTCAGGAATTGCCGCTGCGATCTCCTTAATGCCATTTTTGCCCTTGCGATCGAGCATGTTGAAGAACAATTCCTTTTCCGTGGCCGTCCAAACAACAGCATGGCGTTGCTCAACAGTGAGGAGTTCCGGATGCTCATTCATGCTTTTCAATTCAACCTCCTTCTCCATCTCAACCAGCAGGCCGTTATAGGCGTTTAAAGCTTCGCGGGGAATAGATTGGAGGCGAGCTTGAAGCGAGCGGACTCGGTCCTGGCGAGCGTCCGTATTCATATCGTCGTCGGCATATTCGGCGAAATCGAAATTAGAGAGATCTTCTTCATCTTTGACTGAAACAGACGCCGCGCGAGGAGAGGAGCGCGTTTTTCGCTCGATCGAACGGATCACAAGCGCGCCATCGTTGAGGTCGGAGTCGGAGTCGGACTCCCACTCGGATCCGGAGTCATCCGGCTCATAGGAATCACTATCGCTCATCGTGCAGGGTCGGAGACTCGCCGCGCGTCCGCAATGATTCCTAGAAGAAACATCACAGCTGCGCTTGCGAGTAGTTGAGTAGTTCCAAGTTTACAAAAAAAGTTGAAGCTCCACTGCGCATTCGTTATCGCCCGATAAGCTGTGTTTGCACTGTTTGTATCCAAGTCTCCAGTTCGCAATGGCGTCGACTTTCTGCACGCATGGAGTTTGTTCGCAGGTTCGGGCTATTGGCTGTTTCACGGTCGCCGAAGAGACCGCGGAGGATCTCTCCGGTGTTACATTGGTGCAATGTACGCTTTAACACGACAGCATCACCATCACCATCCCCCGGTTCTAGCATCGTGCTCCGCGACTACCAGGAGGAATGTATTCAATCGGTCCTCAAGTACCTCGACGAAGGCGAGCGACGCCTTGGAGTGTCCCTAGCTACGGGAGCTGGGAAGACAGTTCGTCGAATCTGTCTCGCCTCTGAGAATCGTACACGAGAAACTAACTGTCGGTAGGTAATCTTCACTCAGCTCATCGATCGAATCCCGCCGCGCGATGCGAAAGCCACAAAGACCATGATCATTGTTCATCGCCGAGAACTTGTCGAACAAGCAGCGAAGCACTGTCGGCTTGCTTACCCCGATAAAACCGTGGAGATAGAAATGTCAAGTAGCGTCGCGACTGGACATGCGGATATAATCATCGCTTCGGTCCAAACCCTTGCCCGGGGGCGCATCAACAATTTCGACCCAAGCATCTTCAAGCTAATTCTTGTTGATGAAGCGCATCACATTGTGGCTGCATCATATCGCAAAGTGCTGGAACATTTCGGTTTGAATGAGCCATCCGCAAAGGCGCCGGTACTCGTGGGAGTCTCCGCAACATTCTCACGATTTGACGGGCTCAAACTGGGTGCTGCAATTGATCATATTGTGTACCACAAGGATTATGTCGATATGATTGGCGACAAGTGGCTGGCAGATGCAGTCTTTACTACTGTCAAATCCGAGGCGAATTTGTCAAACGTCAGGAAGGACCAGTTCGGTGACTTTGCGACTGGATCATTGTCAAAAGCCGTTAATACCGTCAATACGAACAATATCACTGTTCGTGCATGGATGGCTAATGCACAAGGCCGAAAATCTACGCTCGTGTTTTGCGTGGATGTGGCGCACGCTAAGGAGCTCACGGCGATGTTCCGTGAAAACGGTGTCGATGCGAGGTATATAACTGCCACTACACATAAGAAGACTCGCGCAGAGCAACTTGATGCTTTTAGGAAGCAAGAGTTTCCAGTTCTTCTGAACTGTGGTCTATTCACAGAAGGCACTGATATCCCAAATATCGATTGCGTGCTCCTGGCAAGGCCGACCCGGTCCAAAAATCTGCTTATTCAAATGATCGGGAGAGGGCTTCGTCTATTCCCTGGCAAAAAAGACTGTCACATTATCGACATGGTTGCTTCTCTTGCAACAGGCGTCTTAACAACACCTACATTGTTCGGTCTTCACCCAGACGAAGTGTTGGACAAGTCTACCGTGACGGAATTAAGAGAACCCCGCGAGCAACCCACCCTCGATGTTCCTTTAGTGGAACCAGAAGAACACGCGTCTTCTGGAGACGTGAAACTACAGTTCACAAAATACGACAGCGTCTACGACCTACTAGAAGACATGCAATCAGAGCGCCACATCCGATCCCTTAGCAGGAATTCCTGGGTGCGTGTCGACAACGAAAAATACATCCTCTCCGAATCCTCCGGTTGGTTAACCCTCGACAAAGAAAAAGACATCTACAATGTCCGCCACGTCATGAAATTCGCAGACCCGGTATCCGAGCAAGCGAAATTCACACGCCCACGCCTCGTCGCCACCGGAGCCGATCTCGAGACTGCTGTCCGCGCGGCAGATACTTATGCGAGTGACAAATTTCAAGAACAATTCATCGCGTCCTGGAAGCCATGGCGACAGAGCCCGGCCACGGCGGGACAGATCAAAATATTGAATCAAGCTAATATTCGAAATGGCACGATTCGAGCTGGGGATCTGACTCGCGGCCAAGCGACTGATATGATTACGAAACTGAAGTTTGGGGGAAAAAAGCGGTTTAAACGACATGAGGTGAAGATGCGGAAGGTGCAGCGTGAGACTGATACTGCGAATAAGTTTAGTGATATGCAGAAGAGGACTGAGGTTAAGGTTGGGCCTTTGGAGGGCTAATCGGTTCTTGGCCGACTTGTACAGTACATTGTTGATATTGCGTGCATCATTGGTGTAACTGGATGGTCTTCTTAAGCGGTTTACTCATGAATAATATCGATTCCGACCACTTATGGACGTACTGTACGAGCGAATCATAATACAAGAATGCGAGATGACCGAAAGCCTAGGAGTGGAATATAGCATGTCAGAAGAGCCCAGCCTGTTGGGTTTGGAACTCAAAAGCTCCCAACGACTTTGCTTTGCCAAATTAAGATGAATTGACTCCTCGTGTTGAGGATTTGTTTACTTGATTGAAGGCCTTACCAAAAGAAGAAGACTGTTTGGGAGCCCCCACATCTTGGCTGCAATAGTCATGTAGATCAGGCTCGGCACAAAGATCCATGCGCGATCTTTTCAGGGGTTGAACTTTAGTTAATTGGACGGTTAGCTGGAAGTTCCCTTGTAGTCTAATTGTTTTCATCCATATTCCAAGACCAACAATATTAGCTAGGTATCGCAAACCGTATCAGACGTCATTTCGGCTCCATGGATTGCCAACATCGCGTAACAACGCGCTCTGTATAGCGCAGGTAGATCCAACACGCCGATCAAAGGCTCATTAAATGAAGGTCCACTCGATAAATAAGAGCCTCAGGGTTCAGCCTGGAGAAGATACTTTTCACTCTCGCATCCATCGCCCTACATGATCCTACCCGAACAAGTCCCACCAAAGTAAGAAGACACCTGCGAGAAATCAAACACTCATACTAACCGGCCGCCTAGCTAAATAAAAATGCATCTCATCTGGGCCCCAATCCTTCTAGCCATGGCATCCCGCGCCATTGGCTTGACGATCAAGATCGAAAATACCGACCAAGATACTCCAAACCAAACCCACGTCCTCGCCTCATGTCGAGAAATCAAGAATGCCAAAGATTTGATCACGCCCTCGCCTATTGCGAATCAAACCAGACTGTGCTCGGAAGCCGATGGTAAGACTACGTGCGATGTATGTGTTTTACCTGATGAGAAGAAGAATTTGGATTATTATAACTTTGCTTGTGCGGAGAATGAGGGATATTCGGATACTTTGGAGAAGTATTCGGAGGAGAGGGCAAAAGCTGTCGCCGCAAAGAGGTGTGATGGGGATGGGGATGAGGGTGATGATTCTGATAGCGATTCCGAAGAGGAGTATGAGTCTGATGGTGAGTCTGACTCGGACTCGGACTCGGATGATGAGGAGTGAATGGAAAGGCAAGACTGCTCTTCGTTCTTTTTTTTCAATTAATTTCAGGGGCAACTTCAGACATAGTGGGCCAAGCTTTGCAAAGTCTGAGCGTGAAATAGGCTTCCAGAGTAGCAGTCGGAGACTTATAGCTTGTTTTTAGTATCTTTGAAAGAATGTGACAGCTCTCAGGTCATATGGACCAATGGAATAGAAATGAAATAGGTCAGCACGGGGTGAGATTAGATTTTATGACGCGGTGAGGGGCTGCGTATAATCAAGCTGGAAGGGGCTATTCGGAGGTTAATATATGGGCCAAGGTACCTATACTAGGCTTTATTATATCTGCACCTATATATCCCTCGCTATGAACCTCTATACTGACAATTCCATACCCTCCAGAGCATTCTCCAGGGGGAAAGCGGACCTATAGAACGATTAAGATGACCGGGGTGTGTTATGGGGAATATGCCGTATCAAACGGCCGAAAAGAACATCACATTCCCAAGCAAGGTTCTAGCTGTATGTCATTGCGGACACATGAAAGTAATAGTCCCCGGATGCAGTGATTTACCACGCATTTTTACATTCGCCAGTTCCCACGAGCCCGCGACAAGAGATACGTGGACCAGGCCAGTAAACACGCCCCAAGCAGTGCAGCTACCGCAGCAAAAATTTGGAGTCCAGAGAAGTCGGTTCCGCCTTGTCGGGTCAAGATGCTACCCATGATTGGCAGGCCGGTAAGGCAACTAAACAAAGCTTAGCAAAAGCATGAAAGGATACTACTACCTCACAGAACGCCTACCTGACGGAAATAACCGTTTGGAAAGTTCCAAAGCGCTGGCCTAATGTTTCTAGACTTCCAGATTTGGCGACGCATGGCATGAGTAAAGATACGACGGCCCCGCTCACAAAGCCGTAGACTAAGGAGAACACGATGATACCCGCATGAGATGGGTGGAAGTTGAATGGCAGCCACAGGCACAACATCGAAATGCCCGTCAGCAGAGCACACATTGTGAGCACGTTGAAATGGCCGAGGTGATCTGCCAGATACGGTGGGAGAATCCGGCCAAACACCGAGGTTGCGCTAGATTTGAGAATTGCGAGTCAGTGACATGATATCCAGCCGGGATTCCTGAAACCGAAAGGAGTGAATTCGTCAACCGTACTTTATTATTGAAAGCAAGTAAATAGCCAGCGTAGGGGAGAATCCTTTACTCTGCGCCATATCGGAGATATAATCGAAAGGGCCCCAGAGTCCCCACCTGTGCCCGTTGTTAGTGAGTTTCCTCTTGCAGATGGGGGACACGACTGACATGACTAAATAAGCGCCTAGGATATACAGCACGAACTGCTTGTCTTTGAACAGTGTCAGGTCGAACCACGGCGCCTTCCTGTTCCATGCTTTTTTCGGTAATCTCGATCGGACCATCAGGCAGGACACCGCCATGAGAACCCCAACCAGCAAAGCTGTGTATCGAACCGCGCCGTAGAAGCCCACGTCCTCAATGACACGGTTCAGGAAGATGGGGAAGATCACGCCGCCAAAACTAGAACCACAACTCGCTATACCAATAGCCAGCCCGCGTCTCTTGACGAACCATTGGCCTACACAGACCATGGCTGTGGTGAATACCCCGCCTGCACCTATGCCGAATCCTAGGCCCTGCGCCAGAAATATCTGATAGTACTTGTCTGCGAGACTCGTCATACACAGAGAAAAGACGCATAGGAAACTGCACGGGTACAGTACCGGGGCTGGACCGTACGTGTCTAGGACTCGTCCATAGAGCGGACCGAGTGCCCACATCAGACATAGTTGAACGGCGAAGATCCAGGCGATGTCCGACGAGCTGTAATCTTTTAGAGTGGTCTCTTGGTAGAAGGTTTGAAAGACGCCAATTCTGTACAGTCACATTTGTTTCAGTCGGGGTCAAAAAATATGGGTTGCCTCAGGCAATGACCGCTTTGGATAGATTGCTCACGCGTTCAAAAACCCGAATGTGCTGAAGAGTGAGAGAAAAGCACCTCCCACACACAACCATCCTTGAAGGCCTCCTTCGGGCGGGAGATCTGGCTCATTTGGTCCGACTTCCTTGTCGCTCGGCATAGTGAACTCGCCCAAAACGGTGTTTAGACGGTAAAATGGGGGATCTACTCCAGCTTTTCCCCTCGGAATTCCCCCCTGACTATATACCGACTTGCAAAATGCCAAAACGGCTGGCGACCACTGTTCAAAATCATGATCAACTCCACTATCTCTCTCGATCCCCTTCATTAACAAGCCCCATCGGCGGCCGCCGAGCTCCACTTGTCGGCGCCGCCTTTCCCGTTTCGTCTTTCGGCTCTTCCCGATTTGTAATGGCATTCTATTGCACTTCGGCCCATCCATTGCGATTCAAGGGCAATCATGGCATCGACCGGGAGTGTACGCTTTGTCTGCGTCAGCTGCAAGCTGCGCAAAAAGAAGTGCGACAGGGCCCAGCCGAGCTGTGGCTACTGCGTTCAGTGCGTTTCAAGTTCACCTACCATCTAGCACAGGACTAATGAAAGCAGGAAAAAGCTAGAGTGCCAGTATGCATCCCCGGATATCAAGCACTTCTCAATTCAGCCAAAAGTATTGGCCTTTCCTTGTCCCATTATCCGCTCATCCCTGCTTCTCTCCACCACATTGTCGGACGTGCTTCTGTCAGCGCCGACAACTTTTGAGTCCACTTTATATTTTCAGATCCTTCGAATCATTCGAACAACGGGTCTAGACGTGGAGGATATTAGTGCACGCTATTTCCGTGGGATCCACTCCTTCATTCCTGTCCTCTCGCGTCCTCGCTTCCATGGGCAGCTTGCCCAAGAAGATGTACCCCCGGCGGCGTTCTCGGTTTTGTTACTGTGCATGTGCTTGATTGCTTACCATCCGGACTTCTCCCGGCAGCCTCAGCCAATTGATCAGGATACGCTGTATTTGACGGCAAAATCGATTGTCACGCAAGTGCAGACATCCTTCCCGCCATCTCTACCTCTCGTTCAGGCGGGAGTGATCATCGCCGCGTATGAGTATGCCAATGGAAAGATCCACAATGCGATTTCGTCAATCGGGAACTGTGCAAGAATGGGGTATACTATCGGTCTGCACCTCGCACGTCCAGTGAAAGCTGCCGATCCGGTTCCACCCTTGCAGACAGAAGAGTCGAACACGTGGTGGGGAATCATCATCTGCGAAAGGTAAAGTCAACAGACATCAATGCATGAAGCAAGACTGACAATAAAAACAGAACCTTTTTTTGCGAGCTTGACGATTTCAGTCCACCATTCGTTTCGAGAATCACAAATGAACCCCCGCCAGAACCAGTCACCATGAGTCAAAGCCCACCTCTACCTCAGATCCACCCGCCCTTGCCCATGAACAGAATACCCATATCCACAGGAAACCCATCTTTAGAAGAATCTGTTGGCTTCTCCTGCATCACGCAAGCGGCATACCTCCTCGACCAAGTCTTCCAAGCACTCGAAGTCCCAGACCTCGACTCGAGGCTGATTCGGCTCGATGGACTAGATCATACCTTGCGCACATTCTTTTCTGTGGTCATGGACCGAGCGGAAGGGAAGTGGGGGTTCTTCTGTACAGCGAACGTGATGGCCATTCGGTTCGTTCGATTTCTCTTCCCCTGTACCAGATGAGATGCTGACAGGAAATACAGAGCCCTTTACATAATCCACCTGCACGTACTTGCAATGTTGCCCAAAATGGGATCGTGCAAATATAAAACTCCGGGCATATGGAAGATGACTTCCAGCGCTGCTCTGGATTCCCTTACCAAGATGGAAGCCCAGACGGCAGCCTCACAGAGCAATCTCCCGTTGGAATTGATCGATGCACTGCCTCCTAGTTGCATATTTATAATACGTGTAGCACGAAAACACATCGGAGATTCCTGCGATGAGACAAAATCTTGGCGTCAAAATGACCCGGACAGAATGAAAGCATGCGGTATAATCGACGACGACGAAACGAAGAAAGGCGGTACTTGGAGTGTTCATGACGAGGAAATGAGGCATACATTAGCAAAATTTGAAGCTCGGTGGAATCATAGATGACGAGCAGACGAGAAAGAAACGCTAGAGAAAATATTCACATTTGTCTTGAACGCCTATGAAATTATGGAAGACATACTAACATGGTGCTTGCGTTCCGCCATGCTTTTCTTTTCCCAATATGATAGCCCCTGCCCCGTATTTCTCCGTTATCCGGTCCCAATAAACCCGCATGGAGGTAAGACTTATTCTTCTGCGTGAACATACCCGCTAAATGAAACCAAGTGCCCCGACCGGCGTGGATGCAGGGGTTATATAAGTCTGCCTGATAAACTGCGGGGTACCTTAACCTCGACAGGTGATGCAGAGCCCCCGAGGCACCAACCACTCTCCCACGAGTCACTGTTTATCCAGCCCTATAACGTGATGGGAAATCATTCAGCAAATTAATATACACAGCATCTACGATGGTGACCAACCCAAAGCACAAGGCCGAATTGAGCGTGGAAGCCTTGGCCGACCTCCAGATTCCCAAAGATCTTTGTATTTCTCCCGATGGTAACCAAGCCGTCTACGTACTACAATCATTCAGCAAGAACGGCGAAAATGCCACCTCGTCAATTTGGATAGCCAAGGTTGGCGAAGAAAAAAGCGCCCGTCAGTTCACCTCCGGCCTGTCCAACGATCAACAGCCACAGTGGTCACCAGATGGGACTTCTCTCGCGTTCAAGTCCGACCGGGATCATCCGGGCAAAAGCTCGACTCTATATGTGATGCATGTGGATGGAGGTGAAGCCTATCCTGTGACGCCTGTTGAAAACGACGAACCCATTGCCGCTTTTGAATGGAGTCCCAGCGGTGCGTATATTGCATATACCAGCGCAGACGAGAAGACAGACGAACAGGCCCGCAAAGAGAAGGAGAAAGATGATGCCAAAGTCTGGGGAGAGAACTTGAAATACTGTCGCCTGAGGATTGTCCACGCAGCGACAAGACAAGTCTCAACCATTGTGTCGGGTGACAGGCATGTGCATGACTTCTCTTGGGGACCTGACTCGAAGCAAATCGTCTATGTCGAGCACAAAGAGCCGGATGTTAACGCTGCTGTGATCCATGGTACGAAAATTTGCACTGCATCCCTTGTCGAAGCAAAGTCGAACACTGTCACTGAGTACCCCGGGGCAATTCGGCAGATTGCATGGGGGAATTACGGCGTCTACTTCAATGCAGGCCTCGAGCCGAGATCCATCACAACTTCCCTGTCCCTACATCAGCTAGATATTGAAAAGGGCTCGTATACTGAACACGAATCTGAAGAGAGCTGTTGCGTGGGCATTCGAAAGAATCAGTCCTCCCTAGCTTGTCATGTTCAACATGACCTTCATGATGAACTCTTCTCAATACAGGATGGCAACTGTACTCTGGTACATCGTGGAGAGCATGCGCTAGCCTCATTCGCCATCCTTACAACTGCAGAGAAGACCGTCATTGCGATCACCAAAGGCGACGGGTCGAACCCGGAGGAAGTCTTCTCTATCTCCGAGTCAGAAGGTACAGTACAGCTGTCAGATCACAATTCCAGCATAGCCGCTCTCAAAATATCCAAGGCTTGCTCGGTCTCGGCGACCGCATCAGACGGCTACTCCCTCGACGGTATGATCTACATGCCTTCCAAGTACAAGGCGGAGGATGGTCCTCTTCCCACCATTCTCATGCCGCACGGAGGACCATACTGGCGCATAAACACTGCTTTTACTGTCTGCCACTTCCTCGAGGCGCCACTACTCGTCTCAGCCGGATACGCAGTTCTTTGTCCGAATTACCGTGGCGGGAGTGGTCGGGGTGAAAAACACGCCGCGTACGCCCGTGGACAGATTGGAACAGTCGACTACACAGATTGTATCGATATCCTCCGAAGCTGCATTGAAGATGGCCTCGTGGACCCCTCGCGAGTGGCGATAGGTGGCTGGTCACAAGGCGGGTTCTTGTCATACTTCGCCGTCACCCGCAATGATTTCCTGTTCCGGGGAGCTGTTTGTGGCGCAGGCGTGGTGGACTGGGACGCTATGGCGATGACTAGCGATGCATACTGGTTTGAGGGTGAATTGGCCGGCGGGATGCCATGGGATGTAGATGTCAATGCAGAACTTGAGGTAGACGACGCGGATCAGGCATCGAAGAGATGGATACGAAACACGAATGGTCGACAGGGAAGCGCATTGTGGAGGATGCGTAATGTGAAGACGCCCATCTTGATTCTTCATGGCGAGGACGACGTGCGTGTGCCCTTGACCCAGGGTGTTGCTTTTTACCGGGCTTGTATTCATAACAACGTGCCTGTCGAAATGGTGACTTATCCCCGTGAAGGACATATGATTTCTGAGAGGAAGCATCTGATAGATATGTGGAAGCGGATGAGGCAGTTTTATGATATGCACTTGCAGTGAGCTGGAATAATTACAATATGAAATCTAAGCTTTCACATCTTGTTATGTTTTTATAATCACTATCTCCTGGAAGCTAGGCAGACCTTACTGTATCTCCATGGCCTTCGAATTGGCACAAACCTATCATCAAGAACCATGAATCTAGCATTTGCGAACGCAGAGAGCCCAGGAGTACGGCCGGAATCTGAGGGAGGGGTTTGATCAATGGAAAATAGTATTGAAAGGCTAGCCAGCATTGAAACATCTCAAAGTCTACTATAGAAAAAAAAGTTGGTCTGAACAGCCTGGAAATGTATTTTGTTCTCAGCAACAACTAAGAAATTCATCAAAACATTAAAAACTCCGTTACAAAGCACTCCTATCGAGTCAGATGATTTAGATATCGTCCTCGTCGGAGAAGACCTCCTCACCACGCTTGCGGCGGGCAGCACGCTCCTTCTTCTTCTTGCGAAGCTCAGATCCTGTAATAACATGTTAGCGGTGTTCATTGCGAGTAATGAAAGTGGGAAAAACATACCAGTAAGCTTCTTCTTCTTCTCGACAACGATCTTGTTACCCATGGCGTCGAACTTGTCCTCCTCGTCGTCACCCTTGGCATCAAGACGGGGACCGGAGCCCTGACCCTGGACCCAGTTGTGGCCGGAGGGGGTCATGAGACCGTGGTTGACGGCCCAGACTTCCTCAGTCAGGTCCTCAGTGAACTCACGGGAGTGAGTAATGATGATAACACCACCCTCGAAGGACTTGATGGCCTTGGAGAGAGCACCAAGGGAGTCACGGTCGAGGTAGTTAGTGGGCTCGTCAAGAACGATGACGTGGGGACGCTGCCACGAGCAAGCGGCGAGAACAACCTTAACACGCTGGCCACCGGAGAGACCACGCATGCGGGAGTGAGAAACCAGCTCGTTATCGAGACCGAAGTTGGCGCAGTGCTGCTCGATCTCCTTGCGGACAAGGGGACGGAACTGACCGGAGGCAAGGGCCTCCTTCTGGTCGACCTCGGCGACCTGCTTCTGGTGGGAAGCGATAATCTCGGAACGGGGCAACCAGGTGTTCTCGTTGGACATCATGGGAATCCACTTCTCGGACTTCATGCCGATGTTGTCACCCAGAGACCAGGAGATCTCGTACTCGTAGGTGTTCTTGAACTTGCGGCGAGAGTGGATGCCAATGACACGACGGAAGGTGTCGTTGACCTTGTAGATCTTGTCCATGGCCTTCTCGTCCTCCTCGGTGACGATCTTGTTGGCGCGGTCCATGGTCTCACGGTCCTCACCGGTCTGGAAACGCCACTGGATGTACTCGGAGGGAGTAGAGTTCAAGTGGTTATCAATGTGGGCGAAAGCGTGCTGCTTGATGTAGGCGATACGGATGTTCTCGTGCTGGTAGACATCACCGGCGGTGGGGATAAGCTCACCAGTCAGGACATTAACGAGAGTGGACTTTCCGGCACCGTTGGGACCGATGACGGCAATACGGGAGCCAAGAGAGACCTGGAAAGTGATGTCCTTGATCTGGGGCTTGGGAGTGCCTTCATACTGGAAAGACATGTTGTTGACACGGATGATGGCCTTGGACTTGGTCTTGACACCCTCGAGGAAACCGGGCTCGGGGAACTTGAACTCCATCTCGGAGGCACCGAGCTCGTAGTAGGAGCGAGCGGAGGGGACACGCTTGACGAAGTCGGAGAGGGTACCACGGTAACGCTTGAGCTTGAAACGCTCGTAGTGGACAACGTGTTGGATAACGTGGTCAAGGAAGCGAGAGTCGTGGGAGACCATGATGGAAGTGCAAGGGGAGGACTTGAGGTAGTTCTCGAGCCACTCAACGTTCTTGACGTCCAAGTGGTTGGTGGGCTCGTCGAGCAGGAGAATATCGGGGCTCTCGAAGACAGCACGGCACAGAGCGAGCTTCATCTTCCAACCACCAGACAGGGCACCAATGGAGCCATCGAGCTGAGACTCCTGGAAGCCGAACTCGTTGACAAGCTTGTCACGGACCTCAGCCTCAACGGGGTTGAGACCGACCTCCTGGAGCTTCTTGACGGTCCAGCCGCAGACAGTCAGCTCGGTATCGGCAGCGTCAAGGTCGTGCTCGACGTAGACGGTCTTGACCTCATCCTTCTTGGGGAAGCCCTCAAGCTGCTCGTTGTTGATAGCGCGCATGAGGGTGGTCTTACCGGAACCGTTGGGACCGAGAAGACCGTAACGCTGACCACGCTTCAGGCGAAGGTGAGTCTGGTTGAGCAGAATCTTGGCACCGTAGGCCAGAGAGAAGGTACAGTTGCAAAGGTCAACACCGTCCTCCTCATCGGAGGGAACCTCATCAGCGGCAGCAGCCTCGGGGGAAGCCTTCTTGCGGAGAGTCTCGGCAATGTTCTTGGCCTCGGCCTCACCGGCAACGGCGATGATGAAGGGAGTGCAGTTCTGGATCCAGGTGGTGTTGTCGGAGTCCTTCTCGTCGACGAGCTGACCGGCGATGGCACCGACGTAGTTGATGACAGCCTCGGACTTCTCCATGACGTCCTTGGAAACCTTCTTCTCGGCAAGGATCTCCTTGAAAATGGTGGACACGGTAGAGATGTCACCAGCGGTGGAGACCTCGGGGATCTTGCCATCGACGATGTTACCGACACGGGACAGGGTCTCGAGAGCCTGCTTGGTCTTCTCACGGGCCTCGGGGTCGGCGAGAGTCTCGTTGTTCTTGTTCAAGGCGGGCAACATCTTGGGCAAGAAGGGAGCAACAATGTTGGGGTCCTCCACGAGCTTACACATGTTGTCGACAATGACGGCAGACTTACGCTTGATGGCAGTCTCACGCTCGACAAGACCACGGTCAAGAAGGGGAACCATGATAGCGAGGGTAGGGCCAGTCACGTCAGTAACGAAAGTGGTGGCACCGAGCAAGTGAACAGTCTCGGGGACGTTCTCGGGCTTGGCGATACACTTGATGAGCTCGGGAATGAAGCGCTCAATATCCTTGTTGACAATGAGACCGCAGACCTTCTCCATGGTGGCGTAGGCGGCCTTCTTGATCTCGGACTTGGTGTCCCACATGGCCTCGGAGATGACGGGAATGAGGGCAGGCACCTGGTAGGAGAGCTGAGCGGGGGCAGTCTCGATGAGAGCCTCCAGACAGGTCAGGGCAGCCATCTTCTCCTGCCACTTCTGGGCAGTCTGGAGGGACTCCAGAATGGGGGGGGACAACAGCCTTGACGGCGTTGCCAGAGACAGCCTGAACGATGGCAGCGGCGGTGCTCTGGGCGGCCTCCTTGACGGGGACCATCTTGTCACCGACCGCGTTGAGGACGGGCAGAAGGAGGGACACAAGGTGGGGCTCAACACCAGGAGCGATGGTCCGGTGGGAGGCGATGGCGCGGATGCCCTCGAGGGCACGCTCGCGGGCAACGGCATCCTTCTTGTTGCCGAGCTGCTTCTTGAAGGTCTCGACGGCCTTCAGGGGAAGAGTCTGCTCGGGGATGGGACCGCTGAAGAGAGTGGCGAGGTTGCTGGCGGCAGCGTTGACCTCATCAGCCGAGGTGGAGATGTTGAGGTTCTTGATGAGATCCTCAAGGATGGCGACCGACTGGGCGGTCTCCTTGCCGGTGGCGGCGGGGGAAGAAGCGACGGCGGCGGGCATTTTGTCGAACTTTTGGGGTGGAAAACAAAGATTAGAAAAAGAGATTTTTTTCTATGGGTATCACTGGTATGAGCGTTGCCCAAAAACTGCGTCGGCTGTCCAAGGACGCAGCGCTCGTGTGTATGAGCTGGTCTATTTCTGTCTATGCAGAAACAGAAAAACAGAAAAGAAAGAGAGGACCAGACCTCAAAAAGACAAAAGATGGGGAGGAGAGGATGAGAGGAGGAGGGGAGAAGGGGGGGCAGATATTTATCGGCTGTGTGGCCCCTCGCCGCCCAAAACCCTGGGTTCAAAATTTTTTTTTCATGAGCGGCGGGCGTCCCGCACTAGACCCGGATTTGGTTTAGAGGAGGACCGTACTAGGCCCCGATTGGACATGCGTATGTGTTCTCCCGAATCCCTCGATGCTTATTGGAGTCTAGTCTGTTGCTGGGAAAAGAAATTGTCTTTGGTGGGCGGTTTCCGTGGCATTCACTGAAGATGTCATGTCATCTTCACTATGCCTGTCTTCACTCCAGCTTAGCTCCCTAAGGCTGTCGTAGGCTATCCTAGGCTGTCATAGGGACCGATCGACCTGTATCTGCTTGTACCTGTATCTGCCTCGTTACTTTTTCTTTTCCCTCTTTTGTCTAAATGACGGCGACCACCTACCTACTATACCCACTTCGGCATTACCCCTCCGAGCAAAGAGCTTAGTCCATAAAGTATAGACTATGGACCGTATTTCGAATCAAACCCGAGCATGAAACCAGCCTAGCACATACCTATAGGGCGAAGGTGCCAGTATTTTCTCCCAGGTCGCCACTCTCATGATCGGGTGGCGCAGTCCTATCCCGGCCGTTGAACATCCAATCATGCACCCCACAGGGTTTCGAGAAGCCCAGCACCCGAATACAGTATTTTTAGAGTTGAACCAGCATAGTCTACACCCGTTTTTGTCCGTCTCAAGACTAACCTATTGACAGCTCAGGACATGCCTGGCTCAGCCGTATACCCGATGCTTCTCTGTCATACTTTGCCTTTGCCTTTGCCCTTGTACTCGTACCTTGATGTACTCCAGCTGCGGGCTGACGAGCCAGCCCAGAAATGAGAAATGAGTAATGAGAAATGAGTAATCGGAAAATAAGATAGAGATTCTCGATCAAATCTTAAAAAGATAATAATAAAATAATAAAATCTACAAAAAGAAATGAACAGTCAGCCCGGGATCTGCAGGCCTCCATCGGCACGGGGCAATCAATCCGAATCAGAAATTTAATTTTTCAGGGGTACATAGATAACTTCAATACATGACGGAACCGAGCAAAATCAAAGACTCGGTATCTAGGGATATAGCCCAGTCGAGTCAAGTGAAACACCGAAAATGCTCGGGGTATGTTTGATACCGCGCAACACCGCTCTTTTCCAAGCCCCTCAAGCCCCTCACCGCTCCCCCCCTTTCTTATCGCTTATCGCGCGACTGCATTCAAACTTTTCTCTGCATGGAACTATGTAACTGGGTATTCTTAGAACAGTTGGAAAAAAGCCAGTCAAAAAAAACCAAAAAAAACCTTTGCCTCACCCCTGCAGGTCATCCTTATCCCTTATCCCTTATCCCCCGCGAAAGCACCCGGGTGGCAAAAAAAAGGAAGAAAAAAAAGCAAGTGAACTCGGGCCAACCGGCCAGTGGGTCTGGAACTTTAAGGCATCGGCCCTTACTGTTTCGGTGTGATATACCCAGAAACGGAACCGCCTTTCTAGCATTTCTCCCCGTCCTGAACCTGGTACGGGGAGAAAAGTAAAAAAAAAGAAAAAAAAGTCCTTTATTGTTCCATCGGGCTGTCCGTAGGCTACCCTAGACATTATGATTCGTATTGAGTATCCGACACACCCGAATTTTCACCTTGACTTTCGCCGTATCGAGGCGGAGGGTTACTGCTTTGTGGCGTGTTGCCACTGAACTCAGGGGAGAGGTCATTACGTCGACTCGAAGTCATTTCAGAATCGAGGAGGGTTTGATCGTGCGAGCTATGTGTCTTAGTATAGAACTACGGGGAGTAGAGAGGGTGGATCCGCATGGCATCTGCCCCCGTTGTCTATTCTATGGGGCTGCAGGGCTGGGCTGGGTTCGTCCCCTTTGTTGCGAATCCGATCCTGGGGAAAAAGAACCTCCTTGCCGAAGCTGAGTCTCCACCCCTTTGTTTGATTTCGAATCTGGGGTAGGATCCAGTTCTCGCGTGGGTATAGCCTTAGTCTTGATAGATGACGGCCTCGTATGGTGGTACCTCAGCTGTTTATTGCGCCCCCTTATTATTATTATTATTATATTTTGGACTTTGGACACTGCCCCTGTCCATCGACTGATTAATTTTTATTGCCTGGTGGCTGCCCCTGTCAGCCATCAACTTTGTCGAAGCGCTGCCCCTTTCTCTTTCCTGCTAGACGCTCAGACCTGCGCTCTGATACATTGTTCACGGGGGCACTGGACAGCCCGACCTATCATCTCTAGATCCTAGAAATAACGAAGGGAAAAGGGGTTCTAGGTACTTCCTTGTCTTCGGTGTACTCTGGGAAGACCCCCAACGCCAGTTCCGAGCAGAAAGCACAGGAGTAATCATGCACATGTGAGTCAGGACTAAGATCATCCGCCCTTGAACTAACAGACCAGGCCTGTATCTCTTACATGCCACTCTTAAGTCTCATACTTAACAAGGAAAGAAGAAAGAAGAAAGAAGAAAGAGGAAAAGTGAAAAGTGAAAAGTGAAAAGTGTAGACAATTAGTATGTCAGCCGGGCCGGATCTATAACGACAAACAACAAAAAGCAAGTCAACCAAATCCGCCCAGACCCGGCGCCCAGAAATCTATGTCCAGATCGATAGAACAGGGAAATCAAACAAATAGGGGCTGGTATATACACAAGACCTCCGCCGCGCCCGGAGATCGACGACCGGTGGCAAGCTATCGAGTGTCTCAGTCTCAGCTCCCGGGCCATCGTTCAGGTGGAGGATGGATCGGATTCATTCTGGGTAGCAGATATCCGAAGTAACAATATACCGGAATTAGCGGCCAAGAGATCCGATCACAGAGATTGTCTATACAAGGAAAACGCTCAAACTCCATTCCCAGATGCACAACTCCAGTGCGTACAAAATTCAATAACGTGATTAGTGGGCTCTGTCTTTCTCTCATGGCTTCTTCTTGACGTGGCGGCTCCCTGATTCGGAAGGAAGCTCGTCGCCGTCGATGATGCGCCAGAGACGACGAGGGGAGAAATTGTTTCCGACTAAGTAAATGCCGACGAACCAAGCCGAGAGGAGGTTGGCTAGGTGGTGGAGGAGGTAGGCGTATGTCACGCCGTAAATGGCGGAGTATATGGCGATGGCGAAAAAGATTATGGAGGTGACGTGTTTGAACCTGTTGATGTTAGCATGGAACAGAGAGGGAAACAAGTGGACCGAGAACGTACGGGTTCGTGATCCGCGGGATCATCGCACCGCTAGTCATCGTCTCGACGAGGAGGAGGAACGGCATGACAGACAGTACGTTGTGGTGAGAGGAGAAGGGCATGAACCAGTGCACCACGAGGTTGTGTGCCCAGACCAGAAGCACCAGCACATTTATGGGCAAGATCCACAACATCAGAATGAGGATAGAATGCGCATAGTTGTTGAAATTGATGTGCTGGGCGGACCTGGTCTCCTTCGCATGCCACTGCGACCGCACAGTCGTGGCCAGCTGCACGATACACGCAACCATGTAGGCAAACTGGTACGGAATGATTGTCGAGACAAGAATAAGCAGGACTACCGTGTGAATCACGCGTCGCCGAGGGGTAGGTGAGCTGAAGATCGGGAGGTTTCCTCGGTCTTCGCGTCGAATATAACCCGACTTGCTGTTCACGGCTCCGTAAATAAGGGAAAAGATGTTGACGAGAATAAGGGCGGCATAATTAACCAAGACGCAAACGCCAACGCTGATAAGTCCAAAGATTGGAATAAGGAACCAGAAAAATGCATCTTGCGATCCCAGAAGAAGGTCGTTCTTTGTAAAATCAAGAGGAGTTTCAGTCGAATTAGTTCGCCAATGGAAGGGGTCATCGGACTGAGGAAGGGCTTTGGAGGTAGCGAGAGAAGATGCTAACAACGACATGGCCACCAACAACAATGGGAGGGAGGAGCGCAAGGCGCGGTCGAGACCATCGGTGAAGGGGATGAACGAACCAGTCGCGTCGTAGATCTGGAACTGCTTGCGGAGCACAAGAGCCACAACCAGCAGCGGGAAGGCCGCAAAGACAGTGCGGTATCTCATCACCAGCTCGCCCAGACTGCTAGCAACATCAATCTGCAGCGAGATGTCGACCGTCGAGCCAGAGCTAGGATCAGTCCATAGCTGGAACGACACACCGCCCTTAGCGGCCTGCTCACGCATCGGCGTTGGCATATATGGTGCAATTCCGTGTAGGTTGACATTGACCTCGTCGACATTCACAAAGAACTTTGACTCATGAGGGTCAGGGATGGACTGTCGAAGCAGCGGAGCGAAAAGCTCCTCCTTTTGCGGGTGCCGAATGATCTTGAGTCGGTAGTCAAGAAGACTGGAGTGCAATGCTGGGACCTGCACTTCAGTGAGCATGGGCCTGTTGGCAGGAAGTCTCATCTTGAGACCTGCACCCAGCAAACTGCCCAGGCCAACCTTGGCCCGAATCATCGAGTCTGAGCTGTCCGAGAACTCCGCGACCAAGAAGCCCGGTGTGGGCACATTGGCCTTGTCCACAACAGCTACAAATTGGTGCTCTGCAAGACCCTCCAGATCATACTGAAGGTAGGAGAATGGCGGCACACGCTCCCATGCATTCTTCGATGACGGGCTTGAAGCAGGAAGATGAATGACATCGTCCGCCGCACTTTTACAAGCCAAGCGAGTCGAACCCACGGTACCTCCAGAGAAATCCAAGTTCATGGAGAAGATGGCGGATCGGCCGTTATTCAACGGGAACACGCTGCAGAACAACACTTCGATATTTCCCTGTTTATCCAGAGTCTGGTCTGTTATGAGCGTGAACTTCTTGCCCGATACACCCTGAGGCGGAATCGGCAATAGCCGCACATCCGGACCATGCTGCAAGCCCAGTTCACGGAGGATAAGCCGCTGGCCCTGAGCCAGAATTGTGTTGGCGTTGTCTTCAAGAGTCAACAGAGTGTTTGGCTCTTTCTGCGCCAGCGTCCTTTCAGCGACTGCCTCCAATCCAGTCAAGTACCACCGCTTGAGTGATCGCATACGCTCTGCTCTCGGTTTCGTCTGGGTTGGACGCCGGGCGTCAATAATATCGAACAGGGACTTGATAATCGCTTTCCGGAATTGATCACACCAGGTGATCGAGAGATGATCCATGCCGATCCACACACCGGGAATAGATGATGTGAACACGGTGAATCCATGCGTCTCGGGCACGAGCGATGTGATACTGGTGTAATCGGACGGAACCACAGTGTCGCGCGCACCGCCGGCGATTGAGATCAACGTCACATGCCACAATGGGTTGTTGTTGGCCCACGTTTGTGAGTAGGCCTCACGCCAGTAGTCGTTGATTTGCTTGTACGTGTGAACGATATCGGAGTCGAAGGACACGGGTGGTTTCGCGTGCGGGGCAGACATGGTGATGATCGTGTTGACCGAGTTGGCCTGGTAGTTGGCCATGGTCAGGGCAGTGCGGGCCACAATTCCACCCATGGAGTGGCCGATTAGGATCACCGCACTGGGATCCGGTAAACCAGGATCTCGGCGAGTTCGTCGCGGGTCGTGATAGAGGGAGAGGATGTAGGAGATGGCTTCGTTCACGTATTCAGCTTGATCCAACAACGTCTGCCCATGGAACGCGGCCATGTCCTCATTGAAATCCACCATGAAAAAGTCCAAGCTGCGCGTTCCAGCCGCATGGCGTTCATCGTCGTGTCGAACAACATCGTAATAATGCCGGGAGGCCTCCGCGGCCAGTGATCGGACTTGTCGGTAACTACCAGCGTTGCCAGGAAGGAAAAGCACCGGTACACCATTCAACTAATCACAGTCAGCCAATGCATCGCTATCTTCTCACCGGTGATATCCTACCCCGATATTATCCTGTGTGTACGGATCCACGCCCTCCTCTCGATAAACGAAGAGATTGTACTTGCTCGCGAAGCGCGTATGCTCCGTGTCGAATTCCAGCATCCGGATAAAAGTCGGACTCATCATCGGCACGCCGCATCCATCTCCGCCAACCTGTCTCGTAGCAAAAGAGCGCATGGTCGATAATAAAAACGCGACGGCAGCCAATGTGGTGAACGCCGTGAGGATAGAAATTGACCAAGTACTGCGCAGACGGGACTGGCGCGCGGGACGGCCATCGGGCGAGGGAGCTTCCAGGGGAAGCCGGGGCGAGCCCAATGGCATGGTTTTGGTATCGTTGGACGGTTGAGACGACGGGGTGCGCCAGAGGCTGGAATTCCGCGAGCGCGGATTCGAGGAACCTTTATCGCGGCGAAGATCGAAACTGGTCCCGTGCCTAGCTATTTGCGACCGCGATTTATCGTTCGGCTCGATGGCTTGGCCATGGTCGTCTGGAGATCGGGTTGGGGAATCTTCAGTGTCGTCCTCGACAGGGGAGCCCGATGAGCGTCTGTGCATTGGAGGAGGCGGAGTCGGGACTCATCCAGCACACAAGGATCTTGGCACAGGGCCACGCAGGACCCAATAGGCGAGAGCAGGAGGGGGAGAAGGGGAGGGTGGAAGGGGGGAATTCGACAGGAATGCGGAAGGTCAAAAGGTTCAAGGTTCCCAAGGAGAGTGGTTTCTCTTCGGGGTTTGGCCCGAGACTTGGCAAGAAAAAAAAAAGGTCCCTGAGTCCCTGAACTTTTGTGGAGAAACAGGGATCACCTTGGGTACCTGGAGAGTCTAAGAGAGAACATTTAGAATGCGACTTAGGGGAATTAGGACTTTTTGGATCTTGAGCATTTGGACTTCTAGACGGAATTGGTATTCTCGGCCTTGGCAGTCGGCGGGTGTCACCCCAAGTCACTGCCACCCGCTCGAGACCGTAGACTACCTTATCGAGAACTAGAGTGAGACAGCCCTAAGGTGCGCTAAGCAAGTCGCTAAGTGGACGGGTCTTGATTGCCGGTATCCATCTTGGTTCTAGTTGATTTATTTCTTGTTTGTCGCCATGGCCATCATTCCCGCAGGCAACCATATAAAACCCAACGTACCTGCAGGACGCGTATGAGAGGTGGTATTACCAAATCCAGGCATAGAATTAGCCATGTTTGTAAACGCTAGGGTCGTGGCGCAGCTTAGGCTAGCTTTCGATTACAGCACGTTCAGGGCGAATGGCGTGACCGGCTTATACCAGTATAGTTCTTGGCGTACCTGGTACTGGAGAGGCACTTGTATACTATGGTGCTCAGGCATAATCCCGGCAGATAACCTACACAGGTAGCTTATCCTTCATTAGCCTGATTTCAGGCCCAACCAAAGAGATCGGCTCACATGTCGTGCACCGCAAGCTTTGAGTGCGGGGTTTGTTCCAGTCGCTCTATTAATACGCACTCCCTCCCATTCAAAGTGCTATGCCATCTCTTCCACAGTAAACGTTAGAGTCAGGTACGTATTACTATGAATTGATTATTCCTTTTCTATCATGAACATGATGAAATCCTTCAACCCTCGGACTGGCACCTTGCCAAGATGACACTCGTCGAATTAAGCAGATTCAGATCATTTTGTCTGTGCTTACAGCCTCAGTGGGTCGATTGCTTGGAACCACTGCTAATCGTTTCTTGGCCCCAGATCGTCTCTAAATCGATACTTGGCGCGTCTCGTGAACTAGATTAAATTAAATCATTTCATTGCCACTATATCTTATCGTATGGCAGTTAATCGTCACCCATAAGCAACTTGGTATCCGGCCATCACATCGTCAAGGTATATATGGACATCATTCAAGAACAAGTACCAAAGAAAAACCCCCAGCCTACTCCACCCGGGTGGCAGTTGCCTTCTCTGGGTCGCTTTCGTCGCGCTCCATTCCACGGTGGGCAGCCACAACCTGCAGATCGGCATCGTGCTCCGCATCAAAATTACGACCAAGACGCTCGGGTCCGATAAAGGTTACGATGATGGTGTAGGCAAAGACGCAGCCCATGAAGATACAAATGACCTTGCCGTACTCGTAGCGGTGGGCAGCTTCCTTTGTAGCCGGGAGCGGGAAGCGCTCTCCGATTGTCGACTCGATGGTCGAACTGGCAGACGACACGAGGTTACCAAGCTGGTAAGCTGTGCCGACAGCGAATGTGCGGATGGGACCAGGAGACAGCTCCATCAGATGGATGGGGATCACACCCCATGCACCCTGCACCATGAATTGTTCGAAGAAGGCCGCTGCAATGACGTTGTGCGATGTGACGAAGGTATAGGGGTAGAGAAGCGCGCCACCAACAATGCTGATCACGATAATCGAGAATCGGCGACCGAAAATTTGACTCGCCCATCCGCACAGGGTACCACCAGTCAGCGCGCCCAGGTTCGCGACAACTTGCGTCACGGTCACCGCGTTCTTTGAGAAATTGAACTGGTTCTCCAACATCGTAGGGTAAAGATCTTGCGATCCATGAGACATGAAGTTGAAACCAGCCATCAAAAGCACAAGGTAGACCAACAACAGCCAGTGGCGCTTCAGTGCAACCTTTCCTTCGGACATGAAAGAAGCAGCCACGCCTCCGCGAACCTCCTCGCGCGTAGCCTGTCGACGGCGGAAGGTCTCCGTCTCCGGAAGACACAGACGGAAGGCGATGATCAGTACTGGAGGACAAGCAGCGAACCAGTACAGCGGGCGCCAGCCGTGAGGAGTAGTGTCAACGAGACCGCGCGCAAGCGCAGTAGCCAGTAAATAACCAAATGCGTAGCCCTGCTGAAGCAAACCCGAGATAATACCACGAGCCTCCGAAGGACAATCCTCGAGGGCTGTGGCAGCCGCATTACCGTAAAGACCCCCCATAGCAATACCAAAGAGCGAACGACAAGCCAGGAATTGCTTGTACGTCTGACAGAAACCAGTACCTAGCTCTAGAACCACGAAGAGTAGCTGGTTAACCACAAACGGCCACTTGCGACCATATCGGTCGGATGCGATTCCAAAGGTGATCGCTCCAACAGATCGCAACATTAGAACCAGCGTGATGCCCCACGTAATATCAGTGACGGATCTATCGAAGCTCGCAGCGAGTTGAGTCGTAGTCAAAGAGACAGTGAAGAAGTCGAACGCATCCCATGTCCACCCAATAAACGCAACCTTCACATAATTAGTATCACATCTCTCAAGGTGTACCAGACGAGCCCGTGAGAACGCACCGAAAAGAACAGCCATTGCTGGCGGTTGAGTAGAGTCAGCGCCTTGAATGGATTCGGCGCCGGATTCATCGGTGGAACGAGCGTGGGTATGCGCGTGGCTATGTAACGCCCAATACTCATATCCTCCTCGACATCCGGCGAGGACACCTCGTACTGGGGCTTGTGGGATTCGGCCATGGCGTTCACTCGGCGAGTAAATTTAAGGACCGAGAGAGCATGCCACAGAGAAATGTCGGGGTTGTTCGGAGGGAAGGGGGGAGAGAGAAGGGGGAGGAAACACGACTCTAAATACATGACTCCCACGCTACTACATTTTTTAGTCTTTGCCTATGGCCCGTGAGCTAAACCCCGCTCTGATGAGGTCAAGAATGCTACGTTTTGTTATTCGCTGCATGTGGTCAGCTCTGGGTTCGGGGCCTGGCACGAATAGGGCGCCGATCTTCGCACCCACTGGAGAATATTGCTTTCCACTTCTGGTTCCCGGACTTCTAGTACCATAGGAACATGAAACACACGGGATTTACAGCTTGAGCCAACTATGGACAAGGTTTGCTGCCAGGCACGTCGTACAGCGCTCCATTCCCCACACGAAGTCGACAATGGCCCGATGATCCAGATCCAGGATCAGAGTTAGAACCAGATTGGCTCAAGTCACCGTCTATCTCAAATTCCCCGAACTTTCCAAATCCTTCGCCGATCCCGGCCTATCAACCTCGTGGCCTCGTGTATACAGTTCCAGCCAAGACTATTTCTCCGCATCCCCAGATCCCTGGCCCGGCGGTTCTACCGCGGGTTCTCAAGCGCCACTTCGGCCCAAACCCGGACAGTCTCCGTCGACACAAATACACCCCACCAGAAGTGCGCTTGAATTTGAATCTGTTCTGCGTCAGCTCTGTCTTTTGCGTCGATGCAATGACCCGGGCTAGACTTCCTCCGCTTTGATCTGCCCAGACTGGGGATGTGGAGCTGTTTTGACTCCTGGGCCTCCCCGCGACCCACATCCCATCTCCGGAGTACGGAGCGAAGGGTCGCGGAGCACATCCCTAACGCCGGTAAATTTGCCTTGGTCGGCCCATCGGTCTGTGTCTGCCTCGGTACATGACTTGCGGGAAGGTGCCGATTTAGCCTATTTCCAGGCCGTTGAATCCATAGTCTCCAAGCAAAGGTTGGGGTCGAAAGGGAAACAGACGCCACAAGAAAATGATAATATGTCTACTTTTTGCGGGGCAGGGTCTTGATTTGGTCTAAAAAATTATATTAGTACTTACAACAAGACTCGGGGTAATATTGCGTGGCACGCGGTTTGGGAAGAACAGGATAGAGTTAGCTTTGTTGTCGGTGGCTCAAACACAGTTTCGGAAGTTGGCCGATGCTTGTAGCTTGTGTGAGTAGTCTATGCGGGTGGCTTGATTGATTGTGGTTGTGGGCAAGACTGGCCTGACCGTTGAAGGTTTACCCCAATTCACGCCAAGATTGAAAATCGAGGCCCCCGCGGTGAAGTAAGGATTGAGCATAGTCAAAATAAGCGAGATGGCGATGATGGTTCCTGCCCAGCCGTACGCCGTACTCGTTTCTTGATCTTGGCGATCATGTGGTGCGCCCCAAGACGGCCAACCTCCGACAAGATTTGAGAGTAGAGGCTTGGTTTTCTTGGCTTGCAGTGCCATAGATGCCGTGGAATTGGCATTGAAGCTTCTTTTGACCGTGTCTTGATTGCGTACGCCACGACGATATTTTTTCAACTAGGCTACTGTGCCGTGGTTTCTGTCCTTAAATTATTGGGGGCTGGGGTATCTATTGGAAATTTGGACTCATCTTATAGCGGGAGCATATCCCCTGTTGACCAGATGCTTCCCGCCCGTCACATTCATATCCCACCAGTCCAAGTGATGATGGTGTCGTCCTGGAAAGTGGAATAGACAACTTTCATAGTACGTAAACCCCCAATTCTTCTTTGAAAATTAATGCTTGTTTACGGCCGCATGATTCCTGCTAAACAGAAAGTGGCAGAATTTTCCAAGCATCAGCTTGAAGATAGGCAAAATAGAAAAGGAAATACAAAGGTATCAAACTCTGGACCCAACCTGGGGAGCAAAAAAAGAACGATTCGGTCTTAGACTTAGGCTACGCCCCCAATGTCTATTAGAGGAAGGGGTTCTGCAGGACAATAGGAATCAATTGAATGAAATAAGATCAACAACTCCATCAAGCCTCCTCCTCAATCTTCTCGACCAAACAAGCAGTCCCATACGCGCAAATCTGCGAACACGCCCCAAAACTCGCAACATCAAACCGCACCGCAATGATCGCATTCCCACCTCGACTCATACACTCACCCACCAGTCTCTCCATCGCCTCTTCCCGCGACGTATACATCAGATTAGTGAAGAAACGGATTTCTCCCCCGACGGCTGATCGCACTACGGCGCCTAGGTCCGCGCCCCAGTTTCGCGTTCGCACGGTGATACCGTAGATTATCCCGAGGACAGACTTAATTTTATAGCCTGGGAGGTCGTTCATGGTTGATGTGACTACCCCTTTGGTGTCGGTGAAACAGGAGGGAATTTCCTTATCTCTCTTGGTTGGTGTCATTGTCGGGTTGGACAGGGGCTGCTTGGACTTGATGTCTTAGTTTGGGTTAGTTGAGGGTGGAGGAATGCGGGGGTAGTATGGAGATACTTTACGGGGACTTCTTCGGGGCAGCTCTTAGGGTATAAAGATAGTTCAAGTCCGTAAGCAATGCATTTTAAGGGCCAATATATGAAAAAAAAAACTTTGGCTTCGTATTCATGGAAGATCCCATCTTGGTGCCGTCATACCCGCGCGATTTTTGAAAAGATCTCATGGACCACAACGGGCGCAAATTTGGTGCCTCGCCTGTAATCACGAGTCGAGAGTTATTTGAAGCCTACTTCTTCGTTGAGTGATTCTAGATCTTTCATAAGCAGTGCATAATGCAAGTGCCGTTCACCGTGTGTCAAGTGGGGGGTCGTGACACATTCTATTTCCATGGTATTATTTCTTCTCTCTAAGAATAGCCACGCCATTACAGACTCAAAGAGATGGCATCAGCCACAGCCCCGATTTGAACCGAACAGGAAACCATCGCGTTTTACAGATGAGGCTGTGCTGTGCTGGTCCACAGTCCCCTGAACGGAGATCTGGGGCGGTGCTGCATTGCCCCGCTTGGCCGCTGATGCCATCGTTTCTTTATTAATGTGCAGCTCAGTCTAAGTTGTCCACTTAATCTCGTTTCATTCAATCCTCTTCTTCCTACACTCTTCGCCTTTTTTACACTCTCATCGACTATCCTCATCATGTCGCATTACCCACCTAATCAGTACGGTGGTGACTACGGTCAGAACTACAACCAGCAAGGCCAGGGCTATCCTCCCCACCAAGGACAAGGATATCCGCCTCAACAAGGACATGGTTATCCGCCCCAGCAAGAATACGGCGCCCCACCGCCGCAGGGCTACTACCCTCCCGAGGTGAGTGCATTCCCACATGTTAGATAATATCAGACAATGCAATGCGTCGGACAAGATGATACAATGCGCGGCATATCCTCCAAGCAGATCATTGACATGAATTATAGCAGCAGCATGGATACGGCCAGCCCCCTGCTCAGTACGGCCAGCAGCAGGGTAACCCTCCCGCCTATGAGCAGCACCAACAAGGCCAATACCCCGGCTCCGGCTATGACGCCCAGCAGATGCCTCCCCAAGACCGCGGCCACTCACCTTACCCTCCCCAGCAGCACCAGCAAGGTGGCGAGAGCGCCTCATTCTATGGTGGAGCTCCACCTCAGCAGCAAAGCTACGCGCCTGGCTCCGGCGGTCCAGAGGGCGATAGAGGTCTCGGATCGACGCTGCTCGGTGGCGCCGCTGGCGGCTTCGCGGGCCACAAGATGGGTGGTGGATTCCTTGGAAGCGCGGGTGGTGCGGTTCTCGGGGCTGTCGGTATGAACATGGCCACGCATGTTGTGTAAGTTTTGATTCTAGTTCTTTGCACTTCATTTGACTAACGATTTTGTTTTCGCCGAAAAGTAAGGACAAGAAGAAGCACAAGAAGGAGAAGAAGCATAAGAAGGATAAACACCACAAGCGCCGTGGCTCGCACTCTTCCAGTTCGAGCTCGAGCTCGAGTGATAGTGACTAGACGGCGTGCTTTTAATGTTTCAAGATGCGGTGAGCTAGTTCGATCGAGGGCTTGCTCATGATGATGGCACGTATTGCGTTAATACCCTGCTTTTTCAATGCCCTGTGCTTGCTCGGACTTTAGGGTTTGATGAGGCTCTTCCCAAACATATGGTTTTCTTGGTTTTCTTTCCTTTTCTTTTCTTTCTTTCGTCTGTACATTCTTATCGAATTATTCACTTCAAATCAGACGTGAAATAATCGAACCACGGATTCTATGGAATGGATGATTTAATGTCAATTAGACAAGCCAAATGGGCTCAGATGTATTGTGTTATGTTTTGGGTCTGTTATACAGGTATAGTACACGGTGAAGTGCTATATGCGGTCTCTAAGCATTTGAGCTAGGAGGTGAGTCCCCGTACCGTCCATCTCTGACAGTGTTCAAGGTTCTGATAGAGCTTAAGTTCTCGGCTTATCTGAGAACTCTGGTCGAGTTTCAGCCTTTGGCGAGTGTTTTGCTGGAGTTTGCTTCTCAAAATCAAAGATATCATTGAGTTCCGCCCCTTCGGCCAAATTGAAGCTCAACCGTGGTAAAATCTTTGGAGAATCCCAGACAAAGTTCCACCTCGAAGATATCGGGTTCCACTGCATTCGTGGGACAAGGGCAGAGACTCGTCGCCATTGACGGTGCATAAATCTCGCGGTGATCTTATGTGGCCGGCCATCAGCGTATTTGGCAAATGTCCAGCCTTTCTGCGGCCCGTCTGTCAGGAACTCCACAAGATCGCCTTCTTTTGTTGCCGGAGGAAATGCCTTCTTCCTTCGCTTGATAGGCGCCCACGGTAACGTACCCGAAATTAAGTCGTCCAGAATGGTCAATTCGTGATCCGGTAATGGTGGAAGTAAACAGTTCAACGTGTCGGCGTACCATTTCCTACGCATATTGATGCAGCGCGCAGGACTGACGGCTTTGCCCCAGCTGTTGTACTCCGGAATATTTGGCTGGAGGCTCTTCACGCTTGGCCGAACACTTTTCGATGAAAGGTGGCCGTTGTTCATTTGTGACTTCATGAGACTTAGAATTATCGCTGGAGGTTCCCAGCCATCTTGGTATAACGACGGTCCATGGACCAGTTTCTCCAGGGACTTGCCGTCAGTTGGGATGTCATGGTCCAGTAAACGATTCAGAAATGTATGTCGTTGTCCTCCAATGCGCCCGTATGCAGAGTGTAACACTTTCTCCAGGGGTCTTTGGTATCCTTCGTTTGCTCTTTGAAGCAGCGATAGACCTTTCCTGGCCTTTCGAGCACGATCAGCTTCGGTGATATGCGATTTCTTTGACTGCTTCTTTGCTTGACGATATCGATTGAGGACATAGCCAGACGTGTAGGCCCGGGCGACGGGATCGGGGAGATAGGTGCATTCTCGAAGAGTTGCTCGTAAGACTTGAAGCCATTGTTCGCGCCCTCGAGGGTAAAGAGAGCCGGATATAGGAGCAGACGCCATTGAAGGAAGAGCACAACCCAAAACGGCAGAACGCGAAAACCTTGGCGGGAAGCGTGTCACGGGACAGCGACGCGCTCTTTTCGCTCTTCAGAACCCCAAACCCCGCGACTTGCCCTGCCTTGCATTGCGTATCCGGTCTAAATCGGTTCCTGACACATTCCTTTTACCGGTTCTGGGCAAACCCGTTGGATGGTCCTCACTGTGACCCGTTGCGCTTTCCCTTCGAGAAGGGTGTAGCCACGCGCCTCCTTTTGCTCGCGTCTTCCTGGCATCCGGTACCAATTCACCACCCTTATGACATGCCCTTTTCGCCGTAATTCCGTGCTGACTGGACTGGCAAGGGACTAGTATGTCTTACTCACAAAATAGTACAGGGTCAGCGAACGGTCTGGCATTTTTGAACGCTTCTCAATCCCTCTCTTCAACTCCTGGCGCAACTCCTCCGCCCCCAAAAGGATCGCAGATGTCTTCCTTCGGCATGTCAAATGGCATGTCAAGGAGTAGCTTTGGTGGCTATGATGGAGGAAACGACTATGGGTCACAGGGACCATACCAGAATCAGAGTGACACACCACAAATCTACCGCGTTCGTGATACCATCAGAATACTCGAAGGCTTTTTGCTGATAATATTTTCCTAGGCGGTTTACTCGAATGTGTCGGTCTACGAGATGGAAACCCGAGGTATCGCAGTTATGAAACGTCGATCCGATTCCTGGTTAAATGCGACTCAAATCCTGAAGGTGGCTGGGGTTGTCAAAGCCCGAAGAACGAAGACCCTGGAGAAGGAAATTGCTGCCGGGGAGCATGAGAAGGTACAAGGGGGTTATGGAAAATACCAAGGAACGTGGGTCAACTACCAGAGAGGTGTCGATCTCTGTCGAGAATACCACGTTGAGGAAATCTTGCGACCCCTTCTGGAGTATGACATGGCCCCCGATGGATCCGGCGGCCCCTCTCAAGGAACACTCGATACACCCACTAAGGAACAAGCCATGGCTGCACAACGGAAACGCCTATACAGTGGCGCTGAGAATCGCAGCATGCCTCAGCCCCAACAAGGGACGTTCTTCCAGAACATCTCGCGCGCTGCAGCAACAGCAGTGAATGCCATCAGCAAAGCTCGGTTTGACTCTCCGACTGCCAACAGTCGACGGCCAAGTGTGCCGCGCAAGCCATCGCAACAAATGGCTAGCCAGAGCCAGGACTCCCAAATGACCTTCGGCAGTCAGAACAGTATGTACATGTCCGATAGCGGGTTCAGCAGCCTACAGAATCGCTTCCAACAGGAGGATCATGATGACTTTGCGGAACCCCCGCGCAAGCGTGTTCGTTCCTCGTCGCATCAAGCCCCTCCAATTGGCTTCCACCGCGAGCCATCCAGCCTCTCCATGCACGACCCTACTCCGACAGAGCCCAATGATTCCTTTTACCAGGACATGGACTTGCCACCCCCGCCAATTGATGATGGCCAGAAGCGCGGCCTTGAGCCCGTACCTCCAGCTTCAGAGCCGGAGGGCTTCCAAAAGACCAAACTGATTATGACACTCTTCCTTGACAAGCGAACCAAAGACTTCTCCAACCATCCCGCTCTCATGCAGCTAACTGGCGAAGATCTTGAGATCCCACTTGACGAGTATCGAAATAATGCTCTTCATTGGGCTGCGATGCTTGCACGTATGCCGCTAGTTCATGCGCTCGTAGCCAAGGGGGCAAGCATATCTCGAGTTAACCTCGCTGGTGAGACTGCCCTGCAGAAGGCAGTAGGAACCCGCAACAACCTTGACTATAGAAGTTTCCCCCGCTTGCTTCAGGTGCTTGCACCAACTATCGACATGGTTGATTACAGTGGCAGGACTATCTTGCACCACATCGCTGTTATGGCCGCAACAGGTGGCGGAGGCCATGTCTCTGCTAAACACTACCTGGAATCACTCTTGGAGTTCATTGTCCGACATGGTGGATTATCATCAGCTACCAATGGCGATCATACGCAAAATGGTACCTCCGGTACAGATTGCATCTCTCTGGGGCGGTTCATATCAGAGATCGTCAACCTGCGGGATGATCAGGGTGATACAGCCTTGAATCTCGCTGGGCGGGCACGCTCGGTCCTTGTTCCTCAGCTTCTGGAAGTTGGTGCCGACCCGCACATTCCCAACCATACCGGTCTCAGACCTGCCGACTACGGAGTTGGTGTTGACATGGTGGACAATTCGCAGTTGCAGCAGAACGGGGGCCGTAATGATACGTTTATTGATCAGCTGGCGAAATCTAAGAAGGAGATTCTCGATGGTAAGTTGCTATTCCGAACGGGGGTTATTTCATATGCTAACCATTGTCTCAGCCGCTATGTCTCAAATTAGCACAATGGTTGAAGAGGCGCTGGGTGGTATCGATCGGGAGTTGGCATCAAGCCTGACTCAGAAACAGGAGAAGTTCGACCACTGGCATTCAAAGATTCGCGAGTCTGCCAAGGCTCGTCAGATCGAGCAGAGGCAGCTGGATTCATTGAAGCAACAAGCTTCAGACCGAGTGGAAGTCGACCGACGCATCAAGAATCTTGAGCGGTCTTCTGAAGGCTTGATCAGCACATTAAAGGGTACTCAAGGCTTTGACCTCTCTCAAGTCACGGTTGTCGGTGACGCAGACCAAGATTCCGGCGTGGATGTCACTACATTCGATACTCTATTCGCAGATACCTTTGACCCGACCTCAGGGTTCTCTGCTCAACAAATCGCATTCCTGGCAGCATTATCCCCGGCAGACGCGCTCCGGCACCGGCTCCAAAGCTATCAAAATTTTAATGCAGGTATAACTGCTGAAGTTGATACCCTCAAGGCGAAAAACGCCGTTCTGGGCCAAAATTACCGACGCATGGTGATGGCTTGCACGGGATGGACCGCGGAACAAGTGGACGAGGCAGCAGATGGCTTGACACAATGTGTCAAGGAGTTGAATGATAACCCCGTACCGGAAGACGAGGCCATTGAAATCCTGATGCGGGATCGTGGACAGGACTGGTAATTCTTGACTTCTTTATCCTCTGAGCGTTTGTGGGACGGCGTTGCATTCCTCATTTGTATTATACGAATACCCGGGTGGCCTTACCTTATGTCTATTGCCATGTGTTGTATTTATGAACAAACACATCTTTGCACACTTGCTGCGTGGTTCGTATTGCCCAGGTGGCTTTTTCTGGCGCTAGTACAGGCTAATTGCCAAGGTGATATTAGCCGGCCGTACGCCTCCAAGTGGCTGTATGGATTCGACCCGGCCAGTTTAATAATTTGCCAAGATAGTTGTACTTATTCCCCGCGTTTGAATCCTTTTCTCTGGAGCGGGGGAAACTACTTATACCCTATAAGCAACCCCCGGGACTTTCATTCCAGCGATACCCTCCATCTTGTATCAAGATTGACAGATCTATAAGCTCGCAACCATGGCTACTGGAATTCTGCGAGTCAAAGCCGACACAGTCGTCGATGAGAATGAAGATCGTGTTATTCTTCGAGGAACAGCTCTTGGAGGATGGATGAAGTAGGCCGAGTGATTTCTACTTCAATGCTATTTTCCCATGCTAACAATCACAGCATGGAGAATTTCATCACCGGCTTCCCCGGTCACGAATCTCAGCACCGAGCTGCTATGCGCAGGGTCCTCGGAACGCAAAAATACGAATTCTTCTTTGACAAATGGCTGGAAAACTTCTTCACCGATGCAGACGCCAAGTTCTTTGCGAGTCTGGGCCTCAACTGTCTGCGACTACCGTTCAACTATCGTCACTTTGAAGATGACATGAATCCACGCGTACTGAAGGAGTCGGGGTTCAAGCATCTGGACCGAGTCATTGATCTGGTTAGCTTCGTTTTCCTGGGTTGGTAGCCTTTGTTAATGATCGATAGTGCGCTGCACATGGCATCTACACGATCTTGGACATGCATGCCGTGCCCGGAGGTCAGAATCCAGACTGGCACTCGGATAACCCGACCAACTATGCCGCCTTCTGGGATTACAAGGATCACCAGGACCGTACTGTATGGCTCTGGGAGCAGATTGCCGCGCGGTATAAGCACAATCCCTGGGTGGCTGGGTACAACCCACTTAACGAACCGTGCGATCCGGAACACGTCCGCCTTCCAGCGTTCTATACCCGCATAGAAAAGATAATTCGGGCAATTGACCCGGATCATATCTTGTGGCTTGATGGGAATACCTTTGCGATGGAGTGGAAAGGATTCGACACAGTGTTGCCGAATTGCGTATACGCTATGCACGACTATGCAGTAAGTCCATCTTGATGCAAGGCACCCGAGCTCTGCATATCTCTAACTTTTCGAATTAGTCGATGGGATTCCCTACTGGAGATAGGTATACAGGAACGCCAGAACAAAAGCAGTCTCTCGAGCGATCTTATCTTCGCAAAGCGCATTTCATGAGCGAACAAGGCACGCCGGTGTGGAATGGCGAGTTCGGACCTGTCTACGCTGATCCGGCCTTTGATATGGATGCTGCGACGGTTAACCAAGAACGATACAATCTCCTGGGCGAACAACTTCGCATCTACGACAAATACAAAATCCACTGGTCGATTTGGCTGTACAAGGACATTGGTTTACAGGGTATGATTTACACTAACCCAGAAAGTCGATGGAATAAAACAATCCAGCCATTTTTGAACAAGAAGAGGGATTTCTGGCTTGATAAATGGGGGCGTCGCCCTGCTGCTGAGCCTGAAGCTGCACTGAAGCCTCTAGTTGACTGGATTGATTCTGTCAGTCCCTCGGCTAAGGATACTTACCCTACCTCATGGAATACGGAGATGCATGTTATGCGCAACGTCTTTAATACTTTTTTGGCTGCTTCGTTTGTGGATGAGTTTGCGGCCTTGTTTGAGGGCATGGAAGAGACGGAGCTGGAGGAGTTGGCGAAGAGCTTTCATTTCGACGAGTGTGTGCAGCGCAGTGGGTTGAATGAGATTCTGACGGAGCATGCGCAGTTGACTCAGTAGAATTCGCTAAAGGTCTTGGGGATTCGAATGCATTACAAATCCAGTGTCTACGAAAAAATAGAGGGGTAGTAGGCGGGCGTGGCATTAACCTCTACTTCCGTAACAAACTGTATGGAGAGCGATAACCGCACGCATAGTTTTACTATCCACACATTATCGATAAGCAAAAAAATCGAAAAGATCGCGGGGTTTTGCGCACTTTCGACGTTCAGGGACTTGAGATTTTGACTTGGAACGACTCGACAAGCACCGTCGACATGGCCGAGTCTTCCATTCCTGACACGCTGAACAGCGTCTTCGACGCTTCCCTCCAGGACCGATACGACCCTGTTCGCTTGACCTCCGAGAGCATCGTCCCCATTTTCGAACTGCCCTTAGCTAAGAAAGTCCTGGGCCACGATGCCGACAGCGAGGCTATTGCAAGGATCGCCGATGCCAGTACCTCCTATACCACCTTCGTCGCTGAGAACGCTCGTGCCATCCTCCAATCGCCGTGCGACGGCTTGACGGTCAAGCAAACACAATCGCAAATCCTGCATATTGGTCTAGCAGCATTGTTCAGTTTCCTGCAGTCGAACGTCACTGGACCTCCGCTGACCTACAACTCGGCGGAGACAGTGCTTCCTTCTGCTCTCCGAAGCGATGTCGAGATCCTCCGTGCTGTACGTGCGAAGAACATTCGCGATCTCACTGTTGATGGTGAGGCCGCCTACAAGCTCACGCCAAACTCGGAGCTTTTCTCAGTCGCCAAGGCTCTGCTTGTCGATGCAAACACCGGTGAATCGGTTGTTGCGAAGACGGCAAGCATGCGTGTCAGCTTCCTTCACCAGAAGATGCTCTCTGAGGTTACAAGCACATTACAGGATTCCATCTACAAGGACGTGGAAGCTCTGAACAAGGCGGATTTGACTGCGGATGAAAAGGGACGTTTCTTGTTGGAGCGCGCGATTATCAACACCCACCACGGATTCGATGCCAAGGCACGGGCGGATCTCGATCGGGCATGCCAGGTCCGGAACTTTGAGTTTGCTTTGACGGGTCAGATGGGTAAGCGCACGAAGTTCCAGGAGCGCGATACTAGTCAATTGGTTGTCTTGGCCAAAAGTACGGATGAAACTCCCAAGTCCACAGATGCCTCTGGTCCCAAGACCGTGGATCTCGATGATGATACCCTGCTTGAAGCTATCTCTTTCACCGAGAGCAAAGCTACAAATGTCCAAGATGAGCTTTCTCCCGCCTTGCAATCCGTCGACCCTAATGACCAGCCTATTCTCAACCCCGTGGATTCGGCCATCTTGTTAGCAATGGCATCCGCTATTACCAACACTGCGCCTGAGAATGGTCTGACGCGTGAGGAGACACAACCATACGCCACTCGAGTTCTCGAGGGTGGCAGCTCAAATTGGCAAATTTATACACAGGCTTTGTTAGTACGCAGTCGTGTGGAGGGTTTCCGCTCTCGCACTGTCGAGAGATCTGTGCTGCAAATGCAGGCTCTTGTTGATCAGGTCATTGCGGACACAGCGACAGATGACAGCGCTGCGCAACAGCCTTCAGCTGAGCCCACCACTTTCTTGCCTCGCCCCGAGAAATCCGAGTCGGCCTCCGCCTCTGACCGATTGGAATACGTCTGGCTCATGAACTTCTCGACTCGGTGGAACCTCGAGTCCGAGCTGGCCAAGCGCTGGGTCGAGCTTGGCGGTCTCCGTACAGCGCTTGAGATTTACGAAAGACTTCAGATGTGGGCTGAGGCTGCTCTGTGCTACGCCGCAACTGACAATGAGGCGAAGGCTAGAAGCATTGTGCGCCGCCAACTTTACGAAGCGACAGGCTCGAACGAAGATGACGAGAACGAGCAGTTCGACGGCCCTGAGCGCTCGCCTTCAACTTTACCAGCGGACGCGCCACGCCTGTTCTGCATATTGGGAGATATCGAGAAAGACGAGAAGATGTACGAGCGTGCCTGGGAAATTTCAGGGAGCCGATATGCCCGCGCCCAACGCTCTCTCGCCCGTCACTACCTTGCTCTCACGCCACCTGATCTGCTGAAGGCCGAAGATGCCTACCGCAAGAGTCTGGCCATCAGCCGCCTCAACCACAGCGCTTGGTTCGCTCTTGGCTGTGTCCAGCTCGAACTCGAGCACTGGGAAGATTCCACCGACTCTTTCACTCACTGCGTGAAACTAGATGACGCCGATGGCGAGGCTTGGAGTAACCTAGCAGCCTCTATGCTACGTTCATCCGCACCAGAGCCCACCCCAGACGTAGATGTCGATGAAAACAATCCAGACGTCGACCCCCACAAGCGCAAGCGCGAAGCCCTATCCGCCCTCCTCCGCGCCGCGCAACTCAAGCACAGCAACGCTCGCATCTGGGATAACGTGCTAACAGTCGCTGCCTCGATTCCCCCACCCTCAACACCATTCCGCGACATTATCACAGCCCAGAAGCGGATCATCGAACTCCTCGGCGCAAAGAAGGGCGAGAAATGCGTTGACGGTCCTATCCTAGCCATGCTTGTCGACTTCCTCTGCAGAGCCTTCGACTATGATTCCCTCTTCACCGAGTCCGAGTCCGACTCTGGCCGCATTATTCGCTCGGGAACTCTTCCCGGCCAGATCCTCTCCCTGATCGACGACCACGTCGTTCCTCTGATCACGCACTCCGCTGCGCTGTGGCTTGTCGTCTCGCGGGTCGAGGTATTCCGGGAACGTCCTGCTGCTGCTCTGGAGGCGCATGAGAAATCCTGGCGTGCAACTGTTGCGAACAACGCTCAGGGTGCGTTCCAAATGGGTGATGAGAAGCCTTGGTTGGAAATTGTTCGCTCTACCGAGAAACTTGTCCGCGAGGGATATGCCAAGTACGGCCCCATGGATCGTGAGAACCAGCAAGCTGAGGGAGATAAGGAGCTTGAGCTGGTCGCTAGTGACTGGCGCTTCAAGGCCCGAAGTGCCGTCCGCGGTATCCTCGGCAAGGGCAAGGACTTCTGGGAAGATTCCGAGGGATGGACTCGCCTGAAGACACTGCAGGGTGAGGTTACTGGTAACTAGAGCAATATATATTCAAAATAAAGCGATTATGGCATTTTATGACCTCTACCTTAGTGTCTATGTATCGCAAGTATGTGTCTTTTATTGGACAAGGATCTCGGGGTTCACCATGCATAGTCTTATGCCTCCATCTTCCTCTTAAGCATCCCACAAAAGCTCTCAAATAATACGCTATCTGTCCCCTGGATCCAACGTATTAAGACCTGTGTTTCCCCCTTTGCCTCGGGAGTGTGTCCATGAGCCAGTTTTAGCTGAACACGGACTCCTAGCACTACCTCCGCTGGGACCGTCGTTATCTTCATGCCTTCCTGTCCAGAAAGCTTCATCTTACGACGTGCTTGTCGGGACCAGACATTCTCAGAAGTGTATCCCACACCAGCGCTGAGAATCTTATCCCAGTCCCAGTACCATGAGAGCGAGTCCAGCTCGCCATTCAAAGTAGCGCTAGCAGTGTCGATGGATGTCTCTGGCGGGAGGGTAAAAGCGTAATCACTCGGGAAGGGAAGAAGGTGCTTTGGGAATCCTGGAATGCCCCGGGCAACGCTCTAAAAAAAAATTAGTATCGACTTTGAAGGGGAGGGTGGGAAAACGCACCATCTTCGGATGCCGTTCACCCCACGACCAAGCAAGAGCCCACCGCTTCGTTTTGCCCTGCACAAGCTCGGTGACGGCAAATTTGTGATTTTTGTTTTTTGTCAAGGTCTCGACGAGGGCAGCGACACTGCTCAATTTCCCCAGCATGGATGTGTACCATTGTACTTGGTTGCGTAGTTGCATGCTTTCTTCGATCATGCGTGTCACGAAGGCTACTTCCCCGCCTGATGTGACCATTTCCACCTCTGCGCCTGTGCATGTCTATGGAATGTTAGTTTTATTTTATTTTTATTTTTTTTCAGACAGTTGGAATAAATTACGTACCTGCGACGGTTTCTTGGATTTGGCTTCCGCGGATTGTATCATCTCTTCTTGGGATTCGTAGAATGGGGGGTTGCACATTGTGAAATCGATTCTGGAATCGAATTTAGTATATCTTTCAAAGTCCACAAGGCTGGGCAAGTCTAACCTCTTCTGATCAAACTTGTTGAGGGGAAAAAGAGGGTCATTGGGATCAGTTTTCATGATGCGAATTCGTGATTCGAGTTCGTTAAGTTTCACGTTTTGTTCAGCTGTGCGAGTGTTGTTTTCATCGATGTCTAAGAACCAATCAATACTTGGTGAAACTTCTTTCTGAACTTCAGAACTGTCAAAGAGTGTACCTGTCGCAAGGAACTTCCATTGAGGTCGAACTCTGCATCCCAGCAAAGGGTAGATGCTGCAGCACCCAGTTCCACTAAGACCATCAGTTGTTGGTCAACTTTCATAAGGAAGGACGACGACAAACATATCAAGACCGACTATTTCTCGTTTAGAATCGTATCCCTCTTTGATCGTGCCTGCTGTTGAATCCAGGAGGTCTTGCAACCAAAGGATATAGTTTAGTCTGAACTGTTAATATGGCACCCAGGTAAACGACAAGGTGATTTCCATACCTGTTAGGAACCTATAATTCCTGTCAGTGATCCATCACATGCGAATAAGAGATCACAATCATACCGGTGGGCATAGTCGGTCTTCGGGCAGTTCAACGTTCAAATGAAAGTCTTGCTTCAGCAAAGTGATGGTCAACGCTCTGTGGTACCGTCAGCTTTGGCTTTAGTCAAATCATGATATGTACCATACCTCACCGATGCTGGATCGTTAAAGTCTAGTTGACCATTTGATTTGAGACTAAAAAATAATCAGAATCCAGATCTACGTTATGTTCAGGGTACTCACTGCTTCGCGAACTCCGGTGACTGTAACGAAAGGGCAGCAAAGTCGACACCGTTCTTGTAAAGACTCCGTGTTGATTCCATCGTCAATTTCCCTTGAAAGCAAAGTCTATTTCCCAGAAGTTTGACGAGGTCTCGTGGTTGTTGACAAGGTGAAGATCGACGGGAGGATGAATCCCGTTAACTAAGGCAGCGAAGTCACATGATTAAGCAGGCCCTGAGTCCTTGTATTTAAAAGCTAGAGCTAAAGCCAAAAAAATGATCTATATACAGCGCGCAAATGTAAAATATAGATCGCCAAGTATAAAACTTCGAATCGGAAGAAAATATTTGTCAAATAGAAATCACCAAATTCAAGTCATTATGTCGTCAAGGGCCTTATGCCCCCCTGTATATACCCCAAAAATGGCCTTAAAATACCCTCATCATTTTGCTGAAGAGAAAGGTAATGTGTGTGAATGTAAAAGGGTGCTTCAAATCACTTTTGATCACGAATCCGCTTACGCAGACTGCGATTGCTCTTTCCGTTTGAGACGCTCTGTTCGCTCCATGCGCCATCCGGCACCCCAGCGCATCTCGGCCATGAGAAGAGGAACCATTGCAAGAGTGATGCCGGCGAGGAGGAGGAATGTATACTCGGCTGTGATGGCGTCGATAATGGGCTGGACGGCCGCGACACCGGCGGCTCCGACTTCGCAGCGCATCAGGTTGTTGACTGCGGTCGCACTGGCACTGGCACCCGGGTACAAGTCGATGACCAACGCGCTATTGATTGTGAAGATGGCGGTGGCGCAATAGGCGATGACATATTGGAGGATGACAGGGACGGCAAGGTGGGTGTCTAAGGAGAAACCATAGACTGCGGTGCACACGATGAACACGGCTGTGATCCACCAGGTGTTGCGCATACGGGCGTACTCGATGGGGAAATTGGGGTGAGATTTGGAGTTGATGCGGGTTTCAAGCGGGAGGTTGTTTTGCATGCAGTATTCGTGCTCTGTGCGTTTGTGATTGAAGTCCATCAGGTAACCGATGGAGTAGGATCCGGACATGCAGCCGAAGCCGTTTCCCAGGAAGGTCAGGCCAACTTCTAGGGAGTTGAGTCCGTATCGGGACTCGAAGAGGTCGGATGTGGACGAAGTCACCATCGACCAGACAGTGTACACGATAGCACCGAAGAACAAGGTGATAAAGACATCCTTCTCGGCGAGGAAGCCAAGAGGGGCGATGACGGTCTTCCAAGTCACCTTTTTCTTCTCAAGAGTGGGAACAGAGTCCTCTTTGGCCTCTTTTTGGCCGGTGATGCAGTAAATCCACGGCTTGTAAAGTCCATGCAATGGGACAGTACCGTTGCCAGCGACGGTACGGAGGGTTTCGGGGAGGAAGACCAGAATAGATAGAAGACTGATTCCGGACATGATGGTCAGGAACCAGAAAATGGATCTATAGCCCAGGTACTGAGACAAGATTCCACCAAACACGGGGCCAACACCTTGGCCAAGCATGCGTACTTTAGTTCTGTCAGTATGATAAATTTTAGACCAAGAGTACAAGGACTTACCTCCGCCAAAGATTCCAACTAAACTTCCTCGTTCAGCTGATGTGGTGATGTCACCAATCACGCCGGCACCTGTGCCGGTCAGCAAATGCCTCAAGGGAGTCAATGGTCAGGGTGGGGGTGCATACCGATCGAGATAGTTGCCGAGCTGCCTGCAGCTTGTAGCGCACGGAAAGCCATAAGCTCGCCATAGTTTGTGGACACGGCCAGCGCAATGTTGGCAATCATATAGACAATAAAAGTACCGATGAAAATACCACGACGGCCGATGATGTCAGAGAAAGAGCCCCAGAAACTAGGAGCGAGCCCTTGGACAATCATGTATATTGTGACGGTTAATGTGGTAAGTGACATGGAGACGCCCAGGTCCTATTGAGTAGTTAGTCAACTGTTGGAATGGGATATGGTCGGGCCGGTATAAAGGTCGACTCACCTTGGAGATAATACCCAAGGCGGGGAAGTAGATGTTGGAGGATAGTGGAGAAAAGATGGCTGCAAGCGAGACAATGCAGACCATTTGCAATTTGCGGGATCGAGTGAAGACATGGTAAGTTGTTGACTTTGGGATTTGGCTTTCGAGGTTGATAGAGGAGGAGGAAGACGGTGTCGCGAGGTCCTTTTCATCTCTTGATGAAAGGCTAGGGCTGGAATCGCAAGATCTCTCGGTGACTGTGGCAACCTTAAGAGACTCTGGGGATATGAAATGAGACATGGTGAAGCAAAATAATTAAGAAATTGACCTAATAGTGCATAACTGGGCAACCCTGAAAGATATAGACAAGAAGTGGAAGCTTAAGCCAGCTGTCCGAGACAAAACGTTTGAGGTCTGATTCTTGGGCTATTGGAATGGGCCCGGCCCTTTTGTATTTCGACGTCAGGCCCGCCCCTGATAGCACCGATCCGCAAATATCAAAACGGACCCATGCATCTGAGGAGAGTCAAGGCCATGTGCTCCACTGTGGGTTCGGCCAAGGGACCACTTCTCCCCCATCCCCTTAGCAGTAGTCTGTGGCAAGGATCAGACAAAGAAGGTAAGACGGGCGCCGCTCACTGGGTGATAGATGGATCCCTATCTGCGGAAAAGAAATTCTAGGCTAATTGTCTACCCTTCCAGGTGCTTTACAAGCAAACTCCGGCCATTCTGAGAACTAGCTTATGCACTGCTCTAAGCCCCAATTGCTGATGTACCTGGCGTTAGTATCAACAGTATCACACTATTATTGTTTTCGAATCAGCTAAGCTGGACAGTACTGCAGAGATGGCCCGAGAACCTGACAAGCTTCGTAGTTTCAAATGCCATTACCCGTTGTGGACGCAACGGATTCCTCGTAGGGCAAGCACACGCGTTCCGGTGTATCGCCAACCAAATGATGTATGATCTACATAGCATGTGCACTTCGCAATCAAGATTCCCAGATGTATTTGTGCAAGAGAAATTCTCAGTTTTTTTTGGAGTTGGATATTATGCTGCTTGGCACTTTTCTCTTCTTGTTCTCCCGGGGGTGCCGATATTCTGCAGGCTTTAGCCTGCATGATAAGAGCGTTGCAAGAGAAAGACAACCCAATGAACGGACAGGAAGCCAGGGCTTGGCGAGTGATGGCAATTGCACATGGTGAAGCAGCCACCGACGACAGGGTTTTCGATCCTTCCGAGCAAGATCATCGCGAGTCGTTAAGTAAATGCCAAGCTTCGGAATCTATCATGGCTGTGCCGGGGCAAGAATTCGTGTTTCAGGGGAAACAATTTTGTCTGCTTCGCCAGCTAATTACGTAGGCAATCCCCTGAATAGGGAATAGGGAGTGTTTTGGCGGTTTGTTTTGTATAGGGGAAGCTGCCCTTGCTTGGGCACACAGATCCAGAACCCAATCGGGAAGCAGGAAAGGGGAACTAGGAATTGCTAGTCCAATGATGATGCATTCTGGGGCTCGATAAGTGTGCGAAGATGTACCCGCAAGCTACTGTGACCAATGCATCTGCATTTCATCAAGTCCAGACATCATAGGGTGGAGCTGGAAGGGGACTGGAATGCGTCTTTACCAGCTGGGGCTAAAGTTCGCGCTAGGCAGCTATGATCGACAAATCGAACGGCCTCTATCAAGTCAAAGCGCAATGGTGCCAAACTTCGGCTGCCGATCATGACCCGCCGGCTCCGTACTTAGCCCCTTCTGCCTTCTCCGTGACCGAGGGTCCCGCGGAACTTCGGTTGGGCTGCTCCTCTAACTTAGCGTCCGCTGCTGCATCTTGGTCCAGTAATCCCTCGGGACCGTATATTCTCCACCCACGAAACCCTAGAAATATGTACCAAAGCGCTCATCACGAAGCCAAGACGTGATCGCTGTGGTCCATTGAATGTTCTCGCCATTTCGGATTGTTTTCTGACTCGGCAATGACCTTGACCTGGTAGGGCAGGCCAGGGCTGCATCCTACTTATTCTTGGCTGTTCAAATTCCGTTATCTCGCCGATTCTTCATATCTAGCTGGAAGCACGAATTCACCGACCAGGACCCTGGCCTCTTCGGCGCCCGAGTCCTTGGCTATCGTGCCCATAGCGCCGGAGGATCAAAAGAATCCCGACTCGGGTAGCCGAGTGCAACCCCTCTTCTTCATTGCATATTGATAGCCCCTCTGCACCAGCTCAATTGTCGTTAACCTTGTCCAGAACCTGGTCATCTCCACTGGTCATCGTCATTGGGTCTGGACCTTCTCTTGGAGGGTTACAGTTCTGGATGAGATACGCGAGAACTTTTTTGGGATTCGCCAATGGCAGCTTGAGGTACTGTCACACCTGGTCATTGTTGACTGTATGGATGCCTAGAAAGGAAAACCATCCGTGAAGTTGTTCTCGAAGGGTCCACTGATACTCGGCGGGTCTGTCATGAAATGTGGACGCCTTCTCACAAATACGATTTTGGCCGTTGTTCACGCAACTCCTCTGGTTACATCACAAGCTTGATTATACGTGGTATTCACTCATCGTCTCAGTCCAAGTCTATATTTTAGTCTCATGCGAGACTGACTTTCCTTTTCCGTACTTTCTCGCGGAAGAGATAAATGTTTTGAATGCTATTGTTCACATCCTCCAAATAAGCTGCAGTCGAGGACAATGAGATCGTCCATTCGACTCGCACAGGCTGCAGCTCTTAATTTCTCCGAAACAATAGCTTATCCCCATCTGCCAGCTGGCATAGTCCGTCGGGAAACCCTCCGACGCTTACAAAATCTGCCTGGACAACAATTTGGTACGGCTTTCAGGCGTTCGGGTGCATTATCAAGGAGTACCGTAGGGGAGAGAAAGTATAACCTGGTAACAGGCATCACCATTATAATACGACCTGTCAATCCTTTGAAATCATAGTGGATACTCAGCGAACGTGTCTGGACTTCTTGACATGGGATCTTCATAGCAAAAACGTTCCGAAAATTGAATGACCTTGGCTATATTACCCACTCTAAATTATTACTTTACAATATGGAGAAATAGAAAATAAAAATAAAAATAAAAATAAAAATAAAAATAAAAATGCCAAAATATTAACAATTAGACATAATGTCGATCTTTGAATGGTTTGTTTCATTGTTTCAATAAGACGCACTGGCCAGGCGCTTTGCAGATCGAGTACAGCTTGCACAGCCCCCTTTGAGCACTTGCAGCGTAGGGCAGCGAGGGAAAACCCCGAGCGGCAAAGGGGATTGTAAAAAAAGACGATCGCAAACGCAATCCCCAGCATGCCTCCCTGACATGGTGTACGTCTCCCAAGACCCTAGTCACCGATCTCGAATTATTCGCTCTTGCGAGGCACCCAAGCATGACCGCTTATTGCTAAGGTGGAGATAACAAGGAATGAGAGTCCATTGTTTATCCAACCGAGGTGAGCTCATCAACTCAAATTTCAGTACTATCACACGTGTGTCTTAGCCAAGGCGACTGATATAATGGAGTATAACCAGGAAGTCAAGGATCTCTTCGACCGGTGGACCGATCGATTGTGTGATTTGGACCTTTTTTTTTTCCATTGCGATCAAGGGATCAACCATGGGTGATATTCACCAACCCGCGTGGCCTTGTAGGGCTCCTGAAAATCCTCTGATCAGCATTCGCAATCGATGGAACCGGTGGGAACGATTATTTGATCTACTTGCTACGCATTCCCCAATAACGGAGCTCCGAGGGCCGGTGGAGTCGAGTACACGATAACGGCCTTCGCCAAGCAGCCAAGGTCCTGGGTTGGATTTTCGTGACGCACCCTGTTCTGGCCCAACAGGACTAACAACTCTAGCCCACCAGGCTAGATTTTCCGAGAGCAGCCATGGTTCAAAGTACCTGATATTGAGTGATCTTATCTAATCGTCCGGATCACACCGACCTTAACGCCCACGGCTAATGCCCGATGAAACATGCAGCTGAATCTCCCAGCGCTTGGCGCGATACATCGGACTCCGCCAAGGTCCCCTTCGGTAAACTCGACTTCCTATCCTTTCCGCCAGCACGCGATATGCGCCTGCAACATCGTGGGTCCTTCGCGAGGTTACGCGCATACAGACGAACTTTATCAGACACCCATTCCAAGGTTGCGTTGGTTCCTATGTCGCCCGAACCCAAGAACAGGCCGCACGTGATTGCATAAGTAGCACTGGGAGCAAATACCCCGACACAACCCTGTTCTGCAGAGAGTGATACATAGGCCTCGCGATCCGGTAAGTGGAGACAACATGCATGTCCGGACCGAGAATCCCCGTCGCCGAGGAAGTCCAAGAACCAACCGGCTGCGACCATGAAAAGCGCGACCGATCGGCGTTCCAAACACGACAATCCCTCGGAACAATGTGCCAAGCCTTTCGATGCAGTCACTTGTCACTAGTCTATGAGAGGATCTCTCAGGAGCGCACATAAAATTGCCATCATCGCCGGTGATGCTGGATGTGGCTGCAATATATAGCGGGAGGTGCTGCGGTGGCTGCTTGGCAAGATCTGGGCGTTTTCTGGATAATTACATTGCCGCTGCACGCCCATAAAACTGTCTAGAGGGGCTACTGAGGGGTCAAATTTGGGACTTGTGCATTCACCGGTAGAATTCGTGGGTCCTAGCTATCTTGGCTTCATTGAGGAGCTCTGGTGATTGCAGAGGAATGGACCAACGAAACGATATAGTGGATCTATATTCTTCTATCACAATGGATCCACCTTAATATCATCAATTGATTAAAAAGATTGTACCTGTATGTACAATATCTACACCTTTCAATATACATTCAATAGATGATTCTATACAAATATATTCAAGCGCTTGAACGCACCTGCAGGATCAGTGATGTCATGTATGATGAACCCCCTCGAAAATATATTCCGCTCCAGCCCTTAGCGAAGAATGAACAATATTGGAAACCACTGAAATCACCATTTCCTTCTTTTTCTGAGCATTCACTGATTGCTTATTGAAATTGATACTTGAAAACTCATCCGAAGAGTTCCATTGTATACGGCAACTGGAAAGAAGCAATATCACCCGACCAAAGCCGAAACACATCAATAAAGATGTCACATTTGCAATACTACAGCTACGAAGGCCTCGGCCAAAAGCAAAAACGAGACTTCTGGTACAGCCAAGCCGTCCGCATCGGCGACCGTATCGAATGCGCAGGTCAAGGTACACCTCATAACGCCACCAGACTATTAACAGAATATGTCACTGACACGTTCGCAGGTGGTTGGGATCCTAAGACCGGAGTGTTTCATCGAGAGATCAATGCCCAAATCGACCAGGCATTTGCCAATGTCGAATTGAACCTGAAGGATGCCGGTGGCAAGGGCTGGGAGCAGGTGTTCCGGGTGAACTCGTACCATGTCCCGATTAATAACGAGGCTCTCGATGCAATGGTGCGCAACTTTAAGCGCTACATGCCGAACCATCAGCCCATCTGGACTTGTGTTGGAGTGACGCGGCTTGGAGAAGATGATATGAGGGTAGAAATTGAAGTGGTGGCCCATGATCCTTGAGGTGGATTGGGGGTATATTGCACGTATTCGTGAATGAGCCGCTAGAAACTAGGTATATCAATGAGTCCTGGCACAGGACCAAATAAGAAGGCATTCCTCAGTGTGTGTGAGAGGGGCTTTAATGGCCTCTGCCGCCTCTTCCTCTGCCTCCACGGCCTCCACGGCCTCCACGGCCTCCTCGACCTCCTCGTCCTCCTCGAGATGATCGCCCCTTGGAGCTTTGCATCTTGTGCAAGTCGTCTTTGCTCAGGTTTAACGTGCCACCGGAGAATTTACCAATGGATGATCCGCCAATGCCACGATCTCGTCGGCCGTTGTTGGATGATTTGGTGACCTTTGTAGGTTTCTCGAGAATAATGCCGTTCTCTTTCGCCTCTCGTCGTCGCTTCTCGTCCTTGGATGCTGCCTTGGCGTTGATTCCTCGTCGGTGGGCATCGGGCATCTTTTGTTTGTAGAGAGAGTCCTTGGCGCCCAGAGATTGCATGCGAAGGTCCAGGGCCTTGAGGCGGTTTTTGCCGGTGGGTGCCAGGTCCGAGGATGACTCGAGTAGGTGGGATTCTCGAAGTAGTCGCTGCAATGCAAGATCGTGTTTCAGGTTAACGGTGTCTTTTTCGTCATCAGACTCGTCCTTCTGATCTGACTTTGTGTTTGATTTTGTTGTCTTGGTTTCTGAAGATGGTGGTTTCGCGCTCTGTGAGATGTGCATGTTAACACAAGTGCTCTATAAAAGTTGCAAAATTTGCTCACCATGAATGCCTTGTATGCTTGCTTGTCCATTCTGTCGTCTGTAGCTCGGGTGTCCGTGTGTTCTACCACTTCCACAATATCCTCGTCGCTTTCGTCTTCCGAGACTCCGTCCCACTGCTCGTCAATCTCCGATCCCTCACTATCATCGTCTTCCTCCGAGTCCTCCTCCACTTTAGAATCGCCAGTAGAGGGCTTATCAGGCAAATCCAGAGGCGCAAACTGTGCCTCGAAGTATTTGCGAAAAACGTCTTGCGCATCGTCCGCGGGAGGTGGCGAAGGACTGGCCTTGACTGTTTTCTTGGACCGCGACACGACGGAAGTGTCTCTCTTGCGCTTGCCAACCATGCTGGGTGCCATTTTTAAAATTCAACTAGCAGAGTTGCCGTTGCCAACGACGCGATGTTCCCCGAAGTTTTTTTTGACCGAGCTCCAGATCACGTGCGATAACGCCGATAAGCCCCTCGACATAGCGGCGCGACTCATTCAGCTTCAAGTCTTCCAATTGCAACAAAGATGACCAAGTTCCGACCTTGCATAGACCTCCACTCGGGGCAAGTCAAGCAGATCGTGGGTGGCACTCTCAGCAGTGTTGCCGCAGACTTGAAGACCAACTACGTCTCCAAGTTCCCCGCCAGCCACTATGCGGGACTCTATCAAAAGAACGACCTACGTGGGGGGCACGTTGTGAAGCTCGGACCGGGAAATGAAGAAGCAGCACAGGAAGCCCTGCGAACATGGCCTGGTGGCCTGCAAGTGGCTGGAGGAATCACCGATAAGAATGCGCAATATTGGATCGACCAGGGCGCCGAAAAGGTGAGCTCCCTACTATGCGATCGATTCCTGCTTTGGCATTATCCGCACAGCGGACCTTTAAAATTCCGATCTGGATTTATTCGTCATGCTGTCCGACAATGACGCTGATTCATTTCCTGTGGAATGCGGGACACTAGGTCATCATCACTTCATTCCTCTTCCCGTCAGGCAAATTCTCCCTCGAACGGCTCGAGTCAGTACTTGCGGCTCTTGGCGGCGATAAGTCCAAGCTGGTTTTGGATTTGAGTTGTCGCAGAAAAGATAATACTTGGTTCGTGGCGATGGACCGCTGGCAGACTATTACAGAGATGGAGATCAATCAGGGTATGTCACCTTTGAGATGAGGTATGGCATTCTTTATTAACAGTTGGCAGAGTCCATTTCTCTTTTGGAGCCTTACTGTTCTGAATTCTTGATTCACGCTGCCGATGTGGAGGGCCTTCAACAGGGTGTTGACGAGGAGTTGGTGTCGAAATTGGCCGAGTGGTGCACCATTCCCATTACCTATGCTGGTGGAGCTCGTCATCTCCAAGATCTGGAGAAGGTGCACAGTAGTAGCAAGGGCAAAGTCGACCTGACTATTGGCAGCGCTCTGGATATCTTCGGTGGCTCCGGAGTGACGTTTGACGAGTGTGTTGAGTGGAACAAGTCTCATTAACAATGAGACCGGACACCCCTCTAATACTTTCGCAACGATTAAAATGACCACGTCAATAGAGAATAAAATTCAGATTAAGAAATAAGTCCATATTATGATTTCTATATTTCTATAGAACCGGGGAAGTTCCAAGACCGAGACATGTCGTTGGCTGGCGCATGACCGAAAGCGGCTTAGGGGCTGGATGTGAGCTCCGCCCGCCAACCTCCGTGTCTTCATCACTTCTCATCGTCCTCGACCTCCCCGCGTCTTTGGGTGTCTCTGTACTTGAATATAAGTCGCCCGAGTCTTCTCAGCGCCTCCTACTCGATTGTACTACCTCGAATCGCTCCTTTCGCCCGACCGCCAACATGAAGCCCGTCGTGTCGGCGTTGAATGCCTGGTCCTGGTAGGCTCTACCACCCCAAGAAGGAGCTAGTCGCTCAGACTGCATTATCTAACATTTGACCCCTGATAGTGTCGTTATATCCGTCTTCGCTATCGTCATTCTCTCCGTCCTTGGAACACTCTTTGGCGTACGTTCGCCCGCCCCCAGTCCACGTCATGGGCGTAATGCGCCCATCGCATTGCCTATTTGGAGATTCGAGAGAAGGAGACGCTAACATACTACTTTTTGCCACAGAGTAACAACCACGCCTATACTGGCTCAGAAGGAGAACCCGAGGATGGTCCTGCAGTTGCTGCCTCCATCTACGTCGCGGTGCTCGTCTACGCTGTATGTCACCATCCAAAACAACAAATGCCACCATCTCAAGGAAACCGGACCGTTGCTAACAACATTTATCTCCGATACAACAGGGTTTCTTCGTCTTCTGCGGATTCCAGGCCTATCTCCACATTCTAGACCGCAGGGGCGGTGCCATATCACTCCGCTAAACCAATCCAAAAATCTACAACAATATCTTATTCGGTGTCTTTAACGGTCCTTGGGTCGATTTGCAATCGCTGGGTCTTACATATTTTCGGTCTATCTTCGGTGAACATGAATGCCAGGGTCTGAGAGGGCGGGGAAAGATAAAGATCCAATCATGAAACGGATCGACGGTTCCAACCTATCCGGACTTCTCACCATGCTTTACAACTGCCTTATCAATTCGAGGTGGACTCGGAGTCCGTCGGTATCACGAGCTAGGAATGCAGTCTCTATCTATGGATGGGCCTTGGAGCTGGTATCCCGGTCTCCCCTTTGCTAGAGCACACTTACCTTCTTGCACGATATGTACATAGACCGCTCGGAAGTATGGCCAGTTATTTCTACTTTTTTTTTATGTACGATTTTATCACCGATGGATGGCCTTTCGCTCAGGTCGAGATCGAGTATAGACATTTCATCATTGTTCGTTATTGACAAGCCCTATTTTTGTATGTCCAACGCCTATGCATGCAAATAATCAAATCCACGGGTATTTTGGTTCACTCTTCGTCTTCGTATGGGTCCAGCATCTTGGACATGTAGGGCCCGTCCAGAGTGTATCCGAGGCGCGCATAGTAGCTGCGCACTCCAACACCGGAGATAACACTAATTTTAGTGCTTCCGTGCTCTTCGCGCGCAATACGCTCCGCCTCCTCCATCAAAAGGGTACCGAAACCTCGGTGCTGGAACTTGCGAGCATCACGACCGTGAAGCGGCACAGCAGACCCGTAGACGTGGAGCTCGCGGACGATACTGGTCTGCTGGCCGGTGAACTCGGGGCGGAAAGTGTGAGTGTCGCTGCACTTGCGCAGACGGAGCAGACCGATGAGGATATCCTGCTTCGGGTCCTCGTATGCGAGGAAGGTCTCCCAGCCGCCGTTGGCGGTGTAGTCGCGGCGGATTAGCTCGACTTGTGAAGGGCGGATCTTGTTCTTCACTTCGTTGATACCGACTTCTCGGGTGCGAACGTCGCGGCAGGTAGTTCCAAAGTCCTTCATACGAGCTAGGGCCAGCTCGCGCAGGTTGCCATTCTCTACGCCGGATGTGACGAGGGGCATCGGGATATCACGCTGGACACGATAGATACGGGTCCAGGGAGGGATAAGCGCCAGGATACGAGCGACGAGGTCAACAAGGGCGTTGGGAGTGTAGTTCTTGTAGCGGCCAGTCCGCCACAGCTCGTAGAGCCCTGTGCCTCGAATGACAAGGGTGGGATAAATCTTCAGACCGTCGGTACGGAAATCAGGGTTCTCGAAGTATTCTTGGAACTGGAACAGATCACGCTCCATGCCTACGTTCGGCAGATCGGGCATCATGTGGCTGACAACTTTGAAACCGGCATCCTTGGCAAGCTTGAAGGTCTCGGCCACGGCCTTGACAGTGTGGCCGCGGTTCGTGTCGCGGGCCACATCCTCGTACAGACTCTGCACACCGATCTCCAGACGGGTGCATCCATATCGAAGCATGCTGTCCAGGTGCTGGTCCAAACAGTAGTCCGGACGTGTCTCGATTGTGATACCAACACACTTGACGTTACTCATTTCACCGGCCTGAACGGCTTCATCCACGTTGTCCGTCTGGTATCCACTCAGCGCGTTGTGAAGTTGGGAGATGAACGTGTCCCGATAATCCTCAGGCAATGACATGAAAGTTCCACCCATGATAATGTATTCAACTTTATCCACACTGTGGCCCAGAGACTTGATCTGATCCACACGTCCTCGCGCCTGCTCGAATGGATCGTAGCGAGCGCGAATCGCACGCATCGATGTCGGTTCGTATCCAGTATAAGATTGTGTTGAGTACTCGAAATCGGAGTCAGGGCCACCAGGGCAGTAGACACAGATGTTTCCGGTATATGCAATATGAGGGCAACGGTGGGGTTTGCACATCACGGCCACGACGGCGATACCAGAGGAGGTTCCTGTGCGACGAGTTAGCTCGGTGTTCATGCGACTCCAGATAGTCTTGACATACGGATCGGCTTCGCAATCAGCTTGGGCAGAATGTATTTCTTGTAGTGTTCGGGCACAGCAGCAATGATGGCTGTCAGTGGCGGCAGGGTCGCCAGACTGTGCTTCTTCGATACTTTGCCCCGCAGCTGGTTCAAGTTGATGTCTTTCCGGGGCTGCGAAGGGTCCTTCTGAGACTCCCAGTCCTGGATGAGCGCATTCGCAATATCGGAGCAGGCTCGCATATACCGCTCGTTCTCTGGCAACTGCTTGGAGTTCTTCTTGGCCGTCTTTGACGGCATCGTCACGGTCATGGTAGCCATGGCGAAACAGTATCAACCGCGCAGCGGCGGTATAGGATCAAGAAGATCACAAATACAGATAGAAGACAGGAGCTTTGAAGACGTAGTGGGGTTGAGGCGATTAGATAGAAAAAAGTTGGTGGCCGAGGTTTGCGACCCGAACTCAACTCGGGTCCGCTTAAGTAAAGATTTGTTCCCGAACGAAAACTCCCGGGCGCGCATCCCGATTCCCTTGCTTCAACTCCATCCCCGAGTCAACCTCTTTTCACCCTCTCCTCTCCTCTCTCTTCCATATCGCAGTCATGCAGGCCTTCCGCCGTAACACCTTTTCGGCCGTCCGCAATGTCGCCGGCAAGCGCTCGGTCACCTCTAAGGCCAACTCGCCTTATGCCGAAACGGTGAACAACCTGCGGATCAACAAGGACACCCGTGTTCTGTTCCAAGGTTTCACCGGCAAGCAGGGAACGTGAGTCATGTTGACGTGTATTCCACCAATTCCAAGCGCAGAAATGCTGACGTGTAGCTGGTGAACAGTTTCCACGCCGAGCAGGCTATCGCCTACGGTATCTATCCTCTCATCGCGATCGCAGATGGACACGAACTTACAAACAGCAGGCACTAATGTCATCGGTGGTACCAACCCCAAAAAGGCTGGCCAGATGCACCTTGACCTCCCCGTCTTCGCCAACGTCGCCGATGCTCGCAAGGAGACCGGTGCTACTGCTTCCGCCATCTTCGTCCCGTATGGCTTCGCCGTTCAGATCGCATATTGAAAGAAGAAAAGCTAATGTGGATTAGTCCCCCTCTTGCTGCTGCCGGTATCGAGGAGGCCATTGCTGCTGAGATGCCCCTGGTTGTTTGGTTGGTGTCCCTATCTAGAGCTAAGCTCCTTAAAAAAAGTTTCGACTAATATTGGATTCGCGTCATAGCATTACTGAGGGTATCCCCCAGCACGGTACGGGTTATTCTATCATATGCGCGTCGAACACAAGCTAATGAAACGCTTTTAGACATGGTCCGCATCACCGACATGCTGAAGACTCAGAACAAGACCCGTCTCGTTGGCCCGAACTGCCCCGGCATCATCGCTCCCGTAAGTGATGAAACTCGGAATACGCGCAATGCTATATACTCATATCTTTCGCTTTCATAGGGTCAATGCAAGATCGGTATCATGCCCGGCTTCATCCACAAGCGCGGCCGCGTCGGTATCGTCTCCCGCTCCGGTACCCTCACCTACGAGGCCGTCAACCAGACCACCCAGGCTGGCCTTGGTCAGTCTCTTGTCATCGGTATCGGTGGTGACCCCTTCTCCGGCACCAACTTCATCGACTGCCTGAAGATCTTCCTTGAGGACCCCGAGACCGACGGTATCATTATGATCGGTGAGATTGGTGGTTCCGCCGAGGAGGATGCCGCCGAGTTCTTCAAGGCCAACAACATCCACAACAAGCCCGCTGTTTCCTTCATTGCCGGTATTTCCGCTCCCCCCGGCCGCCGCATGGGCCACGCTGGTGCCATCGTCAGCGGTGGTAAGGGTGGTGCCGACTCCAAGATCGCCGCTCTCCAGGATGCCGGTGTCATTGTCGAGCGCAGCCCTGCCTCCCTCGGCAAGGCTCTGCTTGCCGAATTCGTCAAGCGCGATCTTGTCTAAAGGATGACAGGATCTGTTTTTGAAGTTTCATGCTCCTTGGTGACCTGGTTCTTTGGTTCTGAGATATATCCACTGTCTATAAGATGGTGATCGCGGTTCATCTACTTATGCCGCCCCTGTATTCTTTTTCTCCTTTGTGTTAGAGACCCTTGAAGTAATTAGTTTCGTGTAACTTTTACTTTAATCCAATGTGCATTGTGTAGAGTAAACTAGGCTATTGTTTACTCCATGACTAGTCCTTTATGAGGTTCCTTTATTCTAGTCTCACCCATTGTAAACCCTAATTAACCATAATGAACCTGGCCAGGACGCCTTTACTTGATATCGCCGCATAAGAAAAGAAGGAATCCCTGAGCAACATGGTCTCCAGCACCATCTTGCAAATGCATTCAAACGCTATGCCAGAGCCTTGATTCCGGTGGTTGAGGCCATCTCTGAGCCCGAGAAGGAATAGAAAACGGTGCCGTAAGTTACCCAGAGTCTCACCTAATCTAGATGAAGGTAGAGAAGTAACGAGATAACCTGGACAGAAAGATGTCCAGAGAGATATATTGAAAGATATATAGAAGTATCTAGGAACACTATTATTAAAGATAGCTAGAAAGCTATATAAGCGCGTTGAGTTGAAAGTGGCGCTTCACATCTATGTTTATCCTGGCCAAGATGAAGGCCGTTGAGAGATATATGATATGGTGTTTCTTCCCATCGTCGTACATCTTCTATCTCAATATATATTGCATGGGCACGAGGCAGCGAGTACCGATAGAACCTTTTCTCAACAAATTCATACTCCTTCGCCTCCATCATGCCTACAGATCAATGAGCCACTTTCCGCAAAGCTTTCACAACCTCCTCAGTCCCGAGCACATCCGCAAACTCGCCATCAAGGCTAGCAACCGAGACCTTATGAACTGTCTCCGAATCTATTCCCCCCTTTCCAAAAGTCGCCGTCGCATCCGACACCAGCACAATCCTCCCCTTATCAACCTTCACATCCTTCTCATGCGTCCCATCAGCATGAATCTTAACTGGTCCCTCCCCAATAAACCGATCCACAACCCCCAAATTCGCCGCCATCCGCGTCGTTGTAGAAACACAATGATCAGTGGTCAACCCCGCAATGATCAATTGCCTGATCCCCTTCTCCCGTAGGTGTGCTTCAAGCTTCGTTCCAATGAATGAAGAGTTAACGCTCTTCCAGAACACAGGCTCGGACCCGTCTGATGCCGGGGTGGCGAAGTCTAAAGGACGGATTCCCTGTGCCGGGTGAAGTGGATGCAGTGGAGATCCCGGTGTCACTGAGGAGTGGAATACATGGATGACTTCTAGTGGTGACTTGGAGGTCGAGCGCGCGGCTCGGAAGGCGGTGATAAGGGCTTTGATATTCACTTCGTAGAGTGGGTTGGAACGCTTTGTGCCCCAATGGGATACTGTTCCTGAGTGACAGAAGGCGGATTGGTTGTCGATCAGGAGGAGAGCCGTGGGAGGGCTCAAGTCGAGATAAGATGACATTTTGAACTTTTTCTTTGAGGCTAGGAATGGGGATGGTCTTGGGGGATTATAAGCCTCCCAATGGTTGCCGCTTTGGATGAGTCACCTGAGTGCTCACTAACTTTTCTCGCGATGGCGTTTTATCAGCCCATTAAAGTCTGAAAGTAATTGTTGGGCTGTCCTGAGTTGGTATGATCGTGGTAAAGAATGTAAACAGTTGGTCTTGCGAGGAGGTGATTTCGTTTGTTCATCAATTGAAGCCATTTCAATGTTGGCAATGCAAGCTAATCCAACTCCACGAATAATTTTATTAAGAACATCAACTCTCTTTATCTTCCAAATTCTTAATCCCATCCTCCAATTCAGGCAACTTGTCCTGCCCAATGCCAAGTCTCTTCCTCCACTTAGTCTCCTTCTTGAGCCTTGCTCTACGCCGCCGTCGTGGCGCATAGTTAATAGGAGATTCACCTCCAATAAATATAAATGTGTCGTACAGAGCACCCCCAGTAAGACAACCACTGATGGTAGCCACCCAGCAGCCCCAAAACCACCATCCTTGATGATCGGTGAAAGTGTGCCCACCATAGCCAGCCATGAGGGCAACGAGGCGAGGGCCGAAGTCTCGCACGGGATTCAAACATCTAGAACAGTCAGTACTTCATAGATCCAAAGTAAGGGAAGAATCTTACCCTCCAGTGTTGAATCCCAAGCAAATGCACAGGACGTAGATAACGAGGCCGATCACAAACGAGTGCATACCGGCACCCGGTGGAGCGTTGCTATCGTCACCCATTGCAAAAATAACACAAAGTAATACCGCGTCGGCGACATATTCAGTGAAAAAAGCAGTTGCGGAGCTGACGTGACTCAGTGGTTCGGTGTAGAGTCCAAGTCCCGATGCACCTGGTGATGCATTCGGTGCTAGGATCAGAATTGAATCTCGATACAAACAGTAGGTCAGACCCGCGGCAGTGATGGCGCCAAGCACCTGGGCAATAATATAGTAGCAGCATCGTCGACCTGGGAAACCGCGAAAAATCCAAAGCGTGATAGAGATTCCTGGGTTCAAGTGCGCGCCAGAAATACCACCGGCGAGGTAGATACCGATCATGAATCCGAGGCCCCAGGACCAGTTCTCTGAAAGACGGTTTCCTGCCGATGTTCCGCCGGTCGATACTGCGAGGGTGCCGCATAGGCCGATGAGGACGGCGACGGTTGTCTATTGTCCTCATTAGTATTGTGTATGGTTATATATCAGGCTATAAATCTTACTGCGAGGAATTCTGCAAAGGGCTCTCTCATCTGGTGTCTGATTTTGACCCACAGATTCAAGAATTCTTCCTGTGGCTGTTCTTCCATCTGGTGGTCTTCCATCCATTGATTTGAGTTCTGGGGTATATTTCCTTGACTGGCTTCTGATTCCATTGGACGAAGGAGGCCATCGGCTTGCGGGGCATAAATAGCATGTTGTTTAGCAAGGCCCTGCTGCGCTGTTGATGAATAGGTCTGTCCCTGCACCTGGGGAGCTCCAGACTGCGGTGGTGACATCCCAGGCGTTGCACTCATCTCTGGAGCGGGAGCAGATTCACCCGGAGGCTCGGGCTGTTGAGCAGCTGTTTGACTCTTTTCATCTCGACGCATGCCGGGTCGTACAACGCGTGGAAGAGGCTTGGCCAGCCCCCAAATTGGCTTCTCATTTTCGCGTCCGTATTTGGGGTTCCGTTGTCGGTATTCCGGCTCAACGTAGACATTGCCTTGTTGTGATTCTTGAGGTTGGACTGGGTCCATGTTATTTCCCGCTAGAGAATGAGTTGGCCATTGGTTGACCTGTTGTTGGCTCCATGTCTTGCTCGCCAATGATGGGGGTTGGTGTCCGTAGTAAACGCTACCAGATTCGGTCGGCTGTCGAGCCACAGAAGGGCGTGAGGAAAGTGGTGGTGGTTGTTCAGTTAAAGGTGTTGAGGGGGGCCCATATTGGGACGTCTGTTGATGTTGCTTTTCTAATGCGAGCTGCTGCTCTGATGGCCCGGGTGTTGGGGGCTGCTCATCGATTTGCTTTTTAGGTGATGCATTCAATGTTTCGGTCGATGCTGACGAATTGGGACTGCTATCTCGTTCTTCAATAGGATGCAATTGAGGTCCAGGGGGTGAGCTGAAAGGCTCTTCACGGGTTTGTTCCCCCATAATTAATCACGCTAATAAGCAGAATGACAAAGGCTAGTACGAGCAAAATGAGCGCTCGAAAAATGGAAAAAGTCTCTCTTTCAGGAGGGGAGACTATATAGGGTCCATTTACAGGAGTGACGCGCTGGAATGTCTTCCCGGTGTTATGAGGCAAATTGCAAGATTCCGTTCAATTGATTATCCAACCAGACCCAGCATTGACGTCTTTGGCTCCAATTTTTACTGCAGGACTATGGGGCGACTTGAAGATCAGAGTGGAGTAGTTCAAGCCACCGTGTAAAATGGTCTCTTATCATAGCTCTAAGCTCTCTAGTGACATCAGCTCGATGTTCAGTGAAAATTTATTCATGTCAATCTGCTATGGAAGACAGCTAGTGGTGTCGATCTTGACGGCATATCGGTCCCCCGGGCCGGCCTCCCACGTTAAATTCTAAAGAAGCAAGGCCAGATCGAAAGTATCTAGCTTCTGATGACTCAAGCGACGGGTTTCAGTTACTGTACCTGTTGGTTCCGGTGCGCTTCCCACCAATCATGGCCTCGGGATATATCTGGCCCCACAACCCGCGAATGAGGATGTTGCGATGGAAGTTCCACTATGCCAAGAATTGATTCTTCGCCGCTTCTCTGCGTTTCCATAAACCATTGGATAGATATTTCGATTTGGTTCTCCTATTGTTTATTTCAACGTTTGTCCTTGTCGATCGCGAAGCTTCTACAGCTTCTAGGCTTTAGCTCACGCCACATTGTATCTAGAATCGGAACCAACTCGATGAACTAACTGTACACATATTTTTGAGAAACTAGGCCCCGAAAGACACCGTCAGATTGGATGCAAGCTATGTAATCACCCCAGCCTATTGCCAAATGGAAGATAAATCAGAAAAACCGAGTTGCACATTCTCGGTACTTCCCCCGGAAGAGAACAACTTCGCATATGTCGCTTTCTCACTAGGAAATATCTGAGCAGTTAGAGTACTCTCCCCCTGCCCCCCAAACACCTCAACACTGGACCAATCTACCAAGATCCTTAAACGAACAACACCGTCCGCACTGGGCTCCAAAGGCGCATGGTAAACACTCGCAAAGGTCTTGTCAAACGAAACATCCCCAGACAGCGTACGATCTAAAAAGACCTTCCGAGCCTGGAAATCGTACCCAACTCGTGTTTGTTGCTTCTTGTCAGCGGTAGCCTGAACAATAACTCCAAATTCAGATACCCCAGAAGCTTGTTGGCGATCATCAAAGCTCAATTCAATATCCAATGTCTTCCCTCGCGAACCGAGATCCTCTGTCCCTTCAGCAACAGATTTCCAAGTCCGAGAATACTTCTTCTGAGTTTCAATAGATGCCCAATTCTCCTTTGGCTGCTGAACAAGAGTGACCTTTTCCCCAATTGTCCTTAACGAAAGATGCCGCGGAGTAGCCATCGCGCTGCGCCAAGGGTAAGTCGGAATAATACCTCCATATTGCCAATTATTCATCCACCCAATAGAGACATGCTCGGCATCCGGAAGCCCATTATAACTAGCAGCGGCATAGAAATCCGGACCCCAGTCCATCCAATTCGCAGTGCTGTTACCAGGATACACATCGTCGTCATCCGGGATGAAAGTCGTGCCATTGAATCCTCCAATGAAATACTGCGTTCCCGAACCGACAGTCTCAGGCGGTCCTCCAGGATTGAGACCAACAACCATGATCCATTTTGTATCCGTTTGGTTGCCGTCAAGCGGCAGTGGGAAAAGATTGGGACATTCCCATACTCCGCCGACGGCATTGAAAGGGCCGAATTCGCTTACGACGGACCATTCTTTCAGATTGTCGGATGTCCAGATGATAAGTTTGTGGATTTCTGAAAGAGCGGTGACGAGGACCCATTTGTGGGTTTGTTCATGCCAGAAGACGAATGGATCTCGGAAATTCTGATACTGGTCCTCGTATGGCGTTGGGGGGTAGTGGATGACTGGGTTGGCGGAGTCATATGTTTGCCATGTCAGACCATCGTCTAGGCTATATGCTATTGACTGTGATTGTTGATTGGCTTTTACTGTTTTCCCACTTGGCAAAGTTTGCGTGACGGGGTACTAAGGAGGAAGCGTCAGATCGAAATGGGCAAGGTAAGAGATATTCCTTTCGGACTCACATTTGAAGTGTACAGGGCGACCAAAGGGATCTTTCCGTCGGTACCAAGGCCGCTGGTGTTCTTTACATCGGCGACAGCACTTCCAGTGAAGAACATCTCGGTAATATTGTCGGGGAAACCTCGGGCGAGAAGCGCGATGGGCTGCTCCTCCCAATGGCTGAGATCTTTACTTGTGGCGTGGCCCCACGACATATTTCCCCACACGATTCCCCCTGGATTATACTGGAAGAAAAGATGGTAGAGTTCATTATGGTATAGTAGTCCAGTAGGATCGTTCATCCAGTTTTGGGCAGGCGAGAAATGGTATTGAGGACGGTAGGGCTCTATGTAGGTAGCCCAGGTGGGGCTCGCGAAGAGGCCTAAGAGCAGGACTTCTAGAGAGTTGACCATTTTGTGTCTTGCTCATAGAGCAGAGAGTAGAAAAAGAATTATGAATAGGACGTGATTTAGTTTCTTTGTTCACTATTGCGCTAGTATTTATATCCCCAGTTCCTTCATTCCCCACGGGGAATGTCTCCACCAACAAGCCGATAATCACCCGCACCGATGTTTCTTCGGAGAATTATGAACTTAACTCCACCGTGAAGATGTAGAAGACGAAAACATTCGACGGTCGGCATTGAACTCGCATAACTTCGGGGTTAAACTCGGAATTGCGGAGACTGTCTAACTTCTTATTGCTTCAATCCGAGTTTCTCCTGCTTCCCTTTCTTGTTCCCCGCACCGGTGGTCTTTGATTTCTCCGTGCTAGCATCAGTGCCCTGAACGTTTGACGTAACGGTCTGACCGTAGTTACTCGGTGCGGCGTGGTTGCAAGGAATGCCTTGGCCATTCACGATGTTCGTGCACTGGTAGACCTCGTCTTGCAGGTTTGTGTTCCACATTGGCAAGCCCAAAGTCCTGTTGACGGATTGAATCTCGATATTATCGAACTTGAGACCTGGGCAGGGGTGCACGTCCGAGCAGTAAATAGAAGATGCGATATTGTACCGCGAGGTTCCCTTGATGTTGGACCATGTAATATCCTCGATAGCCATCTTGGAGGTGTTGCAGGTGCTTGTGCTCTCACTGTAGATGCATTGCGAGATCTGAATCGGCAAAGCAACATTATTGATCTCAAAGTCACGGAAAACAATGTTCTTGACCACGCCACTACCCCCACCTCCGCTGTCGCCGTTCGAGCTACCGTCATCGTTCTCTCCCTGCCAAGTCTTGATCAAAGCGGCTTCCTGGCAGTCGTGGCACTTGATGTTCTCGAATGTGACATTCGTTACATAGTCGGGTGTGGCAGGGTATTGTCCGACCGATCCGATGGCCATACCGTAGTTTCCATAGCATGTGACGTTCCTCACCATGAGGTTGGTGGTGTTCCCTTTGACGGCAATGCAATCGTCTTGGTTAACGACGACTGCATTCTCAACAAGCAGTGTATCACTGTTCCACGAATCGTATCCATCGGTGTTGACCGTACCCCACTGGTCATTACTTGTCGCGTTGACATAGAGGTTCGTGATGGAGACATTCTTGCTGTAAGAAACAAATGTCGCCCAGAACTGCGGCTGGGTAATGTTCAATCCATCCACAACAAGATTGGTGGAGTTGTAGAAGGTGATACTGATAGGGCGACCGGGCTGATTGCTCCGGTTCTGGTTTTGCGTATACCAGGCCTGGCCGTTGCCATTGTACCAACCACCTTCTTCACTGCGGAAAGTAACATTTTCGCCACCAAACAGCCACGCAGTTGACTGGTCCTGGAAGACAACGGAGTAGGAGTGAGACAGCCAGTAAGAAATGTCGGTCGACCAGCGCAGTTCGCCTCGAAGGATGACGTCGCAGTTCACCAAGTTTGTTGTGTTCATAACAGTGTTGATGTTGAATGTGTGGTTCGCGGCAAAAATGACTTGACCATTGTGGCCGCAGAGATCAAAGGCCTTGTGGATAGAAGGGGCATCATCAATTGCTTGGCCGTCATTGTTGAGTGACTCGGGGTACAATGTACAAGTACTGCCGTCTTGTTGGACATAAGCAGCCGTGAAAGTCGCCAACGCCAACGAAAGTAACCACCGCATGGTGAGATGATTCACCCCTGGGTCTCGTCTGTCAATTGAACGAGATTGGAATTTTTCAAGGGGCCAAGAGCGAGGAGACCTATATATGCAGGTGGCTTCTCTTTCTGGAATTCCCCGACAGCATCTACCCCTTAGATTGCATCTCCAACCAGCACAATGCCGGGTTACATCTTTCCCCGCATCGATTTTCCCTGCCCGACTGGAATCAGGTGATTTACATCCAATCATCACAATTTTTAACGCTGCTGAATCTTGGCCCGCGCCACGAGGTCAGAGCGCCAAGTCAGGGGAGAATTAAAAGCTGCGAGGGGTCTGCCGATGATCTGCACCCTTGTCTTGTGGCGCACATCCCGGGATATCAAGGCATCATCTGATATCCCTTGAGCCACGAGCCCAGTCAATTCAATCGTGTCACCCGACAACAAGCATAGTGACCCTAGAGACCCTGAACAATTGAATGGGGTAATCAAAAACTGATGGTTGAAGGGTAGTCGGTGTCCACTATCCCGAGATCGGCTATCGCTATATCCAGGTTCCACGCGATGGAACATTACATGTAACGGCGGATCACCCCGCTAGGACATGAGTCAAAGCTCACACGAGCTCTGTCGCGTGGATAAATTGCCATGTTCAGTAAGATCGACGGAGCAATGGATGAGATCATGGTGTTTATTCATGTTTACATGTTTATCTATCAAAGGCTGTTTCGACATGTCTATGGGGGTAGATAGCCTTCATGGTCCTCAGTTTTGCTTTTTCATTTCGGAGTGTGAGAACCGACGAGTCCGGCCACGCAGCATCTCCACTCGCTCTTCCATGGTCATGTTCACCTGGTCGCCCATAGGGATGAGACACTTCGCCAGATGAAGGTAGTTCTTGCGCAGCAAGTTCACGGTGATGAAAATATAGTCGACGTTTCGGAAGACCAAGGCTCTCTCCTCGGCGTAACGATCCCGACCCACAAGGAATGCCACGGGGTGGTCTCTCCAGTGACGGCGCGGGTTTAAGTGGTGCGATGTGTGGTATCCATCATTGAAGGAGTAGCGGTTGCTCTGTATAGTTTGTGATTAGCCGCTGCGCCAAGTGAGGCGGTATCACACAACTTACAGGAACATCAACAAGGGTAATGCTGGAACGGTAATCCGAATCGGGATCGATCGGATCCACGAAAGCATGCTGGCCCCAGTTTCCAACCATCAAGCCAAATCGCATGACTGTGAGAGGAAGAATGAGCACGAACGTTGTCGCGCGGGCATTGACGTAGTTGTAGAGGATGTAAATGGCCAGATAGTTGCCAAGCTCCCAGAAAGCTACCCGGCAGGCATACTTAAATTGGCCTTTTCGGAAGAAGTAGAGGGGAAGCTCCAGCCAGACGAAGAAGATGAAGCGACCCACGTAACAGGCAAAGTCGCGCACACTATCACGGTCGTAGAACATGGTCGTACTCAGGTCTTGTTCACCGTTGCCCTCGACATGGTGATGCTTGATATGGTGGTAAAAGTAGGAGTTCCATGTGTGTCCGTGCATGGGATCCAGCAGGTATGGGAAAAGCGTGTCGAAGACCCAGTACTTGGAGGCTAAAACTCCATTTCCATGAATGTGCTGGTGCTTCATCAAGGTGAAGCCACCGCAATAGTAACCCATCATGGCCCAGTGAAGGATACCGTGTAGGTATGAGAAGTGATAGTAAAGATAGAAGCCACTAGGAACAATGGTAGTGAAATAGAGAATGAGATGGGTCAACATGACCACATCTGTCGGCACGCGTACCACGGTCTTTGCCCAGTTAATGTAAGGATCCAGTACATATTGCTGGATGGCCGGGGACAGCTTGTTTCGCAGCTCTGGGGTCTCCCAGAGCTGGGAGACAGTGGGATCAAAGTCAGGACTCGACGCATCATTCATGTCGTGCAGCTTCTTGATAGTCTCTTTACTGCCCATCTTTTCCTGTAATGGGCTTGTGGTTTCATCTAGCACCCTATCAGTGACTTGTCAATGGAGTGACATGATCAGGGGACAGTCCTCACCGTTGGCACCGATTTCATCAAGGAGGACCTCGACTACCATCTTATCTTGGAGCGTGAGCTCGGGATCCTTGTATGTGGTGGGATCCATGGTGGGTAGCTAGATGTGGTCTTAGCACGGGTCAACAAGGCGGCAACCAAGGAGCTCACGTTGACGGAAGATCTGGGGACACGTTTTATCACCCAGGCTACCGGTATTCAAGGAAATTTATAGGTCTGAATAAACCGGAACGATCGGGACTACTGAGCCGGACTAGCCCAAGTATACATCGAATCTGGACAACGCGTGGTCAGGGGTGGAAAGAGTTTTCCTGGATTCACATGTGGGTCCAGGGAATCCGTGACACTGACGCGACTCCGAGCCTCAACTGCCCATCATATGATCGATGAATAATTGCTTAAATGGTGTACAATTAATTAGAAGAGCGTTTAAAGCTTATGTATTAATCATTTGTGTGTCCCATAATGAAAACCTTTGTTGCCCTCTAGGAAAAACGCGACTCCACGGTCGGAATGGGAACTATGGCTCGACGCGGATAGAGCGCTTTTCCCCTGAACAGCCCGTGGCTCTTGCAATAAACCCTGGCAGCTCCCTAACCTATGGCATTAAATGCAGTTTGAAACCCGACTGGGTTGTCGTCGTTTTGATCGGCACTTAGTCTATTTTTAACGGTCATTAGCCGTCATTGGAAGATCATTGGCCCACTGTTCTTACCCCTTGGTTTAGTCCCGCTTTAAATTTATCGCCAGGCATCTGCCTTGACGGTGTCCAGCAAGAAATGTCAATTCACGAATATGGCCACTGTCACTTAGTCTTTTACTTCTCGATCGGACAATTTCAAATTTCAACGGCAAACTCTATGTGTTTCTCATGTTAGACCATCGCTTGCGGGCTTAGTTGGCTACAAGAGACCTGGGTGGATTGGAGATTTAGTCATCCATGATATCGATGCACATATTCTGAATCTAGATGACCATACCTTTCTATCTCCACATACCCACTTTCTTCAGCCACGACCTTGGTGGCTTCATTGGCAAGCCAACTCCTGAGCTTTACATTCGATGAGCCCAGCTGGCAGCGTTCAGCAGTCTCGTCCGCTCCCATGGGGCCGGTGACGAGAACGGTCGAGAGCCATGGCTCTTTGGACAAGAGGCAATGAATATTGTCGGATCGTTCATGCGTCAGCGCTATCGCTTGTTTCCATACATCTTCGAATCGGCACAACTCAGTTCAAAGGCGAGGTTACCCATGGTTCGTAGCTTGGTGCTGAAGTATCCGTCCGATCGCAATGTCTGGGGTCTCGAAGGCCAGTTTATGTTCGGCTCGGATATCCTGGTAGCTCTGGCCTTGCAGCCGATGGAAGAAGCAGATGTACATGCCATCTACTTGCCGGAGGGGGTATAGTATGGATTCCGAGACAAGAGGAAGTACATCAGCCATAGACAATGGTTTGAATTTATTATGGCTCCGTTGAACCAGAACAACGCCTTTATCAAGGAAGGTACCGTTGTATATTGGACCGCTCCAAGGAAGCGGACGTATAATCGCGTGGGAACTATTGAGACGGTAGAGCTATATGGCCGACGTAATGGCCCTTGGATATGTGGTGATAGACAAGGGGCTAAGGTGAACGTGATGCAGAAAGAAGGCAAATGGACAGTACTTGATCGGGAGAATGTCAATGTAGAGACATTGGTGTAGAAACAATATCAGTGACAATATGTCCAATGGTAAGTGCAGGAATCAAGATAGAGGTTGGTCAATTGTACACGGATACCTTAAAATTAGGGGTTCTCTTTCGCGATAGAAAATTGGATACGAAACCAGAATTAAAAGATGGTCTGTTACTCCCGGATTTAAGCGACTTCAAATTTAGACATGGGTGAGCATAGCCGAGATACAAAGTGTTAACTAGTAAAGTTGTTCCACCCCCGCACTTTCTGGGGTCGATCCGTCCAAGCCAAACGATCATCCTCTGATTTTCGCCATATCCAATTTCAGTGTGCTAACATTACAAGAACATGTCTTAACTGCCTGTCAGGCTCAAGTAGTCTTTTCAACGTGAGGTAGAGGTGAAGAGTCTTGATTTTAGCCTTGAAGAAGAACTGAATGGGAAGGAAGGGAACAAAGGCCCGAGCCACCATGCCTCAATCACCCCCAAACCAAGCCCAAAAAGATGTAACGCGGAAAAGCGCAGCCCATATTCAGCCTAGACGAAGTGCCCGTGGGGGTCTGCAGCCCCAGCAATCGTTGCGAAGGTGAGCTCCTGAATTTGGTTGCATCGATCTTTCTAATCTCGGGCTAGGTATGTGGACGACCTGTCTGCACAGGTGGCCGAGTATCGCGGTGCCCTGGAAAGGCTTTTTCCGGGTTCAAATCTGGAAAACCTCAAGCATATGCCACGTGAACAGCTGCTTGACCTGATGTATCGTGAGTTCTTCAAAAACGTGGAGCCAGCTCCAGCCGGGCATACATTCGCCTTGAACTCGTCACTGACAAAACTAAAGCTACATCCAGAGAAAGCACAGAAATCACACCGCTTGAGGAATGCGATTCTGAAGTCTCGGATGATGTCAATGCCCTCTCATTGAACTCGAGGAAGCCTAGGTCATACCTCGGGATATCATCAGTCCATGCGATCTTCAAATTGATATTCATTCTCAGTCCTGAAAGTGTCCCTGACCATAAAGGGCCCACCCATAAAGATACTGGCCACGATGATGCATTTCTGCAACCGCAGAAACCCGGTGCCTCATCACAGGTGTTACCATTAAGACCCCTACAGCCGCAATTCCGGGCCCCGTCAACCAAATCAAGAAGTGATCGTGCCTTGACACCGGAAAGTGATTGTATCGCTGCTTATTTTACCTATTTTCATCTTCTTGTTCCAATAGTCGACGAAACTAGCTTTCGGGCAACTTATGCGTCAGGCCATCGTAAAGACAGGGAATGGCTTAGTCTGTTGAACATCATCTGTGCCCTTGGCAGTATTGCGGCTACAAATACCCAAGACAAGTCTCACTGTGTCTACTATTCACGATGCAAAAATCATTTGGGCCTGGAGTGTCTTGGTTCCCCTCACTTGGAGACAATACAGACTCTCGGCCTGATGAGTGGACTTTACTTGCACTATATCAGCCAGCCGAACCTTGCATATTCCCTGATGGGTGCCGTCCAGCGCATGGCATTAGCACAGGGCTTCTACGAAAATACAGATTCTCGAACACAGACCGCCGACTTCAGTAACAGCCTGCAGATCAGACGACGAGCCTGGTGGTCGCTGTTCTGTATGGATACCTGGGCCTGTGGTCCACTCGATCGGCCAGATATCGATCGACACGGACCGACAAATTCTAGTGTTGATCTGTTGTTACGGGGAGATGAGGTATCACTGCCAAACTGATCTTGAATACTGTATGCAAAGTTATATCTTAGCTAACCCGACTAAAGAGAAACGTGCTAGAAATCCTGCCTCTTTCGGAAAATGTTCGGTTTTGTCGGATTGCCACACGAATTCAAGAAGCTGTCGCCGCGACCTCGATCATCTCTCATGCCGAGCGCAGGAGACTGAACCAAGAGCTTGAAGACTGGTTTGATAACCTACCATCGATTTTGAAAAATCATCAGCCATGCTCAGAATCAATTTTTGTTACCCGCACAGTGATGCGTTGGCGATACTTTAATCAGTGTCTCCTCCTCCACCGTCCCAGCCTGCTAGACTATGCTATCCGCCGCATTCCTTGTTTTGCCCTACCGGAGTCTGAACTCTCCTCAATCCGGAAATGCCGACGCTATGCAAAAGAAACGATTGAGGATATTGTGGCCACTCCGTTAATCAACCAGTCCACGGGCTGGAATGGTGTATGGCTACTCTTACAGGCTGTGTGTGTTCCGCTGCTGGGATGCTTTCTTGCCGATGCTACGACAGATGATCCGCATGCCTCGCTAGAATCTTGTCATTCGCAAGTCAAAATTGCTATTGAGTTTCTAGTACGCATGAAAACTTGGAGCCCGACGGCAACGCGCACTCTGCTTGTTATTTCGCGTATTCTCTCCGCAAGCGAAAAGGCAAGAGCAAAACTGAGTTCTCGCCCTCCAATACTGAGTGATGCCGAAACTGCTGAAAACAATATTACCCCTTTGGCATCATCGCTTCAGGATTCTGTTTGCAACAACCGCGTCTTGCCCGGGGCGAACAGTTTTCTTTTGGGTCAAACCGGATATCATCAGCAGCCTCACCAGCTGATGAAATTTTCGTATCTGAGCGACATTCAAGCCCCAAACGATCTTCCGTTTACGGATATTCTTGCCGGTGAATATTCGAATGAGCCAATGATCCAGAACTTTTGGGACTACCTCCACTTGACAGATGATACCATTATGCAAGATCTCCCTTTCTCTGAATACCAGGGCGCTGGGCTGGTTGATCCACAAGAAATGGACTCCGTGTCACTTTGGGATCAGGCCGGAGTTGATGATTTACAAAGGGGATGGGATGACGTGGACTTCGAACTTCTTTTGAGTCTTGCAGACAACAACGAAAACGAAGTCCTCGTAGGAGCTAATAGCCTGGGATACGGATTTGATGGATAAGCGGGAAAACTCGGTGAATTTCTATCTTCAGCAAAGCAATGTCAAAAATAACGGCCTGTCTTTCTTGATAATGTTCGCCATCTACTCTCCAACTGGCCCTTTGCCTCCTCTAGCTCTTCTCTCTGTTTATCCAAATCCACCCTTAGGTGCTCTATCTGCCTTTGTTCTTCCTGCCACGGCACTTGGGCTTATCGAGAGATGCAAACGTCTCTCGCCGATTTGTGTTCACTGAAAGAACTAGGCATTGAACATGGCCACCTTAGAGTAAGAGAGCTTAAGCTTGGTCTCCCTAGCGGCTCTATTCCGTTCATACCCATTTCTCACTAGCTTAGCCTGGATAAGTGTAAGTCTGCTTAGACCCGTGACCATCACATCTCAGAGATCGCGGTCCGCCGATCCTGTGAGCCTTTTGGCTGTCATAGTTGACAATAATAGATAGAAGCCACGGTCGATCTCTTGGAACAAAAACTTTCTTTTAAACAGGATCAGCATATGGTCGGCATTTATGACCCGAGTCATTTCGTAATATATCGGTCAGAGAAAAGCTTTAGCTCCAAAGTTGAGCCCACGAGCCAGTGACGTCCCGAATGCACAAGTCTGACCATAATTTCCGCAAATTTTCGACGAAATTTCCGCGCTCCGTGCATCTGCTCTCTCCTACGTCAAGTGTTTTGCCTGCATTGCACCTATATCACCGTTGGTTTCAGTTCTTGTCTCAGAAATGACCTGTCAGCAATCCATTTCCCCTCGTCAACAACGAAGTCATTCACAACTCATAATCGTAAGAAGTAACGATGTCAGCATAGAACCGACGACGTAGACATGTCTCACAACCCCTCAGAGACCTCGGAGTTTTCCACAGCTCGAGCACCGATCTTGCCCGATGCGGGGGGATCTGCATCAATAAACAAACCTGACTGGCGGGATCGCTGGTCCAACAGAGCCGAAGACTTCACTAATCCTGCCCCGGAGTGGGATACTCGTTGCTTATGTTGCTTATGTCTTAGAAAAAGCCTCGGGCTTTGGATCACAGCGGCATTTCCTTTTTCCTTATTCTTGCTTCATTGGATCACAGCCTCATTTTCAGGACTTGGTTAATGGTGCCCAGGTGGCTCAGCATGCGATCCCACCCATTACACCATCGGAATTATTATGGAAACCCGATGGACCTGATCGGCAAGAGTATATAAATTGGTGCCTGTTCCCGTGTCCTCTACTTGCATTCCTACCTTTCACAAGTCCACATTCGCTTGAGTATTCGATACCAATACAAACCACCACGATGAAATTCCTCTCTGCAATCGGTCTTCTGGCTGCTACTGCCGTGGCCAACCCCCTCGCCAGATCTGCCGGCAAGGAATTCCACCTAAAGACTACCGGCTCCAAACTCGCCGATCACAACGACCTGTTCCTCACCACCTACCACACCGGCGCCGGCCTGAACGATGCGGTTCTCGAGAGCAAAGCCGACGCCGCAACCGCCTTCTACCTGAACGGCACCACTGCCCTCGCTGACCTAGGCACCTCATATCCCTGGGGCTTCGATATTGGCGGAGACGCCAATTATGCCGGTAAGTTTTGTTAATATCCCGGATCTAAAAAAACAACCACAACTAACACCCAAAAGACTGGGAGGCTGTGGAGATCAACGCCGGCGGCGGCGTCGACGGCTTCTCCATCACGGATGACACGTTCATCTGGTCTGAGGCCGAAGGCTTTGGTGGATGGCTCGGTAAGTAAAACACGATTGACGTCATTTCCCCTGAGTTCTTGGCTAACTTATCCACCCCACAGTCTGCCAGTGGTTCCACGGTTCTCCTCAGCTGTTCTGGCTGGACAAGTACTACACGCCCACTATCCCTTGCAGCTGCAGCAAGGTCGAGCTGGAGCCCATCTACCTGAAGTAGATGCCCAATGGGCGGATGACCGCCTTGGAGGCGGTATGAAGGCTTTGTGTACTCCATAAAGAATGTAATATGAGCTAGTGAACATGCGCTGGGCTCATTCGTATGAATAAATGAAGTATGCGGGTCAATTCAAAGTTGTGAAATTCGATTCTATTGCTTTTTGTCTTGTGTCGTACATCGTCATATGTGGATATCATTATGCAGCTATTATTTCCGGCGTGGTTTCGTAGTAGCGCTTGTCCATACCTGCCTGCAAGCGGGCTTCCTCATTGAATGGTCCTCGAAGAATGCCTCGGAAGTGTTTCGAGACGTTGTTGCGGAAGACTTGGACCGGATCTGTGCCTTCTTGGTCACAGATCCATGTGAGCCATCGGTGGCCCGTGGTGACGTGTGTGATTTCGTCGTTATGGATAATCTCGAGGGTAGCAACACTCTCTGCATCGCCGGCGTTGCGGAACTTCTGGATGGTCATTGGGTTGACGTCTAGACCCCGAGCTTCGTGGACCAAAGCGATGATGCTGATCCGGGAGCGAAGGTCGTGTGCGGTTTCCGTGGCGGATTCCCAGAGCCCATGGTGGACTGGTAAGGCACCGAAATGAGATCCCATTTCTTCTATCCGTGTGCGTAGGAGGGAGAAGTGTTTCGCTTCGTCGCTGGCGACTTTCAACCAGTCGTGAAAGTACGCTCGCGGTAGCTCCAGGGAGGATTTCTCGGCGTGGAATGTTGAGAATCGTACACAGATGTCGATCGCGAGGTCGATGGCCCAGAGTTCAATATTAGCCAGGGCGTGGAGCATTGCAACCCGACTCCTGATGCTTCCTCCGTTTCCAGCGCGTGGCATCTTTCCAGGCTCCAAGGTCTTCATTTTCTCGCGAGGAGGTTGATCCGGGGCGGCGATAGTCCCTCTTCCGATTTCCATGGGCGAGGCTGTGCCCTCTCTCTCACTGAAAATGGAGAACAAGTGGGTAGTCAACTCGATTTTGTGTTCCGGATTAGCGGTATTCAGAATATGAACAGCCCAGTCACATAACGTCGCCTTGTCGTCGAGATATTGTGCCATGCCCGGATCAGCCCGAGCAGGCGCTGGTTTATCGGACGGTCGCGCATGCTTCAACTTGACTTTCTCGCTGACAGGTTCAATCTTGCCAAGCGTGACAATAAACCCATCCTCAACTGGGAAATCAAGAGTGACGGATCCATCGCGGACATCAACGGGAAACGTGCAGGCTTTGATACCCACGCTCGACTCGCCAGTCTCCACGTTAAAATCATAGGCGTGCCACGGACAAGACACGACGTATGCGGAGTCTTCAATATCGACTTGGGAATCTTGCATCGGGCCTCCTGCGTGCGGACACTCTGCTTCCATCGCGTAGTACGACCATCCTTCTGTCTCGTTGGGTTTTGAACCGGCCGGGTCGATTGACGGCAGGCGGAACAGCACCAGTCGCTTTCCCGTAGAGAGATGGATCACATATCGCGCCTGAACGAATCCAGACAGAGGCCCACAGTTGATCAGCATTTTGATCACTGTGACTGTTTGTATGCGCTTCTAGATCGGGGAAGTCGCCGAAGTCGCCGCCTGATGCTTCTTGGCTTTGATTTTTGATGTCACGTGAAGATGATGAGCCGGACCCACCGCGGGGGCAAAAGTGAAGTAATGTTTGACAGGGGAAATGATAGAATCTGTAATTTGGTGTGCTTATGGAATTGAGAAGAGAAACATGGCTGTGATCACATAGTCTCCTTCGGTGGGAATGTCCATCTTCACCTCTCAAGATCGTTAATTCGGAATTCCCGAGGTTTCATAGGTCATGCTGTGATGGAAGCTGGTGTTTGCATGAAGTGAATGGAGACAGAGAAAAGGCTTCACCGATCGCACATGCGAGCTTATACCCATCTTAATGTTCCATATAACGTATTGCTTTATTTGGCGAAAATCTGACGAGACGGGACACGTCTTACATCCTCCTGGTCTGTACTTTGTTCCATCCAATCGTGATAGCATTTGGGGTAGATTTCCACCAATCCTAAGGGCTCGTATACTCCCCGGGGGTGAGGAAAGTGCTTGTCTTATATACAGCAGGGGCACCAGTCCAGTGCTTTCCTTTATCGCTTAAATTAAGCTGCATGAAGGGCTTGTCGGCAATGATACTGGCTGCTGAGCGCATGCATAAATGAGCACGGCCATGAAATTCAGTCAGATCAAAAAGTGGACCTGGGTCCAGAGATACCCGCAACCTTGGACGAACCGTGTTAGTGTTGACGATCCCTGGATTACCGGAATCGATCTTTTGTGAAGGCGTTGATGGGTATAAGTGCATCGCTTGTTATGCAAGTGCACTAAGCTAAGGCCATTTTGCCAAGCGCCTAATAGAAGGCCGGTTGGTCATTCGAGCCGAGTGACCGCCCCCTTTTTTTGTGGAGCGGATCCCTTTGCGGGGGAGACCTGGGCACGGCGTGACGATCCCGCGCAATTGAGCTGACGCGCCTCCAAGCACGTACACTTACTATGCGTAACAGTAGAATCGCGGCACATCAGTGACGCATCTGCAGCTATGCAGAGAACTTGCAAAGCGGTGAAATCCGGTAGGTAGCTGTAGCTGAGATGATCATCTCGCACTATAGGCCGAGATCGGGGCCTAAGTGGGCATTGTGGATCTCACAATGCAGTGTCGCAACGAGCTTTCGCTGAACGTGACTCAATACCTTTGGCTTTGATTTAATTCAGAGCTAAGTCCTCGTGCCTGAGAATTTTTCTTCTTGCTTTCATCTCACTTTCTTTGCTCCCCCCAGATTCGAAGCTTGGACGGTGCAGCAAGCCGAGCCTCGGGTATTCTCATCCCTGCATTGCGGGCTGATCTGCGCTTGACGATCCTACACCCGAACAGCCTATTGTTTCCAGTGATTTCTTCTGGATCTGCTCCTCCCCTCCTAGGCAGAGATCTCTTTCTTCGTGTGCTTCGTGCTAGCGATCACATCCAATCATGGGTTTAGCAGGTATGTTGTGATGCGATCTATAGCCGCGCATTGCGACTGTACGCGAGCGATCGGCGCTGACAGCTGAAGCAGACTTGCACACCGGCGAGAAGGGCGAGAGCCTGTCCCCCGACCGGAAATTTGATGGATCGGACTCGGAAGCTCCCCAGTTTTCTAATATAAATGAACGCAAGTTAATGGCCAAAATCGATGGGCGCCTCCTGCCGTGCATCTGTATCTTGTACCTGCTCGCCTTTTTGGACCGGTAAGGATCTCGCGCTCCTATGATCGAATGCGACAGACTGCTGACCTTCATACCCCTCCACACAGTGTCAATATCAGTAACGCGGCTATTCTTGGACTCAAGGCCGATTTGGACATCGAAAAAGGCACCAAGTACAACACCGCCTTGACTATCTTCTTTGTGCCTTATATTATTTGCGAAATTCCGGCGAATATCCTCCTGAAGAAACTGAAGCCTCACGTTTGGTGTATGTGATTATCTACAATGTGACGAGAGCGAGTGACTGACTACCCGTGGTGCAGTGTCCCTTTGCATGTTCATGTTCGGCGTCGTGATGATTTGCCAGGGCTTGGTGACAAACTGGGGTGGATTGATGGCCACTCGATTCTTCTTGGGAGTTTTCGAGTCGGGCATGTTCCCTGGATGTGAGTACATATGCGACAATGCAGCGGTTGGCTGGCGCGTACTGACAATTTGCAGGTTTCTACCTCATGGGCATGTGGTACAAGCGTAGCGAAGCCCAGAAGCGATTCAGTTTCTTCTTCAGCTCGACTACCCTGGCCGGTGCCTTCGGTGGTTTGTTGGCATATGGTCTGTCGCACATGGATGGTGACCGAGGTTACAGCGGCTGGCGCTGGGTGTTCATCATTGAAGGTGTTATCACTGCGGCGGTTGCAATCATCCTGTTCTTCTTTATTCCCGATTTCCCGGAGGAGACCAAGTGGTTGACCGAGGAGGAGCGCGCGTTCGTCCGCGAGAAGCTGGCCAAGGATGTCGGCAAGTCGGCTCATCACATCAAGATGGGCTGGCCTGAGATCAAGGGCGTCTTGTTGGACTGTGAGTGAAATTATCACCATACTTCCTTGCAAATACTGACTGCTTCTATAGACAAGGTCATTCTCGGTGGCTTCATGTACTTTGGTCTCATCGTCCCGGCGTACAGTTATGCCTACTTCGCTCCTTCGATCATCCAGAGCTATGGATACAGTGGTATGTGCTGGCACTGTCCATATATCTCGTGAAACATGTCGCTAATTATACACACCAGCGGTCCAAACCCAGTTGTATTCCATTCCTCCCTGGGCAGCAGCATTTGTGTTTTCTATGGTTGTTGCTTTCTGCTCGGATCGCATGAAGCACCGTTTCGCCTTTACGGTAATTACAGTGTGCATCGCTATCGCTGGATTTGCCATGCTCTTCAGTATTCACGGCAAGGAGCACCGACATGCCGAGTACGGTGCGCTCTTCCTTGTGACCTGCGGTGCCTACAGTGCCATGCCTGTCATCGTGTGTTGGTTTGCGATGAACTTGGGTGGTCACCACCGTCGTAGCGTGGGCACTGCTTGGCAGGTCGGATTCGGCAACATTGGAGGCATCATTGCTACCTACTCTTTTATCTCGAGCGAGGCTCCTTACTACAGGACCGGTTTCAGCATTTGCATAGCATGGTGCTGTTTGTCTATTGTGGCATGCTGCCTCTATTTCGGTGCTATTTGGCACGAGAATCGCAAGCGTGACCGCGCTGCCATTGACCCGAGCGCTGTCTCAGAGGAGCAGGAGGAATACGAGGGCGATCTCGCACCAACCTACCGTTATCAATTCTAGATGACGTTTCGATTCCGAAGAACGGTGGAATTGCCCAAATTTTGAGTGTATGCCCATCCAAGGGAGTAAGCTCCGGGGGTTCCAAGGTTGAAGGCGGTCTTATGAGATATGAGATGCACAGCGATTGAAAGCCGCGGGCTACGAAAACACGGTGAAATAGCACCAAGTACATAGTAATGCGTGCAATGCACTGAACCAATTCATAATGAAATCGGAATGATCGTTGCCCTACTTCCAAATAAGCGACTGCCAGAGCGGAAACCCTATTTCCACGGCCTTCTGTGTGATGTAATGGAGTCGTCACGTGTCACCTGCTCAACTCCCTGAAATAGGTTAGCGCCTCGCTTAGCTGAGTAAGCCACCCACTACACAAACCCGTCGCGGGCCGCTCTCTTTCTCCTTCTTCCAACCATCTCTTCATTTTCGCAGAATAGTAAGTCGCCACTCGGATCCCAAGGGATTCCCTCGAGCCCCATTGACCATGGACTAATCCGAATACAGAACATCTACGAAGATGAGAGCTAAGTGGAGAAAGAAGCGCGTTCGTCGTCTCAAGCGCAAGAGAAGAAAGATGCGTGCCAGATCGTGAGTTCTACCCCCACAGCTCCGGAAGCTGGGGAGCTCTCACCAGTGCCATTGAGCACTGCCACAAAATTATCATCGATACTAACTGCCGCCTACAGCAAATAAACTACTCGCCCCCTCCATCTCAGCTCCTCATGTCGAGACTCATGTTTGAACGCTGAACACGACAATTGATGAATCTTTACGACTTCCTCTCACACCCTCATTAAAACGAGTTGCCTGCCCGGATTATGGTTCCGCCCATCACTTTGAAGAATCAACAGTTCGCCGACGGAATCTGCGTCCAAACAACGTTCCCATCTATCCAATTTCCTCGGATTCGTTAACGTCGGTCGAGCTGATGCCGGGCATGGTTTTTAAACTCGGAGGGGTCATGTGTCCAGTTGAGGGTTGGAGGACTGGAAACAGTCCTGAGCTCGGTACTGGGGTGACTGGTCAATTCTGCTCGCATTGTTCGCAATGAGGTCTCTCTTCGGAGGGCCATGAGCCATGAAGGGTCTCGCTCGAGAGTTTAGCGCACCAAAAAATACTGGAGAAAGCTCGGAGGTCTTAGTTTCGATAGCTACGCTTCCCGATAATTCATGACTTTGCAGAGCATATATTTTCACAATCGTAATTCAACCTGTAGCCCTTGGTTTTGATAGATCCTGGCAGTTAATATTGTGCTCTATGAGACTTGTGATGTATATTCGCATTGTGCGTATCCCACTCACCGCCTTCCTAAAGCATAAGCCCCGGCGCTAGGAAATTTTTCTGCCCGCGACTTAATGACATTTATTCTATCAAAGCATTCGGCCGGTCACTCGAGCTGAACCACTGAATATTCTTACGGTGCTGTCTGTGCTTTATTCCAGACACAATGCCGTCCGACAAAATCGATAAGAAGCGCAAGCGTGCCTCGGACCGCTACGAGCGGCCGAGCAAGAAGCCTGCTCTGCAAGCACTTCCTCCGCTGGCAGCTAGCCTTGTCGAGGACAAGAGCGAGCTTGCTCCTGTGATCGGTGAGACCTTTGACACGGCAATTGCCTCTTTTCTGCAGTCCTAACATCCCGCGTCATCTAGCTACCACCCCCGGCGTCCAGAACTCCAAGTCCCTCCGCTGGACACCATACCTCAAGGCCCGCGACAATGTCTCCAAGTCTGCCACTCGCAACCCGGGCATTACCTCGTCGGAGATCTTGTTGCAGTCCTCCGAGCACGAGAAGATGGATTTCACCGGCCGCGAGGGAACCGGCGAGGATGCGGATTCGCAACTGAAGCACTATATCGCCGTCGTGGATCCTGAGCGCAAGACATGGCAGATTGTAGAGGCTCGTCGGGTTACTCTCCGCGGCGCTGTCCGTAGCAGGAAGCCTGAGGATGACGAGTCTGATGAGGAACTGGTAAGCTTTAAAAATTGGCTTAAGGCTTGGGAATGGTTAGCTAACGAAGATGCAGAACACCATGCGCGCCCAGCGTACCGCTCTTACCAACACATTCGGTACCAAGCAGTCCCGAAAGGCCGTGCAGTCTATGCAAGAAAACGCCCAGCTGTCGAACGCACCCGCCGGAACCGTCACCGAGGCGGGCGCTGCCCTCATCTCCTCATTGCCGGCCGGTGTCGCCTCCGGTGTCACCAAGGCCACCGACGTGCAAGCTGAAGTGCAAGCCGCGAAACCCCTGCCCCAACCCGACCTCACAGCCGCTCATCCCGCCGACGTCTACCCTCTCGAGACCCTGGTTCCCGGCGGTGTCGCTACTCTGCACCAATTGAACGGCGTAGCCGAGTGGAAGCAGCAGGTGGACGCCGGTCTGGAAGTGACGACCGGCTCGCGCTTCGTCGCCAACCGCGTCGTGGCCATTGCAAACGCCGACAACGCCACTCAGCTGCAATTGCTCCGCCTGATCCAAATGCTGCTCGAATTCGACCACTCCCTGAAGAGAATGGGTGGTGGCAAGGGCGCTGGCCCCGGCAGCAAGCGTCTCCCAGCCCGCAACGACCTCCGCCGTATTCTTTCCAGCACAACAGGCACCACATCCAAGGACCAGGAGTCCGAATCATCTGAAAATGACCTCCCCGACGCCGTCATCGATGCTGTGCGTCGCCGCTTCGCTCCTAGCGGAGGCTGGCTCTCCAAGCACGACTTGACCCTCCTCCACACCACCATCTGCGCTCTCTCCCTGCACATTCCACCCCAGCCGGCTAAGGACGGTGGATCCAGCTCCTTGGGTGGTAACGCACCCAACGAGTTGGCTACTGATCCCTCCGATCTGCGCGATGATCTTCGTCTTGACGCGAATACTGTGCAGCAGTACTTCCGCGAGCTGGGATGCCGTATTGATAAACCCCGCGAGACGGAGTTCAAGAAGTGGAACATCAAGGGTGGCAAGGCTGAGGCTCAGGCGCGCCGTGTTGCTCGTCTGCGTATCCCCGTTGAGTTCCCTAAAGTTAGCCGTGGTGGTAGGAAATAGGTTTGATGTGAATGTGTTTGGTAAAATCATTGTCTGTGGTATATCCGGCGTTTTTCTACATTTTTCACAGCTTGTCTCAAAATGTTTCTTTACGAATGAAGATTTCTTGCACATATTCTATTTGCACGACCTTGTGGAGTTGTATTCGTATATGTGTATGGAAAGCCTTGACTCAAAAAATCAGTGGCCTCTCAGGCAAGAAATATATGTACTTAGCCAGGGGAAACCTCGAAAATTGTGTGATCTGGATGGAACGAGCGTGTGTATAGCCCTGGAGGGGTCATAGGTAGCTCTTGAGGTAGTATAAGTAACCATATTGTTTAGGTGCACACTTAAGTATTTCAAAGCTTGCAATGTCTCGTAAATGTATATATGACCCTGGCAATATCCAGATTGTTATTGTTACTCTATATGGTTATTGAAATGAGAACAAAATAGAAGGCAAAACATGTCATCATTGTTCATAAAATGCAATATTTAAAAAATAATATACAATCCACTAAGGCTGCCCACGCTGCTCAACAGCAAACGAACTCGCCCTGCGGTTCTCCCCATGCCGCACACGATCAGCCTCAAGCTCCTGTGCAAACTTGCTCTTCTTCCGAATCTCCGGACCCTTCCAATAAAACACATAAATCGGAATCAGAACCAAGAACCCAACACATCCCAGCAATGTACTAGCCCACTGCAAATGATACTTGCTTCCCATATTCTGGTACATAGGTGTCGAGTACATGGTAGCAATACCCGCTAAGAAATCTCTCGCGAAACCATTTCCTCCAGTTGCAGAGGCACTGTATGGTCCGTAGGCTGCGACCATGTAGTCGATTGTAGCCATGTAAATGGCGTAATTTGCCATGGCGATTAGACAGGCGAAGATAAGTGGTGCGATCCATGGGATGGGCGGGCCCATTGATGTCCATGCGAAGCCGAGGAGGCCAATTGGTTCAAGAGGCGCGATAAAGAGGAGGAGTAACAGGCGGCGTTCTGCGAGGCGGGATGCTGTGCCTTCTTTGCGGCGGAGACTGATTTGGCGGTGGATATCGGGTAGGAAGATGAAGTAGGCGATGATGTAGCCGAGGAGGATTGAGCCAAAGGTCATACCGACTGCGAGGGTGGACATGTTCCATTGTCCGAAGACTAGGGTGAAAGATTCGGTGAAGACGAAGATTAGAGCGTCAGAGAATCCAGAGAGGAGGGAGAGGAAGAGGACGATTGGTTCCAGAAGGAACATTTCGAAGGGACGGCGCCAGAGGCGGAGAACGTCGGCGAAGTCGAGTCGGGGGTCTTCAGTTCATTGGGACCGTAAACTTCATCGCCGGCCTTGCGGCGGCGTTTGGCTTCTCTATCGACGAGAATCGTGGCGCGCGTTTCGGGAACGAAGAAGAAGTGAAGGATTTGGGTGGCGGCGCCAAAGATCAATTGCACCCAGAAGACCCAGTGCCAGCTTAGATACTGGCCGATGATGCCGCCGAAGAAAGGTCCAATCGTGGAGCCGCCGACGGATGAAAGGACGACGAAGGCAACGGCGTAGCCCTGGTCATCTGCTTCCCACATGTCCGCGGTCATTCCTAGGGTGACAGAGCCACCGGCTGAAGAGAGACCACCCAGGACACGACATACGACGATTGTGCCGTAGTTTGGAGCGAGGGCGCAGGGAATCTGCCAGATATTCACAAAGAACAAAGAGAGCTGCATGATGGGCCAGCGGCCAAACTCCTCGGACCAAGGAGCCCACAGCTCACATCCGAAGGCATAGGCGACGAGGAAGACACATTGTCCTACGCGAGCGGCTTGCTCACTGATATGGAATTCCTCGGTCAGGCCGGTGACGGCGTTGGAGTAGACGCCGCTGTTGAAGTTCATCGACATTTGCACGATGAAAATGACGCTCAAAATGGTCCATTTCTTCCATGTTGGAAAGCAGAATCCCAATGTATCATAACAATCATCTTCCGTAAGCTCTCGCTTGCCGGCCTTCTCGACCTTGGGAGCATCTTCACGACTTGTCTGATCCGATTCGGATGCGTTTTCGGCGTGGGCCTCGTTACCGCGCTCGGCTTTCTTCTTTTCTTTCTGTTTGAGCTCGTGGTCCTCGACTTCTTTGTCGATTTCATCCCGCTTCCCGAAGAGCGGGGAACCTGTTGGTGCGTCCATGTGTGGTGTATGCTCCTGTACCCTCTATTGTAATAACCTGTCGTGGAGGTATAGGTATAGGAATGGGTATAGAAAGTATGGAGTAAAAGGGGTGGAAGACCGGGGTATCATGGGAAAAAAGGCCCTGTAGAAGCAAAACAAAAGGCAATGGCGAAAACCGGGGGGGACATCTATATACTACCAAACATCCAAGTGGAGCCCCAAACCTGGGGGCCACGATTTTGACATGGCCGCAACGAGAGATCCCGCAACAGCGTACAAGATCATAGGGTTACAGGCACGTCGGATCCACCCGCACCTTCCAATTCCATCGTGAATGGTCGGAAGTTGCATGGAAGAAGGATTAGCCTCGCAAAACCTGTTGTGGACATAGTTCGCGGCCCGTGGGGCGACTGTCGGCAACCCGACGTCGACGTCATATCCGCCCCGGCTACGTCAAGCCCGGGGTTAAAGATGTTGGAGAGAGTGAGAGAAGACTCCACTACTTCGTTGGCTCAGACTATCGTGCCAATCGTGTTTGATTGTACTGCGTGGTGGAGAACCACTCACATGGTCTAGAAAGGCAGGCTAAGCGCAGGATGCTGTCATAGTCTGCTTTTCGCTATATGAAAGACCAATTATGCGTCCGAGGGATGCATCTGATTTCTCCGACTGTCGTTAAATCATTCCGTGCTAACCTTGTCATCTTCCACGTGTGACAGTTCGACATTAGGGGGTGTGGAGTCGCTATCTTTGTTCTGACTGTCTTTGAAGTGATCAACGGGCCTTCCTAGATAGAAAACGAGCCCTGCGCCTCCCTGCATAAATGCATAAGCCCGAGAGGCGAAAGATTAATCGGATGTAATTTACGAGTAAGCTTCACCAAGCCAAGAGATCTGGTAACCAATGGGTAGGAGTCGGAGAATCCCGCAGGCGGACAAACCGGCTGTGCCACTAGTACGGCCGAAGTTGTGATTCCTGTTCACCCAGCATCGGGTCTGGTTCCAAGCGTGGCCTAAGACATCTATCAAAATAGAATTCTATGATGTATCCTCTCAACGCAAGTTCACTAGGTAAATAGACTAGCGACTATGGCGATCTTACCCTTGTCAAATACCATCAATTACCTGCATCATTGTAGCCAGACCGCATCGCCGGATTTCCCTCGGTCTGTCCTCCCCTCGGTCACTTTCCGCAACACATCAATAAAGGAAGTCTCCTGGTCCGGTTAAATTCTAAACTCATTAAGAAAAGAGAGCTTACGTGGTTCCGAACCCAACTATTACAGTAGACCTCGCGCGGCAAATCATAAGGCCGCCTAGTCCGAACCAGAGCCCAGCTCAAAATCCGGACCCTAGCACACGACTCTCGCACACACATGCAACCATAGCACAGGTACCTACGCACATACCTACAGGGGCCATGCGTACGCATCGTAAGAGGCTTCGGCCCCCTCCCCTCCCATGTTGCGGGTCCACTTTAAATCCGGATCTCCAGGCCCACCCCCGGTTCCACAACGTAACTATGTATCATTGTGTTTGGACATTTTATTTTGAGAAGAGGGGCGGGTTTATTGGGGTTCTCGGGTTCCTTCTCGTGGAAGGTGTATCACTTACATGCTCCCGACCAGGTCAGCCGGCTGGTTACCCTGCAGGGCCTTCTTATTTGTTAGAATATTTGGGTTGCGGTGAATGACTTTGGAAGTGAGACGATTCGTGTTCAGAATATCAAAGAAAGCGTGTTCTCGAACACATGGTTGACCACGAGTTAGCCATGTGGTGTGGTACCTGCGAGTTGAGGCCTCCCAAAGACGGATAACTACTCTTGAGGGTTATGAGACCAAATGTTCATATGTAACGGTCACTGAATGGCTCGTCTATGATCCGGCTGATATCATAATACTCCCCTTATGTCTAATTTTCAGCCTCTGGAATCTTATTTTGACTGCGGGTCAGGCAGGTAATTCACCCGCCCCTCTTTTTGGATGTTGACCTCCGCAGTCTGGTGAATCTGGCGGGCTCCGTACCATTCTTTCCATTGGGTACTAGACCATCATAGAGGCTTGACTCTTCTTGGTCTGTGACCTGTAGTCGCAGAATAGGATGCATTTGGCAAAATGTAATGCAATCCTACCTTTTTGGTCGAAGAAATGAGAAGCAGGTTTACCCACTACGAAAAACTGGAAGAAAACAATCCCTCAATAACCCAAATTTTCATTTGGACTTGGCTCACGCCATCCAACCTACCACACTAGATCTATGTAGATAGAAAGCTATATCCAACACACAACAGACCTATTCCGAATGCAAGGCGATAACCAATGAAGTCATTGGACAGCGTAGACAAGACAAATGATGTGAACCTAGAGGGAAAGAGAAAAAAAAAAAAAAAACCTATTCGAACGTGTACGTGACCAATGCATGCACGCGTCGAGTCATCTTGAATGAGTGGACAGGTAAGAGAAACAGTACCCAAGGACCAACAAACACAAACAAATCTAGACGGCCACTCCGACGGGAGCGGCGCCGATAGCGGAGTGCGCGCGAGTGCCGACGGGCGTGCCGGTCTTCAACTGCGGTGCGGTCTGGGTGGCTTCGGCGCTGAGCTCGCGAGCGATAGAGGCCTCGAGGGACTCGGCGGTCGGAAGGTTAAGCTGGGAGTTTTCCCAGATGGGTTGGTTGGCTTCCTCGGCGCCTTCGACGCCGACGCCGACGAATCCGCCGAGAGCTTTCCAGTCGGAGGCGCGCTTGATGCCTAGGTCGTTCCAAACAGATTGAACGGCTTGGACAAGGTGGTCGCGCAGAGGCTTGACGTGGCCTGGGGTTGGGGTGATGCGGAGGCGCTCTTCACCGCGGGGAACGGTGGGGTAGTTGATGGCCTGCACGTAGATACCGTGTTCCTCGAGGAGCTTGTCGGAGGCGCGCTTAGCAAGCTCGGCGTCCCCGACGAGGAGAGGGATGATGTGGGAGGGGTTGGGGATAACGGGGATGTCAAGCTCCTTCAGGGAGGACTTGACGGCGCGAGTGTGCAGCTGCTGCAGGACACGGTCACGGGGCTGCTGCGCCTGGTACTGGATAGCGGTGTCGGCACCGGCCATGGTGGCAGGGGGAAGGGAAGTGGTGAAGATGAAGCCCGGAGCCAGCGAGCGGATGGTGTCGACCAGAGTCGAAGAACCGGCAATGTAGCCGCCGACACAGCCGTAGGCCTTGCCCAGGGTACCAGTGATGATATCAATGCGATCCATGACAGTTCCCTCGGTGCTCTGGGGCGAGGCGGTGTCCTGGGAAGCATAGGTGTCGTAGTCGAGATGCTCGGCGACACCGGCTCCGTGAGGTCCGTACATGCCGACGGCGTGCACTTCATCCAAGAAAGTGATGGCGCCGTACTTATCAGCAAGATCACAGATCTTCTCTATCGGAGCAATGGAGCCACACATGCTGTAAACGGACTCAAATGCAATGATCTTGGGCACGTGAGCTGGCAAGGCAGCGAGCTTGGCTTCCAAGTCTTGCAGGTCATTGTGCTTGAAAACCATCTTCTTCGCACCGGAGTGACGGATACCCTGGATCATAGATGCGTGGTTCAGACTGTCGGAGAGGATCACGCAGTCAGGCATCTTGCTGCCGAGGGTAGCGAGGGTAGCGTCATTAGCCACGAAGCACGAGCTGAAGACCAGCGCAGACTCCTTTCCGTGCAACTTAGCAAGTGTATCCTCCAAGGCGACGGCATGCTGGTTGTGACCCGAGATGTTACGGGTACCGCCAGCACCGGCACCGTAGGTATCCAGAGTACGGTGCATAGACTCCAGGACATGGGGATTGCGGCCCATGCCCAGGTAATCGTTGGAGCACCAAACGGTCACACGCTCCTCCGCAGATGCGGTGTGGGCGCGAGGGAATTCCTTAGCCAGTCGGTTGATGTTATTGAAGTAACGGTACGACTTGTCCTTGTGCTTCTTCTCCAGCTCGGTGTTATAGAAGCCATTGTAGTCGAAATGCTTGCTGCTCGGGGCCTCGGGGCGGGGACCGCGGACCGCGGCATCGGTGGCGTGGGCGGAACGGATCGAGCGAGGAATGGTAGGGCGGACTAGGGGCTACTTAGTATAATTTATAGAAATGTACAGGAATAGTTCTTACCCTGCTCGTTCTTCTCGTAGGACTCGGGGGTGACACTGGCCGGGTGGCCGCCGGTCGTGTGCAGCGCACGGTGACCAGTCGGGGCCTTGTAGGGCTTGATGCTGGGGACACCGGCGGCGCACGAGGTGAAGCGCTTGGTGCCGCTCATGCGGGCACTCTGCACGGCAAGAGCCTTGCTCATGACAGGGCAGCGGCGGGCCAAAACCTGAAGGTTGGACATGGTACCGCCGCTGGTGCTGGGACGAGTAGCGGTGGAGAGGGTGCGCAGAGTAGTGGGCGAGGTGCGCTTGAGGAAGGGGCACATGGCCCGGGACTGTTGGAGCATTGCCTCCATGATGAATCGAACTGAATCAGAACAACACAATTTCAAGGCGAAGGGATAATAGAGAAGGAAATTATAACATGGGCTCTCCCGTGAAAATCGGTCTGGGCGGGGGGTCGACTGAGTCAGCCCATCGCTGATTAATTCCGGGCTTCAATTGGTTCCGGCCACTCCATCGGAAGATCCTGCCGTATTAGGGTTTGAGGGGACCCTCAAATCCCGAGGTAAACTAAACGAACACGAGATTGGTGGCTGAACTTTGGGAGTAAAGTTCCATCGGATTCTGATTTGTGTGGGGGCGGGCCAAATCTCCATTTACAGGGAGTGCTCCCCGTTCAACGCAGACGCCGGCCGCTGGTGCCACCCGGCTACGACGGGGCATCTCAGTGCAGAAACCGCCACTCGGGATTCTTCAAATCGCGCAGGTCTCGTCTCATTAATTTACTACATAGGAAGCGTCTCTACTTCACAGTGATCTACCTACTACTTCCTCCGAGCTCACAGATTTATTAAAAAAAGGCCTGTGGTGGTTTCGAGGGTAATCGTACATACTTGTAGTTACC